CAGCAGTTTTAAATGTACAATATATATATAAAAAGATGCTTTTTTTTTATACAATTATCTTATATTTTTGCAATAAGCTATATTAATTACTAACTACTATGCTACCAACGCTATTTATATAATATTTATTAACAATTTCTTGCTTTATATTTTATTGTGTTTTTAGTATTTGTAAGAAGGCCTAAACTCTAGGCTAGTTTTTTGCTATATAAAACTAGCACTTTAAACTAGTACTAATAAGTATTTAAGTGCTCTAGCAAGCTTAAACAAATTTTTTAAAAATTAAATATTAAGCTTTTTTGCATACTAAAGTACTTTACGCTTAATTATATTTTTTTTAAAAATTTTATTAGCTTAAAAAAGCTTTGCTAAAAAAAATTAAATATATTAGCTATATTTATTATTAGCTGCTAAATATAAATTTTTTACTATAGTTTAACTATTTTTTAAAAGGCTTTTATTACTAATTAGCAAGCTAAGTTTAAAGCTTTTTATTTAATTTTTTAGCATAAAAAGCTTATTTAAAAACTATACTAATAAGTATTTTTGTACTGCTGCAGTTACTAGCAATTTAATAATTAAAAGTAATAGCTTTTTGCAGCTGTAGAAATTATTTAAATATTTAAATAAAATAGAAATTTTAATAAAAAAGCAAGTAATTAAGCTAAGTATAAAAAAGAAAAATAGCGCTAGTAAAAAAAAAAGTAAAAAAGCAATTAAGCATTAGAGCTAATATTGCAAGAAAAATTATTATTAGTATTAGTATTAGTATTAGCGTTAGCATTGCTGTTATTGCTTAAAAGCCTAGTATTAGTTAGCTATTTAGTAGTTTAATATTATACTAAATATTTAAATATATGCTTAGAAATTATTAAAAAAAACTGCGCTTTGGCAGTTAAAGTTACATTAAAAGTTAGAAGTTTATTATTTAATAATTCTAAAAATAAAAATACGCAATATACAGTAAAAAATACTAATAATATAAGCTATTAATAATATATTAGGTCCCGTTTTCGCGGGATTATATATTATATAATTTAAAAATAACAAATTTGCTATATAAATTAGTAATAACAAATTTAATATTACTTACACTAATAATATTAAATTAAAATTTTTATTTATATTTTCTAATAGTTTTTCTGCAAAGCTTAAGTTTAAAAAAATAAATAAATTATTAATAATATAATAAAAAGCACTACTATTACAAATTTAATAATTAAAAAAAATTAGTAATATTAAAACTGCATATACAGTTTATATAAATAATTTATTAATTTTATTTAAATTTTATATACTTTAGCTATTACTATTTGCAATAGCCTTTTTTGTACCTGTTTCTAGCTTATATTTATAATTTTATTATATATTAAATATAAAAAAGCAGTTAAAAGTAAAGTATATATATTTAAAATTTAAAATATAAAAAAAATTAAAATTAAAATTATTAATTGCTATTGCAATTATGCGCTTAAAATAAAAATTATTAGTAATAATAAAATTAAAATTATAACTTTTACTTATACTTTTAGTATTTTTAATATTTTTAGTATTTTATTGCTTTTTGCAATAAATAACTTTAATATATTTAAATTTACTATATTTAGTATATTTAAAAGTATTAGGCTTGCTAATATAGTAATAAGTTTTAATAGTATAACTAGTATAACTATAGTAATTATATATAAAGCTATTGTTTATATTACAGTTACTATTTTTATTATTATTATTATTTTTGCTTTTTTTATTGCTATTATTCTTACTATTGCTGTTAGTATAAGCATTACTAATAGTATTATTAAATTTATTTTTAATAATATTTTAAGCATTTTTATAATTATTAGCGTACTTAATAATAAAATTTTAGTAGTTTACTTAAATTTTTTAAGTAATAACTTTTTTTTTAAAATAAAAAAAGTCCTAAATTTTAATAAAAGTATAATACTATTATAAAAAAATTTTTTATTAATTTTATAAATTAAAATAGTATAAGTAAAAAAGCTTTTAGTAGCGTTAATATTTTTATAATAGCACTTAAACTTAGTAAAAAGCAGGCAGATAATAGAAAAATTTATAAATATAAAAATATTTAGCTTTACTTTAGTATAGTAAATAATAATTAAATTTAAAGTTTAATATATTTTAGTAATATTAGCTTAAGCTATATAAGGCTTTTTTTTTTATTTATTATTAAATTTATTTTAAATATAATCTTTTATAGCATTTTTAAAAAAATAAAAAGCAGTAAGTAACTTTTTATAATATTTATTATAAAATTAAAGCTTAAGCTTATAAATTTTAAGCTTAGCTTTGTATTTAAATTAAACAGTATTATTATTATTATTAAATAAAGTAATAATGCTAAAAAAAAAGTATTAACTTTTAAAAAGCAATATTATAGCTTTAAATATAGTTTTAGTATATAAAAAAATAAATTTAATAAGCTTAAAATACTAAACTGTAAAACTATTATAGTAGTTAAGTAAGCTTTATTAAGTAGTAACTTTTTTAAAAATATGCTTTTATTTATAAAAATTATTAAAACTAATTAATTTAATAAAATTTTTGCTAAGCGCTTGCTTAGTATTAATTATAAATAAAAATATATTTAATATTATACTATACTTAATATAGTAGTGCTTTAGTAAGTTAGATAAATATAGTAATTTTTAAGTAATATAATAATTAAGCAATTTAAATAAGTTAATATAAATACTATAGTTTTAAAATTAATTTTATAATTAAAAAGTAATTAATATAGTTGCGCGATAGTAGCGCAGAAAAAGTATAATTTATTATAACTAAATTGCGCGTAAGTGCGCAAAAAAGCTTATAATTTATAAAACTAAAAAAAAATAATTATATTAATAATATTTTATATATAAAAGGAAATTATGTTTATATATAGAAGGGAATAAAACTAGAATAAGCTAGTCTGTATATAGACTAGCGTGTTGGGCATATGATGAATCACGTGTTAGGAATTTAAACCAACACTTTCCGGCTCTTATTGGTGGTCATCCCAAACGTGACCTACTGTTTGAAGACTAGCATCATCAGGTGATTAGAACGCTATGCGGATATCCGTTCTTTAGCACACGAGCAGCGCACGAATGATCATGCAAAGATGGGTCAGACGAGCTCGGTAGCTTGGGTTGCGACCTGGGTGGTGGGATGAACTTGAAAAAGACCGCCCTCCGCCCGAGGCGCGGGTGAAACAGTTGAGGTCAGTAAAGGACCGACCTTGTTTGCCATCTTCGTCAAAGGCAAGTTTGGAAAAGGTCTGAATCGCGATATTACGAAGTTTTTGATGCGTTGGCAGTGGCGAGGGAGATCAAGAACTCAGCCTCATTTTGCTGCCACTAACGGCCCAATTTCATGCACCTAGCCACACCTCAGCTTGCTTGACACCGGGCTGTCCGGCTCCAGGTTCGGCACCTCATGACTACCTACGACGAAATCCTGCAGGCTCTTCGGCAACGTATGGAAGTGGTCACAAGAATAGAAGCAAATGTCGTAGGAAGTGTTGGATGTGTCTCGCGGAAATGGCTCAGAAGCGCATATGACTCTTCTGCATGGGAAAAGACTAGACTCCCGTCTGCGGGTCCTGATTGAACAGTCAGACAACCCTCGACGGTGAAGGGTTCTCAACGATTCTGCCTTTGCGCCCATTTGAGAGAGCTGCATGTGTCCCGTCAATGCCCTAGAGTGCCCCCTCTCTGAGCTCAACACACGCGCAGGTTGACTGGTGGTCGTCGCATATCAAGCAATGGCTGAGTTGGGCATTCAGTACGTAGCTGACTACGTACGCTTTGCAAACGAGCATCGACGTATTCCGAAGGCCACAAAAGGAGGCCTCTCGCTAGGTTTCTTACCTCAGCTCGCGAGCACGACAGCCCCGTCACGGGGCGAGTCTGAAAAGGCGATAACAAGCGTAAGGCTTGGGATAGGGTCCCTAGGCCTTTGAAACGGCATAATGTTGGTGGGTAAACGACGAGTAGAGGCGACCGGGGAACCAATTGGACTCCCTTCTTGGCGGGCGCCACGCAAGGTTTGTTTGCGAATCGTCGCCCACCATTGCCATCCAGCAACTCGACTGGTTGCCCTCTCCTCTCGAGCCTCCACCCGTCCATCCAAGCGCAAGCGCCCGTAAATGAACCAGAATGCTCCGTGCCAGGGTCAGCCCAACTTCGCAAGGCCGCCGGCGTCGATATGGCTGCTTAGGGTTTGCGCGTCTTGATGCGCATGTCGCGACGTACATTATACATACCCAGAGCGTGCACTCACCCCGCAACATTCGTCAAGTGCTCCGGACCAACAGATCGCAATTTTCAGCTGATTATAGTAACTTCCCCACCGCATAAGCCAGGTGTACCTGGGACGAGCCTCCGGACTGGCCTTGTGCTTTCGAGACGCCGCGGACCTGCCCCACTGAGGCAACCTAACGGTAGAATCCCTACGCTTGGACAGACGACACTGAAGAAAGAATAGACGGGACGCGTGAGCTACCGCTGGTGTACGAGTATAACACCGCTCGGCCTCTCGTGTTGCTTGTACGCAATTCTGCCGATTTCGCCTCACCTTTGCACAGCCACGCCACACCATTGTCGCTCTCGCCGGCAGATGTGGCGTATCGTACGAAAGAAGCGCTCCAAGACCTGACCGCAAGTCTGTACCAAGACGTAGGACACATTGTATCTTCTTGCCGGATGACTTATATTGATGGACTTGCAATCCACGTTCCTGAAATATATCCGTTTTGCCACCCCCGTCCCGCCATCCTAGTCTTCCCGCCATCACCCGCTCCGTCAAATCGCTTGACGGCCTCGTCCCGAGCTGAGTATTGCTGACGGTCCCGAGCACTCGATTCTCTGGTAACCCCGCCGCGTCAAATCCCATTCCTAGAGTCTCACAGGTCGATAAGCACATGCCTTCATGAGTTACTCGGCGCACACAAGCCTCCGTTGTATATCTAGCTGGGTCACACAAGGCTACCCGACATGGCTTCCTATAAGTCGCAATTCGCTCCCCCAAGAAGGATGGAGGACCGAGCGCCCACCACTCGGTTGCCGCAACGATCTGTTACTCCTACCACAATCACATCCCAATTACCCACCCCGAGCCAGTCCAAACTACAGAAGAGGAGGCCCTCGCGAGACGACCAGGCGTACCCCCGAGGCCCTACCAGCCAAAAAGGGCCTGTGCAGACAGTCAGCTCCCGCCAGGGAAGCAGCAGTCGCGCAGTACCTATGAACCTCCAGAAACCGGGCATGATAAGTTCAAAACCAACGCCTCAAAGTTCGACATCTCGTTTACCCAAGCTTGAAGTACCCGCAAGTACTCGCACGCCTTCACTTGCCTCGGGATCTTCCGCATCAACAATTGAAAGCCCGCGATCCAATGTATTGAGAAGGAAGCAAACGAACGTTGGAGTCGCAAACAGCAGGCAAGCTTCCCGGATCCGGGACGATTCGATGTCATCCCAAGACGACGACAGGCAGCAATTTGAGTGTATACCTGGTGGCTACAAGGATCCTTTCTCCGAGACTGTTCTCGGAATCTCGTTACCACCATCTTCGACCATTCTAGCTCATTCAGAAGCTGAGATTCAAATATACGGCAATGGTCTTTACGACTATGAGATTGGCCCGACAGACATCTTACCCCTACCAACGCCACAGTATGCGCTCTCTGCAACACCATCAACACGTTACTCGGGGTCTCCTGGCCCATTCAGCATTTCTTCGACTCCCACATCCATGTCATCATACTCACCTGGGGCTACGCTATCGAAAACGTCGCTGCGGACAATGCAGGCTAGTCCGCTGCAGAACAGACCACCAGCGACCCGGCATAGAACTCCTGATGAAAATAACCCTCGACATCCTCATACGCTTTCTACTGTCCGCGAGTCTTCGACTTCCTCATCATCTGCGTCCACTGTCATTATAGAATGTGGAAGGCCCAAAGAGAAGCAATCGCCGAGCCGACTTGCTGCGTTGCCTCAAAGTCCTCAAGTACCGGCTGGCTTCCAATCCTCAGAGAACTCTCGCGTGCAAGCCCCCCCTGAGTTTGCTCACCTTGCGGATCAGTCGCCGGTATCGCTACCTGCACCTAGACGGCCTTCAAGGCCAAGCAGGGATGGTACGCCAGAGATTGTCGGACTTCGAGGCCCGTCACCCGTTATTCAAAGCAATATGGCCCACTTTCCCGCATCACATAGACGCACCAGCTCTACTGAGTCCAAGTCTGCGCCAATGCCAGCTGCGAGATCGAAGATGAGTGTTCCAACGAAGCCATCCTCTCGGCTTCCTTCATCAAACTCGCCCTTACCCGCCGCAACTCGTGCGCCGACGCGTGGGCCAACACCCGATATTCAGAGTGATCGTGAGACGCGAAGATCTAGTACGCTTCCAGCCCCCGCCCCAGCTCCTAGCCCAGGAAAAACGTCGAGGTTTGGCTTCTTCAGCCGTCGCACCAAGACGGAGCCAACTGCTTCAGCCGCGAAAACAGAGAGCAAGCTTCATCGACGCGGGCCAGCAGCAGGCACTGGTCACGAAGGCTATGGCAGATACGCTGTAAGAGGCCGAAGTGGAAGCTCGGTCAGTGCTACTAGCATCGGGCGGTCAGCCAGTGCAGGTACTACCTCTGAAAGCTTGGATCAAACACCTTCGACTCGCAAAAGCAGTATGACTAGTACCACAAGTGGGGACATGGACGACTTCTTCCTCAATCGACTCGCTCCTGTTGTTATTCGAGGTACTGGAAGCAGCTCGGAGCTGTCACGCAGTCCGGACCCCATGCAGAGCAGTAGCAGTTTGGACATCTCTGTCCGTCCCGGAGTGGAGTTGAAGAAGACAGCTAGCAACATGTCACAGTCTGCAGTCGAAAAGAACCGACCCTCATTACTGCCATCGGCGATGCCAGACACTATGCGCGGAGGATCGCCAATGAAGAAGATGACCTTGGGTCTGCGGAGGCCCTCCGAAAGCGACGATGATTCGAAGAGATCTTTCCTGCCTGCGCTATCTTCGAAACGAACGTCGCGCGCATTACAAACTGTACAACGGCCAAGCGCCCCTGCAGCCTCTGAGAAGGCACGTAATAACTCTACAAGCGACACGACTGTTGATGGCAAGGAGAGCAACTGGCTAAAGTCGTCGAAGACGAGCAAGGCAGAGAAGGACCAACCCAAGCCGTCAAAGAGGTGGAACTTTTTTCAACGAGCCCATGCCGTACCGCGCGCAGCTACCCCAGCTGTTGCCCCAGCCAGCCTTGCAAACCAAGTGCCTGTTTCCCGATCTGTCGCGCATTATGCATTCTTGGACCAGTCAGAGCTTGACCTAGATGACATCGAAGAGCTGATGAAGGAGGCTAACACCGCAGATGAAGGCACAGAGAGCGCTCTATCCGACAACGAGTCTGGGAGAAAGGAGCGAATGCAGTCTATGCTGCTACCTCCCAAACCACTACTTCCAACCAACTTCGCACCACCAACCCGTTCTGCCTCACCCAAGGTCTTCCTGCGCTCAGAAGCACAACCTCAGCAGCCGCCCAGAAAATTGACCATCAACACCACGCCTGCGCCTCCACCATCCGAGCGTCGTTCTATCGCAGACCTAACACCTATCACCGATCTCTCGCCGCCGTCGTCGCCCTTCAGTTCACCTTCGCCAGTGTCCCCAATAAGCACACCTCTTCCTGCACCCACTCCCGCCCCTGTCCCTATTTCGCCTCCTCAGCATGTCTCAGTTCCTTCCCAGAGCTTGCCTCCACCCGGTCCACCGCCTACTAGTCCACCTCCAAGGCCGAGCCGCTTGCCCCAGGTTGGTCGCATACCACAGGTGGTTTCAAGCCGCCGCCAACCGCACCGCCCTTCATCGCAGTCGTTCTCTCGTCCCTTCGCAACCGGTCAGCCTCGTCCAACTGCCCCACCTCGGAGCTCCTTCGACTCCATCGGGTCTGTGGTTGCCACTGCTGGTCCAATTGAGCCGTATCCAATTCTACGTGGATTAAGCGCCCTTACCCATGGGTCTGCTATTGCTACTATGAACTCACCCTCGGACGACTCTAATACTAGAAGCGAGTTCTTCAAGTTTCCTTCTCGCAAAAACTCTGAGGTTTCTTATTCAAGTAGCTCGGGCATCTGGAGCTTTGCTCCTGCTGCTGGAACTGCTGTAGCTCCTATCCCAGGAGCTCCATACTCTGAGGACGAACTCTGGAACGAGTATGACGATCTGCTCGACGAAGTGCTCTCGCCTGTCACTTCTCGCACCAGCGAGGACATGACCAACGTTCGGAGCCAACACCCTTCGCTTGAACCTCTCCCTCTAAAGACAAAGGCTCTGCGTGTATCTACACAGTCCGACTGTTCTGACTGCGAGGCTACAAATCCTACTCTGCATCTCCGTCGCTCTCGTTTGCTTGCTGTCTTACACTCGACGCAATCCCCGACTTCCTCTGTGTCCTTCTCTGAGTTCATTTCCGACTATGGCGAGCAAAAGATCAGCGTGATTGATCCTGTCACTGGTAGACTGAGTTTGCCCGCAAGTCCGCGGGTGTCTACGGGCTCGGCCGCGAAGCGCTCAACTCGTTCAAGTCTTCCAGCATCCTTACCGCTGAGCGCACGACACTCGAAAGCCACTATTGCCTCAAGGTCTAGCAAGGATCGTGATAGTGCCAGCACAAACAGATACAGAGATACACGTTTGATGGAGATGGCCGAAACCCAAGCGGACGGGCTATTGTCTATGGCTAATCTCCGATTTGGTGCTCTGATGACGAGCAAATGGCTCTCTTTTGGCCGTGTTCTCTTTAGCCCAGTGCACTTTGAACTTAAGGATGCGAGCGAAGACCGTGTTCTGGTCATTGACGGACTTGGCAAAGACTGGTCTTACTATTGCGCACTCACTTATCCCGAAGCAACTGTATACGACATTGGGCCCGAGCCATCCGCCGCACCGGCTGACAACACCTCTGAGCCGTGGTCGACCCTGCGAAACCATCGCCACATTTGTCACTCATCTCTCAGCAACGCCTTCCCGTTCCCCATGAACTTCTTTGCATGCGTTGTTCTCCGCTTCCCGATCGCGCTCCCTTCGAGTGTGCACCGCTTCGTCCTTTCAGAAGCCAAGCGAGTTCTCCGACCCGGAGGCTATCTGGAGTTCAGCGTTCTTGATATGGATCTTGTCAATATGGGCAACCGAGCTCGCCGTGCAGTTCGTGGCCTCAAGATGAGGATGCAGGTAGCCGATGAGAACACTTCACTCCGCAACATCAGCGATGAGATCATGGCCGGCATCGGTAGAAAAGGCTTTGTTGAATGCAATCGATGTGTTGTGGGCGTTCCTGTCGCTGGCAAACTTCCTAGGCCCGATGATACAAAGTCGTCAATCACAAAGCGGAAAGGCAGCACCGCAAGTTCGAGCAGCAAAACGAAAGGTACTCCTGCTCTGCCTAAAGGACCGAAGCCTGAAGTCTCCTTCTCCGACCTCCTCAATGTCTCCTCTCCATCTGAATCGACAGACAACGGCATCACTGACATGGTGGCGCGCGTTGGCCGCTGGTGGTATTCTCGCTGCTACGAGTCCCTCGTCCTCCCTGAAGCCGGAGAACCCGGCGCCGCAACTTCCGGCGACTTGCTTAAGAGCAGCATCTGGCGCGATGAAAACCTCGTCAACGAGTGCGAGAAGCGCGGTACAAGCTTCAAGCTCCTCATCGGGTACGCCCAAAAGCCTGAAGTCGGAGTTCGACGCACCGTCAGCGTCTAATTATTATTCCATTCTCATGAGCTGCGCTCTTTTAGTCCTGGAGGCTGTTTTTGTTCGCACAACACGTTTCTAATCGGCTGTGTTCTGATTTATTGTACTGGCGTTTTCTATCATCCTGCGTTCAAGCGTCTGCCTTTTTCCGTATACCCTCGTTCTTCACTCTTTGCATAGCGGTCACACTGTCTACGAAGAAAGCATCAGCTAATACAACAACCGGCGCAAGCCTGGAAGCATCATCATCGTTATATTATGTAATATCTCCTTTCAACCTAGTTGCGACATGCTGGTAATGGGACAACTGAACGGAAATTGAATTGGAAGAGGTGGGTTTGATGAGTAAATACCCCGGAATGTCGATATGAAACCCATTTTATGTAGATATGAGAAACGGTCTAAATTGGCCATGAGAATGAACGCAATTCGCAAATATCTTACTCAGTCGTTAAGAAAATCGCTAAACTGTATAGAGTGGTCATACACAGTGACGTCTTGATACGTCTCATTGAAGGGAGTGATAAAGGGTGAAAAAAAGCAAAAAAAACTTAGCGAGATTAGTTAATGCTTACATTCTATCTTGTACCCTCTCCCTTGCTTTAATCTTGGCGTCAATACCTATAAGTAAGCCCTCTTATCAATTATTAGTTCGTTCCATCTGACCTCTCTCACCTCATCTAGGACCTTCTCCCCTATGGCACCCCAGACGCGCAGTCAATACCGTGCTATTGCGACGAACAGCATGGAGCAACTTCCAAGAGAATCTAGAATGTGGCGCACTACCGAGCCACTGTCACTTCCTGACTCTGATCGCCATCCACTCAATAGCACAACGCCCCGGTTCTTACAATTATCTATTGAGATTCGGCTCCAAATTTACGCACAGCTAGTCGCATCTGCTCGTCCATTCCTCATTGGCAGATGCCAGGATAAGCCTCGTCGCAGTCATAATAGTAGTCCTCGCGACTTCTTTCCAGGCGAACACCATATTGAGCGAAATGATCAACCCAGTCGTCCAACACAGCCGCCGATAACCAGAGTATGCCGCCAGATCCGGGAAGAGAGCCTCCCTCTGTTTTACAGTGATAACTACTTCTGGCTGATACACAACGAATTCCAACCCGATACAAATGTTTCGCCTCGGCGCAATTTCGATCCATGGATAGCTCAGACACCACGTAACATGTTTGACGTTATGCGTCATGTTTCCTTGTGCGGCTATGTGGCATGGCCCACTCGTATTATGATAGATGTGGATCTCAAGCATCGCAGTATCACTCAAGTGCGGTCATATTCCACATACGGCGACGAGCTGAAGACATATGAGGTTTTCGTCGAACGTATCCAGGCGGCCCTTACGGCAGAAGCGCACTCGGATGGAATCACTGTGCTCAAAAGCGTACTTTTGGTGTGCGACGGCATTTGGACCTTGAGTAAAGAACACGTATCTGCACCTCCTGGATTGAGCAGATTAAGAAAGCCACGATCTGGTCCAGACTATGATTGGTAGTGGCTCTGGAATAGTTTAGGGTTAACGTCAGAATTCATGTTCAGTCTACTAGCTGCCCTAAGCCTTTTCGGCCCCTTTCGCTTGCTTCTTCGTACCAAAGTCGCCAGTCTGCTCCAAATCTACCATCTGCGAGCGGATCGTACTCAAATAGCGCTTGCCCACGCCACAATTGGTCTTGAGGATAGAGATTTATCGGCGCACCCGTAACTTTGTCTGTGTCCCGTACCCATGGTTTCTCATATGGCCGAACAATTATTGCAATACGGGGTATGATCTCTCTAAGAAGCGCCTGTCTGTATATGAGTAAGCAATAGTATAGTGGTTTCTTTGTGATGAACTAGGGATTTGAACTCACAAATCGGAAACCTGCTGGGCATACATGGGTGTGCTAGTAGATCCTTTCTCGCCCCATACACGAGGAGTTGATATGAACGCGTAGGTCGTATCTTGCGGTTGATTGTAAAGGCTGGCAGTAGGCGCATCTCCTAGAGCGTTTCGAAGTGGTTGCCGACCAGCGACCAAGTTGACTACGTTCTCCTTGAAATCTGGTGGCGGCATTTCTGGTCTGTTGTCTTGCACAAATGCTAACGTCTCCCAGAAATGGCATTGAAAGAAGAAATTAGCTTGATGTGCTACATTCAGACCTTTAATATTGAGTTTCACCATGTAAACTGCTCGGGCTGAGGCCACAGTCAAGACAGTGCAGCCCGTAAGCTCTGTTCCACTAGTTCCAATGTAACTGGCGCGATCGGTGGGAAAATCCGTGAATCTTCGCTGAGTACAATAGCTCTGGGAGGCGGCACCGTTAGCGCAAAGCCCTACTACTTCATTGTTGTTAACGTTCTTCGACATCAGGTAGTTGGATAGAGCATTAGGTTTTGTATCGGCATCTGAAAGCTTCCTTGGGAAAAGATTCTCGCTGCTGTGCGAAGTCTTGCTAAGATTGGATGTTCTGTCGTCGTTGAGAAGACCACGCCTGCTCAGTAAACCGCAGGCTAAGCCATTGCAATTGTTGGGTGCACAAAGAGGCTGACAAGGCGAGATATGCTCTGCCCCGACCACGGAAATGATATTGGCTGGGCTAAGAAAATTTTAGCCACTGTCGAGTTGAAGAAGTCTTTTGTGGCATCGAACCTCCTTGGGTAGACTAGGCCCACGGATAGCCAGTTCAACATGGAAACCAGCGAAACCCCAACAAGTATTTTCCTTGCCATACTATCTGCGTGTTCCAGGGTTTGGGAAGAAATCTTGAATAGATTAGCAGTTTCCAGGGGCAGGTAGGAATCTTCCTTATTCAGGCTTACTAACTTGACTGTACCTCACGTGTGGCCAAGGGACCTCAGTATGGGGGTTAAATGATTTGAAACTTGGGTTGAGTTGTTCTATCAATCGTTGCATATGATCTACCTATATTAGGATAATGAATAGCCTCTTTTCATTAAACCTGTCAACCTTCTAAAATGCCATGGCCATGTGGAACAAGACGACATTGTTTGTACGACAAGTAAGCCTCTGCGATGTTCTTCACCGGTCCTAAGGAATGATGTACTACCTCAATGAAAAATGCTAGGTGAGCACTAAACTAGAATTACACATATTGTGAAAGATCTAAAGGCCGCCCGTACATTCTTCCCTGCTACTGGTATTCTCCGCACCAGCTGACATTACAGGCATGATTTCAGACCCTTCGCGAAAAGCATATTAGGAATAGTTGGATCGCGAGCAATGGCCTTGGTAGGTATCTCACTGTTGCTATCTAATGCAACTTGCGAGAATGCATTGCTATGTAATCTAAAGTAATCCAAAATATTTCCGCTGTCAAAATATCTCCGCAGAATCAGCGATAGCTCAACAAGTTTTCGTAGGGACATTGGCGCTTTTGATCTCCTTTGCTCATCTATGCATACAGTCTCGGAAAATGGGAATCTTAGCACACAGCGCGTTCTTTGCTGTTCTGCAGACTCTACTTGTCCTGTCCTTACATGTTTCCGCCGCAGAAGACGTTCGCTCATGGTTCATGCCCAGGTCGACATGCACGTACTCTCAAGTGCGTGCCGACGAAGGTTGCTTTGACCTAGCAGAGCGGTGCGAAATATCCCAGTCAGACCTCGCAGAGTATAACGGCGGTGAGAGTTTTTGCGACAATCTCATGCTTGATCAGTACGTATGCTGCTCAGCTGGAACATTGCCAGACCTCACTCCGCAACCCAACACAGACGGCTCCTGTCAGACTTATGAAGTCAAAGATGGCGACAACTGTGCAGCTATCGCGGAATCCAACAAGATGTCTATCAACCAGCTGGAAGATCGTAATAAGGATACGTGGGGCTTTGGAGGATGTGAAAACATCTATGCCACTCAGAAACTATGTATCAGTACAGGAACTCAGCCCATGCCAGCCACCATTCCAAACGCTGTTTGCGGTCCTCAAGCCAACGGTACAGAGATGCCAAGCGACATGTCAAACCTGAGCAATCTGAACCCATGCCCCTTGAACGCATGCTGCAACAAATGGGGCCAGTGTGGAATTACATCTGAGTTCTGCACGGTAAGCCGATCTCAGACCGGAGCACCAGGGACTTCCGAGCCTGGAACCAATGGATGCATTTCCAACTGCGGAACGGAAATCGTCAACCAGGGGACCATGCCAACAGATTTCATTCGACTTGGATACTACGAGTCGTTTAGCCTAAGTCGTCCGTGTTTGGCGATGCGACCCTCGCAGATTCCAAAAGGATATTATACGCATTTGGTGAGCGGTTTCATTTACTCTCTCCCATGGGCCAATACAGCATGTACACTAACTCGATATTCAGCACTATGCATTTGGAAATGTAACAACCGGGTACGCTGTCGATCTGACCGGTAGTTTGGATTTGTTTGAAGAGTTCAGAGCTCTCCAAGGTGTAAAGAGAATTATGTCCTTCGGTGGGTGGGCATTCTCGACCGAGCCAGCCACTGCTCCGATCTTTCGTGAAGGTGTTTCAAACTCGCAAAGGCAAATCCTGGCTGATAATATAGCCGCTGTAAGCCAAATCTCACAATATCTGCTAAGATTTTGCTAAGTCAAATATATAGTTCATCATTGAGAATGACCTGGATGGTGTCGATTTTGATTGGGAGTACCCTGGAGCCCCTGATATCATACCACCTGCTGGTAAAAAGTAAGCGAAAATACATTCGAGGGTGTGCCTGACTGACTATGTCCCTAGTGATGGAGCCAATTACCTAGCATTTATAATGCTCGTACGTGCAGCATTACCAAACGAGAAGACAATCTCAATTGCGGCGCCTGCTTCGTACTGGTATCTGAAACAGTTTCCAATCAAAGAGTTGGCTGAGGTGCTCGATTGTAAGCATGACTGCTTAGTACCTAGTCTGGAGCTATAGCAAATTGACCCTCCACAGACATCGTGTACATGACATATGACATCCATGGGCAATGGGACTATGATAATAAGTTCGCCAAGTATGTAAGATCCTGGACTCAACATAAATTCTTGCACTGACTACTGCTATGCAGTCCAGGCTGCGCTAATGGAAATTGCTTGAGGTCGCATGTGAACTTGACAGAGATCAATTTAGCGCTCTCTATGATCACAAAGGCCGGTGTTCCAACAAACAAACTTCTGCTAGGCATGGCTCTTTACGGCAGAAGCTTCAAGATGAGCGACTCTACGTGCTACACCGAGTTATGCACCTTCACAGGTCCGGAATCAGATGCTACACCAGGCATGTGCACCGGCACCAAGGGTTACATTTCTAATTGGGAAATTCGGAGAATCCTTGGCGATCCTAGCATCCAGAAGCAAGAATATCAAACTGAGGAGGCAGGCGATATTTTGGTGTACAACTCAGATCAGTGGATATCCTGGATGAACCCAGAGACATATGATAAGCGCGCTGCGTTTGCGCGCAGTATCAATATGGCCGGTCTCTCGGATTGGGCTTTGGACTTGAACAGCTCTGCGACAGGATCTGGTGGTGATGATGACGATAGCAACAGCACCGTCTTTATCAGCCCTGACATTTATCTGGAGCCCCACCCGACGATCTATTGCATTCCGCCATGCACATTTGTCCTCCCGCCGCTGCAGCTGCCATCTTCGACCATCATTACGCCTCCAGCTGTGACCAGGACACTAAGCGAACTATACCCTTCCATTACAACTGCAAGCGATGGCATCACCAGCACTGTATTTCTCACAGTAACTGGCACCACAACGATATCGATCGCGGCGGTAACTAGGACTGAAATTGATGTGTGGAACATCAACTGGACGAACACGGATCAGACAACCTTTTCTCTAACAAGTAGCATCATATTACCCCCTATCACGTTGACTCAACAATCACTTACGACAACAATCAATGGAACAGCCTTTTCAACTAAGGGAATCGTCTATTCTTACAGCGCTGAACCTTGGCCACCTGCCACCAACAGACCGGATCCACCCCCAACGGGCTTTCCGTCGGCGATTGTGGTGTCGTCTGGTAATCCTGGCCCAACCTGTAGACCTGGCCAGATATGTGGTCGGCTTTGCCATTCGAATTGCCTTCCGAGCCCAGGTTGTATAGGGATTTGCGATTGCATTGGCCTTGGCTGTTCTAGCTGTTTGATACCGCCTTGCTCGAACTGTATAGGCCAAGGTTGTGCCGGAAAGGGCAGAGACCGAGGCGGCGGCGGAGGTAGTGACGGTAATCCGGAGGAGACATCATGTTCGACGAAAGCTACTGTTACAGATTGCTCTGTGGCATGTTCAGTCACCCCGATAGGATCCACACTTTCCACGTCTTGCTATAGTACGACTTGTAGCGAAGCTACTGTATGCAAGTCTGCGGGTACGACGACGACTTCAAGAAGTACTGTCGGTTGCCCTGTAGCTTCGTCTTATGGTCCTTGGTACGGCGATAACGCTGACGCTGCAGAGGCAGTTAGGTTGGGCGACGGTGGCTATGGAGGTTACATCATCGGCTCAATGAACCCAGCGCCACCCCCACCAGTCACCAGCTTCATATCGTGCGCGCATCAGAATCAGTCTCCAGGGCTAGGTATCACATCAGGCTACTGCGTTTGTGACGAGTCCACCTTCTCAGAGTTGCTTGCCACACAAGTCACTCCATATAACTACTGTGGATACACCGCAAAGCCAACGCAAGCAATCACTGTCACGAAACAAAAGTCGATTTCGACTGATGTCCCTCACTGTCGCGTCTGTACCTATATTGGACATAATCAGGACTGTACCTCCTTGACAAGCTGTACTCCGAAGCCGACTGAGACGCCTAAGCCTAAGCCTAAGCCACGATGCGTCACAGCTCATATCTTCATGAATATGTGCGCTTTCGGGGGCGATTTGTTAGTTATTCGGCTCTGGGAACGAGGCGTCTTGACTTGCAAGACTGGCGACACCAAGCAGTTGGCATCTGACAACACCAAGTACAGCTTCACCTGCGATAATGGTGCTTCTGCTGTGGCGGAAAATTTTGGTCGGAGGCTGTCTTTCAAAGCGGCTGATGGCTGGGAGATGGACATTCCGCAGAAGGATGGCCACAAAATGAAGTATCAATGTGGCACTACTGGAGTTAACGAACGTCCAATCTGGGGCTCGCAATATGAGATTGTCTTTGCTAATAACGAATGTGATGGTTGCCCAACAGCAGAGCTTTGCGATTATCAAAGCTCCTGCAAATTTGATGGATCGTGTGCCTAAGGATAAGGTAGTAGGTAGAGCAAGCCAACAATCGCGAGAGATTGCGAGACTCCAGAGATCTGGAGCAACAAGTGCGGACCTGCATGCTAGGCGTGATCATCAAGAGGCTTGAATAGAATTTCACAAACCATGTTGATCTAAACTTCCAGAGATGCCCTTCAATAAAGTTTTACAAGAGTAAAATGGTGAAAAGAAAGGGCTAAATACAACCGAGATTGACGAACTGACTACACTAAAGCGCCAAATACGAGTAGGAATTTCAACAAAAGTAAACTAAGAAATTCATTGTCTTGTCATAACAGCGGGGTATCCAAATCCAAATGCTATGCCATACCACGCCATGCCGAACCCAAGTCCAAAAACATATCCCAACCCCCTATCTATCTAGGACCGAATTCCCAAACCCCACCATCTCATACCTCCCCCCTCTGCCCACCATTCTGCCCCCATCTAACCTACTCTCAACCACCATATCGAACCTCTGCGGGTGTTCCCCACCGCCCCCTATACCGTCCTCTTTATCCAGCATCTCGGTAACGCCACGGCCATTTCCATGCATGATGATGCGAGTTTTTGACAGCGAGGCTTTGACCGGCCGTCTGGCTTTGAAAATATCGCCCAACTCTTCGAGGGTGCGGCGGCGGGTCTCGACGAAGAAGAAGTAGATGAAGATGAATTCGAATATGTCCCAGAATATGAAGAGGAAGTAGTACTTTTTGAAGATGGAAGTTAGCGATAGAGTGTGCGCGAGAGCGTGAGTGTTGTGAATACGGGATTAGGTAAAAGGAAGAAGTGTGAAGAAAACAAGGATAGATGAGCGACGAGAAAAGAGCAATAACATACCTTCCACCCCGCCCCCGAAAACGCAATGCCCGTAACAAAAGTATTATAAAAATTCGCAATATTGACCCAGAAGTTATAAAACGCCATGCCCTTGGCGCGACTCTCATACCGCAGACATTCAACAGGATACAGCTGCTGCAGCGGTGTGTACCCCGTAGAATACACAAAGCCGAAGATGAAGATGAAGGCAATCACTGCTCGCGCTTGTCCCGGCCGCTTGATCTGCGGCGTCCTGTTTTCTCCGAGGATGGGCTTACCGTCGGGCCCTGTGACGAGGTTTGTTGCTACGAGGGCGCAGACGATGGCGAAGATGCCTACGAGTAGGGCGGTCGAGACGAGAAGCTGGGGTCTCCTGCCCCATTTGTCTGTATAAAAGGCGCCGAACATGGCTCCAGCAAAGGAAACGACGTTCTGCATGCCGTTGTAGAGGAGACGGGTGTGGTTGTTTGTAATGCCTGCGCCTTGCAGCATGGTAGGGTAGTAGTAACTCACAGGCCCGTTTCCAGACCACTGTCCAAAGAATGCCATGCTCAATACTAGCATGGTTCGATACCGTGCTTCGCGCGAGTTGAACAGCTCCGAGTAGTCCCACCACCGCTTGTCGGACCCCGTAACGCTGATGTCTTCGACCATTTCCTTGTATTCGAGCTTGACAATGGGCGAGTCGCGGTCTCCTTCGCCATGGAAACGCGCCATGGTATCCAGCGCTTCTTCGTGTCGGTCGTTTGCGATGAGCCAGCGCGGTGTTTCGGGCAGGAATGGACTGCATACTAGCACTGTGCCTGCGAAGATCATCTGCAACCAGATGGGTATACGCCAGGACTGCGAGCCGGCAATCTGCGAGGTGCCGTATGGTACAAAGGATCCCGGTATGCCACCGACATACCAGAACGTGTTGAAGATACCCGTACACACGCCGCGGTAGGTTGGGTGTGCCATCTCAGACACGTAGGCTGGCCCTGCAGTCGATGTGATAGCGACGCCAAATCCGAGGATGAAGCGTCCGCCCATGAAGCCTCCTAGGTTGCTGCATGTTGCTTGGACGCAGGCGCCTACGATTATAATGGACGTCCCGATGAACATGCCCCATTTCCTTCCTCGAAAGTCGGTAGCGGGGCCCGCAACGAAGGATCCAATCAGATTCCCTATAGTATATATAGCGTATACAATGCCGGTGGTCGGTGTTCCTTCGTCGACATCGAAGCCGAAGTACTCGCGATATTGGTGGTAGCTGTTGATTGCGCCCATCAGGGACCCGTCGTAGCCATTTATACAGGAGTTGAGTGTAGCGATGAAGAGGCAAAGATACAGCTACCATCATGATTAGTTGTGGAAGTAAAGATATCGTGGGAACTACTAACCTTGAACATGGCACTCGTCCATGGCGAAACGCCAGCTTTCGCAGTAGCATCTGCGAGCGCAACATTCTGCACTTTTCGAATATCGGCTGTGCCGTTGCTGCGCTCTGTGTGCGAGGTATGCACATCCCTCTTGTGCCTGTGGTCCATCTTCGCAACTCCAAATATTGATATCCCCCGAGAAGTAGGACAACAAGGTTTACCGAAGGGCACGACAAACGCCGAAGAAACAAAGTAGTAAGCTCGTCTTCATGCCCGAGCCAACGGACAACGTCAGCATGGCCGCAACATAAGCCAGTTCAAGTAGTACCCGGGTGCTGGGTGCTGGGGTATCGGCGCAGTGATATAAACCCCATCCACGCGACCACCAAATGCAGATCTCCTCGCCCGTAGAGAACCAAGCATCTAATTCCCGGTTCAAGTGCAGATTTGACATGGATGAATCAAACGTGCACCGCACCAAGAGCCCATGTCAGCGGTTGATGACCGGGTATATGCAGACGTGCAGCTCGCTTAACCTGGAGGCTTGCCGTGAGTCTTTCAATTGGGGTGCGTGAGATGAGGGGTCCAAGAAGGGCGTGGTGTCGTGGCCATCCTGCAATCGAAGCATACCGGAACAGGGTGCTTTCTTATGCGTAAGGTTGGAGGTGAAGTTGGTGGTGGTGTTGCCTTGGGTGATGGTCGAATGAGCAAAGTGCAATGGCAAGTCCTCCTCCGTACGTCTCGCAAAAGACCGTATTCCCTTTCTATTCGTGACCTAAAGAGAGGAAATGACTGTGTCTCCAAGGCCACCTGCCGTGCCTCAAAGGATGCGCTTGGCCTCGCAACCCTTCTTTCGTTCAGAACCGATTAGTGCGCCATCATGCGTCTTTCCGAAATTGCGCTGCCGCTAAGACACGGAGAGAAAAGTCCACGAAAGAGACAAACATCTAATAGCCAGCCGTTGACGCCATCAGGTGATGATAACGTGCTGGGATTGTTGCGGTGGGAGCGTTGAGCGGCTGCGGTGCCGCTGCTCCGTAGCCCCAACGCAGCTAGCGGAGGGAACACCCGGGGAAGCATGGTTCCCCAGCTTCCAAACACCTGTGAACCATCTTTTCATCTTCTGTCCGCTTCCTGTGGAAATAATTGTCTGCTTAATTTCTCTGCCGACTGGGGAATACCGAGAGACAGTCTTTCGATCTATGGCCTGAGCTCAATCGGTGCATGGTCCATCCAGCCTTGCCACTGGCGTGGGAATAGATGAATTATCCATATTGCCCTCCCCTCACTGCCGACATGAACCGCACGATTGACCAGCATGCTATACGTGCCAACATCGTTCACGTTTTGTGATCAGTGATGTCTTCTTATCTGTTACACTCGGCACGTCATTAGCGGTTGAGTTAGCCCAGATCTGGGGCGGAACCAAGTTTGGCTTCAATACAGCGATCGTGTAGAGATGATGGGGAGCCGAAAATATAAAAAAAAAAGACAATACAACATCATATCAGTAACAAAGTCGATTCTCCAATCTAGATATATAGCCACCAAACCACGTCAGTCACCAAACCCACCAACAAGCAGTGAAACCCGTCATGCTCGAAGCTCTGGTTGATCGCATACAAAGCCGATAGAGACAACATGACAGTATGCTATACATTTGAAGAGTCCAATTATTGAAGGAAACCGTAAAATTTTGCATGTTCGAAAAGTAACCAAGTCCGACTCCGGGAAGGTTGAGACAATGCTGCCGATGACGCCACGCCAGTCGATCTGTCGCATCATGTGCGAGTCGAAAATAGGGGAAGGAAAAACAAGAGAGAAGAGTTGTTGAATTATCCGCGAATAAGCAAGAAGGTGGAAAGCAAATAAGGGACCGTGATAGCGAGCAACGGGACTCCTAAGTATAGACGGAGATGCGCCAGGTTCTCGTGGAAGGAGTCCGAAGAGAGCTCTTCGCCATATCAAAATGACAAAGCTAGTCCTGCTATGGCATCCCTTCAGGGTAGACACAGTCAAGAGCATGATCGGATGAGAAGAAGCCGATATGATCCGCAAGCGTTCTGGGCAACGTGGACTCCCACATAGCTCGTTGTTCGTCCAAATTCCGCTGGCGTCGCTCCTCGTTTTCCAAGTCAAGCTGCTGTATACTCTGCAGAAACGATGTTGTGCTAATAGTACCAGCAGAACTCCAGGGCTCACTCAATGTATTCGCCCTAACGTGGCCAATCTTCTTGGGTGGAGGCGTCGCCACACCATCGCCTTGAGCGCCAAGTTGTTCCAATCCAGGCCTCTTCCGCACTCGTCGAAGCCTTTGAGAGAGACGCCGCTTGTCAGGCTCATCCGCCGTCTTGTATCTATCTTCCAAGCCAAAGTGTTCTTGGTCCTGTGGCAGTGTTGCGCTCTTCGCGATAATCGGAGATCCAGCGGACGCATTACTATCGCCACCCTACGCAAAGAGTAAATTGTTAGTAACTTTGAGGGGCATATTGTGCGGGCTGAGCGAAAGTCAGTACGGATGCAATATAGCGATAAATGGCCCTGAAATGTGCAAAAGTTCAGTAACCATCATGTGTGATACGTACTGGTGAGTTGAGCATGCTCTGGCGCTTGTTTCTGCTCTTCTTGATGTGACTTTTGAGCGCACTGGAGTCGAGGGGCTTGAGGAGCTCAAAACTACAGAGCAACTCTCCCGAGACGGACATGACGGCTCCCCAATTGTCGAATTCGCCGCAATACTGTCCGACGTTAGCGAACACTCGAAAACTCATCCGGCATGAAATGCTTACATTTGGTGCTGAGAACACGGTGACTAGGACCCTATCGGTGAAGAACTCATAGCCATCTTCCACCACCATGTGTGCTCGGCAGACAAGATCAAAGTCATGCCTTTGCAGAAATTCCATGATGACCTTCTTTCCAAAACAATAACTGACACCCCGCTCATTGGATTCCCAATCGTTCTCCATATCTGCCGGATCGCTCCATAGGAGATCATTAAGCAGGCCGTAGTCCGGAACATCTGTAGGTCGTGCAATCTGCCTTATGTCATCCATGTGGGACAAGCTTGGAGAAAGCCCACCGTGTACACAGAAGATCTTTTGTGCTACGATAGCCGCAATAGGCAGGGTATTGAATGTGTCCACAAAGGCCTTCCAGACCTTGATATTACATCTTCTCTTGCACTCGTCGTAGAAGCCGTATACACGTGTAACGTTGGCGCACTCGTGGTTGCCGCGTAGGAGGAAGAAGTTTTCGGGAAACTTTAGCTTGTAACAAAGTAGTAAGAGGATTGTTTCTAAGCTCTGCTTGCCGCGGTCGACGTAATCGCCGAGGAACAAGTAGTTGGAGTTTGGAGGGAACCCGCACATTTCGAACATGCGGATCAAGTCAGTATACTGTCCGTGGATATCGCCCACAATCTTCACCGGGGGTGAGAGCTCCAGCAGCGCAGGTTGGCTCAGGAAGACCTCGCGTGCTGCCGAGCAAATCGCGAAGATCTCGGCGTTCTTCAGGCTGACCGTCTTGGTGACTTTGCCGGCGTAGGCTGCATCTAGCAATCGTTGGATCATGTCGTCGAGATCCATGGTCTTTAGCGCGCTGATTTCCATGGGCGAACCTGACCCATCAGTCGGGGCTGGGGGCTCGGGAAGTCTGGGTATCGGCTGGCCTTTTTTCTGCAAGATGGACTCGCCCGGTTGAGCAGAGGCTAGTGGAGGTGGGACTCCCGTTGGCGGTACATCTGAGACGTAGTCGACCTCGCCACTCCGCTGAGCCTTGCTAACTCCTTCATGCCCTGTTGTTCCGAGTGTTGCACCGTGTACAGGCGAGGGCGGGGGTTGCGGCTCGTCTGATGGCGAGTCAAGTTTCTCTGCTGGCTCAGCACCAGCGTCTAACACCGTTGAGGCAGTCGAGCCTCGTCGCGATCCTCTGGTTCCACGACTCTTGTCGGATTTGGTGGAAGCTGCATCGGATTTATCTGGTTTGCCGTTGACGTCGCTGATGTTGGCGACGGAATTGCGCGGGCTGTCGGTCTTTGTGCCTGGGATCTTTGATTTGATCGAATTGCGCAGCGAGCGTGTCGATTCTTTGGTGTCGGATCTTTCCATGGAGCGGTAGTACTCGCGGCCGAGCGGTACGCCATCGGTGCTACCCTTGTCGCCTTTGTCCTTTTTGTTGCTGGACTGCTGGTTACCCATGTTGGGGGTCGTGTGCCCAGTGCGAGGATGGGGAGGCGCACAGAGTGTCTATGTTTCTTGCACAGGTTGTCTTGTCGGTTTTGGTACGAGGGAAGGAAAGCAGTGGCGGAGTTAAAGGTGTGTAAGAGCGAGGCGGTGATAACCTGCGTGCCTTCCCCGACTTCAGAAGCGACGACGGCAGCTGCGGCCGCGACCTCAAGGGGTGTGTAGAATTGGTAGGTATGCTACGCGAGAAGCGTGTATTAGGGCGGTCGGAAGAGGCGAGAGAGAAAGGCAAGGAAACGAGCCTCCGTCGGCGCGGTCGTTATCTGCTTCGACGGACACTGGCCGTTCCAGGCAAGCGTAGGGGAGGCGACGGGGGAGGGATCGTGTTCCCGCTTGCGCGCCAGAGCGGTGGTGTGCAGGCGGAGCGGTGGGTGAGGTGGCTCACGACGTGGGCACGAGGCTCATGGGGGCTGGACAAGTGGTGGTGGTGGTGATGATGGTGATCTCAAGCTCTATGCAGCCAGGGCGGGGACAAGCTGCGAGCTACCAGAGGGTGTAAGCCGCAACACCTTAGTCAGGTTGGGCACCCGAGCAGTGACACGGTGGGCGAGTGGGCGTTACCGGTCTTTTTGCGAACCGGTGAATAGAAAGCGTTGGAAGCTGTGCTAGCGGACGAACGAGCGCAGGCTAGTCGATCGAAGCCCAGACGGCCGCGAGGTGGTGGAGGCGAGAGAGCACGACGTGGTCGGCAAGAGAGAGGTGCTTGCAGCGAAACGTGTCTCCTAGTGCTGTGCTAGTAGACGGTGTTGGCGGAGGGGGCAACGATGAAGAGAGTCTTTGCGCAGCGCAGCATGTAGCGAAGATGGACGTTATCCGTGATTTGCCAGCGGAGAGGTGACTGAGAACGCGCGCCAAGATAACGGACAAGGATGACGCTCTCAGCCTGGCTTTCGGGGCACACAAGGCAAAGCCGCATTGGTGTCACCAGCCTGGACACGTCTTTGCAAAGCATAGCATAGCATATAGGCCACAGCTCCACCACCGACACTTGACATGACAGCCACGAAGTGCTTCGCCCCCAGACGTGCCAGATTGAGGGGGAGGGCTGTTGATCGACTTCGCAAGCAGAGCCGCTTCCTGCGACCCCACGAACGACATTTGTGGATCCACCATCTGCAGTCCACCAAAGCCAAAGGATTTTCAATAGAGTATTTCGCAGAGACACCTTCTTCAAATCAGATAAGCTCTCACACTATTTGGTCTCACTCCGTTCCGCGTCCGCGAGTGTGTCGTGGTCAGTTACCTGCCTCGCTACGCTTGGGGGACGTGAGACACAGATATGTCGCGGCCCAACCTCATTCATCATAGCACTATCACACAGATCGTAGGAATCTCTGAGCTCACAAAGACAAACTCCATTGGCTGGGAGGCTTTGTTTGAACGTCAATTGGCAAACATTGCAAAAACTGTAGGGAAGCTTCTTTATTTGAATTCGCGATGACATACCACTCTCGTCCAAGACGTTGGCGCCAAGGGCGGAACCCGATGACAAGGCCTTGGTTCATAGCGTGACCTGGAAAGCTCGTGGCGTTGTAGTTTGTGCCCCTTAGCCAGACTGTCTGCGTATATCAACTGCCAGAATTAATGTTATCGTGTAGTATTTCGCCCCTAGAGTCTGTTGCCGAGGTTCACGTGAATGGCCTGTTTGGTTAGCATCTGGCGGATAATTACTGCAGAGAGGGTACCGTACCTTTCTGTTGGTATAGGCTTCAAGCCCAGCCTCGCCCAGCTCCCTGCCAATACCGCTCTGCTTCACGCCTCCAAATGGAATCCGACTGTCACAGTCGTTGCTTGAATTGATCCAGACCATACCCGCCTCGATGTCTCTAGCCACACGATGGGCCTTTGTAATGTTCTCTGTGAAGACTGCTGCTCCCAATCCGTACGTTGTGTCTGCCAAGTTAGTACAAACATCCCTTGCATTCCAGAAGAGAACACTACATACCGTTGGCGCGCCTGACGGCCTCTTCCTCCGTCTTGAACGAACTAATGACGACAAACGGACCAAAGACCTCCTCGCGGTAGATCTTCATGCTGTCGGTCACGTTTGTGAAGATGGTTGGCGAAATGAAGAAGCCCTTCCCGCCGGCATTCTTGTGAGGCTCCCCTCCCGCTACTAGCGTAGCACCCTCGGATTTTCCAGATTCAATATACGACAGCACCCTCTCGAACTGGGCCTTGGAGACCTGTGGGCCTTGGTACGTGTCGTCTTTGAAGGGATCTCCTACCACCGAGCCAGTTGATACTTGGTCTTTGAATGCTGCAACAAACTTGTCGTATATGCCTTCCTGTACCAGCACCCTGGAGGTGGCGCTGCAGACTTGACCCTGATTGTACCTGCACAAGTCAGCGATGTTATCAAATGAGGTAATTGCGACTTACATGATGCCAAGATGCGACCACTTCACAGCTTGATCGAGATCCGCATCATCAAAGACCACCAGCGGTGACTTTCCCCCCGTTTCTAGGGTAATGTTCTTCATGTTGAGAGCGGCCATCTTCATGACCTCTTTCCCGGTAGCTGTTGATCCGGTAAAGGCAATCTTATCGACGTCGGGATGAGAAGCAAGGGCTGCTCCAGCTTTTCTTCCCTCACCATTGATGAAGTTGATTACACCTGGTGGGAATCCAGCTTCCTTCACGAGGTTGCCGAGATACAAGATTGAGAGCGGCGTCTGCTCTGCTGCCTTCAACACCACCGTGTTGCCGGTGCATAGTGCGGGTCCTAGCTTCCATCCTGCCATAGACAGAGGATAATTCCACGGAATGATCTGTCCGCAAACACCAAGCGGTTCCCGCACAACATAGGCTAGCTTGAGGGGGGAGGTATCGATAACCTGCCCATGAATCTTGTTTGCATATCCTGCGTAGTACTTGATGGTGTTGACGATATCGGGCAAGTCATCGGCCAGCGAGACAGAGTATGGCTTGCCGTTGTCCCACGTCTCGATGGTCGCCAGTAACTCCTTGTTCTCATCGATCAACTGGGCGAATTTGTAGAGCAGTTCCGCTCGAGCATTGGTATCAATGTCTCGCCATTCAGGACTCTTGAAAGCTTTTCGTGCTGCTGCAACCGCAAGGTCGACATCTTCTGGACCTGCGGCGTAAACTGAGGCAATCTCGCTCTCGTCACTGTCTGCTTGTTAATCGATCCTGTAATGCTTCGAGAGTCCATCACATGACGCGACATACCTAGGATTTATCGAAGTGATGGTCTCGCCAGACTTGGACTTGACAAACTCGTTGTTGATGAACAGCCCTCTTGGTTGCGTATATTTCTGGCCGTTTGGCGCCGTGAGTTCAACGAATAGGTCAGACATGTTGTTTCCAGGAGTATAGCTTCTCTGAAAGGTATTCCGCGATGTCTTGAAGTTGTTCCGCACAGGAGTATGGAATGGGATCAATGAGAAGGAGCGAGATGAAGCTCTGGCAAAAGAGGCGTAAAGACAGGACATGCTCTTGGCCGGGTGAGGAGATGGCGAGCTATCTATCGGTTACTGGCATGCTTGTCGGCTTCCCAATGGTGGTGGGACCCCAGGTGCCCGCGATACCGGTACATACCTATGACGATAGGGCTAAGCCGCGTACAGATGCCTCTTTCGGCATCTGTTCCCCACCCATCTAAACGCCTATCATGTGCATCTTGTCCTTTTGTTACCTCATCGGGGGCTTATCAGATTTGTGAGTCGCAGTTCCTTATATACAATGGCCGCGGGAAAGCCGTGCCCAGGCGATGTCATGTCGCGACGCGTCGCTGTCGTTCTTGCGGAGCTACCCCGCCATCCACCACCCATCTCAAGCTTGACGCGCTGCATTAGGCTGCGTTTTCGAGTCTTTCATTACCATGCTAACCGATCACTACCATCTAGCTGAAGTATCACAGCGGAAAAATTGATACTATCTCTTCCTCTCCATCGCGTAAGCCACCGACCATGGACATGGACGCAGACCCTCCCTTCAACGCACCCCACGACCCAAGCCGCCCCGACGCCGCGATAAACGTTACCCAATCCCTCGAATATTGGAACAGCGTCTCCTCAGATGTGAACGGCATGCTGGGCGGCTTCCCGCAAACCACGCGCATCGACCTGCAAGGCTCCTCCAATTTCCTCACCAAACTACGGCGCGGAAAGGCACAAGCTTCGAAACAACCTCTACCACCTTTGGAGCGAGCTGCAGACTGTGGCGCGGGCATAGGGCGGATAACGAAGGGGTTATTATTGGGCGTAGCTAGGAAGGTGGATATCGTGGAGCCGGTGAAGAAGTTCACGGATGAGCTGGTGCAGAGTTTGGGGAACGGGGAGTACGCTGGTGATGGAGAGAACAAGGAGGGTAAGGGCCAGGTTGGAGAAGTTATAAACTTGGGGCTGCAGGATTGGATACCAGAGGTCGGCGCGTACGACCTCATATGGAATCAATGGTGTGTGGGACATCTTACCGATGCACAGTTGGTTGTCTATCTGCGACGGTGTAAGGATGGACTCGTACAAGCGAAAGAGGGCGACGAGGGGAGGAACAGCTGGGTGGTCGTCAAAGAGAATCTGTCTACGGATATCGCACACAAGGATATCTATGATGAGGAGGATTCAAGCGTTACGCGGTCTGATGACAAGTTCAGGAGGCTGTTCAAGCAGGCGGGCTTGAAGATTGTAGCGACGGAGCAGCAGAGAGGCATGCCCAAAGAGCTGTTCCCCGTCAGGATATACGCGCTGCGGCCGGAATGAGCATACCAAATGCGTACAACTGAACGAGTTTAAAGGCGTGTTCTTTGTAGAGAAACGTTCTGATACCCCAATAAGCTTGATGAAGAAATGCATTCATTCTGGTACTCCGATGCTGTATTCAACCTTAAAACGTTGTGTCATACCCTCCCATAACGCCGCCCGATGTGGTCTTGCCTCTCCTATTGTCCCGTTACCTCCCCAGAACTCATAAACTTGTGCATAAACCCTAAAGGCAACACGGGCAGTCCGGGTATAGCTTGATGCACCGCAGGCCTGGCAGGTACCGCAGCGCGTAGAGCCAGAGGTGTAGCCTCTGGTACAGGTGCTTCAGCTGGCTCCGGCGCCTTGGATGTTTCCGGGGCTCCAGACGTGTCCATGACATCCTCAAAGTCATCTTCATCTTCATCCTCTTCGTCGCCGTCGCCATTCTCACTATCTGGGGTCTCGCCCTCCTCACCACCTTCTCCATCACCCCCATCTCCGCCGTAGTCCTCCGGGTATTTATTCCTCAGGTACTGCTGATCAAACGCTTCTTGATGCGCATGCTGCCATAAGTCTAGAATCTCGTCTTCGCCGAGCGTACCCCTTGCACGCTTCGTCGGCATCCGCTCAACGCCATCATCATCCGCATCGTCGTCCTCATCACTGCTATCATTGTCTTTCTCATCCTTTGCGTCGGCTTTCTTGGGCTCTATACCCCACTCACTCGGCACATGCGCAAACTCACTCGCTTTCCTTATCCGCGCCTCCACCCACTCCTCCTCCTTTGGTTCCAACCTCTTCCTCAACATGGTATTTGCCATGCCCGCCCCTACACCCATGATGGGAAACGGCGCCATGGGAAATGGATGCAGCGCCTTGATCCTCTCCGCCTGGCCATTAAATGGTGTATCGCGGTAGATCGTCTTGGGGAACTCCTTGGAGACCAAGACGGGTGTCCCATCGGGGTTGAGAACGGGATTACCATTGTCGTCGTGTTTGGGTACCTGGCGCGTTTCCTGGGTGATTTCGCTGCTGTGCTTGTAACCGCCATGTATGAGCGTGGAGAAAGACGATATGTAGGTTGTAACTAGGCTTGTTGTGCGGTGAATTTGTGGCCTAGAATGCGGTCAGATGCTGAGTTTTGGGGTTGCAAGGAGCATTACTGCCTGAGATTTTGAATAAACCCATCATGTGACAAACAAACAGAAATGACGTTGTGAGATTAATTGGAAAGGCGAGAGCAATGACAAGAGGAAGTGAGTGTGGATGATCGAAAAGGCAGCTGAACTACAGAACAATATCAACATCACGGTCACTTACCAGTCTACAGTCTCTCCTCTAGACATCTTAAACTCCATCTCTGCCTTCAACTTGTCCAACACCGCAATCATAGGCAGGAGTTGGCGGCGCAGCTGATCTAAGACCCTCAGGTCCTCCCGATCTGGCGCCCCCATGAAGTTTTGGTTCATCTTGCTGCCCTCCTTGCTCCTCCAGTCTGCTCAAATTTCAGTTCTTAAGGTATTTATTCCGGTTAAGGAGCTAGTTGGGGTTTCTGGTTATGGTTGTTGCGAGATGTAGGCGTTTTGTGTAGTAGGTGGAGCTGGAAGGTTATTGGTTTGAGCGCGGGCTTGTACTAAAGAGGAAAGGCCTGCTTGGCGTGACCAAGAACAATAGAGTTTTAACCACGGTTCATTGTGGCATTACTGCACTTCAACATGTTCAGATTTCAACCTCCTGCCCAGGTGAGTTCATTTTTGCAAATACATCTAGTCGCTATTCGAACATGGACTTGCGTCATCAAAGTTGCTACTAACTGCTGACATTCTCCGCACTCAGACTAATTTCACAGAACCAGCGATAGCTCAACTAGGGCGTAGGCGCTTTGGAAATCCTCTTGGACTGCTGACATCGTGCTTTCTAGTATGCACCCAAACACTGTCGAATCCCTGATGCTAGTTCTTCCTTAGTTGTAACCCTTTTGTAACCTAACCCAAGTGCATGGGCATTGAGGATCATATCTTCTCTGTTGGGTCTCCTACGTGCTATTAGAGTCAAGGTATCGTGTAGAACGTGTCGTGTATTGCTTGAATTGCCCATGTTGTTCAGCATCTTCATCCAGATCCCTTCATCAGACTCACTAGTTCGTGGATAGATCGGTCTCACTCTCACTTCCAATCGATCTCTGCCACACTGATCATAAGATTCGAAAACAACCCCGCCTCTCTAGAATCGAGTTCCATAACTTTACCATAAACTTGATTACTTAAGCTGTGCCTATTATCACTCACTCAACGTCCTATTGTAGGTTGCGTGTGGCTGCCTAGTGGCTGGCGTTATCGACATCGATAACTCTCTCACCCTGAAATTTCTCACTCGCTACTACATCACACGATCATGGCAACCACCAGCCTACAATCTAATTGGAAGAAGTATGATATGCCTCCTTGGCCCATAGATACTGTATCTGCTAACCGTCTAAGAAAATATCGCACGCGGACACTGTCGAAAGCCCAGGGCGGTACTGTCTGTACCATGGCCGTGTCGACCACCTTCATCGAAGTTTCTCGGCCACTACCTGCACCGGTATACTCAGCCCACCAAGACCTGGACTTCAACGACGACCGCAAGATATGGTCGACCCGGCACATTGAGGAGCACCCATTCGTCGAGACTATCCGCATGGGTGTCTTACAATATCGACTACAATCCGCATCTCACTTTGATGTATCCATTGAAGTACACCAGACTAGAAGCTCAGAGTATGCTGGCAAACCGATACAGCTTATACCTTCGTTCAAGATAGAAGTGCTTTTCCATGACTTCAACAACCAGAAACTATACCGGATCTGCCGCCTCAAGCCCCGCAGGAGTTCACGCAAGGTGCATAAAGTTCTCGCTGCTCACATACAAGTTCGCGAGTATGACAGAAACGTATCGCTACACGACTTCCTCAACGTCAATTTCCCGATTCTGCAAGACCCAGTCAAAGCTGAGACTCTACACGCGTGGTGGAGCGAGAACGGCAAGACGTTCAATTGGATAGGACTACCCACGGAACTGAAAGAGCGAATCATTCAGTCTTGCATGCACCGAACTCACGAGCCCGGCAATGGTCACCGCTCGCTGCAATATCCCCGGAAGCGAGATCGACGACGATCAGGTCCTCACGAATTGACCGACATACTTGGAACGTGGTCGCAACTCTTGCGCGTCTCACACCAAGTGCGAGCAATCACTCTCCGCTTATGCTTCGTGGGTAGCAGTAATATGACTTTCAGCAAGGGCCTGTGCGTAGTCGTCCATTCATGCTTCGACTTCAAAGACAGCATCAGGCGCCTAGGAAAGTACTACCAAGTCTTGGAACCAAACAGCGTGCCGGTGGATGACAAATCCCTCACTCTCGCAAAGACATACAAGCGTTTCCCGAAACTATTTCCAGAGCTCAAGCAGTATGCTACCCTCATGCACGGAATCCGACGAGTCTGTCTGCAGATGGGCTTCCTGGATTATCTTCACTTCTTCAAGATCACCGCTGGCGGATTCGAGCAGTACTGGCGATCCTATTACGTGGACTACGAGGCCTTCGAGCAGCTACCCCATCTCAGCGAGCTCCTCATCATCTTACCCGACCCTAGGGGAAGACTAGAGGACAAGTCAACACAACATGGCCCGCCTTTGTTCTACGAAGATTTTGCCTGCCCTCGAATTCTACATCGGTTCATCTACGAGCAGGCTGCTGTGGTTCTGGCACCATATGAGAATGTCAAGATGTATGGCTTCATCGATGAGCTTGAGAAGTTGAGGTTCAATGCGCTACGCCAAAACGCAATCAAGATGCTCAAATTCACCGGTCCGGAACTCTACGAGCTATATGCAGAGGATGGAGGTGGCATAAAGCTTGAGGAGAGGGTCATACCAGGAGTACAGATCCAAGAGAGGGAAGAGATATCCGTGGATTTCCAGCAGCTCGATGCGACCCACCCAAACTTTTGGCCTCCAAAATGCAGGTGTGCGGTGCGGTGCAGAGAAGTCCTCTTAGAAGACCAGTACAACATTTAGCAACAGACTCGTGTTAAGTGCTGCACCTTGCGTTTCCTGACTTCTTGGAGGAAGAGTTGATCATATGACTTCATTTGCTATAAAATTTCATGAGCTACTGCGACAAGGTTCGGCGATTCTTTTCAAAAGAAAATCCAGGATATATACATATACGAGACAATACTCGACGGATACCGTATGGGGATCAGGCTGTACACTGCCAAATCTTTCTGTCCAGGGTCATGGGCGTCAGGTGCATGGGATAATCTCCATATCTTCTTACAAACGATGCTCTTGCTATCTCCGAAAAAGTTTTTTTTCGGCCCTTGCATCTATGAGCGTTTATAAATTACTTTCCCTACTAGGAATCTAAAGACAATGTTTTCAGACTTTGTGTTCTTCACTGACGCTGCTGAATTCGCTATTGTTCTGGCATGAACAGGTAGTGAGAGAATAAAAAAGCTGTAAAGCTCGGAGAGCTCTCTGCAAACTGTAAAATAAAAACGGTGTTGCAACACAATGAACGGTACGGATGACCATGTATCGTCGTATGGTATTGTCGTTGCCCTGGAACTAGTTTGTTTTACTCTTCCAACTTGGCCGTGTTGCAATGGACAGTAAGTATCAAGGGATCAATTTTTCCTCAACAACAGGTGCCTCATAGCTGTCCAACCATAGCTCAAGGCTACATTCTGAACACTCCTCTAGCCTTTTGCCACGGGCCTGTTCAGAGCCATCAATTACCCCCTCACTCACCATTCCAGCAGAGGGTCTATGCTCAGGGTTCACTTGAATCATTGTTGGAATCAGATGACGTGAAAGCCAATGAGCGTCTGGATCAAGTTGTTTGGCGGCAAACCAAGATGTGACGGTATCCAATGTTTCGGAATATGCGATTGTAGTTCTACCATCTATGATTGTCTCTCTATTCAAGACCCAGTCGGCGATGGTAGATCCAGCCAGCCATACCGCTAGTTCAGTGAAAATGCAGCCGAGGGAGAAAACATCGGCCGATCTGCCGCGTTTTCCATTTGCGATGACTTCAGGGGCGCAATACATCTTAGTATGCCCAAACGCCGGCCCTTCCGTGGTGCTGTTGCCCTCGTCAAGAAAATCATGACTGGACCCGAAATCCGCGAAGATGACCTCGTCTCCTTTGACTAGGATATTGCGCGGCTTAATGTCTTTGTGACGGATGCCTTTGGAGTGTATGAATGTGAGGGTATTCGAGAGACACAGAAACCATCTCCAGACCATGTCTTGTTGAGCTTGTGTAGGCGGCCGTTGTGTATGCTCTTCGAGGAAAGCTTCTAGGTCGCAATCGGCCAGCGGTCGCATTACGATGAAAAAGCGCGTTTTATCCTCATAAGTCAGGTGAACTTGAACAATGTGGGGATGGTCCAATGTACGTATGACAGAGAGTTCGTTCTGAATAGTATTCCGGATGCTCTTCTGGTTGTAGCGCGGTAGGAAGACTGATTTTCGTGCATACAGCTTCGTTCCAATCTTCACACTGTCAACTACTGCGTACGCTCCAGTTCCCAAAACCCCAGACCTTTGCTCCCAAATCAAAGGGATATCTTCGGCGAGTAAATCATGGGTGAAATGGGTGACCCCAGCCGTTGTAAGATTTTTGTGCATCATTCTGATCTCTTCCTCTGCAACGACGGAGGGTTCTTCTGCAAACACAAGCAATGTAGCCTTGCTCATTCGAAGCGCGATGTCCACCTTTTTCAAAGCAACCATATACTTTATTCGGTCCAACGTTACTGCAAAGGTATTCACATGGTTCGGCTTTGTGGGTAGGGCCGAGTGGCGCAGAGTATGAAAATCCAAAAAGCGCAGAGTATCAAAAGCCGCTTTAGGATCCCCAAGTTCAAATATACACCGCGCCATAGCCCTTGACTTAGTCAAATACGTATTTAAATCCTCAACTGAGAGCATCTTGCTGCTCGCCGAGTCTTGTATTATTCCCAAGAGACCCGCATAGTCGACCCGGAATGACTCAACACCTTGAAGCAGATCAAAGGCTGTGTTCAGATGCATGTGTTTGTACGCCACCGAAAGCCGTTCTACTCGAGAGAAACTGGCTTGAGTGAAACCCTTCACAGCTTTCACATAGGCTTGAGCCGTCTTGCAGGTTTCGAGTGTTTCGAGTGCGCGTTTGGTGAAGGGATGAGCATTCCCGAATCTGTGAATGGACCCTAAACAACACTCTTTCAGAATTATAGCAGCCTCTTGGTGGCGCTCCCAATCTTTTAAAGCTTTTCCAAAGTAGTATAAGCTTTCCAAAGTACTGATATGCCATAAGCCTCGGCAAACCGAGTTCATGACGAACGATTCAATGAACTTGACTTGTGCTTGATCCCGACTTCCTTGGCCCATCTCAATGATTGCTGATTGAATACCAGCAGTAGGAGAGTAGTTTTCCAAATGGGGGGCGAACAGAGTTTGAAAAACCATCATGTGTTTGGAAGCCTCGGTGTAGTTTGACTGGTCGTTCAATATTCGAATTGTATTGAGTAAGAGATCTCGTCTGCTTGCTTGGGATTTTAGGAAACCGGGTTGGTCCCATGAGAGCATCCTGATCAAGGCCTCCGCCATATCAGGCTTTCTGCCAGTCCTCGCTAGGAACCAGACATACTCCTTTAGTATCATGAGTTCAGAATTGTGACCTTCATCCGAGAAACACTTGGAAAGACCAGTGAAACCGTGCAGATCAGGAGATAAGGCAGGATATAGAGCTTCGTACAAGTCTTCAGCCTCTTGATATTCTCCAAGCTTTTCATGAACGCGTGCTAAGCATACCAATATATCATGATGCCCAGTTCTTTTCCATGCAGAGACGTCCCTCGCAAATTGCAGCCGTTCCCGCAGTTCGTTGAGGGTTTTTTGTCTCTCTTCCGCGGAAAACTGATAATGCTGTGCAGCTGTCACCCTCTTCATTTCTTTGTTTGCTATGCTGATTGCATCTAGGTAATTATCATTTGTTCGATCTGCTTCAGTCTGGCCTGAGTTCTTGCGCTCCGGTAAACTTGCTGGAGACCTCCTCCCGGCATTGCGCGCCAACTGCTCCGGTAAACTCGCTGGAGACATCCTCTCGGAATTGCGCGCCAATTGCTCCTGTACTCGCTGCCTAAAGCCCTTCATCTCTTCTGAGGAATAATTGTCGAAGTTGAGCGAATGACGAAGGCTCCAACTGAGGCGTAAGAGATGACTTTCGGGGACCTAGAGTTTCTCGATGTTGTGTCCTAAGTAAGGCAAGGTGGAGAAGTCAGGCTGAATTGAGTTCAACCGCAAGGTCGTTACCGGCGCTAGCGCTCAGCTGAAAAGACCCCCGCTACAGGCGCTGGGGCTCAGCCCATACACAGCCCACCGTCATGTATAGGTTTCAGCCTCGAGTCCCACCAGACTGGGCTTGAGTGCCACCGCTCTCCTGCAGAGGCTAATGTATAATGTAATACCTGGAATAGCAGCATCTAGAGAGATTGTTGCTCTTTAATATATTTCTCTACGGATGCATAGTATCCAGTAGTCATGGACGTCTACTGTGACAGCACTGAATTTCGGTGTAACTAGACCACAACATTGAATACCAGCCGTTTCCGAGTCTCTAAAGCTTCGCCAAATCCTTCGTACTCGGCCGCTTAACCGACATATCTTGCTTCATTACGGCCATCCACTTATCTGACAGCTCCTTTCTCCCATTCTTACTCTTCCCGGTGTCGATCGTGTCCCAGAATTCTATTTCCTTCGTCCACCGCGCCATCTCCTCACCCAGCCACACCGAGACACCCTCCGCAATGACACTAGGCTCCTCAAAGACACAGAGGTGGCCGCAATCTTTCAATACTTTTTCCTTAACACCTCCTTCGTTAACCCCTCCACTTCCTCCCCTTCCACTTCCTGTTTGTGTGACGTGATACTCCCGCATTTCATCGAAGTTGATATGAGAATATTCCCCGTAAATGTAAAGTGTTCTTGGGCGGATATGTGGCAGAGCCTCGCATATGGGTAGCATCTCAGGTCTCATTGTCATCAACTTGCTTGCACTAGAACCTCGTTCAGGATCAGGATTCAACAACCGCTCTCTCAATCGTCCTTCTGCTGTATCCTCAGACATAGGATGGAAGTTTGACCGTACATAGGACCATGCTTCCTGAGCTTTGGGGGTGGATAGGGTGACACCGCCGTCTGGGGTGTCCCTCAAGGCATATTCTAAGAACAACTTCAATGCCCGCGAATCCATGGACTGGAAGAATCCGTTCCTGCTGATCTGCGATTCTGCCTTCGCGCGAGACTCCCATCTCTCTCGTCGCATGGAAGAGAATAGCGCAGAATTCGGCCCAGGAGGGTGGGATGGCTGCATGACTGGCTCGATGAGGACGAGTGAGTGGAACAAGCGAGGATGAACGGACGCAAGATATGCACTACAGGGTCAATACCTGCTCGTGTGGAGTTGAAATCAAACTCACAGTTGTCCACATCCCATACTATGTCCAACACCTATGAGGGGTGCCTTCATTCGGTCTCGAAACTTGTTGATCATGAGAAGTAGATCAAGTGAATGATCAATCCAGTTTGGGTCGTCACCAAGCTCCTCTGCATTGAGTGCATAGCTTGCACCCTGATTTGCCACGTCGGCCACCCATATCGAATCGATCTCGAACCCACTCACTGCACCAAGTAGGTCATCCCAAAGAGGCTCAAAGCATTCCTACTGTGTATTAGCAAGTGCTGCCTAAAAACCTAGAAACAATCATATCTTACTTTGGGGAAGCCATTGCCATGAGTGGCAATAATTGTTACGGCGTTGCCATTAGAACCCCCTCTCTTCTGCGGTCGATATTCCTTTACTGCGAGTTGAAGTGTAGCCTTCTCGTGTTTCGCACCATGTGGGAATTGGCGAACGAATGAGCATGGAGATGTGCGCTCTGTTACAATAAACTTTGGCGCCACCATTCTGACGGAGCGGAAGATGTTCAAAAGAGGGCGATTATATTGCGCTTACTGTGGTGATTAAAAACTCTTTACGCCCGGTGCGGCACGGTCATGACCCTGGTTTGGCTTAGTGAGTGTAAGCACTAGTATTTCTTGGTCAACTTCAACAGCCTCTTGCAAGTTTTGAGATGGACCGTGGCATAGTTGAAGGAAGAATAGGAGGGAGCTCTGAAGCTCATCGCTGCCGCAAGAATTAACTCTCCATCACAACATGATGCTTCATCTACTTTACGCTAAAAGTACACCCAGAACCCGGAATCCGTAGTCTGTAGACATGTTGCTCGTGTAGATAACATCGAAATCTAACAGACTGACAACGCCGACTGGCTATAGGCACCTTCTTTGCAAGGCTTTATACCACAAACTCAATCCGTCTGGACGCCCGTGGTATCAATGCCCGCTTCATACAGCGACTATATCTCAGAGATAAGTAGAGATAAGAACATTTCGTAATGAGCTTAGCCTCGTCTATTTCTTTGCTCATCAGATAATAATCGAGGACGCACCCATGTCGAAGGAGTCCGGTCTCGTAGGGAGAATTATAACACGACTCTTCGGGGGCTGGATGCCTTTCGCGATAACTAGAAAATAGCAAAGTTTCTATTCCAATTTTCCAAGTTCTAGCTCTTTCTCATCGGGTCTCACTGCGCTACTACGCTTGTCGTGACGTGAGGGGTCACATTTGAGAGCCGTAGAGATTAGCTATACGAACCGAGGATCTTGAGTTATTCATAACTCTACGCATGCTTACAAGGAGTCTAGCGAACGAGTAAAAATTTACGATCGAGAAAACCACGAAGCTTAGAGGTGAGTGAAGTAACTTTGTCCTACTTACAGGACGAGTTGCAAGAAGGGCGAGCAAGTCTAAGCGAGTTTTCCCCGCGGGAGTCTCTTCACCCCATCTAAACCATCCCCGTCTACACCCCACTACATCCTACTCGAGCTTCTACCACACGCACAACATTTAACAATGGCGACAATCCGCCCCATGCTGCCCGAGGACCTCCTCCGCATATCCTCCACAAACCTCGACCACCTCACCGAAACCTACAACATCGGCTTCTACGTCGAGTACCTAACAAAATGGCCCGAGCTATGCCAAATCATCGAGGGAATAGACGGGGAGATAGAAGGATACAGTACGTCTATGCAAGAGCCCCTTCTAAATCACAATTGACATGAGAGACCGCGGGAAAGCCAGCTAGCTAACCACCCACCAAGTCCTAGGCAAACTCGAATCCTCGCCCTACCCCTCCCCAACAACCCCCTACCAACCCTCCAAAACCTCCCGTACACACCCAAACTACCTCCCCTGGCACGGCCACATCACCGCCCTGACCGTCGCGCCCAGCGCGCGCCGCCTCGGCCACGCATCCGCCCTTTCCTCCGCGCTGGAACGCAGCAGCGACGCGGCGAACGCGTGGTTCGTCGACCTATTTGTGCGCGCGAGTAATGAGATTGCAAAGGAGTTGTATCGGAAAATGGGGTATAGCGTGTACCGGCGGGTGCTGGATTACTACAACGATGGCGAGGATGCGCTGGATATGCGGAAGTCGCTTAGTCGGGATGTCAATAGGGAGACGGTGAGGGAGGGCGGGGAGGATTTTAAGGTCACGGCTGATGATGTTTGGTGAGGGCTGGGATACGTGTTGGTCGTTAAATTCATGATTGGAGGGAGGGGATTCGGTTGGGACTATTGTGATGCTAGGCTGGCTGGGCGGGACGACGAACATGCGGCTTTAGGGCGGGAATGTGGGAGATGTGGAAAGAGTTATATACCCTAGACTTTCAGTGTGTGTATCTGGACGGAACTGCTGCAGCTGAGCTGATACAACAGCTTCTATGGAAAAGTTATGGTGAGTTTGAAAAGAGAAACCATTCGCACTGGCAAACAAACATTAATAATATAAACAGATGAATCGAATCTTCGCATTAGGAGATAGCCCATCCGTTATACTCATATGGCTACAGTACGTCTACATGATGGGTATATAGCAACTTAACAAAAATTGGCACAAGCACCGCCTAATACTTCCTCCAATACTGTATTTCCGGGCATAACTCCCTTTAACTGCTGCTCCACGACCAAGAGTCCGCGCTACAAAATGGCAAAAGAATCGACACTGGGTTCGCGACCGTTGACGTAATCCTTGATATTGGGGCTCTCCGAGCGCAGCGCGCGCTGGTCGTACATCATAGGGGACCGGGGCTGGCGGAGCGCATCGATAGCCGTGTTGCGTGCCGTTGCACCGGGGCCGTTGGGATATTGCGACGCAATCTGTGCAGAATACAAAGAGTCCATGTCATCACCAGAGCTAGTGGGTCTGCTGTTCTGCTGCTCCTGCTTTCTGCGGATATCGATGGGTACAGGTGGTGCAGTGCGGAATTTCCGCCTAGGCTGAGCATCTTTTTCGTCGACGAGGACTACCATCCATACGCCTACTGTGCCGGACTCGCCGAGGAGAGGCGTGCAGTGGATCCATCGGGGCCGGCCTTCTTGGTGCGAGTTCTCTAGGTTCTGGACTGCATGGGGTAGCCAGCGGATCTTGGCTGTGACGCCGCGGGTGGCGTCTGAGAGGGCGTCACTGAGAGAATCACGGACACGTTGGCTGCCGCCAATACGGTCGAGGAAGGGTGACTGTAGGATTCCTGGAACGCGGAGTGAGGGCGAGGTGAAGAGGATGCGGAGAGATGGCGCTGGGCGGATAAGGAGGTACTTTTGGGAACAGTTAGTCTACTGCTCGCGCGCCACAGGGATGTGATGCAACTTACGTGTTTATACGGTCCACTTAAACTCTCCTTCAGCTTAGGCCCCGGCTTCTCCGTCGTATCAGCATCAAACATGCTCTGATCCTTGATCAGTAACCTAGGTCGTCCTCCACCGTACGCACTACTATCGTCCTGGTCCTCCAAATACTCTCTATGCATATTACCGCCGTGCTTCCGCACAGTATCCAGTTCGGAATGGTTGAACATCTCGCTTAGCTCTTGAAACTCATCCTTCGGCTCGTCTCGCTCTTCGTGGCCTTCTTGCTGTTCGAGCATGCGCTGGAAAGCCTCGAGATCAGTGGATTCTTTTACAAGACCCGAGACGTCTATTTGCGCGCCGATGAAGTAGCGGATGTTACCTCGTGAGTCCAGGAGGGGCGCCATCATGAGGAGATTCATAAAAGGGGATCCGTCGCGGCGGCTGTTGCGTGGTCAATCAATGCGAGATTAGGAGGTGCCCGAGGATTGACTTACTAGTTTAGGAAGACTTCGCTGTGCTCACTGCCTGCGACGACAGCGGCTTTAAAGCGGGCTACACTATTTCGATTCGTTTTCGGTCCCTGGAGGAAGCGACAATTGCGGCCGATCGCGTAGCTGACTCCATACTGCGTGGTGCGATGAAATTCTATGACCAAATCAGCTACTGCTCAATTCGCACAGAATACAGAACTAACCTTCTGATGCGAAAATGATTGGGTTGTCCGTTCTCGAAGGATCTGTGAGACAAAACACTTCTGCCAAGCCCTCACTGGTTTCCCGTAGCAGCGGCGGTAAATTCCCTGTAACGCGGTTCCAAATGCTAATGCTGACGACTTGAATGAAAATGTGTGTGATGAAAGCGGGTAGATCATCTCGAACAAGCACCTCGAACGCGTCGTTCGCCTTTTCCTCTAAAACTGCATTCATTGTAGGGCGTGCGGGGTTTTCAGTGAATTCGAGATTATCAATAGGCTCTAGTGCTTCTGCAACCGCATTGGCGTAGTTAATCGCTCGTAGTGCTTTCAGCGCGTCGAGGTAGTATATCAGCACAGGTACTGATTTCGGGCGCGCTGTGCTGAGAAATGATGTGAAGCGGAGTAAAGACGCGGTGTTTCGAAATATGGCTTCAAGATGTTCCTTCGAGAAAAGCTGATCTGATCGGGTTTCCAGGGAGTACTTTTTTGGCGCATTTTCGGCGGGTGCTTGAACAAGATCAAAAGATTTGGGATCATCTTCTAATAGAGGCGAAAGTCGATCGCCTTCTTCCACATGTCCTTTGTGCTGCAGTGGAGTTAAGCCGTAATTTGTGACTGAAGGCGCCGAAGATTCGTAAGACATGATGGAGTTGGCTGAGCTACGCAGTCCATTGGGGGCAGTGCTGCGCGCCCGTATCGACTGCACTGTCGATTGAGAACTTCGCGGTACGGTGCTAGGAGTCCGCGAGGAACTCCGCGTCCGCGGTTGATGAGACTCTGGAGTTGTAGGCATGTTGTATGAAGTTGTCTCTGAACTTAGTCGCCTTTGCATAGAAAGGCGCTTTCTGTTGGCGGTAGGAGTGTTTGAGCTAATTGTAATCAGTCATGGGAGTAGGTAGTCGAACTGTACAAGAACCCACCTTGTCCTTGAGGGAACATGTATTAATCTCCTCGTAAAGTCCGGTGGTGGGGGAGCAACAGTGTCGTCTTCTGAAAGCCAGCTCCCTGAACGATGGGGATCAGGTCTACTGCTAGCGGGAGTGAGAGGGGCCTTGCTCTCAATTGAATCCTGCCTATCGTGCATGGCTGCAAAGTCATGTACAAGCGGTTCATCGACCGCGCCATCACCATTGCCGTTGAGATCAGCATCCGCACTGAGAGGTGTTGTCATGACGCTATTGACATAGGCCGGGGCCGGGGGTTCCTCGCCTAGACTCCCCATTCGGGTCAAGGTACGTGCAGGTGAAGGTCTAGGAATGTCAGTCGGCTGCGTGGTCGATTCAATACTGTGAGTCGATCGGTTCTTGCGCCTGAATAAAGACAGGGGCATCTTGAGAGACGAGCGCTTCTCCTTGTCGAACATTGAGGCTGAAATATAGTTGCTGAGAAAAAACTACTGGCGGCGCAAGGGAAAGGAACGCGGAACTATACGAGGGGGGCCCAAACTAAAAAAAACGTACCAGGTTGCAAACGGATATCGACCCTCTGAGAAACAACACACTTACTGGGACCGCAGTGTTAGTCTGTTGCTAGTGAAGACTATCTGCTCGTTCAATCGCCGATATCCACTTTGGCAGATCTGATACCAAGCGATAAATCTCACTAGCGAAATCTGCCTCTGGGGTCGTGCAGACCGATATGATGTAACGACACCGATACACGGGTAGCGGGTGTCATGCAAGGCACGCTTGAGCTACTGTTCAGGCGCTGTCGCACGCGGATTGGCAGAGTCGTTGGTGGTGGTTTGTTCAACCTCCAATGTTGGTTGTAGCGTTTCAGAGTCAGCAAGATGCCAGCCCCCAAGAGACAAGCGGAATCTTTGCAGGAATGGATGATTGGACTTGGCAGCTGAGCAAGTGCTTCAAGTGCGGCGATGTTGATGGATTATTCCACCCTTCGCGTTCTCGACAATTGAAATGCAAATCAGGAGGTCGGAGGATGCCCCAACCCCACTGATTCAGCCACAACATACGTTTTGGGCGTACCTGAACCGTGCCTGAGGTTAGAAGTTCGTGCCATCCTGGGGGAAATCTTCCGAAACAGGTCGGCCGACGAAAGCAGATTAGCACGCACGAGTAGGATTCTTCATTTGCAGTATGTAATGGCCATATAGCCGGTGAAAAATTTCCCACAGCATTCGAGCTATGCTCGGCGACTGTTAATGAGCTTGACAAGCACGCGAGTGGTTCGGTTTGCGTGACTAGTCTGAGGAACCACAGACTCCCGAGATGGGCGCCTGCCACTTTGGCATGGCAAGTTGCTAATCCCCCCCGCATTTCCTCCGTTATAAGACCGAGGACGCATGCTGATGCAGCCTGTCTACGGCAAGATCTGCTATTGACGCGATAGTCGATCTTGCGCGTGGTAAGATCGAGCTTGTTCGCCGTTCAGCTTTCGATCAAACGCTAAGTAACCGAGCCTTGGCTGTCGTTGAATCGACTATTGATTTCGACTGCCTCGGTTCGCCCGACGTATGTACTGCCCCTTTCGAGGTTCAGCAAAGTTTGACTCGCCAAATCCGGGACGAGATCCTCCCACCAGTTTGGATGAGGCGCTAGTCATGGCGATCTGACAGGAGCTGTTCATTTTCGCTTTCGCAATCCTCCTCCTCGTCTTCGAGGTGCTTTTTCGGCTGTCGATACAGCACGTAATGCTGAAAGATGAAGATGATGTCAAAGACAATGGTGATGTTGCCGAGACCAAACTTGACTGGATTGCCAGTCACTCCACTCCAGTCATTTTGTAACGAGGAGTCGATAACCAGTTGCGCTAGTGAGAGCCAGCCTCCCGCGAAGTCGAGGAGCATTGGGTAGATGGACCAGCCAATAGTAGACTTGCGCTTGTAGTTGACCCATGCCTGGGGGATGTACTTGACAACGACGGTTGTGAGTTTGACGTAGCCGAGGGCGTAGATCTGGATACGTCAGCTTCATGCCCTTGCGCGCCAACACCTTATACACAGAGTCGTCCCAAATAGTTCAAGCAGAAATCACTCACTACATCAATCCACGCCCATCCTTCTGCATCATCTCCTCCCAGCCTTAGCACCAACGCGACTGTAACCGCAACAACGACAACACAGCCCCACCAAATCCCCAGTACAGGTCTACTAACCCTCTGCGTCTTCCCTACCCTAAAACCCCATAATCTCGGGAAAAACTGGCTATATATTATAACACACAACACTGCGCCATGGGCCGCGAACAGGAAGTCGTTGAACCGAACGGTCGTTTCCGGCGCGTCAGGATGTCTGTATGCGTATTGTTCGCGGATGGCGGGAGAGTAGAGAAAGGAGGATGTGGAAACGGTGTAGCATGCGAAGCCGAGTACGTTCACTGCATATGTAGATACCACAGGTCAGCGAGTGTTGGATCGTTGTAGGGGGTGGAACGTACGCGTAGGGAAATCGATTGCGAGGCCGGTAGTAGATTTGCGGAAGTAGTTTGAAATAGGTTGCGGGTAGAAAGAGGCGCTCCTGTAAAGATGAGATTAGCTATCTTGTGTGTGGCCTGCTGGCGAGAGGGGAGGAATGACGCCGTGTTGAGAGCGGGGAGGGCAGGCGCGCACCAGCAGAGAAAGTAGGCCCAGCCCAATACGCGGGATATTGCTTTCGCGAAAGCGATGAGCTCAGGGTCTGTCATTGTGTTGTATGGAAACATGGCGGGATATTGAGTGTGGAAGTCAGGCGCGATAACGGAAGCATCAAGGTTAACGAACGCTGTCGAACAAAAGCCTAGGAAGATGGCATAAGAGAAAGAACAAGTGGCAGACTCAAAGACATCTAAGAAGAGAGCAAAAGGTACTGAGACATGGTATCATTGCGAACGGCCGGCTGACGTCGAGGCGTGCTATTGCGATCGCGACAACGCTGTGGTGTGCACGCGAGCGACAGGGGTGCGGGAGCGCTAAAATCCATCAGTCATCCTCCGGGTATGTATGACATTGATGCAGTGTTGACAACAGCTGAAGCGCCCCTCGGCCAGCTCGATAACCCCACTAGACAATATGCAGCCTGCCGACTCACCTACGTGTACATTGCACTCGTGCCACATCTCTCCACATATTCCCAAACATATACTGAGATGCGCCTTATCAATGCTACCACATTGAAGCTCCACTCGTTCATCGATGACTCTCAACATCCCAAGTACGCCATACTATCGCACACATGGGGTAGCGAGGAAGTCACTTTCGAGCAGCTCCGCAACGCACGACATGCCGATCTTGAACGCATGTCGGGGTTCCGAAAGATCCTCTTGGCCTCGCAACAGACACTGCGAGACGGACTGGATTATGTTTGGGTGGATACATGCTGCATCGACAAAACGTCTTCTGCCGAACTAAGCGAGTCTATCAACAGCATGTTCCGGTGGTATAAGAACGCAACCATTTGCTACGCATACCTGGACGATGTCGATGTGGTTGAAGACGGACCCGAGCCTTTCATTGACAAGTACCGTGGGCTGGTTCGCGAGTACATCAAAGAAGAGGAGCTCGCAAGCGCGAAATGGTTTACCCGTGGATGGACGCTCCAAGAGCTTCTTGCGCCCAACGTGCTTTATTTCTACGCCAGAGGCTGGAAGTTTGTAGGAGACAAGGATTATCTGGAACCCAAGTTGGCGCGTATAACTGGTATCGATATAGATGCTCTCGATCCAGGCAAGAAGCTGGACAACTACAGTGTAGCGACTCGCATGAGCTGGGCAGCATCTCGTAAGACTACCAGAGCAGAAGACATGGCGTACTGCCTGCTTGGTCTATTCGACGTCAATATGCCGCTTCTGTATGGCGAAGGGGGCCACAAGGCGTTCACACGCCTCCAACAGGAGGTTTTAGAAGACAGTTCTGACTGTAGTATATTTGCGTGGGTGAACATGGAAGCCACTCTACCATCCTGGTCAGACGAATCCACTCTCAGGCTTCAGCATCACAACCAAGGCGGCAGGTCGATATTCGCCAACCATCCCCGAGAGTTCCGAGGCTCGGGAAACATAAGATCATCACATACGGGAGAAATCGTCCTGACGAGCATAGGAGTCAAGATAGGGCTTCCCATCTTCTCGTTGCCGCACCTCACAGAGCACCTAAAAGACAGCCGAGATCAAGATCTCTTCGTCGTCTTGATGGAATGGACATCAAGGGAAGGTGAAGTGAGAGATATCACTGGACTGGTGGTTCGAAGATGTCACAAGGGCAGACTTGGTGCTCCGGATCTGTTTCTTCGTCACGAGGGCTACGGACTAATTCGCAGCGAACGTATTTTCATAGTCACAGACACAGACTTTCGGCAAATGTATCTTTGCAAAAAGGTGCCTGATGGGAATCTGCTAAGAAGACTAGGGACTGACCGGTACAGTACCCAAGGTGAAGAACCTCGGGCTTATCCTGAATTCGTAGGTCTTCCAAGGAGTGTCAGTTTTGCATAAGTTGATCGACTCTACTTTTAAATATATATCCTGATTGTTGGGTTTCTCTCTATAAGCTTTTAGGCACCTCGCTCAAGGAACAACTTCAAACCCCGACCTTGGTCGTCAAACCCCTTTTGTAGACTCTCCCCAAGCGTCTTTTGCAGCACTGAAGCCAACAGTCCATTGAAGACCTCCCGACTCTCGTACAGCACAACACCGTTGCCCAAATCGCTAACAGCCTGCCATCTTTCTGCCTGGATCAAGGTATCCGTCGCATACTCCCACGCCAAGCGGCCCAAATCCGGCTGCACATGCGTGATCCTTTCGTACGCAAACTGCGTGTTCAGCAGATTGTCGGGCGTGTCCTTATTGACCGGTAATGGCAATGGAGGGATTTGCGTGCGTAGGAACAGACGTTTGCCTTCGACGGGATACTGCTCGGGCAGGGTAAGGTTGAGAGGTGAGACAACGATGGCGGCGCGCACGAAGGGGTTCCAGTCGGCATAGCCAGGGAAGTTTGTGAGCGCGTTCCAGACGGCGGCAGTCGTTGTGGAGTGTATCTCTACGCGTGTGCTGGCATTGAAGACCCCTTGGGGGACTTCTGGCAGGTTTGTGTATTCGCAGAGAACAACGAGGACGTGCAAAGCGAATATGGAGATAACGCGCATCGAGGAGTAATTTGACATGGTGGATAGTATTGGGACGCAGCGGCCTACATGTTTTCGGAGTTCTGGGGACACAAACCCTTATGCGAAGATCAGCATCGAAGCATTGTGCAACCGAACCTCGGGATCTCCCTCTGGCTATAGCCAACCTCGTTGAAGTGGACGAGATACTAGGCTTCAATCGGCTTCGCCTGCTTGTATAGGACTAGCAAACCGTTGGTCAGCAGGGTCGCTTAAGTGTAAATAGAAAGAAAAAGACGATTAACGACTATTTTGGGGGCGAATGCTGTGGTGCTGTAGGGTGGTGATGCAGGATGCATCCCGAAGCAGTGGAAGCGAGATGGTGTTCGACATGTGCAGCGGACGGCAATTCGATAGACCCCTTTTTGGTGGTTTGCAGGGATGGGCTCTTGGATGTGTGATTTCAAGTAAAGTCGTCATTATATAATAAGATGGGCTCAGCACATTATGACTGACAGGTAGCGTGGTATGGTGAAAGTCACGCGTGGAAGCCTCGACGCTCTGTTGCAAAAGAAAGGGGTCGGTTGAACCAGTCTCTGTCCATGGCTGCGCTTGCGACGTGCTGCAGAACTTGGGCCAGTGTAATAACTTATTCTACGATTGGAGAGCCATACAGATCATCTTTAGCTCGTGCTACTGAGAAGAGTATGGCTCGGGAGTGCAGGTGGGCCGCGGGGCCTTGTGCTTGGTGGCATGGCAGGGCTTGTGTTGCGGAAGGACGTCACGGTTCGGAATGCTTCGCGGAACGCCGAATGCAGCAATCCGTGCCAGCAGAGTATGTTCTGCATACATGTCCTGGGGGAGTTGGTAGACAGAGCATGACTAGAAGAAGGGCCAACTCCCAAGACAGCCCATGACGTTGCATCAAGGGAGAGGGCCAGATGGCGGCGGAAAGGGCGGCGGCCGCTGGCCGGAAGTCGAGAGGGCCCAACGGCAGGGAGTAGCGGCTGCACCTGCATGATGATAGCTCCTGCCCCTCAGTAGTGCCTCAACTGGACGAGAGAGAGAGATATGCAGCACTTGCCATAGCCACATCTCAACACTTTGCATAACTGTGATATGCGTTTAACTTGACTATTCTTCCTCCTCTCCCATCCTTAGCCACCTTGCACACTCGTCTGCGTTGACTGCGACGGCTTCCGACTCAGCGCGCCGCGTGAAGCTCCAGCCCCGCGGGTGTCGACCATCAACCACCACGAGCTTCACACCGCACCACCGAGTACCGTACCAGTAAACAGAAGAGAGGCCACCAGATAACACGCCGAGTCAGGTACAAGGCACCAGTATTAACGTTAGTGAAGTGATCTAGTTGTGCCCCTAGCACGAGACAGGGACCGTTCACGGGCTGTGGTCACGAAGCGCATGACGCAGCCCTCTTTGTCCTGAGCATTCATCCCGACTCACACACACACACACGTCGTCCTCACCCGTCGCTACCCTCACAGCGCCCCCCTACAACGCATACCGCCTACAATAGAGCGCGCGCTCTACTCCAACAACCGACAAAGCTCTCCAGCAAGTTGAATGAGCCCATCGCCCGATTCTACCGCAGAGGATACGACGCCTGTTTCAAACCTCACATACCTACACAAACAGCAGCGCAGCCGCAGCAAGGTGCAGGACACACCCCAAGCGCGCGGTCGCAACACGTCGAGATATGAGTTGGGAAGAAGAGATAGACGCGGCGAGAAGGTTACGCGCATATACCCCAGAGAGATAACAAAGTCTCCACCCACGGCAAAGCGACTCTCGTCCACGTCTCCCCCAGGCCCAACAAACTATCATGCGACCACGTCGCCGCTGCTCTCGGCTCTCGGTGCCACGCGATCCTCAGCTGCTCAGTACACCAACGAGTGGACCAAGTCCATACCCTTCTTTCCGAATCAAGGTTCGCCAGGAAATGGTGGGATAGCCATAGCTACTTCTCCGCCTACATTCCACAACTCGCCTGGTGCCCGAGAGGGCTTGTATGCACAACCGCCCATGTCCAACTCGCCCCCTGGCGTGCGCCCTCCAAGCTACCCCAATCAATATACCAACTTTGGTGGACGCCTGCAGAACTCTCCCCGCGAGTCCCCAGGCAGAGACCGCAGAGCTTCCATGTACTCACAACATGGCACACGCCCACTTTCGCAGAACTTCCCGCCCAATCCCCCTCTACCACATCAGGCGCAACCACACTTTTATGGACTGCCTGGCCTTGATCTCGGTCTCGACAACGTGCCAAACGATGGTCTGCAGCCAGGGGAAGGAGGATACTTTTGTGGCTTCGATACCTTGACCATGGCTGGAAGTGAAGCAGCACGCTTGACTGAGAATGTATTGCTCGTTGGCTCCCAAGGAGGCCTTGATATATTTCGCGTTGAGAAGAGTAAGATGGACATTGTTGGTCGCTTAGAGGGTCTTCGAGGTGGCGTACTAGGCGCGAAGATCCTACCGTGGACATCTAGGAGGGATCCACTCGCTTCCTCCAGACCTTTGGTTGCTCTTATCCTACATGGACCCGTAATCAAGGAAGATAGAAGCAGCAGCGGGAGTGGCGCCTCCTCTGTGGTCGACGACTCAGCTTCTGAGTCTCCAAGCAGACCCTCTTCACGTCATGGCAACAGCACCACAGGCCGAATCAGCGGATATCAGACCACTGTCGAAGTCTACTCACTGAACGAGAAGCGAAGAGTGGCTGTCTTGTACAAGAGTCCATTAGTACCCCTGATTAGCCCTCTCGACAGCCCTCTTTTTCGACCTCCACCTCCGGTTGGCGAGTTTATCGTGGATGCAAAAGGGCAGTTTGTCACAGTTGCCTCTGGCGCAAGTGGGGAGGTCTTCGTTTTTGCTCCTTACCGCAAAGGTCATGAAGCGTTCCCAGAACGATTCCGGTGCATAGGCAAGGTCTGGACCTCGGTACAGCTTCGAGAACGAGTGACGCAGTCTAGCGCTTCTAGCAATGCTGATGGTAGCCACGAAGAGGTCCCTCCTGAGAAGTACGGGGTGCCAATTTTCTCGCTATCCGACCGCTGGCTTGCCGTCACACCACCAGCATCAAGTTCTCTTTACCCGGTCAATGGCACGGCACTAACATCGCCTTACTATGAACGTCCACCTGGTATTGCACACCATAGCGTCCCAACACAGCCATCACCAAACTGTACGGTAGATGCTCCTGAAACGGCAGGCCTGATCAATCGTCTCACGAGGGAAGGAACCCAAGTCGCAATTAAAGGTGCTCGTTGGGCTACTGAGAAGGGTCTACAGGCTTTTAAGAGCTATATGAACAAGGGCTCACAGGGAAATAACGTCGCATACGGCCAAGATCCTATGCAGCACTACTTCCCCCCAACACACGGACACAATCAGACACAGCCGAGGCTAGAAGCGTCTGTCACCTCGATCTACGATTTGCAAAGGATGCTGGATGCAGAAGAGACGCGAAACAAGAATGCCCTCAATCCGATCGCAACAATCCCTGCCGTCCTGGGCTGTAGCTTCCTGTCATTCTCCCCAAGTGGCCTAATGCTTATGACGGTAAGCACGAAGGGTGATTATCAAGATGTGTGGGACTTGAAGCGTATCAACTTCCGAAGAGCCCGCAAGACTGTCCGAGAACAGCCGACAGGTCCTCACGTTCGACAAGTGGCTCGGTTCACCCGCATGACCGTCGCAAACGTTATCGATGTAATTTGGTCTACTCCTAGGATCGATAAGCTGGCCGTTGTTACCGACAAGGGCACAGTGCACATGTTCCTCATGCCAGCATCGGCTTTCCAATGGCCACCATTTCGACGCATTCGCCAAGCAGCTCCGTCAGCCAGACCCAACGAAGCTACATCACCTACAGGCTCTGGTGGTGCAGTCAACTCTGCTATGCAAGCGATCAATGGGACGGCGAGACCGTTCATTGATGCTGTTCGTGCACGAAACAGCAACATTGGATCTCGATTTAGTCTCGCCAGCCTTGGTGTCACTCCTGCTGCTGGCGCAAAATCGGGCAAAGCCGTAGCTGCCGGGGTCGGCAAATCGATCAATAACATACGGCACGCGGGAGACAACAAGCTCACACTCCCTGTGTCGCCTAGCGGAGTAAAGCCCTACAGCGTACGGTGGCTCTCTGGCAAAGGTCGCGGTTCGATCGCGCTGGTGTCGGGGGGCGTGCTGCAGCTCTGGCGAATCCACATGCGCTCCACGAATAGCAAAGGAAAGTCTTCAAACACTGCAACGATTACAAGAAAGAAGCTCGCTGAGTTCGGTCTCGCTCCTATTCAGGACACCTCATTGCCCTCTTCTGTCGCCGAACAACTGTTTCCACAGCCAGGTGACCCAGAGCCAACGCAAGAGTTTTATGGGGAATGGCTTCCTCGGACTTTACCTTCTCGCAAACCTCGTGCAAGAGGTAGCAAGGCTACTGGGCCCACCCCTGCGCCTCTCAGCTTCTCTGAGCTTGAGACGAACCCGCCGTATCAGCCCTTCTACACCGACCGTCGCGTAACCCGTTTTGTTTACTCGCGATACTCACCAGAGGTCCAAGGCGGCAGCAGCGAATATCAACCCTCTCCCCTGGGCTTGATCTCAGAACTCCACTACGAAGACGATAGCTCGCCCTGGCTATTCGGCGAGAATATCGATGCAATCCGTATCTCATCGCCAGTTACTCACGCTTACGATTCAGGAGAAGATGACATCATAGCTGGTGTCGCTGCTAGAATTGAGAACAAACTCGTCTTGCGGGACGGAGAAGAGGAGGTTGAGCAAGTCGTCGTCACCACTAGACGAAGGCGTGTCAGGAGGGAAGGTGCAGAAGAAGATGAGGAAGGCTTCTTCGAGGACGACTGCGAAGTCCTTGACTTTGCCGAGGACCGCGTATGAGCGCCGAACAGCTTTTAGTCACATTAACTTTACATGTCACATCGTCTTCACGCAATCTATAAGGACAGGTATTGCTTCATACATTGCTTGCAAATTGGGTAGACCATCTGTTTGGCTTTTAAACTCCAGGATTTGTGCACGGCGGCGCTGGCGTTTCTTGAGTTTTGGATCACAACATGAAAGAATACCACGCATTTGAGACGGCGGATAGCAACACCGCGCATAGATAGATCAATAAGCATCGAACTAGTAAACTCCTCATCATGTCCGTTCCCGCCACCGTTCCATAAAGCCCGGGTGGTGGCGCTAACTCCACTAACCCCGACTCCCTCCTGCTTCACTAACTCCGGACAAGTCTGCAAGCAGAGGCAAGGAAGATGAATAGCCCGGCTTTTACCTTTCAGTGGTGAGATCAGATAATCCTAAAAAGACGTGATTGGCTTAGCAGGAAGGGAGTGACCTGACCGGTGCCTTGCTGCGATATGGCATCATGAAGCTGCAGAGATTTACGGAGAATGTGCAAAACATGTTGCACTTTCGTCTTTAGAGGGTTGGACCAGAGTACAGAAGAAGGGATTTAGGTTCAGCCTGGCGTGGAATGTGGTGTAGTAGGAAGATGGATATAAAAGAGCAATGTCGCCGGCTAGAAGTGAGTTACTATCCACACAGAAAACAGACGACCTTTTCAGTACGACGAGACCTGACAAGCGCATCATTATGCCTTTCAATGATAAGATTATCACTCTTATTACGGGCGGTTCGTTTTGACCTGTTTCTCTCCTCTGTCCTCGTCCGTATCTATGTACCTAGCATAACTGACCAGCCCACTTAGCCAACGGAGGCATCGGCTTTGAACTCGCCTCGCAACTCCTAGCCGACGGCAAGAACTTCGTCTTACTCGGCAGCCGCTCGCAGGAGAAAGGCGAAGCCGCAGTTCAGGAGCTGAAGAAGCGTAGTCTACCCGGCACGGTCGAGCTGGTGCAAGTCGACGTGAGCGACGAGCAAAGCATCGCCAAAGCAGCAGGAGAAGTAGAGGAGAAGTACAGCCGGTATGCTACCTCTCCCTCCCTCCCTCCACTCCTCTTCTAATTCCCTAATCCCAGCATCGACGCCCTCGTCAACAACGCAGCCATAGCCGGCGAAACACCCCCCACCCACTCCCTCCCCCGCCGCCTAACCGCAGCCTTCTTGACAAACAGCACGGGCCCCGCCATCGTCGTCGAGTCCTTCGCCCCGCTGCTCTCCAAATCCACGGCCAAAACACCCCGCATCGTGAACGTCACGAGTGGAGCGGGGAGTATCTCGCTGCGCCTCGACAGCGAGAATCCGCACCAACAGATGAAAGTCGTGCCGTACCGGATGAGCAAGGCGGCGCTTAATATGCTCACTGCGTGTCAGGCGTATGAGTACGGGCCGTTGGGGTGGAAGGTTTTTGCGTTTTGTCCGGGGTTCACGGCGAGTGGGCTTAGTGTAAGTTATCAGCGAGCGGAAAGGGGTTTGGTTGTAGGCTGACTTTTTTGATGCGTAGGATATGAATAAGGAGGAGCTTGGGGCGAAGCCGACGAGGGAGGGGGCGAGCCCTATTGTGGATATTCTGGCGGGGAAGAGGGATGGTGAGCATGGGGGGTTTCTGCATGCGGGTGGGCAGCATCCTTGGTAAGTTAAGTGTGGGAAGGTGGACAGGAAGATGGTTGGGTCGGAAGCTGAGATTTCAGATATCGTTTAGTGAAGTGAAGTCTCTCTGGCCAACTTTAGTTTAGTTGTGTGATTCCAAAGACATCATCATGAAGTGGGTATTCGAAGAGAAAGAGTCTGTATCAAGGAAACACCGCACAAGACCTCAATACTTCCCACCCTCGTCGCAAATCTTCTTGAACACTTCCTCCGTATGTTCCCAGACCACTTTCTCCTTGCCTGACTCACGCATGCTCTTCGCCTTTGGCCTATCCGCCAAGATATCCCCATTCCAGTTCAGCAGATAACTTCCACTCCCCTTGACGCCATCACTTCCTACCGCCGCCCCCTCGACATTCCCACCAATCGCCTGGGGCGCATATCTCGGGGCAGTAGCAGCGAACAAATGTCTCTCGCCGCTCTCTCCTTGCGGGACAATCATCCACGACGCTACCGTAAGCAGCAGAGACTTGGCTACGCGCTCGAATCTGCCGAACAACTCCCTGAATACGCCTGTTTCCACACCAGAAGGGTATGCATGAATGAATGTAGTCGTCGGATACTCTTTTGCCAAGTGGTAGACAGCAAGGCTCGTCATAGCGCTCGCGTGAATCCCGCAGTTCTTGAGCGAAAAGGAGGATTGGAGGGCGAGATCGGAGAAATTGGGGGTAAAGCGGAGGCCGATCTGTGGGTCTAGGACAGCGACTACGCGGCTGAGATTATTGGCCTGGGAAGAAGCGTTGAGTAGGGGTGTGAGTTGTTGGATGAAACGCATGCGGGAGTACTAATGTAGTGCAAATTTCCGGTCCAGGCCTTCTGCCGTTTCGTCTCTGCCCTGAAAGGTGAGGTAGCCGCATGTCATGAACAAGAGGTTGACTTGCTTCTCCTTGCTTTTGATTTCCTGGCAGGCCTCATCGACGTTTTTTAGTAGTGAGACGTCCTTTTGGATGAATGAGACTTGTGATGAGGTATTGATGGTGCGAAGCTCTTGGATGATTTTGCTGGCTTCAGTTGCATTCCTCCCGATGAGATAGACGTGTGGTGATGTGGTGTTTCGGACAAACTCTCGTGCTGTGAAGAGCCCTATGCCGCTTGTGCCACCTACGAAGACCGCAACGAGGCCAGCTGGGAGGGATCTGAGAGTAGCGTTGTGAGCACGGACGTCGGATAGGGAAACCATGGTGTTGCACTCTGAGGTGGAAGTGGAGATAGAGATAGAGATAGATTGCAGATGATTGTGGGGATAGGAGAGAATATATAGCGTACTTAGGAGCGACCGTAATTCGTCCGTAGCCAGATCGATCAAGAATCAGGCGTGCCATTTCGGCCTAAAGAACCTCATCTTTAGACGAAAGGACGATGTGGGCATGCAAATTGTCCAAGTAGTTATATGCATCGCAATGTATTGACGAAGGGGCAAAGATAGAAACTGTGAGGAAAGAATTCCATGATAGATGAGGCTCAGCAGGACTATCAACCTACCGCTATCTTCTACCCATATTATCCGTGACTGAGAATCGCCCGACTATAGTGCTAAAGTCTACATCGAGAGAGAATCGTAGGGGTTATTGTGATGTCTCCCCTCGAGGTCGATCACCACTCAGATAGGCTCAAACCTCCGAGCTCCCCGAAAAGTCCCCACCACTTCTTCACCCCACATTCCAAAGTTCGCAACGATGACTCGAAGCCCAATTGTCACTACCACCCTTCGTCCTAAGCATCCTATCCCACCATGAATCGTTTTGAAGACATGTCTCCCAATCTGGTATCAATCCAACTTGCCGCCGGCCATGCGCCACCAACCCCACCACACGAAGACCCATTAGACGACATATATGGCTCTGCGCCCTCGTCGCCAGTCCATTTGTCGCATGACCCGCTCGACTTGAACGCCCCTCGCGATCGCCCTCACGAGATTCTCTCCGATCTTCCCTCCCGCCAACGCGCACTCGACACAGACGCGTACCGCGAAGGCCTCGGAAACAGCAAAGGCCAATTCGTACAAGAAGGCTTCGACGAAGGCTACTCTCTCGGCGCAAACCTCGGATTACGTGTTGGCTACATACTCGGGGTTTTGCACGGCTTCGTCGCCGCCTTGAGAGGGCACGACGAGCAGTCACGCAACGAAGTGAAAGAGATGTACGAGGCTGCACAGAGGGAACTGGCGATACAGGAGCTGCTCAGTCAAACATGGGTGGATGAAGAGGGCATTTGGAAGTGGGAGGTCAGAGGGAAGGAGGAGGACCCTACGTTGAGGGAGGTTTCAGAACAACATCCTCTCGTGAAAAAGTGGATGGGGAATGTGGATGAATTAGCAGTGAGATGGGGTGTTGACTTGAAGGCTGTGGAGAAGAGCCAGGCACTGCAAGAGGAGCAGTCATGACCGCAAATCTTCACATGACTGCGCCAACACGCCCACAAACCGAATGGATATCGCTTTGCGTACACCATTTCGACAATCATGTAAGTCTCAGACCTTGATGTGTTTGATCTTAGACCAAAGTTCAGAATAAACATGCTCCCAGCAATAGATGGGCCGGATATGAGAGAGATAGATCCGCCTCTAGGTGCACGAGGGAGAGAAGTGGAGGCACCGGATGAAACGTGGAGCCGCCTAGAGAGATTGAAATTTCTCCCAACGACGAAGATTCAGCATTAGGCAACAGCGTAACATAGCATCGCATGATTTGGTCGGATCGGCTTGTTGCAAGTCGGATGGCGCACGGACGTCGGTGCGCGAGCGGCTGTAATCGGGCAATTGACGGCTTTCAAAATGCCGTCATGACTTAACGCCGATATGCGCGAAAGAATAAACTCACCATGACATCCTCATGCCATACTTCACGCCCCTCGTGCTGATTTTGCCTCACTCTCGACAGCCATGTTATATGGCTTGTCGGCTCTTCGAGGAGCGCCTGCACAACATGCCACTTCCCAGCTGCTGACGTCAAGCTTCGCCCCAACGCGATCATACCAAACACACCTCGTCCGCCGCCTACAAACTAGAGCATGGGAGCCACTACGACCTCCCAATCCCGCAGACCTTCCCAAACCGAGACCGCGAAAGGTAAAGCCGCCATTTACCCGTCGGAAATGGGTGCGCCGCCTCGCCATCGTCTCTGCGCTGGTCGGTACAGGTTACCTGGTTGACACGCAATTCTACGCTTCATCCTTGACGCGCAGTCTACGATGCTTTAGGACTGGGCTGTTGATTGGAATCGACTACAAGATCAACTTTCGCGCCCATCCACCGCTCGCGAATAGCATCGAGGATCTGCACGCAAGGAACGCGCAGAGGATATTCGATCTGCTGCGACACAATGGCGGGCTGTACCTGAAGATTGGCCAGGCCATCGCAATGCAGAGTGCGATCCTACCACCCCAGTTTCAGAAGATGTTCGCCAAGATGTTCGACGATGCGCCGCAGAATGAGTGGTGGGAGGTCGAGAAGGTTATACAAGAAGACTTTGGGAAGAGCGTAGAAGAAGTGTTTGGCGTGAGTCTCGTGAAAGAAGAAGGCAAGGGGATAATGGAGAAGACAGCAAGAGCAAGTGCGAGTGTGGCGCAAGTACATTGGGCGAGACTGGCAGACGGAAGGGAGGTCGCGATCAAGATCCAGAAGCGCGAGATTGCGCAACAGGTCGGATGGGATCTGTGGGCTTTCAAGGTGGTGACCAAGGTGTATACATGGTGGTTCAAAATTCCTGTTTACACCATGGTACCGTACATCTCGGAGCGCTTGATGCTGGAAACCGACTTCGAGAACGAAGCCGACAATGCGGAGGAAATGAGGCGTCTGGTGTCAGGCGAGAAGAGGCTGAACGGCCGGGTCTACATACCACAAGTATATAGGGAACTGTCGAGCAAGAGAGTCATGACAGCTGAATGGATCGAAGGCGTCCGGCTGTGGGATAAGGAGGGCATTGTGAATACCTGGAAAGGCGGCTGGCATCAAGGCAGCCCTGGTGCAGGTGGAAACAAGCTGCCACCCATTCCTCATAGGAATGTCAAAGTTGACACAAATTCTCCAGAAGACGCTCCGAAAAACGACTTCTATAAGCCCGACCGTACCTACTGGCAAGGTAAAGACGGCAAAGGCGGCCTCGGCGTCTCGCTCAAAACCACAATGAACACTATTGTCGACCTCTTTTCCGCACAAATGTTCCTCTGGGGCATCGTACACTGCGATCCCCACCCAGGGAACATATTCATCCGCCGGCTACCTAGCGGACAGCCCGAAGTCGTCCTCATCGACCACGGCCTCTACATCCGCATGAGCCCTGAGTTCCGACACCAATACTCCCTATTCTGGAAGTCGTTACTCGCCTTCGACAACGAGACGATACAAGAAATAGCGACGTCCTGGGGTGTTGGACACGCGGATATATTTGCTTCCGCGACGCTCATGCGGCCGTATCAGGGTGGTGATAATAGCGTGCTGAAAGAGCTCCGGAAGGGGCCCAAGGGCAAGGACCAGGCAGAGAGAGCCTTTGAAATGCAAAGCAAAGGCCGCGACGCCGTCAAACTCCTGCTGGCCGACGACAAAAAATGGCCGCGCGAACTCATTTTTATCGGTCGCAATCTACGCATCGTTCAGGGAAACAACCAGTTCCTTGGCTCACCTGTGAATCGCATCAAGATCACGGGCTTGTGGGCGAGCAGGGCGCTGACGGAGAACAAGGACCTTGGCGTTGGGGAGAGGTGGACGAATTGGCTCAAGCATGTGCGATTCAGGGCTGTATTAGCGTTGAGTGATGTGGTCTTCTTCTGGAGTAAGGTGAGACAGTGGGTGGGTGTGGGGAGGGGCATGGAGGACGACATTGAGCAGAAGATGAAGGTCATGGCGAAGGACTTTGGCGTCGAGCTGAACCACGGCGTCTTTGAAGGATAGGTTTGGGAGTGTATGTGTATCGATTCCCCTCTTAGACGACTTGTGATATGTACCATATTTTTTATTTTCTAAAAGACATTCTAGTTTGGAAAAGCGCTCTTCTCGCGACTTTGACTTGTGATGTTCAAAATCCAGACCCGAGGTACAACGCGAAATGACAACCTTGCTTTCCATTCGCGAACCGTCTGTAACAGTCTCTTCTCAAACAACCCTTTCTAATATTGTATTGATTCTTGATAAACCGAATCGATTGAGGGACACACTAGCTGACTCGAAGAACGACAACCCCTCCCACCCCGGATTATCCTAGCCGAACCGAGGCCTGTACTGTAGCGCGCGGCTTCTTGCGGGGAACGCTTACTATTCATTTATTCTCTATCGTTCATTCTCGACGTCAACATCAACATCAACTTTCATTACCTGGGAAGTTTTGCCAGTAGCTTCTAGTCACTGTGTACTTTAGATTGTTCTCGGCGGTTATCTGTATATCAATAGACTGTTCAGAATTCCCGGTAAGAAAGGAAGAAACGAGAGGGAAATACTGTACTTCCAAACAAAATAAAAGAGAAAGAAGGAAAAGATACAGTCAAGAATCATGACGTCAACCGCCTCCTACTCCGACATCAAATTCGATATCAAGGGAAAAATCGGGATTATAACTGTGAGTAGCTCTACTTACATACATAACGTCCCCCCTTCTCACCCTTTCCTCTGTATATCTATCTACTTATCTAACACCCCCAGTTCAACCGCCCCAAAGCCCTAAACTCCTTCGGTGGCAACCTGATCCCCGACACCATCGCGGCCCTGCGCACGCTCAACGAGCACCCTGACACCGTCTTCACCGTCATCACAGGCGAAGGGCGGTTCTTCTCCGCGGGCGCAGATGTAAAAGGGATTGCGGGGGCAAGTGAGGTAAATTTTGATGATCCACGTCTATACGTGAGTAGTAGCTAACGAGAATAAACACAACAGCCAACAGAGTATAAGAATGCAGCCGAGAAGAAGCTGGCCTACCTGGCCAAGTTCAACTACGGTGAGTCTTTGAATTGAGGAGGGCACATATTTACATCTCAATCTCCTTCTACACCTACAAAAGCCCCGATAGATCTCTAGCTAAGACTCCTCCCTCCGCTAGCAACCGAACTCCTCCGCTCCATGATCGACCACAAAAAAGTCCTCATCCTCGCGCTCAACGGCCCCGCCGTCGGCGGCGGCGCAGCCTGGTTCCCGGGCATCGCAGACATTGTCCTAGCCTCGTCCACGGCGTGGCTACAATGCCCCTTCTCAGCCCTGGGCTTAGTACCCGAAAACGGGTCCGCACTCTCGTTCGCGCAGTCCATTGGGATCCACCGCGCCAACGACTTTCTCATGTTTGGTCGCAAGTTGAGTGCGCAGGAGCTGTTGGAGGCCGGGCTGTATAATTATGTGTGGGAGGTGGAGAGTGGGGAGGCGTTTCAGGAGAGGGTGGTTGGGTTCTTGCAGGGCCAGTTGGAGGGGAACGATGGGAAGAGTATGATGGAGATGAAGAGGTTGCAGAATGCGCCGATACGGGATGCGAGGTTGATTGCTGTGGTTAATGCTGTGGATGCGCTGGCTGAGCGGTTCGTCGAGGATGCGCCTATGAAGCGGTTTGAGCAGAAGAGGAGGGAGTTGGAGGAGAAGAGTAAGACTAGGGCGAAGATATGATTTGTTTTCTCTCTCTCTCTTTAACTACAAGGGGTTGAATAGAAGGGGATGTGCGTGTTACAATACGGTGCAAACGGGAGGTAGAATATTGACAAGTTGAAATTGCACGCAACGTTATCTTCAGCTTCCTTCAGTCCACCTTCCAAATCATCAGCCTCAACATCTTCCCGCACAGGACACTGCCACCTTCCACCACTTCACCAAAACGCTCAGCGTTTTGTTACTTGAACACTGCAAGTCCGTGTACAGAAAGTGAGGTGTCGGAACGGCGTGATCTAAGAAGTACTAAGCAATGAGAAAGGGTATGCGCATTCTTAACAAGCAGCCAACGAAGAAAAAGGTACAGTACAATAAGTTGAACGACATAGGAAAAGAGTATGTGGGGTATTGGTGCAAGTCGTCGGAGTATGTTCCAAATGGAAAAGGCAGGAGATGCTTCGCTAAGTCCAGAGATGATGGCTTCCCTGCTTGAGAATGCAGTATGCAGTAAATGTCGCCCTGCGATGAATTCGAATAGAGGATGACAGAGTCGACATCAGTCATTGTCTCCTAACAACCACTTTGGCGAGTATTGCCCGTTACTCGAAACCAGAGGTTCGCGGCTGGCGATAATCGCGGCTGCCAGCGCTAGCGGCCCGGCCATTGGTAGCCGGCACTGTCAACTGCCTCGCTGTTGGTCCATCCGAAGTTACACCTCGTCGTCTGTTGTTGCCCTTCTCCAGGCGTTGGGTTCTCCAGCCTTCGTACCACTGCTCACGACTAGTCTGACGTAGCTCAGCCCGCCACTCGCTGAAGACACTCTCCCTCAGCTTGACAAAATCGCAGTGCTCTGGGTTGTAGGGATCCGCAAAGCCCCAGGGAAATCTGCGACCCACCACTTCGGGCTCGTAGGGATCTGGCGAAATGATGCTAAGAGGGAGGAACGGGGTCTCTGAGGCTTCACTTTGGATGGAGGCAGAGATGGCCGAGGGCTTGCGGCTGTGAGTCTTCTTAGCGCTTGGTGGGGAGGTAGGAGGTGATTGCGATTTCGAATTTGAATCTGTCGAGGCAACTGAGCGAGCAGCTTCAGAGGAAGATCGCTCAAGGATCTTGTTCAAGACATCAGGTTTGTCTTCATCCTCAGAGGACTGAGCATATTCGTCCTCATCTCGCTCGTCCAGTCGGTCTGGGTCTTCTTCGTCATCGAGGTCGAGATTCAGAGCCTCGAGCGGATCGAGCTTCGCGCGCTTGATTGTGTCCCACACCGTCTTCTTCAGATGGCGCATATGCGCACCAGTGATGGTATCCGCCTTGCTGAGGACTGGGATGACAGTCGTCTTGCTCTGCAGCTCCCGAAGCACATTGAGGTCTAGGTTCTCATCTAGGCCTCCAAAGATGGCACTGCCAACTTTGATCACATTCGACTTCTTGCGAGCCTCTGTGATGTTTGCGTCCAAGCGTGCAGGATCCAGTATGAGGAACACACAGTGAATGTGGGTGTCCTTGACGCCAGGGGCACGGACGACCTTTTGCTCCTCGCTGAACGTGTCTTCGAACTTGGACTCGAGGAAGGCGGTGATGATGGGCAGCTGGAAGTCGACAATGTTCTTCTCCAGGCCCTCCGAGTCCCAGAGCGTGACTCCGACTCTCTCGCCATCGACTTCCGTCTCGAGATATTCAGACGTGAAGGGAGAGTCTTCGGCACCGACAGCGGTGGCAGGCGGGGATGGAGTGTGGGGTCGCTTCTTAGCGGGGAGCGCGAGCGCAGTGCGTAGGAAGTCGATGAAGGACGACTTGCCGCAGCCCTTGGCACCAACGACGAGGATGCTGTGTGCTTGTTAGCTAGGTTCTCGATTGCTCATGGTATTGATTGGTGTCACCTACTTGAAGGGCGTAGGGTCCTTCCTCCTCCTCACGCGGCGGGGGCTGTTGACGGTGCTGTGCTGGCTGCTGGCATAACTGTAGCGACCGCGGTGGGTCATGCTCTCGGTCCTGGGGTAGGGGTCGTAGTCCATGTACGAGAGCTCAGTGCCAGGCATGGGCGGTGCCGCGGCCAGGTTGGGGTTGGAATTGGGGGGCATTCTGCTCCCACGATCGACGCTGGGTCGGCTGAAGTTGTGACTGTTGTGAGAGTAATTGCCGAGCTTGTTGGAGACAATGGCGACGGAATCAGGACGGGCGCTTTCACCTCCAAATGTCTCAATCTGGGGAAGAGCGGAGTGGGAGGGAAGGCGGGGTGGCTGCTTAGGGAGCATAGCGGCTTCGCGCTGCCTGCGCAGCGCCTCCTCCTGGGCAAGCGCCTTCTGCTTCTTGCTCATCTTGCCTCCTGACGCGCTTCGATTACTGCTACCGCGTAGGAAGTTGAAGCTGGATCTGCGGGGGGCGCCTGGTTGCTGGTCACCGTTGGGCTGGGCTGGGTCGGTTTCGTCGTCGTTCGGTACCGAGGAATGAGGAGGATTAAGGGATTTGTTGGGAGTTGTGCTGGCCATGACGGGCGGGCGGGTGCGAGGGGTCTAATAATCAATAACAGCGGACCGAGTTCGCGCGGCGCGTGTAATCTTAGCAAGACGGCAAAGGGAAGGCTGCTGCACAATGGAGTGTTTGGCGATTTGGCCCTTCTCCTGCCTAGGGCTGCCGTGATTCGGGCGGCGGACAAGTCGAGTCTAGCGATGGGAGAGGCGAGGCGAGGGACGTGAAATTGAAGGGGAGTCGCTGCTGGAGGGTGGTCCTTGCGGAGGGTGAATGAATGGCCCAGGGTCTGATTAACTTACGGTAGGCCCACTCACTACTGCAGGAACCAAGAGTGGGTCAAGGGCGCATAAGGGAACCCCCAGATTTGCGTGCGATTGATTTGAGTTTGCGGGCGGCGCAGAAGGAGATGGAATAGACGCGGGAAGGCCAGCCACAGACTCGACAAAACGGGGCGACGGGCTGGAGAAGAGAGACGCACTTGGATGGCTTCACAGCAGCTCTGCAGCAAAACAACAGGCCCAAACCAGTCGCGACCAGGATGGCACGTCCGAAATGGTTAATGCGAAACTGCGTTGCCGTCCACAGCAGCACCGGGAGGCGCCCAAAACGCAACGCATTGGGTCCCGAGTCTACTAGCCATTGACTGGTACGCGGCACTTTCGCGTTTTTCTGCTCGGCCAGCGGTGTCGCTGTAGCCACGACTATACATCTAGTTCCCAAAGGATGCCGTCGTTTGCCATTGCGCCATGGGCTGGAAAAGGGGTACCAGCTAGCCTGTGGTGATCCTACCACTACCACGAAGCGAGGCGAAGATGCGTGCAAGGAGTGAACAGCAAGAAGCCGATCCGACCACCACTGCGAACCTGCGCCATATCCCGTGCAATAGGGCGAATTCACACCAATGTCTAATAATGCAATGGAAATTTTACATTACCTAGGTACACACCTATAAGAGGCCATTGACGTGCCTTCCCCATGCGGCTGTCGACGCCCCGGAAGGGTGCGTGCAGGTGCCGTCTGGCGCTTCTACCCCACAGCCTGTCTCCACACAGTATCTATCATGTTGCAAACCACCACTTTAACTACTTTACACACCATTATCGTCCTCACCGCCATGCAATTAGACAAATCTCCCTTATCAACCTTACACGCGTCGTCGCTACAGCCATAAATCCATCTGCCCCACACGATCCCCAATCCGTTATCTGCTTCTGTGACAACACCAGAGCAAATCCTTAGGCTCCCAAGCGAATTCCTCGTCATCAATATCGCCCACAGTAAACACTCCATTCATGCTTGCCGTCTGAGCTGATTCGTCACCAGCCGAATCGCCCCAGTTGTCACCGTATAGCATGTGTGCCTGATAAAACTAGTGCTGACCTTCCAACTCGCCCGCCAAGCCACTCCAACCGTCGTCATCCCTTCGTCGTACAAGTAGTCTCTCGATCCAACTGACTTTCGTCTGTTTCATTTCAACATCTCACAATTCGCTGCACGCCCAATATGGGCCTTCTCAGTGACCATGCCATCGTATTTACCCTAGCATCTCTTCTGGTGGCCTGGCTTGGGGCCAAGGTCTTCAGGGTCGTCATGGAGCGGAGAAAGTTTCGAAAACTTGTGAGTTGTGCTTTCAAATGTCCTTTTTGTTATACTAACAACTTCCAGCCTGGCCCGCCCTGTAACCTTTTCCTCGGACATCTTATACCCATGGGCAAAATAGCCATGAAGCATCCACAGCGCGTTCATCCCCACGTTTTAGTAGCCAACTTGATGCGAGAGTACAATCTGCCGTCTGTCTTCTACTTGGATAACCGACCGGCGGCAGAATACCCCGTCCTGGTCGTTGCAGACCCGTAGGCTTTGAATACTCCCCCAACATAACTCTAGTGCTAAAGTGTCTAGGGAGGTGGCCCGGGAAATCTCCGAATCTGGACTTCCAAAGCATCGCACTCTTCTCGAAACCATTGAGCCGTTGGCGGGAAGGTTGAACATCCTGTCAATCGAGGGGCAACTCTGGAAGAAATGGAGAAACGTCTTCAACCCTGGGTTTTCCGTCCAACAAGTCATCAGCCAAGTGCCTGTCATTGTTGAATGCACAGAGGCATTCATCAACATCCTCGATCGGCATGCATCCAAAGATGAAGTCTTCAGACTAGAAGAGGAAACCACAAAGATTTCCATCGATGTCATCGGCCGAGTCGTCTGTGACCACGACTTCAAAACCCTTACTACCGACAACGACTTCATGCGTACCATGAGGAAAACCCTCTCCTGGATGCCCAACCAGCAATCCATGAACCCATGGCACCGCAACCACCCGCTACGACCTATCATGTGGAAGTACTACAAGCGGCAGATGGACAATTATATCGGAAAAGTCCTCGATGAACGTTTCGCGGTTCGGGATACGGGTGTTCCAAAGAAGGCGAAGATAAGGACAGGCATCGATCGTAAGTACCAATGCAGTACACAATGCAGGCATCATTTGAATGCACTTGATGTACTTTCCACGGTTGTTTACATGTGGAGTTGCTAACCCCACCGCCCTAGTTGCTCTTGCCGAGTATTTCAAGGAGAACGGCCAGGATGCTGATTCCCACAATGCTACCGTCATGGACGCCGAGTTCCGACGTTTTGCCATCGACAACCTGCTCATCCTGCTATTTGCCGGACATGATACAACGGCCTCGACAATCTGTTACTGGTACGTCAAGTTCATGTGCAAATGCACCTAATCTTATACACTGATTCTTACCTCCAAATGTAGCTATCACATGCTTCACAAGCATCCGCACATCCTTGCAAAACTTCGACAAGAGCTAGACGACGTATTCGGTGCCGGTGTTAGCGCGACCCAGCAGCTCAAAGATAGTCCCTACTTGATCAACAAATGCGAGTACACGCTCGCAGTCATCAAAGAGGTGCTACGACTTTGGCCTCCAGCCTCTGGTGTCCGCAGTGGACAGAAGGGTCATTTCATCAAGGATCCCGCAAGCGGAGAGATGCTACCAACAGAAGGATGCATTATCTGGACAGTGTCCATGTGCCTAGGTCGGAGCGCCAAAATATGGGGCTCCGATGTCGACGTATTCAGGCCCGAACGCTTCCTCCCCGAGAACGCGGACAAGATCCCACTCAATGCCTGGCGACCATTCGAGAAGGGCCCACGGAATTGTATCGGTCAAGAATTGGCCCTGGTTGAGATGAAGGTTGTGCTCGCGCTCACGGTACGAGAGTTTGACATTAGGGCCGCCTATGATGAGCTGGACGCGCTTAGCAATGACGGCAGTCTGTGGGCAAGGGACTCGAGTTTCCGTAAAGGACCCCAGAAAGCCTTTGGTGACGAAATGTATCAGATCCTCTTGGCTGCTGGCAAGCCGCGGGAAGGTATGCCTGCGAGGGCTTTTAGGAGAACTATGCAAGCTTGAGGTCTGTAGAGGACTTTCTTAACGTAGTGTAGCCATCTTCAATACCGTTTGCTTTCTCTGAGTCGGTGGTTGACATTAGCAAGCCTATCTAAGAGCGAGTTTCTTCGACTACTTCATTTTCGATGCACTAAGGACATGCTAAAAGGCACGTGGATAGAACCATGTGGAACCAACGTCTTTTACAAACCCACAATGAGGATCGAGGATCATGTTCGGTTCCTGGAAGTAAACGTATGGCTCCACAGCTGTCTTCGATAGTGGATCCTTCTGACAGGCCATTGACCAATCACATCCCCAGAGCCCGAAGCGTGCTCTCACCCCACGTGGACGACGACCATTCTTCTCGTTCTCATCTCGGTTCGGCATCACGGCGCCCTACTACATCTGCTATGGTTTCTGGCGCCGTTGCTGGAAGCTTTTGTACATATAAAGGAGATGCACCATGTAGTCTTCGCCATTCTCTTCTCGCTCGTTGTAGCTTATACGCTGTTTCATCTCTTCGATCGAGATATCAACATGTACTTCTCGAGGACAGTTGCTCCGCTGGTATTTGGGTCTCTAGCCACGACTGTAGTAGCGGCGAATGGGACTGTGGATCTGGGCTGGCATGCACCTAAGAAGAGTTGGATTAATGATCTTGGTCAGGTGTTGAATGGGACGGGAACGAATGGGTTTGTGTTTGGTGGGTCGGAGCTGCCCAAGGGCGTCAAGTATGGGACATACAACTGGTGTAATATGCCGCATGTGAGGAAGGAGGAGTATCCTGTGGCAGCCAAGGAGTACGACTTGGTGTATGTGGAAGTGTAAGTACTGCCTACTTCCACCCATGAAGTCTAGCGCTGATAAGAACAGTATCCATCGCCATCATAAGAGAACGCCATATGCGTCTAACACATTCCTCAAAGAGTCGTATAACTGGGAGTGCGCTAACCAAGGACTCTTCTACTACGGCCAGCCTCTCAATCCCTCTGGCAACAAGTCGAGTTCGACGTACTGGAGCGTCTACTCTAGCGACGTCAACCCTTTCCCGAAATCGGGTTTCCAAGGATCTTGCCAATTCCCCCAGATCACTAGGGAGGGCCTGGATGATTCGTGGCAGCACGGCAAAGATCTCTACGGCGTGTATCGCGATCAGCTCCGCTTCCTGCCCAAGAACATCAACGACAAAGTCTCTTTCCGCGTTACCAACAATGTCATTACCAGCCAGGTCGCAGGCATGCTAGTCGACGGCATGTTCTCACCCAAACGCGACGTACCCCTGCGAATCCAGCCCTCCGGCGTGGATTCCCTAGAACCCCAATACACCTGCCCCAAAGCCTCGTCGCTCTCCAGCTCCTACGGCGTAGGCAGCACAGCAGCAAACTGGACCGCCCACCTGACGGCCACAAAACCGCTCTTCAGCTCCCTAGACTCCATATCCGGCGTCGCCAGTGACTCGACCGAATGGCACAGGTCCTTCGACCACTACTACGACAACCTCTCCGCAAGACAATGCCACGCCAAACCCCTCCCCTGTAAACTCAACGACACAACCTCCTGCGTTACCCAGGAGCAAGCAAACACCGTCTATCGCCTCGGCCAGTACGAGTACTCCTTCCTCTACAGGGACAGTCCGCAATCCCTCCAAGCCTCCATCGGCTCCTACGGCGTCTTCCTCGCCGAACTCGCGCAGAACATGCGCGACGCAGCGAGTGGGAAGAGCCCCGTTATCTACCGCCACAACGTCGCGCACGACGGCTCCGTGTCGCGCCTGCTGAGTATCCTGCAGATCGACCAGATGGTCTGGGTGGGCATGGGGTCTGAGGTGGTGTTTGAAATTTACCAAAAGAAGCAGAAGGGCGGTGATTATGTAGCGGATAAGAAGTTTATTCGCATCTTGTGGGGTGGCCAGGTGTTGGTTAGTTCGAACCCGAGTCTGGGCAAGGTGGATATGTTGGATTTGGATGTGTTTTTGGGGTATGTGGATGGGTTGGTTGGGAGTAAGGCGGAAAATGTGGTGGCGTTTTGTAAGTCGTAGATTCGGCTGTATGTTGGATATAGTGATGGAGCGTGGTTCACTCCTAAAGGAAGGATAAGTGTTCTTGATGCATCAGTTTGACTGGTCGCTAATGTATTCTGAACGTGTCTCACTCTTTGACCGGCCTTAGCGGCCCGAATGCCCTCTGTTACTTTCACGTGTTTCTCCAGCACATTATTCCTCCATTGCTTCTGATGACATTTTGACATGCGTACATCGTTAAGGCTTTCGGGCTGCGTCTAGACGATGCTGCGCATCCCCAAGAGCCCGCCTGGTGGACGAACCAAAGTCGACGGGTAAGTAATCAACAGTGTCAAGTAAGCCATTCGCGCGTCTTCACTACGCTTACGAAACCACAACCGAGCTGCAAACAAGGCAAATGCGTCTAGTTTGTAGTATGCGACATGCGAGTAAGCTGCTGTCAGCCCAGGTTCCAAGTAATTTGGCGAATGAGCGCAATGCGATTTGACTAGTGGCTGAAGGCTTGTGAGGCACTACGACGACGCGATAAGGCATCATCTCTTGCAATTGGGAATGAGGGAAGAAGGGGAATTCAAATACGAACGAAGCTGAGAAACGTGGAGGTATATATAGTCAATAGAGGCGGGTTGCTGTGCAAGAAATCACTCAATCCATCTTGACCTATTCTTCAAACCTCAATCCGTGCTGTCAAGTTGCGTCAAAATGCCTCTCTCTTCCGAACCTGAAGTCCTCCAGACAAGCAATGGTCTCGTGAACGCCCTCCGAGGCGCAGCTGGCGATGCCCCCCACAGCTTCAGACCAGGTCTGCAACCCAAAGCCCCCCTTGCATAACCCTCCCCCATTCCTCTCTTTCAACTTTTCAACTCTTCAGCTCATCTGACAAATAACCACACAGCGCACGCAAAAGGACATCTCCTTACTGGCTCCTTCACCCCCTCCTTGGGAGCCGCCAACCTCACAAGCGCATCACACTTCAACGCCACCTCCACACCCATAACCGTCCGCTTCTCCTCCTCAACCGGCCTCCCGCACATCCCAGATACAGACCCGAACGGCAATCCACGTGGTTTTGCCATTCGCTTCCACCTGCCTGATGTCAACGGCAAGCGAGCTCACACCGACATCGTCGCGCATTCAACAGAGTACTTCCCTACCCGTACGGGAGCCGAGTTCCTAGAGTTTTTAAAAGCAGCGGGTGGACCAAACGCCGCGGAGGCAGTCCCTGAGTTTCTAGGCCGTCATGCAGAGACGCTGCGGTTTCTGCAGGATCCAAAACCCAGTCCTGTGTCGTTTGCCACGGAGAAGTTCTTCGGTGTGAATGCGTTCAAGTTTGTCAAGGGGAGTAAAGTTACGACGCTGCGGTATCGAATTGTGCCTGTTGCTGGGGAGCAGCATCTCGGCGCTGAAGAAGTTCAGGCCAAGTCAGAGACTTATCTGTTCGACGAGTTCCCCACGCGCTTGGAGTCTGGACCCATCGATTTCAAGCTCCTCGCGCAGATCGCTGAAGAAGGCGATGTTACTAACAACGCGACGGAGATCTGGCCCGAGGAGAGGAAGATTGTTGAGCTAGGTACTGTCAAGATTGAAAAGACACTCAGTGATGAAGAGAGTCTGAAGCAGCAGAAGCACATCATCTTCGATCCGATTCCGAGGGTCGATGGTCTGGAGCCCAGTGATGACCCGCTATTGGACGTTCGCGCTACTGTTTACTTGATCTCGGGGAAGCAGAGGAGAGAGACCAAGCATGCTCCTTCTGCGGATGATAGTGCCCCCACAGAGGCTGCTAAGGCTGCCACTTAGGCGCTGTGGTGGAATTGGAGCGTCTCATTCAGTAGAGCACTGCTATTGTACAGCCTTATGAAGGTTCGGCTTCCGGGCCCTGTAAGATAGAAGCGGAAGCTTACCTTCATCAAGCTAGCTTATAATATATAGAATTCCGCTCTATTGCTTACTATAAGCGTAATTTTCTCTATGGCCTATTTAGATAAATATGTCTCTAGGGGAATTTAGGCATGTAGACATGATATTAATGTAAGTTAATCGAGTCGGCAACCCCGCACTCACAACGGCTGACTCAGGCTGAGTAACGTGACTGTCCGATAGATAAGAAGGAACACGAGATTCTATCGCCCTCTTCTGATATCGATACGACTGCTCTTTCCTGTATCATGGCTACTCAAACTTCGAAGAACGAATACCCAGCGTACGAGTCGAGATATATACAGTCAGCGGAAACGCAATCAATTCCCACCAGAGCAGATTTGCTGAATCCAGCTCTGACTTTCATCAATCCCATCACGGCAGCTCCATTCTCCGCAATCCAGAATCTCTTTGATTATCTGGCACAAAATCCCCAGACCGCTGCAGCTCTTAACGATGTTTACTCTCTCCGTGGCATCTTCAAGGCTGCTGCCACCAAAAATCCAACATGCGACCAAAAGCTCACGATTGACCTCTCGCCCACGCGGATTGAACGCATCCCATCTGCTCTACAAATCGAACTTGCTCCACACGGATTGGTTGACATTCTTGCTTTCTTCGACACGATCTCTCAACACTATGTTACACAGATCTTGACCCTTCTCAGCGCCATCGCTGGACGCGATCTAGCATCGTTGCACGCCGACTTTAATGTAAACTTTCGAGTCATTGACTACACTACCACGACTGCGTCTCCTCAAAGCCCGAACGGCTGCGGCGCGCACACCGACTACGGTACTTTCAGCATAATCTTTCAAGACGGCAATGCAGGCCTCGAGATGGAGGCGCCTGGGGCACCAGGCACGTGGGTGCCCGTGCCTGGCAACGCGACTGTATTGCTGTGTGGGTGGTGTGTAGTGATATTAAGTGGAGCTAAGGTAGCGGCAGTACGTCACCGTGTTCGACGTGTGCCTGGAGTGCGACGCCTATCAGCAGTGTTGTTTGTGGCACCCGACCTGGATGTAAAGTTGGCGCCTGTAGAGAGAGTAGACGCATTCTCGGACACGGTAAATCAGGGTCTTTTTGATGTGCGATGGTTCAAGGAGGAGATGGGAAAGAAATGGCGATACCGAGAAGGCAACGGGAAGATCGGGGATGATAGGCTCGAGCAGGATAATGACATAGGTCAGTTAATTTGGAAGAGCTTCTGAAGTTTAGCAATTCACGAATACTTTGTCTACCTTGTCCATGAGCTGGTATGTTAGGGTTTTGGGTGCCCAACGGCAGTATGCGACTCATGGCGACGCGATGACTAGTCCTGTCTCTTTCACCCAAGAGTTTTTCGGTCCTCAAGAGCAGTACACCATTAGACGCCTCCCAAACGCCCCAACCTTCCCGCCGCGGTTTCACGGAACGAACGAGGAGGACCGCTTCCTACCAACGGCCACAACTGGAACCGGACAGGCTCCGGTTCCTCCAACTAGATGAGTGGGATGAGCATAATAGCTATGGAGAGGATGTGCCGATCTGCCTCAACTACTCGATCGAATGGAAGGTCTTCCTTAATAATAAGGTAGTACACCAGGATATAGAGCAAGACGTTGTTCTCATTCCTATCGGATATTGGCATACAATTCTTAGACCTAAGCTTGGACGGCTTCTAGAGAGGAAGTTTGGGCCGGACCGGCAGGTGCGATGTGATGACACTAATGTCACACTTTCAGTAACAGGCCGTACGCAACGTGACCTGGTCAAGAGCTTCGAGGATCTGAACATTGATTGGCCTATTATATCAAAACAACTCGAGGAGTGGGGCGAAAAGCTTCGTTCTGGGAAGAAGCTTCGAGTTGAATTATCTTCCAATTACGTGGACTCGCATTTGAATGCTACCCCTACACAGCGTGGAAAGCAGCGTGGCACTGCCACGCAAAGGATGCTCAGTGACCGAGCAATGCAGCTTGATGCAGAACAGACTGCTACTGGAAATCCCTCGGCTTGGCAAGAAGTATATGCGTTAACGCGATGTCAGGCCCACCGTGCGACCTCGGACCTCATTGCTGGCGCGACTCTTATGGCAAGAAGCACTATAAACTGGGGACCAATCATCTTAGGGCCCTAGTCGAATTTGTAGAGCAAGGCAACACCCTAAGAGACCATGACGACGTCCCCGATAGAATTCGTGAGCAATTGTAGAGGAACGCCAACGAACTGGAGCGACACGCTAAAAGTAACATAACATCCACCCCAAACTATCCCCCCATTACCATCACCAATGTCTTACCTCAATCCCACCACTCACCCTTAGTGAACGCCTTAGACACAGTAGGCGCGACACAAGCACCCATGGCGCGTGCTTCAAGCCATCTTGATATCCCAGGCTCGCGAGATCGAGCTGTGCGGTGTATAGTGAATGGCAACAATCGGAAGTCGATGATGATGTGCTTAAAGAGGAATCCCAGAGAGCTTGTGAAGTTGCGTTACAAGATGGGCTGGACTTAAAGCAAATTCACGAAGATCAGGACCCTACTTTCTTCATCAAGAATGGGGTCAACCGAGGAGTTGCTCGACCATTTGTTAGCGACATTGAAAGCTGGGCAAAGCGATACAAGTTGTCATATGATGATAGTGTAATTTAAACGGCTTGCTGTATGCATTTTCTAAACGCTGATGTTCTATCACAAGTCCTCCACAGTGACGCCGGCATGATTAAGTGACCTCTTGCACTTTGTTCCTTTGCGCCTACAACTGCAAGGCACCATTCTGGAAACGTACTAAACTTTTGTCGCGGGTCACTCTCGTATTCTTGCCAATGCCTCCTGATAAACCCTTTTAACTCTGCGAAGAATTCTTCGATCGGATTGAGATCTGGTGAATACGGGGGCAGATATAACAGCTCAACGCCCGCTTCATGGCACATCTGTTTGATTCGAGCGGTATGGTGAAATGATGCATTGTCCATTACGAGAACGGACTTGGGCTTTGGGAAGGGTCCACAGTTTTGAAGAAGCTGCGCAATGAAGTCTTCGTACAAAGAACTGTCAGTGGTCCCTTGAAATACTTGTGAATGAAGTATACCCTCTTGGTTGTATGCAGGTAGGATCTGGTACCTACGATATCGACGAAATTTCGCTACTTGAACAGGCGCAACACCGAGAGGGGACCAGCCAGTCCGCCTAAAACCAATCCGCTTGTCGCATCCAGACTAGTCCACATATACGAGATGGTAGAGGTCTGCTGATGGTGATCGTCGAGGGTCTCTCGATAATCCATTCAGCTGGCCTGGTATTGTGTAAATTTTACTGCCTTAATACTGTTTTAAGGTGCTGGGTATAGCACCTGAACTGTGGTTTTATACTGACTTCTCCTACTGCGTTGTATGATCCGCTCTTGCGTCGACTTTACTTTCATTCATAGAAATACGAGATGGTAGGACTTGAACTCTGAGAGATTATGCAGGTAGAAGTCCCGCAGATTTTTGTTCCGCTGTTGACCTACTTGACGAATCACCTTCTTTGTCCATTGTGCCTCTTTCAGAGCAAGGCTGACTGTAGAAGCATCTACAAGAACCCGAAATTCATCGTACAGAAAAATCTCCATTTCGTCTTGGTATAGCCCAGGCTTCTCTAACAAATGTTCACGAAGCGCATCGAGCATCAAAGATGTTGTTCGTCGCCGTGGGCCAGGAGTGCCATTCGAGGGAGCTCTGGTCCTACCGAAGCAACGAAGGTTTGCGCGAATTGATCTCACGGAGCGGTCGCTGTAGCCGGCAACCCTCGCAATCCGCATATTGTTTAGCGTCCCACTTGTTACCATGTCTCGAATCATGTCATGTTGTGTCTTTGCGAGGTTAGGGGCCATGGTATGTGCGTGTTGCCTGTGACCATTATCTCTCGAAGAGGGACAACAGACAACGCGGCCCGGAGAACCTCGTGCCGCTATTAGCAGAGCAGCACGTCGGCGACAAACGAACAGGCCGATCAACGAGGTCAGGATTTTCAGACGTACAGTATCTTCCCAGATGCTTTTTGAACCTGTGGATCGGCCGCTGGTGGATGGCTAGACGGGTGCTCCCGACACTTCGAGTTCTCGGAACATCTTCGGCAGAAAGGCACGTGATAGGATTATAGACAACCCCGAATTGCAGCACGAACGCTGCTCAAGGCTCATCAACAGCATCAATTACTGAGCAGACGGCGACGGCCAAGACACCAGTGCTCTTCCGGTACCACATAACATTATCACCGAGGAGAAAATTGAGCGAAGTCTGCGCCTACGAGAATCAACCTTCGACTGTTCCACAGCTTCACCTGAATATGGACTATCAACCGCCTCAGGTGGAATCCTTCGGAGACTTGTGTCATCTTAGCGAAACAGCCGATGGAAAGACCTCGCGATTTGCCGTCACAAGTCGTGATTACCAGGTCTGGATCGGCGAAGCTCCGGTTGGTCTCAGTGACTTGAGCCTAGAGACCATCACGGATACTCTGAAGTCTGTTATCCCGGATGAAGATATTTACCCTGAGGCTCCATCGCATATCACGACTGCTTCGGATTCGATTGACAGCAACATTTTCGTCAAAGGCCCCAAAATTGGATGCTACAACGAGCTTGTGGGTACTGATACGTTGCCGAAATTGCTTCTCCAGGAAGCTGAGACAATGGAGATTCTACGATGCAGTCAACATAGGAATATTGTTCGATATCATGGTGTCATTACGAGGAGGGGTCGTATTGTCGGTCTTGCCTTGGATCGACACCCTCGTACGCTTGACCTTGAAGTCCGACTGCAAAAGCGGAAGATCGATTACAATATGTGCTTTAACGCGATCAAGGCAGCAGTGAAGCATCTTCATTCACTTCAACTAGCTCATAACGACCTGAATCCGAACAACATTATGATGGATAAAGATGGCAGCCCTATCCTCATTGATTTCGGCTCGTGTCAGCCCTTCGGGAAGCCCCTCCTCACAGCAGGTACACCGGGATGGTGCGATGGAAATTTCATTACTTCAGCACAGCAGAATGACGAATTCTCTTTGAAAAAACTCCAGGTCTGGCTCCAAAGTATAGTTATCAAATGAAGTAGTTATGTACAGCTAGGAAGACCTGGTCCTTGGTGGCTGATAATTTCGCGATTGAGGGCATTCTGAACTTAAACAGTCCACGAATCGGTGCTCGAATGTGTGCGTAGAGTGGCCCTGGCTATCGGTCGTGGTTTTGATCGTAGTAACGTTACCACACCTAGATTAGGATTAAATGCTGTCAATACAGGGGCGATACTGAATCTGACTGACATATTCAAGTTGGACTCAAGCTATTTCCGTACTCTGAGATCTGGTTATATGAATATGTTTTCAGTGGAATGAACGGAACGTAGTTAACATAGACTGAATACAATATATGTAGACGTGGCACGCCATACCCCGCAGCGATAAGATCGCGGCGGGGCAGCGGGGCAGGTATGGATAACAACCTGATTATTAATAACATAGTATGAATTTCAATCGTAAAAAACGCGGGGCAATCGATTCTACTTAAGCTCAGCGCCTACTCTCCAGCCTGGGCTTTTCCACCCCGCCACGTCTCTTCACTATGTGCCGATATACTACAGCAGATATTATCTATTCCCAATGTCGATTACCAGCTCAACATAAGATCGTGAAACGTCTTCATCGGAGATGTGAAGCTTCTCCGAAGCCTGGACCAAGGTGCAAGGAATCCGTGTTTGATCCAAGTCTTGGCACCCATATACCTTCAAACAGAAACGCTCCGTGCAGGTATTGTCGAGACTCCGGCATATCGGTTGGACAGGAGCGTTATGAAGATGTCAGTTGTATTATATGCTTCGTCTACATGAAATCAACTAATCATATAATAGCATGATCTTCATGGTTAAGCAGCCAGCCAAAAAGGTTATTAATTACAGAACGTGACAAAGGGCCACGATGGATGCCATGGCATGCAAACTCCTTATGTAGCTATATCCACCATAGATTAACAAAGCATCTCCTAGCCAGCACATTTCTAAGCGCTGAACAACATCCTCATTGACCTCAAAGCGTTAAAGAACACCGCTTTCACGTACCAGTAAACACAGATTACTTTCCTTGTAGCTAGCAAGCTAGCTTGAAGTTCCTGAAAAACCTCATGCATAGAATTGAAGGTACCCTTCCAACAACCCTGCATTAATTTACCTAGCGGTATATTTTCGACGTCTGGAAACTGATTCTCAGCATATAGCTTTTGGACACGGATCATTCGATCCTCGAATGGATGAAGCTCGTCGTATGGTTGTCTACCTGTTATGACTTCGTATATCGCGCAACCGAATGCGAAGATATCAGTCTTCCGGCTAATTCTTGGTGAAGATTCTTTGTAACTAAACCACTCATAGCAGGCTCCTGCATCTTCTCCATCAATGCTACTACCTTCGAGGTCGATGATCTTTAAACGCCCCTGAACTATGATCCAATTGTTACATCCAGTATCAGCATGGATTATGCCATTGTCGTGCATGTACCGTGTTCCCTCTGCAGCTTCATGTAGCCACCGAATCTTTATATGCAGCGGGATCTGGTTCGCTCCGCTTCCTCCAATTACCGTCCGGATAGGTCTACCACGTTCGAGAATAAGGCCTTTTTGTGATGCACCAAAACATCTCACAATATTTACATGTCGCCCTAGGCGTTCGAGTGCTCGACGCTCAACATCAATTCCCTCTTCGTGGAACTCTTTGAAGATTCTTTCCTCATCGATCGCATATATGACTCCTGATCCGCCAACCGCAAGGAATTCGAGACTCTCATAGTCTATAGACGGGGCTGATTGGTCTTGGATGTGCTCCTTCGTCATTCTGGAGGCCATGATTTCATACTGCTCGGGCGTGGAGCGAGAAGCGCGTAAGTCCTCTCGTGTGAGGCGCGGTAGGCAAGGCTTTTGATCAAGGGAACGCGTATTTCGACGCTTCGGGGTCTGCAACCGCGGATGGTGGGATGCAGGCGAGACGGATGGAGTTTGTCCGTCAAGCGACAGAAGGTGGTCTTCCGAGAAGTGCGCCAGGCGAAAATGATCGTTTTGCGGGTTAGGTTGCCTCGTTTTCGTCGCTGTATGTCGTTAACATCGACTGTGAAAGTCGTTGACTACGCTATGTACTGACGCGCGACTTCTGTTGGCAGCGCGCCTTCAAAGGCCCGAGGGCGACTTAGCCCAGGTTGTGGTAAGGACGTATCACGTTATCTCGGGATATCTTCGGTACTTGTCTCATTGGATGATTTTGGATTGGATGGCTGGGATAGGGATAGCGCCAAAGCTGCTGTGGCGGTGCTATGTCAGGAACTCAATGCAAGCAAATATCATGAAAGCTTTTAGTATGTTTGATGTCCGAAGCTAGCTAATAATAGTAAATTTCCCGTTCCTATATAGTAGGGGTCTAAATGACTTCTAGTTGAATATCTTGTTACCCCGGAAGCCGAACCTTCATAAGGCTGTACCTGAACATTCAATGATACCAACCAACGTTAACTCATACTCATACAGCCCACACGTCAGTGTATGCTCAGGCGTCCCTCAAGGGGATTCCCTCATGTGGCGCGTGGGGGTATAAAGAAAGGGTGGAATGATGGAATGAAGCTTTCTCTCCCACAGATCGGGCTAAACGCCATGAGCTAACGATTTATATCTACGTCGACGCGTCAGCCATATCATCGAATGGACGCAGCTATACTGCCAATTGGGGTAATTTCATCTGCCTTACTGCAAGCTAAATCCTGATTGATAGAGCACGGTCTTCCACGACGACCCTAGTAGCATCCTTCAGGCTTTGTCTGGCTTACGGAAGGGCCGTTGTGCATGCGTCGAATTGTGGCGCACTGCAGCACGTGGATGAGATACGCTTCTTTGTCGCTACTTTGCTTGGCTGTTATTTGGCTGACATACGTAGACGTGTGGAAAGGAGAATAAGCTAGGCGGTCTTTTTGGCGCTCGCATGAGATGCTTCGTCTGGACAAGCATCTCTCCGATAAGTATGTATAAAAGCTGTAAACAACGTCACAATGCTGATAACGAACTGAATCTGATGCACAAATCGATCTCATCGAAGGTAATGTAAGATCCTGTCCAGGTTGACGCAGTGCCGCGTCTTGACCGATCTTCTTCGTGATCCTCTTCGCAATGGGTTGCTGCGGTTTGCCCATCGACCTTAGGCTTAAAAATGGTTCGAACTTACTAAACAAATCTATCTGTCGACACCTGCCTACTAGTACCAATTTAGCAAACGCTGCTTTTTTTGCTTTCAATTGATTTGCTTGTGATTTGCTCTACGCAATACAGGCAGCCCTTTGTCTCGACCGCATTTGTCGGTATACTGTGGGTGTGTGAGGACTTGATCTGATAGGTTCGCCTTAAGCGAAACGGCTCCAGAGCTGCTCAGAGCATGCATGCTATACCACGAGGACAGTCCAGGATTAGAGACGGGTGTTGTGCGACCAAGCAGCGAAGGCACCTGGGTATGGCGGTCTAGCTTACGGCTCCTTGTAGATGTCCCGACAGAGCTGGGCTACGCAAGGGTCTTACTATCGCCCTTTGCGTTTCGCCTAGAATTTGAGGATCTGACATTGTTATTCCAGCATCGCGGGACATACTACATTTGTAGCATGTACCCACATTATGACGGTTTAGAGTGGCGATCCATGTATGGGACGGACGCGACGGGAATGTAGCTTGCCGAACCAACTAAGCGTGCAGTCAGCAACGAAGAAACCCACACTGGAGGTGCCCCAATCGCCATGCCCAGATGTTGGCACACCATGACCCAAAAGCCCGTTTCCTGGCACCCCCAGGCTGGATGTTCGCCGTTTCTTCTTTGTCGAGAGCATAGTGTGGAGGTGTTGAAGGACGGGAGAAGAGGAACACGGACCAACGACAGCGCCCGGGAAGCTGCGGGGAAGATGACATAGTCTCTTGGCTCGCCTACCTCATGCCCGAACAACAGCATAGCCTCGAGATTTGGATCCCTTCTTCTTTGGCGTACTAATCGCAGCCACGGATTACTGGAGTGGTCCCACATTCGCATACAACATGTTGTTTGTACGCCACCAGCCGGGGTGCGACGATCGTGGCGGCCCGTTCGCAGCAAACGACATGGTGGAATTGGTGGAATACCGAGCCAAGCGATCAGTAACGTGCAAGACGCCATGCTTCCATGTGTCTAGACTACTGTAATGGCGCCTCCAGTAGTGTGTAGAAGCCCTATTGTTTGGGGGATAAAGGTTGGTGATGCTCTCATGTTCTTCCAGTCCCATTCACCATCACGCGTTCCCCGAGTCCTCTCGAAGCACCCCAAGTACTGTTTGCACTTGATCACACACGCGGCAAACGATCAATTCGCTCCGCTGGCCTTACACCACTTGCCTGTTCGACAAAAGTCGAGTCGTGCGAACCTGGTCTTCGGTTTCCTCTGCGAGTCCGCGTCCTTTTCCTGCCCTTTCTGGTCCTGTACGACGTTGCGCCCAAGGGTCATCGTCGTCTCTGTATCCCTCGCTAAACAAGCTGTTACCCGGATCCCAATTGACATCTCACCCTGCCGCAGACGTCTAGCTGGACTTGGCTCGTGGAGCACATTGGCTCAAGCCTTAAGCCGACGCGCATTCCTGGTCTCTCCGTGCTGAGCCTGCATTCACTGCGGTTGCTTGACGTCTTTCACCCAGGATCCGTTCGTCCTCCCTTCCGGAACCCGCGAATTCCCCACAGGAGACCCTTGCGCTGCTCTGGACCCTGCAGCCTTGTCGTATCAATCGTCGACGATTGCCCTATCGGCTGCAGCTCACCGTTCGCACCCATTCACTTGACCGCTGCCGTTGCGGCGCTGACGAAGCTGCATGTTCGCACTGCCGTGGCGATATATCAATTCCATGCGCACTTTCTTGGACCAGCCTGGACCTTCTACACCCAACACAGCACCGACCTGAGGCAGCCGCCTCAACTCAACTTTCGAGATGACATCACCGCTGCCAGCGGGAAAGATCATGGCCATCGAGGTCGCCACACGAACAACCTCTGTCTTCTCCGTCCTGGGTTCAACTTTCATCATTACCACCTTTCTGTGGTTTCCCTTCTTTCGGAAGCCCATCAACCGTCTAGTCTTCTTTGCAACATGGGGAAACATCCTCGCAAACGTTGCGACACTCATGTCAACATCGGCGATTCCGAAGCATCGTGATATGCTGTCCCAACTTTGCGAGTTTCAGGGTGTCCTAATTCAGTGGTTTATGATGGCCGATTCACTCTGGGTAAGCTTGTCTCATATTCCGGATGAAGCTCCTGCTGACGTGCAACAGGTGTTTTGCATGGCCTTGAACGTCTTTCTAGTCTTCTTCTACGCTTACGACTCTCACCAATTACGCCATCTAGAGAAGTGGTACCTGCTCTTCGCATATGTAAGCGATATCCGTGTACGGAAAGTGCATGTAAGATATACTGACTTTTGTCCTCCACTGTTAGGGTGTACCTGCCATCCCGGCCCTTATCTATGTAATTCTCGATCACACTGGCCATCGTATCCTTGGGCCTGCAACTGTAAGTCGACTAGCTTCTCACAACGGAATCTTTCTGACCATATAGCTCTGGTGCTGGGTTGCAAAAGAAGTCGACTGGATGCGCATCACCTTCTTCTACGCCCCAGTCTGGTAAGTCCCAAACTCTCCCCGGCAAGACATATGCTGATGCAATCAAGGATTGTCGTGACTGCCACTTTGACCATTTACATTGTGACCGGTCTTAGAATCTTCCAGAAGCGTGCCTTGTTGCAATCTTTCTCTAGGCAGTCTAGGCAACTGCCTGTAGTAGAGGAGAGCTCGGCAAATCCATTTACGGGCGGCAATAATATTGTCGTGACAACACAAATCAAGTACGATGTCGAGCACGAGATCTCGCGATGTGTTTTGTCTGAAGGAGACCGAGAGTCGATTAGCACCTTTGCAAGCACCAGAAACCTTTCAAACGTGGGCCGATTAGACGAGCAGGCTTCAGCCTCGCTACCCATGGCTCCTGCGATCCGTACTCACCAAAACCATCGAAAGTCTGCGGAGACTCAAACGAGCGGAAATGGGCGAAGCGGTTACAGGGCGACTGCTTTCGCTACTAACAGCACTACAGGGTCTGCAATGGGCCAAACAGGACATTCACAAGTCAACCCACCTATCAGAATAAGGACCGCAGAGGGAAACGCTGCAGCCATGGCATACCTCAGAGTCGCCTTTCTCATGTTCATAGCCTTGTTCGTGGTCTGGGTGCCAAGTAGTTTGAACCGGCTCTACCAGTTCATCCACAAGGACAGGCCAAGCTACGGTCTGAACATCATCTCTGCCACGGTCCTCCCACTTCAAGGAGCTTGGAACGCCATTATTTATATCTTCACTACGCGGGCGGAGTGCAAACGAGCATATGGCCTGGTCGAGTCAAAGTTTACCGGTCAGCCACCCCGGTACCAACCACGAAACGATACGTACCGGGAGGATACCATGACGAGCTCCCGACACACCCGAGATTCCGATGCTGAAATCACTCTTGGTGACATGTTTAAGCAAGGAGACGAGGTGCGCCATATTGAGGTGTCAAGCCCCGACAGTGTGGCGGACCCTAAACCTTACCGCAGCCAAGAACAACGATGATGCGCCGATGTTTCTCGACGTTGTCGTGTGCGACAATGGCGCTTCAACGGTGGAACAATCTTCCTTGCCTCACTTTCTGCGACCTGTGCGCAGCTTCCAGCCACCCCATCTTGTGTATAATTTCCTTTCCTTTGATTCACTTCTTGTACCTGGATTTTTGGGCAGATATACCTCCCTGCATATACACCTTCTCCCGACATATTTGTCATGTCGATGTCTCTGACAGACATGCCGGCTTCGGCCGTTTATTTTGGCGTTCACGGCTTTGACACACGGCGATGAGATACCCAGGGGAAATGGCGTTTTGGAATGAATGCTGGCCCATTATTTCGAGCCTGCAACGGTGCAATAGAGCACTGAGTGAATGAGCCTGCATGGCTCTTTACACTATTAATACATTTGACCTTCTTGCATGCATCTTATTCCACGTCACAACATCGATATTCGCTGACATCATTCGTGCAAACCGTTGCGTGTACTATGTGGTGAGTTATTGATTTGCACCAGCACTGCAGCGAGTTAGCTGCAACTGGTACTGCTGTACGAATCTTAGATGCGCACATGCACAGCCGTTGTCGTGTCCAGGTGAAAGCGGTAGTGTTCCGCTTCTTGCAACATTGATTATTCTGCCGTATTATGCAGCGTTGGAGTGAGTCTCAACGGAGACGGAACAAATGAGCGTCCGGCGGTTGTTAATCGTCCCGTCTCCGTTTAGGAAAAAAAGATTGGCATGCTAGCTGACGTACATACGCCCTACAGCTGTATTAACTCGGAAACATGCGAAGGACGTGCATAAGCCGGGCGTATGCAGGGCTGTTGTAATCTTCAGAATCACAATACTACAGGACATCAAGGAGCAGGGCGATATATAAGAGATGGAATGATATTGTAAAGCGCATAAGCCCTAGTTGAGCTATCGCTGGTTCTGTAAAGGTACCTTTAGTTGTAAGAGACGGAATTACTATAAAACTGGAACGCTCTCACAGTCTATACTAACCTCATCTCACTGACTTACGAATTTCTCAACTCTTCCCCATACAATCGCACCATGGAGTTTCCCACGCCCAAAGGTATCGAGACATACCACACCAAACCCTACGCAGCCATCGATGTCTCCCGTCCAGAAGTCTCAGCAGCAGGCAAGGTAATCCTAATCACAGGCGGAGGAGCAGGCCTCGCCTCGCCTTCGCCGAGCACTTTGCAAAAGCAGGCAGCCTAAAGATCGCCATCACAGGTCGCCGGCAACAAATTCTCGATGAAGCCCAAAAGAAGATCGAGTCGGCGTACCCAAAAACCACCGTCCTTACCTTGCAGGGCGACGTGGCGGACAGAGCAGCAGTCACTACAGCGTTCAAAAAGACACTTAAAACTTTCGGCCCCATCGATGTCCTGGTCAGTAACGCGGGATACATGCCGGGCTACGAGCCCATCGGCGGAGAAACGTCTCCAGACGAGTGGTGGAGCACCTTTGAAACCAACGTGCGCGGTTTCTCATAATGTGCTTTCGGCATGTCTCGATACAGCAGCACAGGATGCAGTCGTCATCAACCTGACCTCCGCCGCCGTCAACGCTGTGCTCCCAGGCCAATCCGCGTATACCAGCAGCAAGATCGCGGTGACGAGACTGTTCGAATCGTTTCAAGCGGAGAACCCGCAGTTTAGGGTAGTTAACGTTGCGCCCGGTGTTGTGTTGACGAGCATGCATCAGAAGACTGTTTCGCACTTTGACAAGGAGGGGTGGCCGCAGCTGCCGTTGGATGATAGTACGCCTACCTTCTCTATCCCATCTTCCCAGACCTCCTTTTTCCAATCTGAAACACTGCTAACTCTTTTTTAGTTGAACTCCCAGCGTCCTACATGGTATGGGCATCCTCTCCAGAAGCACATTCCATCAAGGGCAAGTTCGTGTGGGCGAATTGGGATGTAGATGAGCTGAAGCGCGTGCTTGAGGAGAGCGAGAATAAGCAGCTTCTGAGGTTAGCTGTTGATGGAGTGCCGACTTTGAGTCTGTAAGGGGGATGCAATACTATATGTACTAGAGTAATGTAGAAGGCAAATCAACTAAACCATGGCCTCGGAACTTGGTATATGTAACGCTTAGCAAACGCCCAAGTAACACAAATATATTGCACATACACATAACATTTCAGAACCACCGCCGCCCCTCAAGCTTACTCCACCACCGCCCCTTCTCTCCCTCTTCTCTGGGTCCAATGAATTCCAGCACCTGGTCATTCTTGCCAACTCTCATTTCTAAATCAAAGATATCAGTTGCACTTCTCCCCTCTTCCCGTACCCCTAAACAAAAACTCGCCCTGACCTTCACGCCACCGGGCCTCCTCTTCGCTACTGGACTAAGGTATGGCCCGATATCGCGAGCGACACGGTAAGCGAGCGCAGAGGGGGAGAAGCGCGTCTTGAGCGCTACAGCCCACCGATTGAACTCCTGACGAGGCACGACTCGAGCATTGAAGATGGGGAAATGGCCTGGGTCGACGGCATGTTCGGGTGATGGGGAGGTTGGGGGTGTTACGACAGCCAATGCGGTTGAAGAGGGCGAGCGAGTGTCGAGCCAGGACTGTATGATCTCGGTATCGCGGTACGAGTCTTCGTACCATGTTAGAAGCCAGAGTGAGATGACGAGCTGATTGAGATTATCGTAGTGCCGGAGTCCATTGAGCAGGGAATTCGTGCTGGGCGTCTGGAACGAGAGGATAGGACAGCCGTTATAGCCGCATATCTTCATCTCTTCAACCGTACTGGCGTGGTGCAGGGCGATGGTTTGGATTAAAGGTGCTTGAGGTGGCCAGCCGTAGTCGGGCTCGAAGTTGAACTCTTGTGACATGGAGAAGCCGCGCCTATATGAAGCCAAGATGCCTGCTAGGTCTTCTTCCTCAAGGTTGTAGCTGGAGTCTGGACTTTGACCAGGATCAAGGGCTTTCAAGTGAAGTCCCTGAGGGCCCCAGGTATTGCCTGCCGGAAAGGACAATCCAATCATGACGACCTTTTTCAAGGGACACCAATGTAGAGCCCGAAGTACCTCTCGCTTCTCGTCTCTGGGGATACCGCCTTCAAGCTTGATCTGCTCTACTTTTCTCATGTGTGGCGCGAATTCTGCAATGAATCTTCTTCGACGGTCGCGCTCTTGCACTTCTTCGGGGGTTCTGCTCTCGTCCGTGAGCGGTTCACCATGCTCAGTGTACTGCGCATCGATGCGAAGGTCAGTTAGCATCATAGCCAAATGCGCCACAAGTTTCCGTGATCGATTCTGTACATCGACAGATGGCTTCACATGGCTGTAGATCCTATCTAGCGGCCAGCCGAGACACTGGATCTTGGGATGACTTTCTAAGAACTCTAGGAAGGTATCTTCGAGCAAAAATACGTCATCGGGAAGATTAGTATGCGGTGTGACTGCGTTTCGGACCTGGAAAGCGCGAAGGTGCGGAAATCTCAACCGCGTGAGGGCATTCAAAGTGACACGTGAATTATCATATGGGTCGTTCTCTTTTCTTCTCCAAAGGATCCAGTCAAGGTTTAAACTGGTCAGAGTTGACGCCGCACAGCTGAACAGCCACTGCAAAGGATCGACCGGCGAAATCAACCCTCCCCTATCTTCTACCCCGACTGGATTCGCGTCAACAAAAGTCTTGATTTCCGGTAGTTCTTCCCACATAGCAGCATCGAACGCTTCACTCTTCGCTATAAGTTCTGTTGTCGACGGACGTGGCCATCGCTCGGGCAATCCCTCCTCTGAGAAATGCACAGTCGTCCCAACCCAACCGCCCGAGCCATTGTGCAACTGATAGTATTGGCCTCCTCTTGAAAGGTGATACTCTAGGAATCCCATGCCTCTTGCCCGTATAGTGTTGAGAGAATCGCATCCAAGTCTACGTATGCGAATCGATTCGAGCCCGGTTGAGTGGCTTGATAGGAGGAGGGGTATCGAACGAACCGCGAGGGAACAGCTCTCGAGCCAAAGTTTGCGAAGGGGTACGCGCTGCGGTCGATTTTGGTCCAAAAATCCCACGATTAGTGCGCTTGTGAGTCTCCAATGTCCATAAAGGATTCTAAGCGTATGAACATTGACCATATTCCGTATTGCGAGCTTGAGCAAGACATGTAGACGCACATCTCGCGAGAGGGTTTCGGCGTGGAAGTGCATGCGTGGTAGCTCGGCGAAGATGTTCGGGGTAGGAAGATGACAGCGGTGGGCGAGGACTTGGACTTTAGAGGCAATGGCAGGATTTCTAACAGTGTTAGTGAGCTTCTCCAAGGGAGTCTTCAAGCCATACGTTGCTAGTATGTACAGCTTCTGCACGATGGGTGTATCATCGTGCTCGTCTGTCTCTCCGTGGCCCCGTTCTCCCCACAATCTATCTGTCTGCCGGTTCAGGTGTAGTTTCCATTGATCCACCAGGCATACATTCTGCCACAATATATCCGTCGCATGGCGATTGAGGCACTTGGAGACAAGAGCGACGCTTTTGAGCGTAGAGGTGGAGAGGTAAGCGACGACTAGCTGTATCAGTTCGCTAGGGAGGGATTCGAGCTTGCAAAGAAATCAGTATGCCATAACCTAGTGAGGACCTATATGTGCTTGCACATGCACCAGCCTGACTGTACGGTATGATGAGTACCTACTGATAGCGGCCGCGTATCCAGATTGACCTCCGGGGGAGATGGTGAACAGGTGCTATGGGGCACAGAGGACATGATTTAGCACGCCCATGGGTGTAGCGCATGCAGACAAGAAAGGCGAGAAACCAGATTCACAAGGATGACATACTTGGACTTGAATGTATTGTCGAAGCACAAAGCGGTGTTTTGGTCCGCTCCAACGACACGCGTGCCTGCGGGGCCCGCTGGCTATGCTCCCCGCATAGACCCCTGTGTGCCCAGCTCACGGCGGTTTCAGTATCATTGACGGGCATTGTTCGTTGCGCCAACGCCAACGCCACTGCTACTATAACATTGAATGGATACACGATGCGCCAGTATCTGTGTCCCCAATTCCAGCTGATTTGCTTCAGGCTTCCTGCTCTGCGCCCTCTGCCAGCTCGTCCTGGATCCTCCGACCTCTCTTCATCCTGAACATGCCAATGCTGGGCTTCACGTCCTTGAACCCGTACTGCGGATACAGCTTCTGCGCCGGCACGTCTGCGACTAAGCTCACATACGCCCATGGCGCGTGTTCATCAACATAGTCCACTAGCCTCTGCACAACGCGCTTCCCAATGCCCCTACGTTGATGCTCAGGATGCACGGCGATGTCCACGAGGATGAGGAAGAGAGCGCCGTCGCCTACTAGTCGACCCATTCCGACTGCCGTCTGCTCTGGTCCGGGTGTCGTATCGTTCAGCATGTGCTTGCGCTCGTAGGCCACAATACCGACGAAGGAGTTGGCGAGGGACGTTGGGACGGCCTCGAGTGGCGGGGGTGTCATACCGGCAAGCTTTCGGAGATCGTGGTAGACCTGCGGCGTGGGTAGGCCTTCGAGGATAACATACTGCTCCGAGTCGCTCATTGTGTGAGTAGGTAAGGGTTTTCGAAAGTGGAAGATTGATGCGCAACCTTGAGATTTGCAGGAGAGAATATGTACATGCAATCCACATCGGAGTACACGCGGAGTAAAGCACCAGGCTCGGAATGCCTCACAAGACTAACATCTCGTTTTCACATCTCAAAACACCCGCTCTCAGTTCATCTTCTCTGGTTATCGATCAAGGTGCAGACCAGCTAACAGACTCGAATGGTTTTGGTAGCTTTTGTACTCATCAATCATGCTGTAAAGCTAGTTGAGTGCCGTTAGCCGGAATAAGTTCTCATCACCGGCAAGAAGAGTATAGTCCTCAAAGCGTCTCATTTACTCCATCTTCCGGGTTGGTCATGTGAATCAATCTTCGCTGTGCAACTCCAGAACCACAACTTGGCCCGTCACGAGCATCACCACCTGACAGACCTCAGCGTGGCCCGCTGACATCCATCATTATCACTGGCCAAGTCTTGAGGTTTTTCTTCATCACAAAGCTTTTCATGTGCAACATCTGGAGTCAGGAAGCCACGATGCAGCCACCCGCCCTTTGCTCTCAAATGTGCCTTCCCGCATCATCTCCCAAAGATTCCAAGTCATTGCCAAACAAACATCCAAGATACAAGCACCGCCTTCCATGCTTCTTATATCTCGCTACATCATCAGACTCACATCGCCTTTCGTCACTCTTCCCGGTATCATTATAGTCATTCACTAACCCATCATGAGTGAGCAAGCACGCTTTCCGACGCCAATCACTGCGCAGGCAGTTGAGCAACGCACATCGCTAGCGTACTCATGGCTCAGATATGCCCTAGCCGTGGTGACAGTACCATACCGCCGAGCCTTCAAGCTTTACACATGGCAGCCACTTAAGAAGCTTCGAGCTGCCAATGGAGATCGCAACGTGTTGATTCCTTTGGTAAAGACATGGAAGGTAGATAAGTACGAGGAGCTTCATTCGGTTCAGGTCGCAGTAAGTCAATAGTTTTTATCAGACTTTCCTCCCCCTTGGGTGAACGTGATCGATAGCAAATGCTGACATTCCGCAGGCCAGCTTCTGCGGTGGTGAGTTGATGCCCATAGGCAATATGTCTCAAAGACGTATACTGACTTCGCATCTCTAATACAGCAGCAATAATCGCAAGCCTCTCTTGGTCCCGCACGGCGAACGCCCATTGGAGCGCGGACGCACTCTGGTCCAGCGCGCTCGTTTGTGCAATTTTCGCTATCATTACGAGCATTCAGTCAAAATCTATTCTCGACGATCTCCCCATGGGTGAACAACTGGACGAATCACTCGCCGTGTCTGAAGTGGAACGCATGCAGCGCACCATCCTACGTTACAAGAAGACGCCTGGGATTAAGCACTGGGCAATGCTATTCATATGGCAGTTCCCATCTATGACAATGGCTTATTCTTGGTTTGGAACTCCACGCACGAATTACATGTGAGATATACACTGACGTCGTACAATCAAGGTCTACTTACCTCGGCGGTCTCACAGTCTACGTCTGCACACCTTTCGTCCAGGAGCTGCCATGGCAGGCCCGGCACAAGGCAGGTAAACCAGAGTATTTCAAACTCTAAGCCGCTAACAGTTGAACAGATTGCGGTCACATATTTGGCTGTAGCATTTGTCTGTCTCGTCACTTACATCTTTTCCACCATCTTCGTCTATATTGGCGAGAAGGACCACGAGAAATCCGCCAATAGCTCGCCTGCGAGTATACAGAGTACCTGTGCCAACACAATCGACCTGGAGAATGGCATGGAAGCCACCAACGCCAGTCTTCAGGCATCCGTGCAGGGGAGCAAAGAAGGCTCCAGCAATTCCAGGGAGGGGAATCCAATAGAGATGACGCGATCGAAGGGCAGTATCAGTCTTGAACAGGAGAAACGACTCAAACAACATGGAGAGAGATCTGGTAGAGCCGGGCGGCAGTTGTTGTACTGATGAAGGCTTGAAGTTAGTCAGCCCTTGGTAGAAAGGCAAGCACGCGCCCTTGAGAGTCGACGAAGGCTCGCACTCATAGAGTACATAAAGCAGGGGCACACACCATCCCAATGAACGTCGTTATCTCCACTACGGTCTTGTTCGAGCTACCTACTCACGGTGCAGACCCAGTGAACGAGCTTTCCGCAGCCTGGCTCCTTTCTAGACCTGCCGGGCCAATTTGACTAGCACCTCTTACAACGCGCGCAACAAACAGAAAGAATGCACCATTTTCTCGCCAATGGCGGTCTTCCCATCCAGACCCTTCGTCGAGATCAGCGGTGCATGAATTTAGTGTTCACCTATCACATTTAGTAGGATCCCTGCTACGTCGTTGCCACAACCGGCTAATCTAGCGCCTGATAGCCAACCAGCTGAGCCACATCCGTTTCATGTGCTGTCTTCGCCTTCCTATACCCGCACCAAGTATATGCACACTGTCGCTGAAGCGGTGGCAGGTGAGCAAAAGCTAATATAGCATAATGCACATGGAAACGATTAGAGATGTTCAATTCGTCGACGGCAGAAGATGCGTGGCTGGACCCAGAGGCGATTCCATGGGAAGGGAACCGAGCAATTCCCCTGAGCATAGTGCCGACGATGGGTGTAGTAGAGTTGTCGAGGAAGGCGTGGTAGGGTGTTTGTATAAGATCTTTGTGTTTCCTCTTTGAAGGTTGTACGTGAGGAGCTTGACGTCAACCTCGACTCTTTTCCTACTTTCGTTAATTTCCGACCCAAGACGACACAATGGTTTTGAAGTCACTCTTTTATGTGGCGGCTTTTGTCGCGTCTGTCGTGAGAAGTGCGCCGGTCAAGCTCCAGGAAAGGCAGGCACCGAGTGGTGTTCCTGATTATGTGCTGAGATATGGTGAGTAGCAAAATCCATTTCAAGCCTCAGAAGAAGACTGCAGATGTACATCTGTCTAGGAGCCATTAAGTTTCAGTCTTGGTTTCATTTCACGTGTTTCGTTCCAGTCTCACTACTCATCATTGACTACAGCTAACATCCTCTAGCACCGATCGTGTACCTCCATTCAGACGACCAATACCTCCCCACAGACATCCAGACATTCCTCGATAACACGACCCCGCGCGTGAATTTCAATGAAGTCTCCGGCCCCTCAAAACCACTAACTTCATCCAATGTCAACCAAATGGGTGGCGATGTGTGGCTCACTTCCAACGACGATGTAACCAAGGATCCTCAATGGATCAAGGGCACCAAGCCTGACAGCAACGGCAGGACGAATGAAGCTGTGACTGCGGCTGTCATTGTAAACGACAAAGGCAATGGTAATGTCGACGCATTCTACATGTACTTCTACGCCTACAACTACGGCGGCGACGTAATCGGATGGAAAAAATTGAACTTCGGTACGTCTCGAACCATCCTCAGCCCTTTGCAATCCTGTCCCTTGAGTGCTAATGTACTTCCAAGGCAACCACGTAGGCGACTGGGAACACACAATGGTGCGCTTTACCAACGGCGTGCCACAAGCACTCTGGTACTCTCAACACGCCAACGGCCAAGCCTTCCAATATAGCACCGTGGAGAAGTCCGGCGACAGACCACTCGCATACTCGGCAAAAGGTAGTCACGCCAACTATGCCATGGGCGGCACACACGACCACACAATCCCGAACTTCAATCTGCCCGGCGGCGTGCTGCAAGATTACACGAACAAAGGCGTCATGTGGGATCCGCTGCTGAGCGCTTACTATTACAAGTTCAATGCCGGTGCGAATAGCTTTGAAGCGTACGACGACAGTACACCGACGAATTGGCTGTACTTCAACGGCCGCTGGGGCGATCAGGAATATCCTAAGAGTGATAAGAGACAAGTCAAGCTCTTTGGTCAGGCTAAGTTCAGTGGGGGGCCGACGGGGCCAGCGGACAAACAGCTCAATCGGGAGAAGATCTGTCCTGAGAATGGCAAGACGTGTATATTGAGGAGTATACTAGTGCCAAGGAGTAGTGGTACGGACGACGTTGCGTTTGAGGGAGATGAGGTGATTATTTGAGGGAAGAACGGGCCTAAGGGGAAACGATGGTGGAGGATGTGATCTGGGCGTGTGAGCATAGAGAGAGGATATGATACCCAAAGAGCCTTGCCGGTCTCTCAATGTATGTAGAGCTAGTAATTGTAATGCAGTGTTCCGGCTGGGATGTCCCTGGGGGTAGAATTTGTGTTCGTTCTGCGAGTACTCACTGCCGTACAAGTTACGTGAAGTCCGCTCAACGGCACCAAATACTAAAGCGTCGGTCGGCAATCCGAAGGAAGCGATTGTCGTTGGTCGATCATTTTGCCCACTTGGAACCGGCCTTTTCGGCGTATCTGTAGTGTGAGCATGCAGTCCGAACGCACTCAATTGCACACTTCTGGCTTGCTTGATGCTTTCATTCGTGACAGAACATGATGAAAATTTTCCTTTATTCATGCCTCCAGAGCTATATGCTCAACGGTGAAGCCACCCTCATTCATCATGTAGGATGGAACGCAACCGGGAGAGGGATGACAGAACGCCCCATGCCGAGCAATACCATTTGCCTGTAAAAACCCCGCTTTCCGATCATGCACCTGTCCGACTGGCCTCATCGCGCCGCAGCCTCATTCCATGCCTTTATTCTCGATGTTTACGAGGCCTTGACGGTGGGGCCCTTGGCACCAGCGGGCGCGCCGGTTCGGAATCCGTTGCTGAACTTGCGGTTGACGGTCTTGAGGTATCGCATGCGGCCGGTACCAGTGGTCTTCCTTCTCTTGGCCTTCTCGCCCCAGTTGACTGTCTTGTGTTAAACATTGTCCTCGACATGCTCGCTGTGGGTAAACGTACACTTGCGGGTCTTAGCAGCAGGGTAGCCGCACGAGGAGCAGGTGTGCTTCTGGATGTGGAGGGAGCGACGACCTGAGCATACTGTCAGTCCATATTTCAATCGCATCCAGCCTCAAATTCGCTTCCTAGCATCTCCAATTCCAGCATCCGATGGGAAATTACGTACCGCAACGCCTGCAAAGCGTGTGCGTCTTGTTATGGCGCTTTCCGAAACTGGAGGTACCCTTCGCTGTTGTCGCAGTCAGTCTCGAATTCGGCGTAACAATACGGGTTGGACGCAGGCGTACTCATTGTGAATTAGGCACTAAAAGCAATCGACTGTCAGTGTTGGTTCAGTAGCTGCAGGTGGGAGAGCATACCTCGTGACGCTGGTGGTTAGTATCGAGGGTGGTGGTGCTGGTTTGTCGCAGGCGTAGAATGAGGGTATCGGACAACCGAAGTCGAAATTGTCCCAACTGTGGGCGCTAACCTGTTCTGGGCTTAACGCACTTGGCACCGCACGCGCAAAACGCCAGAACCCCATCAATCGTATCACTGCACCACAACATCTTCCTTAACATTTCGATCTTTCTCCCATAACAGTTGATGTGGATCGCACTCTCGAATCCAGTTTTGCTTATCTGCGAGGCAGAATCCGCATGTTGATCACGATCATAGCTCCCGTTACCTCTTCACTTCTTCATGACATACATCGCCAACTCGAAATGCCATGCCATATCATATCCAACCAAGCTAAATTTTGTTCAAGAGTGAAGGAAGTAAAATATCGTGCTTTTCTAGACCTTCACTTTGATTCTAGCTAGGCAATGATGGCTCGACCTCTCCTCCTCACGACACCTGGGTTTAGTGCGCGACAATTAGATCCACCTACGCCACAGTCAAAATCAATTTGTCCTAGTTCCGTCTTATATTGATGTACATAGGGCTACTCCATGGGTTCTCAGTTAACTATACTTGCCGAAGGGTACAAGACTCTGCGTTCCAGGACCCATCATGTAGGACGTTGGCGTCCACTCAAGCGACAATCGTCGAGTTTGCAAGTTCGCAGCCTTTCGCCTGACCAGAAATTGCTCATCCCGGGTCATTTCAATTGTTCTTGCTTTGACTATACCCCCTTTAATCAGCTTGTTGCATGGGAGTTGCGAACCAGAGCCGCCACCAATTCTTTACCTATCAGCCCAGCACAGGCCAACAACAATCATAAAGAGATCGCAGGTCGCTGTTTTGAGTCAGGACACCCCCACGCACAAGCGCTATAGACAATGTTGAGCATTCCACCCTGTCGTCTATACATTTTGACTACCCCAGACTGACCTGCCGAAGGCCATCCCAAGAGAATGGTCCATGGCACCGGCATGGCATCGGGTTATCAAGCGTTCAAGTCCTGCAATGAACCTACCGGCCAACAGGATCACGGCGCGTGCCATGTGCCATGTCTAGCGAGAAGTTGCATGGGGACAGTTTTGAGTCGAGTGATGGACCAATCACGAGCGAAAACGTGAAAGCGTGCACGTTTTCTGTGGTGCGACTGCGGCAACGCCCTCCCGTATGGCGTATGATGCTAAGCCATCGCAAGAGCTCGTCCGAGTCTCGACGGGCTGCGTCAGGCTTATCTACTAATTGATATTGAGCGGAATGGCACTCGTCTTGCCCCTCTGTGCACCAGTCTCTAGGGTTAGGCCAGGCAGACGAAAAACATAGTAACCTGCAGCAACCACGTTGTTACAGGCCTTATATCCTATCACAGTACATGTTTAGCTCTCGTTTCTGACACCTGCCCGGCCGATCAAACCATTTTTATAATCCGCGCCTTCGAGCTGGCACAGCCTCGTTCCGTCCGTCCTTACTTGGACGAGTCTTTGGACTGAAGAACACACCTTCTCATCAGAGCGTTCACCTCCGTCCTCATGTTGTCGTTTGGGCGCGTTGGAAATGCAGCGTACAGAGACGTCCCCGGTGTCTATGTAAGTCATGGACCTTAGTCCTGCGATGTCACTGCTGACAAGCGAAGACCCATGTCAAGGATCCAAATGAGCGTCGTCGTATGGCCCTCGCGGAGGTCGACAAAGTGAGTATACGTGTTTAATACGCAGGTAGATTACTTTTATTAATATTTCTAGGCGCCTTTTGGGTGGTATCATGTTCGACTAGCGGTCGTTACCGGTATCGGGTTTTTCACAGATGCGTACAGTGTACGTGATATGTAGAGCAAGGCTGACAGTGTACTAACTCTACTCGCAGTTGTTTGCCATCAACCTCGCAGTCATCCTTCTTGGTATTGTATATTGGCAAGATGCAGAGCACCGAGGCATCATGCCTCATAATGCGGATACCGCCATCAAAGTCGCAACTTCTGCCGGGGCCATCTTCGGCCAATGTATATTTGGGTATCTAGGTGACTTGCTGGGGCGAAAGAAGATGTACGGCGTTGAACTCATGATTATCATCTCAACGACACTTGCGCAGTCACTCTGTGGAGAATCGACCAGTCTCTCTATTGTCGGCGTTCTTATCTTCTACCGCGTGGTGATGGGTATTGGCGTGGGCGGTGACTGTATGTGAGTCACGAACTCGGCAGATATGTCTCAAAGCTTTGATGAGAACGGCTTCTAAGCACCTCGGGACATGTCTTGCTAGTGGACGCTTTCTTTCTTCCCTCCCGTTCTATTGAGCTTCGCTAACCCGAAATCAGATCCACTCAGTGCAGTCATCACAGCAGAATTCGCCAGCACCCGGTACCGTGGAGGTATCATTGCAGCTGTCTTCGCAATGTGAGCGAATCTATGTACCAACTAGTTGTCAGACACAAACTAACAGTATACCTACTTTTCACAGGCAAGGGCTTGGTCAACTCGCCGCCTCTCTAGTGACACTCATTGTAGTTGTCGTCTACAAAGACCAGTTGATCACGGTAGCCACGGTTGGAGATTGTGTTGGCCAGTGTGCCTTGACGGTAGACAAGATGTGGCGCATCATCATCGCATTTGGCGGTATCCCCGGATGGTTTGCTCTCTACTATCGACTCACGGTTCCGGAAACACCCCGATACACCTTTGATGTACTTTACGATGTTGAAAAGGCGTCGGTTGATGCAAGGAAGTATCGCTATGGCAAGCAAGGGAACGTCGTCAACCCGGTCACTCAGGCGAAAGCACGCAGCGAGATGGCGAAGTACAAAACTCCTCAACCGACGTTGATAGAGGTCCTTCGCTTCTACTCGCAAAAGCGCCAAGCTATCAGACTCTTTGGCACTTCTATGTCGTGGTTGTATATCTACCCAACCCCAACGCAATACCCTAGACAACTTTCTGACCACCATGCAGCTTCCTTGACCTAGCTTTCTACGGTCTTGGTTTCTCCTCCGCATCCTTAATGTCCACAATGGGCTTCGACCAGCGCGCCAACCTATATCAGTACCTACGCAACACCGCGACCGGGCAAATCGTGCTAATCTGCGCCGGCGCCCTACCAGGCTACTGGCTCACCGTCTTCACAGTCGACGCCATTGGCCGAAAACCTATCCAAATCGCCGGCTTCGGCATCCTTACCATAATCTTCTGCGTTCTAGGATTTGCTTGGCAAGGCCTTACAAAGACACATCTACTTGTGCTCTATGTCCTCGCACAATTCTTCTTCAACTTTGGTCCCAACGCAACGACATTCATCACGCCCGCCGAGATCTTCCCCACACGCGTACGCTCCACCGGCCACGGATTCAGCGCTGGAATGGGAAAACTTGGCGCCGTCTTCGCGCAAATCTTCTTCGCCCCCATGATAAAAAAGGGCGCTACGCATGATAACCCCACACCGTGGATCCATGGCGTGATGCAGATCTTCGCCTTGTTCATGTTTCTGGGTATGTTGACGAGTCTTCTTGTTCCGGAAAGTAAGCGCGCGAGACTGGAAGAACTGGCCGGAGAGAAGGACGATGTGTACGAGCTGCAAGCGAGTAATTGGAGAAACAGGGGCGGAGCAGCAGCAGCAACAGCGGTCGATATTGAAGCGCCAGCTGTTGCTAGAGGCAGTGGAAGTGCGATGAGCGGGAAGAGTACCGAGGGGATATTAGGAGATGGGGATATTGAGAAAAAGCGGTGGAAAACGAGGCACTCTGAGTTACAACCGCATGCTCTCTGATGATTTGATTGTAAATCGGAACTCTCTGGACATTTTGCATGGTGTTTAAGCGTCACAATCTTTCAATGGGCTTTCTCTTTTGTTATCACATCATGTAGCATACTTCCATTCTCCTTACTCTTGCTCTATACCCTTATATTGGGAAGTTGTAGCGAGATAGCTAGTGTATAGACTATATCGAGGACATTGATCTGCGTCACGCATTGCTTTGTTCGAATACATCGCTTGATGAAGTTTCGTCCTTAGTTTCTATGACAGATTCACATGTGATTAAGCTGCATACGTCCCCAGTGTCGTAATCTCAGCCATCACCACCAGCTCCTCGGTCGAATACCCTTACACTGCCATCCCCCTTGATCTGATACAGAAACTCCCTCCCCTTCCCGCTCTCCTCGACCTCCTTCCCCTCATTTTCAAATCCTAATTCCAACCAATCCACCTTCTGCTCAGTAACGCGCACAACCCCGCTAACATCCCTCGCAACGCCAGTGTCCAAGACTCTGACCCCTAGTATCCTGCGACTCATATGCGCGCACTGCACGAGGAGATTGTGGTGCGCGATTTCGAGCGGTTGGGGCGGCGTGGAGAGGCTGAGAAGCGGTGTATCGGATTGAAGGTGTGTGAGGACATGCGAGACGGTGGGCAGTGTATGGAGACTGAGGATCAGCGAAGTGAACGCCGAGGGAGTGATCGTGGGGTCAAGCGCTAGGAGGAGATCGGGATTGTCGAGGACGATAAGTGTCCTTCGTTTCGGGGTTGACGTGGTGAGTGAGGAGACTGCGCTCGAGATTGTGGTTTTGAGATGTGCGAGTTCGAGCGTCTTGAGGGTGTAATGACCTGGCACACTCTGATTTGCACTCGCTGGTTCTACTACAACGCTCGAAGCGGTAGGATCCCTCTGCGCTGGTGTAGCTGGGGCTGGTGGTCCCCGCGCAGGCACTACTCGTCCTGGCGGTCCTCGTACAGGCAGTGTCGGCGGCGCCCTCGTTAGGGATATTGGAGGTGTCCTAGCATCTTTCAAACCTGCAACTTGCGCTCTTTTCCCTTCATTCCCTATTATCCCATTCCCAATCGCCTCTGACCCCGTTCCACTCAACCCATCCACAAACGCAAAGCTCCCTTCCCGCCTCAGCCTCTCTAGATCCAAACCCGCACCCTTCCGCGCCTCTTGCTTCCAAAACTCGTATTCCCTCATCCAACTAACAAGCACAACATTTGGTCCCTCTTCTCCACCATCTCGTGTACTACTGTCGCTCAGCGCATTGCACAGGAACCTGATTATCAGCCAATTCGCGCTGGCACCGAGGGTGCTTGTGAGGAGGAGAAGCGAATCATCGCGCGGGAGGTTTATGGAGGGTTGGAGGAGTGGCGGTATGCGAGTAGATGGTGGCATTGCGAGTGGGGATGCATGGAGAAATTATGTTATGCGGCGCATCACGGAGTTAATCTGGTCGTTATCGATAAGTGACGCTACATTGTCATACACGAAGAGAAGAGCTTCGATCGTCTTTCTCAAAATCACACCTTAGGATTGCAAACATTCGTGTGTATCGTTTTACATTCTTTAAACTTTTTTTGTGCTTTTCAAAAATATACCTGACGATGAACGGTCGACCATACGCGACCTCATCCATCACGTCTGACCGCAAAGTAACCCCGCTCGTGCATTTCTGTATCCTTTTGTCCAACCCTCCCCTCCTGGCAAGGTAACATGGTAGCTACCAGCAGGAACGAGGTGAAAACAGCCATATGCTAGCTTTCTGTATCATTACGCCAAAATCCCGACCGTCATACCTACTTTCCCTGTCGCACACTAATCGTCCCCCATTACGGCTGGGTCATTTCCACCGCAGTCGACCTTCGCCCTTGTCGCCGCCTACTTAGCATCTCGCTTCCAGTTGTATGCCTTGGTAACCGGCGGCGACAAGGAATCGAATGTCGATGCTGGCGGTACCCTAGAGGTAGACATTGGACCTAAGATAGACAGGCTCTCCTTTCGTCCAGCTGGCTTATGGTCCTGCTTTAATACCGTAACATCCCGTAACACTTCTTGCTTTTGGTCTTCTTTCTGCTCCTTTGATGCGAAATCGAATTCCAGCTCCAATAGCGCTCCATTCGTTCTCGATCCTCCTAGTTCAGCAGCACCAACTCCGACATCGAGAGTAGTAGTAGCGCCGGTATTCTTCTTATGTCGATGCGAAGGTTCTTGATGGGTCTCGACCGGTTCCAGACGTTGAATGACTGTGGCTCCCGTCGCTATCTTACCTAACTCGCTGGGGAAGAGCCATGGAAAAGAGATCAACGGCATGTGTTCTGGCTCCATAGCTCGAACTGGTACTTCCTGGCCTCCAATGATCTTGGTGGCATGGCACTCCTTCAAAGCCGCATCCATCTCTGCTGCCGTAACAGTGTACATGGCAGCGACGAATGGTCCTAATCGATTCCAATCTGCCATGTTGGTCATCTCTGCCGCAGCCCGACAAGTCTCCTTGTACTGAGCTTTCAACGCTCCGATTGTTCTACCGAATTCTTCGGCGAACTTATAATCGCGGCTCTCATGGTTGTGTGCAAGAACGAAGACCGACCAGGCTTCAAACTCTGTGCGTATACCATGTTTGGCCATTAGCCGCTTGAGAGACTCGTCGTAAGAGAGTTTGATCTCAGCTGCTTTTTTCAGAAGGCTCTCGTCATTCTCGAAAGCGCCGAGGATGCGATTGTCGAATGCATTCCCCCAATGGGGCTTAAAGTCAACGAGCTGTACTTGGTCGAAGAGCATGCCTAAGATCTTCCTGGACTTGTAGATTCTGATCTCCGCGATGTGCTTCTTCTCCATGAAGTGGGGCCATTTGGATGGTCTCAACTCGCGATCCATCACAGCTGGGATGCCGCTCTTTGGATAATCGACAGCTTGCGAGTGTAACTTGGCTAAATCGAGACCTACCATACTCTCAATACACTGCATTACAGCACGAGAAATTAGAACTTACAGATATCACTGCTCACGCCTTCTGCGTTGAAGTCTGCTTGCGCCAAGTGAGCGTGCGCAATCTGGCCGAGAGAGTCGTTCTTCATATACGTCACGAAGAATGCGCTAACATCTGCAATGGTGATGGGCTGGTCAGTCTCAATTGGCCTTTCCGGCGTAAAGTCCATGGGTGGCACGTTAATAGTCTCGGGTAGTAGGTCGCTGTCCCACAAGACCATATAGTCGTCGCCGTCAAGATCGCCTCCAGAGCACATATTAGCAAGATCCCGGTCGCCTGTTTGAGGAAGAACGACGACGTTCCTGAGATGGTGAAGCGCAGGTACGTCTACTGCGCGAACCACACGAATGTCACCTGGGTGCAGTGATGGGTTACGTGCAAGGATGCAGATGCCCTCGACGATTCTGTAGTGACCTTTCTTGTTGGTATCATCAACTTGGAGAAATATCTCTGGAAGAGTCGCGAGTTTCTCATCTCGTGTCGCATCGAGCCTCGATTGTGGGTCATCCATATGCCCTTTCAGGGTGGCCGTTTCGTCGACGCAACCAAGCACGAAAGCACCGTCGTCGATGGCGATACGAGCTTTCTCTTTCAGGTTTTTGATGGTGTAAGCACGCCAGAGCTTGAGTAAAGACATCATGAAAGGGTCTCGGGTCTTCATGAATCCATCGAGGACCATGCCCGCCATCGTGAGAGTGGTCTGGTTCATGTCGATATGCTTACGCAGCTTCACCAAGGCAATGTCTTCGTCAATCATGGCGTGCTCATAGTCGTTGACCATGTCTTGCTGCTTTCGTATGAAGACGTGGTCGGGTACACCAAGATTAGAGAGTACGATGATGATTTGCCGGTTGAAGAAGGGAGTTGCAAGTGCTGAGGATCGAATGATCTCGAGACCTTTGGACTCAGCTTCGAATTTCTGCTGACTAGGCCGTATGTGAACTTCGCTTCCGGTTAATGTTGGGTCAAGAGCAAGCACGCCTTTGCATCCCCCGAGTCGAAACTGAACCAATGGTGGTGGGTCATCGAAAGGGTTTGACAGTCCAAGCTCTTGTGCAGCCATTTGGGCCAAAAAGAGTGATATCTTGCCAACACCATCACTGAAATTATAACCGTTACGCTCGATGTCCGGGATTTTTATCGTCTTGACGTTAGTTGACATGGCACGAGTGGTGGAGAAACACTGGCCGAGGCGAGCGCCAAACTTTGCGACAGTCTTGATGTGATCGAATCGACCGAGAGACATGCGAATGTCGTCTGCTGATTTGGAAGAAGTTGGAGCGTAAAAGTATGCACCATGTTCACGGAATTGCGAGTTTCCGAAGGCCAGAAACTCGTAAAAGCGACCAGCTACCACGATACCGTACTTCATTGCTCGACGTACACGATCGAACACCGCTTCAGCCCTGTCATTGGGCATGTTCCTTAGGACACCTTCATTCCTCTCGTCGGAGAACTTGATGCGTATAAATTGATCAGAATCTGTCGCGTATTTGCGAGTTATTCGGTTTGAGGTTTCCATAATGGGTGAAGCTACGTGGATCATGGTCGGTGTGATAGTTGCAGAGCGCTGGAGGATGCAATAATTTGGCATCTTCTTTTCGAGACTATCCTTGCTGCGGATGTCGAAGATGTCCATCGGATTGTAGTAGGTATGTTGCTTGTCACAAACCTTCTCGAGGAGATATATAGCGTGTCGAAGATCCATTGAAAGGAGTCTTTCGAGGAACTCTCGGGTGATGTTGTGTTCTTTGAGATAGCCATTCGACAAGCATGCCTCGAGCTGATATCGGATTGGGAAACTCAAATGAATCTGGCCTACAACTAGATGATTGAATTGAGACTCCGTGGACTCCGTGGGCGGCTCGAGGTACGGGTGCGTGCCAGAGATCTCATCTTGTAAGAGACTCCACAGTGGAGACGCAATCCATTCTTTGACAGAGTACTGGTCACGGTCTTCGATTACAACACCATAGTCTGCGAGGGCATTGCTGAAATCTTTGAACTTCGCCGTGTTGAAGGTGGCCTCGTCGAAAGAAAACCGGTAACTAGTCCAACGACCCATATCAATGATAGCCTTGTCCTTTTGATCCATCAATGGGAGGTCTTTCAAATCGTTCCTTACGATGTCAGTCTCGCGAAACCAAGTATCCCAATCGTTCCAAATCTTGTCCCTCCGAGAGAAGCTGGTGTGCTTTAGACCGCCTATCTCCTCATTCTCGTTCTTCTGTATGAAGAATTGAGGCGAAGAATCGAATGGGATGATGAGAGTGGTTTGGCCGGTTTTCGGGTCGGAGACTTTATAGATATTTGAGAGTAAAGAAATCGGAAGTCGAAATCTGAACTTGCGCGTTTGATTGCCGAATTTCAGAGGGAACTGGATATCGAGCTCTTTGCGCTTCAAGTTTAAAGTCATCTGTATCCCACCATGCGACTCCACAGTGTGCATGGCAATCATGGACATGTCTGCAACTTTGATGCCGAAGTCGATGGAATTTGCGGAGAGTATGTTGAACTCATAGTACTGCTTTTTAGTGTCCAATGGGCTTGCAATAGTAGTAACGGATGGATTCAGCTCGTCCAAATTCACGATAAATGTGCCAACTCGAATACGCTGATGCGTAAGGTCGTTTGGTGGTGGTCGGAAGGTGACATACGCATTGTTATCGACAGCGCCTTGCTGAATTTCGATCCTCACGACAGTCCCATATGGTGACAAGGCAAGATAAACATCCTTAGTCCAGAACGTCTTTGGCATGCCTATAATTTTGATCTTTCGCTCCTGTTGGTAAGCCCAGTGTTTTTCGCCGTCTTTAGTGAGCGGTCTATGTAGCGAGCGCTGGCCACCTGGACCATTGCGATGCTGGTTGTTTCCATGTGCAGGTGAAGGTGGATTAGAGTGCCGTGATGCACTGGCGAGGTCAACGGGTCGTTCGGTGTAAGTTTCGTTGATCTGATGGCCATTCATGGTAAAGGATGATTGTTGCTTAGCCGGAGAACCCGGCGAGTCCAACCAGGCAGGAATTCGAGTGGATTGTTCAGGAGGCGTATCATGGCCTTGGGAGGCGGGCGAGGGCCTGAGGATAGGTCTATTCTGGTTGTATCCGTTGGAACTGTCTGAGTTTGAGCCTGTACGATGGCCACGATGGCCACCGCGACCACGCCGGTAGCCGCTGTTGCCACGGTTCATGTTGTAACCACTGTCGGAACTTGTTTCGGAGCTGCGCTCACTATATGCTTTGGCGGTTTGGTCTGGGGCTTGGGGAAACGCGTGCCGATCTTGGTGTAGGCGGGAGGGTGCGGTGTTGTGGAAAAATGGAGTCGAGTTGGTAGAGCCTGTGTTATACCGAGCTGGATCCATGCTTGTTTGTTGACGTGCTTGCGCTCACGCCAGCTCGATGGAACGACGGAGGAATCAAGGTGAAGGCGGCAACGAGACGCCCAATCGAAGGTGACTGCTACTTCGAGAAGGCAATATGGAGCGGCAGCTAAGGCTGGTGTGAAAGCCAACTGCACACCTTGGCTTGACGGCAAGTTCTGTAAGCGAATGCTTGATGATCTGTGGTTAGAGAGGAATGGGTTCGACCGATGGTTGTGTATTTGTTTGCTCGAAGTCGAGAAGCGAACAAGCGTTTGCGCCGAAGCCCTGACGAGGCAGGAACGACTCACTGCAGGTGCAGCCACCTTTACGCGATGGCCAAAGGCGAGTTTGACGATCGTATTTGGATAATTGAGCTTCTTGACGGAAGCGCAAATGAGAGCTCGGGTCGTAGATTATAAGAGAGTGGGTGGGGTTGGAGACCAAGTGAGGAAGCCACGATGAGAGGTCGCAAACAATTACTTGTAGAGAGATGTCTAAGACCAAATTATGAGACTTCCTTGACTCAGCCTGCAAGGTCAGTGCGTGTCTGTTGGCTGCAACTCTAGATCTTGAGAAATAAGCGTGAGAGTCGTTGGGAATGCGCATGAGAGGGTGTCTAGCCACGTGTGTAGATGATAGACGACGACGACAAGAGGAGAAGGTAACAAGAGAGGTAGATGTAAATTATGGAATATACTGATGCAAGGTAAAGGTAAGAATGAGACTGCGCATTAACATAGAACGTTTGGTATCTCGAAACTGTCAAAATTCCTGTATATCGCAATCCGAATACCCATGGCGTATCGAAAAGAGATATATACGCAGACTGCTTCTAACCTTCTACCTTGCATACTCATCGCAATCCATGCCGAACACTTACGTATCTCATAGATCAGTCATGGAACCATAGTCTTCATCTGATACCCTTCCAGTACCCGCCGTGAAATTCCCGGGCGTGAGTGGTGTGCCGGCCGGGACGTCATTCATGTCAAAATCTGCTTGCTCCATATCCTGCAGGCTGCCTCGCCTCTTCTTCATCAAGTGTGAATTCGTGGATTGATGCTCGTCTTCATTATCTGATATGGCAAAACCAACAGTCGTATGCCGACGATTTGGTGACATCTGCCCCAAAGCCGAACGCTTCCTCGGCGACGGTTTTGTTGACGCAGGTCTCGAAATTAGTGCCGGTTTCTGGGTGTAGGGAGTGTGCATCGCAGGCACTTTGAACGACGGGCGTGGCTTAGGACGCTTGTGATGTGAGCCACCACTTTGTGAGGAGTAAGGGTCGGATGAGGCGAAAGTCGTGTTCGCCATATCTTCTGTTGCGGTGTGCGGGCTGCCATTGGTATCACTTGTGACCTTCGTCACAATGGCTTGTGTATTGTTTGCCGACTCGCGACGTCGATGTTCTCGCGACGCTCGCGGGTTAGAGTCATTGGCCTCCGTGTGCGAACGAGATGCTGACCGTATTACCAACGGGTTCTGGGTTGCAAGGTCCAGGCCCATCGATGCCAGCACGTTCTTCCTTACGGTCCGCAGCTCATCTAACTCTACTTCTTGTTCTGAACATCGGTCTGTGAGTTCTTGAATTCTGTTCTTTAGAGGCGGAATAGAAGTCTGCAAAAGCTGGAGGTCCTTGCGCGTCTCGTCGTATGCATCCTTGGCCTGCCGGTTGTTCTTTAGGGCGCTTTGAAGCTGGCCACTGAGTTCATTGCGCTCTTCTTCGGCTTTTATGGAAGCAGCTTCCGTGGAGTTATCATATTTGACCTTCAGCTCCCTTAATGCCTCTTCGGAAGAATGTATGAGCTCCAGGTGAGTGACTTGTAGGTCGTCTAAACGCCCGCTGATGACCTCGAGCTCCGTTTCTGCGACCCCTAATCGGTTCTCAAGATCGCTTTCTCGATTCTTGAGTCGAGCGACCTCTTCAACCTGTCTAGAGGTAATTTCACGCTCGTCTGCCAATTTCTGTTCAGTGTCGCTAAGCAGACTCCGCAGGTGCTCTTGTTGCTCGTTAAGGTTGTAGTGGGCTTCCTCTTGCTGCTCTCGCGCTTCCTCAAGCTGGCTGAGCGTAGCTTTCAGCTCATCCAATTCCCTATCTCTAGCGCCAAGGCTCTCTTCGTGACGGAGCATCGTTGACCGATACTCTAGTTCCTTAGTATTGAAGTTCTCCTTAGTCGTACGCAGCATCTTATCCGCTCGTTCATTCGCTTCTGCAAAATCAGCCTTCAGCGCTTCTAGCTGCGCGGTGACCTTGTCGTTTTCATCGGCTATGCTGAGTTTTTCGTCCTCTAAGCCATCTAGGTGGAATCTGTCGTCAGCTGCCTGCGATTCAAGGGACGAGATCTGTTCAAGCAATGCAGCCACCCGCTGCTCTAGCTCCTTCGATTTCTCCTGCTCCATTCGCAGTGGTTCCTCAACAGTGTCGCAGCGTGTTTCGAGATCTTGGCAAATCTGCGCGACAGAACGAATAATTGAGTCACGTTGATAGAAGCTCTGGCTCTGGAGTTCCGACCTAAGACGATGTCTCCAGTCCTGTAGGTGCTGGCCGGTATGCGGCGTGGATCCCTGCTGGAAAAGGGATATGGTAGGACAGTCTGCCGTCTCCAAATAGTGAGAACACTTGTGGGTGACGGATGGATACTGGTCAAGTTTTTTTATCAGCGCAAGGGCAAGGGTATGAGGTAATGCTGGCTCCTCTATTTGAGTTCCAAGAGCTGTCGTCAATAACAAAGCAGTTGTGGCCGATGTCAGCTTCGCATGTAGTGACACAGCATATGTACGGCAGCTAGCACCTTCGTTCTTTATGCCAGCCTGTATAAAACGCCACGACTTCTTTTGTAAGGTGTCCGAGGATAGCGCGACTAATATCTTGGTTCGTAGCGGCTCGGAGGTAGAAACTCCAGTCTTAAGCTCATCGACCAGAATGACGAGGTTGGTCAACTCGTGTGAGGAAGGCGGTGAGACACATGCTTCAAGTATATCAACGAGCAGCGCCCGAATGGTACTCTCTTGAATTCGTGGAGCGAAAGCTGGGAGCGACATGGCGAGAGTCTCACCAAGGCAGTCTGGATCAGCGAACTGCGTCGCTTCCACCAAGCATTGCTCGTATTGCATCACAGTCTCCGACTGAAGGGTTTCCAGGCCTGCGATCGTAGCGTAAAAAGATAATGCCTCAAGTAGAATAGGCTGACTAATCGCTGTTCGCTTGGTCTTCTCCGACAGCTTTTGGACAGTGTTCCCTGCAAGGGAACTAGACCTGGGCCAGCTCTCTCTCACATGTTGATCCACGAACCGTAACGTTCTTGAAGCAATACGTATGCCTTCAATAGCGTCATCATCCGACACGCCAACAGAGCCCTTTAGAGCCCAGATCACACTCAGACATGTTAGTGTAATTGTCTTGTACGAGCTTTTTGTCGAACCAAATAGCTTTTTGCCCGAGGATGTCTTCCATTGTCTTTCCATGGTTTCGGTAGTTTTTGACGGCTCAGGGCCAGAGTCAGAATGCTCTACAAGAAGAACTATACCGAAACACCATAGCAACAGCATGGAGTCTCGTGCGGCGTTCTCCGAGTATAAAATTTGACATAGTTCGGTGTCGAACTGTTGTCTTGTGTCGAGGGGAAGATGGGAGAGAATTTGCCGACATGCTCCGTTCAACATACTATATACCGACTTCAGGGTGTCAACATGTGGGGTTTGTATTGCCTTCTCAAAGACATGGAGGAAGAATGACTGTGCGGCAGCCGGTAATGGGATTGACTCCGGAAGGGGCCGTGAAAGTAGGAGCACACATAGCTCGGTATACTGTACTATGTGAGCGTTAATCTACACCGTCAGACCCTGTACTTACATCCTTGAAGTCCTGGTGCGAAGAGTTTGCTTGGGTCAGCAGAGCATTGAGAAGCCCGGGATTTCGAAGCAATAGTTCATGCCGGAATTCTGAGGCATGACCTAATCGCAGGATCAGTTGATTGCGCCGCCTTGTAAGGCAGAAGATTACATACTCAGGGCATGCAAGACACGCAACGCGTAAGCCCAGAGTGGTAAAGCTTCGCAAACAATTGTTGCCAGCTTGCTCACCGCACATGGTGGCCGGCTGTGGATGCATGCTCGAATGGTCGAAATGTCGGCGCGAGCCAGTAGATCGGCCAAGCCCTACGGACTCTCGCGTCAGCACTCTTTACCTACATATGCATCAAGTCATGTGTTCTACTACAGTAGTATGTACGACACAGACTTGCATCAAAAGCTGGGGTACAGTTGCGGAGAAGGGGCCACTCACCGCAAGAGAGGCTGGGTATGGACACTCAATGATCCTCGTCACTTCCGATGATAGTGCTGTGCCAATGTCCATTATGACTGCTCGGTCGGTTGAGGCAAGGTATTCGTATTCGGAGTGGTGCCGGACTATCTTCGTGGAGTGAGTTCGACCATGCGCCGAAGTGTTTGCGTTACCGCTGCCCTGACAACCGATGAGGCGCCGGGATTACCGGTACTACGCTTCCGCATTGGAGTGCACACCACCGACCACGAACTCACCGCACGTCTGACAGACTCTTGTTGCACCCTTACACTTGATTTACGTCAGCCTATACCGACGGTGCATTCGGGACGCGCAATATGGCCGTTCTCTGGGAAGCATTGCGGGGGTTGTACAGTCCCTGGCTCCCTTTGCTACCTAATTGGCGGCTTTTTATTGCACGCTTCATTGCTTTTTTGGAAGCGGCTCCATGGTCTCCTCCACGCTCTACACTCCCTCAGCCAATTCGAACGACACCGTTGTCAAGGCTCACTCCGCGCCTCGGGTTGCCGCTCACCGTCCCTGCGGCAATTGTCCGAGTCTGGGCGTCTGTTCTCTTCCTTCACCGACTAACGAGAGCCTCTAGGTTGCTTTCAGCAGCGAGCGTGGGATGAGATGGCCCAACATCCATGCGGAGCTTGTCCCCCACCTGCACATTGTCAGCCAGCAGTGCTGTGCTGCACAAACAAGGAGTGAGTTTTGTGAGGGTAATCGTATCACAGACGTCGGCGAGGTCACTTGCCGCTCAGCTCCATCGCAGGAAGTATCTTTGTCGGGCTTCGCTAGAGCTTCGAAGCCACGGGCAACGGCTATCTAAACCCGAAGGCTACTGCGCGGTCCCTGGCAGACGCCTCGCCTGTCCCCAGACTGGGCTTTATAGAAAAGGAAGTTCAGGTTGCAGCAGCACAGCACGCGAGTGATCCAGGGCCATAGCTTCGGTGCTCGTCTGTGGCCGTTGGAAACGCCCTGTCACGCGACTGAGATCATTCGGAATGTCATTCAGCGTCACCTGTCGCCACGATGCGTCTCGACAGCACATCTCTACTAGTCGTTGCCCTGGTCTTCCCCGCAATTACCATGCTTCATGCTCAAGCCCCCTTGCAGCTGATCATGCATGCCATCCTGATGTTGCGTGAGCCGAAGAAATTTGATACTGAATATCGGAATCTAATCAGCCTCCCACGTTGCCACTGGTCCATCCCGCGACTTTTCAGATGCTTTGTTGCGTGTTTGCCTGTGCGCTGGCCATCAAAGCTCGAAGCGACACCCATTCAGGAAAGTTGCGCCAACTGCGTTTAACTCAAATAGCTCTCCCCGCTCTGTACCGTCCATGTTCTAACTCCACTAACATAGCGCATCCAGCCCTGCAGCTATGTTCCTGTCTATTCTTCTATCACTCTAGCTTACAATTCGCGGCGTGACCCATGGCCATCCGAAGTGGGTTCTGCATTTTAGTTCAATCACGCAACTCAACGGTCTACCGTCGCTCACTTTCTTTCTGTCCGACTTCATTATGTTCCGCCAGCCAGCAGCTCGATTGAGGCAACTTGCCTCGCCTCTACTCAAGCGGGGTGGGTCCCGAGCGCAAACGGGAGCCGAGCAAACTTTCAAACCGAAACACATCCAGAGACCTTTCTGGAACTCTGGTAGGGTGCTGCTATTCTCGGCTGTGACTGGCACGACGACTTATTTCTACGGTGCCAACGACGATCCTCACCGGCTTCAGCTGTCATGGCTTAAATCCTCGGGTCCTCAATATGCGTCCAAGAGAGAGATGCAAAAGGCAAGTTCTCATTCGTACTTGAATCATCATTCGTATGCTAATACTAGTCGTAGGCCATCGGAGAGTTAAGGGAGACGTTGGGCGAAGATGCGATTAGTACAGATGACGAGGATCTACTCAGGCACGGGTACTCGGAATGGTCTTCCATCAACATCGAGCAGCTGCCAGTGGCAGTAGCGTATCCAAAATCGACAGATGAAGTCTCTCAGATCGCAAAGCTCTGTTACAAGTACAAGATACCCATGAGTATGTTCGCGAAGGTACACTATGGTCTTCTTGCTGATCTGGTGCAGTTCCTTATTCTGGAGGATCGAGTCTGGAAGCCAATTTCGCCGCTCCATACGGTGGTATGAGCATCGATTTCACCTTCATGGACCAAATCATTGCACTACACGCAGACGAGTAAGCAGCAACTATGACCGTTTGAGGTTGGAGTCAACAGGACTAACGTGGACTTCGTAGTATGGATGTTGTCGTTCAGCCCTCAGTTCCCTGGATGAGCCTCAACGACCAGATCAAGGACTCTGGCCTTTTTTTCCCTGTCGATCCTGGCCCGTCGGTAAGCGCTTTTGAGTTTCCCCAACCTTGCTTCGGCATCCCCAAAGGGGCATCCCGAGCCGATGTTAACCAACGTGTCAGGCTAGAATTGGAGGCATGGTCGGAACAAGCTGCAGGTAAGAGAGCTGTACTTGAGCAATATCTGGGATGACGAATAACAAATTGACAGCGGAACCAACGCTGTTCGATACGGAACCATGAAAGATTGGGTTATCAATCTCACTGTGGTCCTCGCAGATGGCACAGTGATCAAGACACGACGTCGACCGCGGTATGCTAGACTAGACCCTATCCTTTTTGCATCGTACGTATTCCTAACCTTGACGCAGGAAGTCTTCAGCCGGATACAATTTGACCAACTTGTTCATTGGCTCAGAAGGAACACTAGGTATAGTGACTGAAATTACTTTGAAGCTGGCTGTTGTTCCACAGGAAACCAGTGTTGCGGTCGTAACATTCCCCACAATCCGTGATGCAGCAGCGGCAGCATCCAAAGTCCTGCGCGCAGGTGTGCCCGTAGCTGCAATGGAGATCATGGACGATGTACAGATGGGTGTCATCAACAAGGCCGGGTCAACAACTAAGCAATGGAAAGAATTGCCAACTATGTTCTTCAAGTGAGTTACACAAACATGTTGCACTACCAAGCGCACAAGCTAATAACCTCAAACAGATTCTCGGGAACAAAGGCAGGGGTAGGTTCAGCCCTGTGTGTCATACAATTACCCGGAATGGAACTGACTGCATGACAGGTACAGGAAAACATCGAGCTGGTAAAATCTATAGCTAGGGCACATAAGAGTGGGGACTTTGAGTTTGCCGTCAATGCTGAAGAGCAAAAGACTCTCTGGTCAGCGCGTAAAGAGTCTCTTTGGAGCATGCTAGCGCTCCGTCGTGAGGGTGATGAGGTATGGTCTACAGACGTAGCTGTTCCGATTTCTAGGCTCCCGGATATCATAGGTACGAAATGGTCCGACTAGTCTCTATGCCGGGGTGTATTAACTCGACCACAGAAATCTCCAAGAAAGAAATGGACGATCTGGGTCTCTTTGCAAGCATACTAGGTCACATTGGAGACGGCAACTTTCACGAAAGCATCATGTATAACAGCAAAGACCCAAAAGAGCGGGCGGCTGTTGAAAAGTGTGTCCATGACATGGTCGACCGCGCACTTGAGATGGAGGGTACTTGCACCGGCGAGCATGGTATAGGCTTGGGAAAGAAGGCGTCTCTCCAAAAGGAGCTTGGAATAGATACGATCAACGTGATGAGAAGCATCAAAAGCGCTTTGGATCCGCATTGGCTCATGAACCCAGGGAAAATCATGGATGCGCTGGAGTAGGTCTGCATGGCACGATAGGCATTGGTTCTTTATTTCTTAACAAACTTGCATTGGGCGGCTGTTTGACATTCTACGCTGCATCTGCGGGGGAGCATATATAGACGGCATCAATCATCACTCCATTTTAATATGGCCCTAACCTTGCTATGCGACGCCGAAAAGTCGGGGTCTCCTGATGTTGGATCATGTGTCATGGGCTGAGATGTTCGGACCTCCGTGATCGGTGGTGTCGCGTTTTCCAACCCCACCCGCGTCATAAAGCTTTGGGATCTTCCATTGACTCATGTCTGTAACCACAACGATGGACGCTGAACACTTTACGTCGCCTAAACGGGAATTCCCTAAGAAGAAGTGCGGTGCGTATGGGTGCTCTAGAGGTTGAGCAATTAACTCACTCAATTGCAGGTGTGCTTGGTGCGACGGGCTCAGTGGGTCAGCGCTTCATCCTCTTGCTTGCGCTGCACCCGCACTTTGAGCTACACGCCGTCGGAGCTTCTGAGCGCTCAGCCGGCAAGAAATACAAGGATGCTGTTCGGTGGAAACAGGCACTGCCGTTCACGGAGCGCATTGGAGACTTGGTGGTGAAGAAGTGTGTGCCTGAAGAGTTTAAGGAGTGCGATTTGATCTTCTCTGGCCTGGACAGCGATGTTGCAGGAGACGTTGGTATGCAAACCGAGTAAGAGGATGCGCATCGTGCTAACCATGACACAGAAATGTCCTTCCTCAAGTCCAATCTCGCCGTCTTCTCCAACGCAAAGAACTACCGTCGCGACCCTCTTGTGCCGCTCGTCGTTCCCACCGTCAACCTCCCCCACCTGGACGTGATCAAGCATCAGCGGGCACACCATAAACTGGAAAAGGGTTTCCTTGTCTGCAACTCGAACTGCGCCGTCATTGGCATCGTCATCCCTTTCGCAGCCCTACAAGAGAAGTTCGGCCCGGTAGACCAAGTATCCGTTGTCACCATGCAGGCCGTCTCTGGTGCCGGCTACCCAGGCGTAAGCAGCATGGACATCATCGACAACGTCGTCCCCTTCATATCCGGCGAAGAAGACAAGCTGGAGACGGAAGCGTCCAAGATTCTCGGCAGCGTCAACGACGATGTTACAGGCTTCGTCGACCAGCCCATGAAGGTATCTGCAGCGTGCAACCGCGTCCCTGTGCTAGACGGACATACAGCATGCGTGTCGCTGCGCTTCCAACGCCGTCCGGCGCCAAGTGCGGAAGAGGTCAAGCAGGCCATGCGCGAGTATGTGTCTGATGCGCAGAAGCTGGGTTGTCCGTCTGCGCCCAAGAATGCGATTGTGGTTATGGAGGAGCCAGATCGGCCGCAGCCGAGGTTGGATAGGGAGACGGATCGGGGGTATGCTGTTAGTGTGGGACGGATACGAGAGGATGAGGCGGGCATGTTTGACATCAAGTTTGTTGCGCTCAGTCACAACAGTAAGTGCACTACATTCAGGAAACGGAAGACTGAGCTAATCCATCGTAGCTGTCATTGGAGCTGCTGGGTCGTCGATTTTGAACGCAGAGGCAGCGGTGCTGAAGGGATATGCATAGGTTTGACACAGATTGGCGTCCAAAAGGTTTCAATAGACATTAAAGATACCAAAAATCAAATACCGTTCACTATACGAGGAATGTGTCTCGTGCATATATGTTGCCAAATTGACATATCTATTCGTTGCTAAGTGAAAGTGTAGGTTTCTTTGCCATAAGACGTCTGACGGTACTTGAGGTATTTACATCACTAATGAAAAATTGTAAAGACCACTAAAGATTTTTATTAGCCTACTTGCTGTTGGTGCACTCCCGAAGTCATGTGAGGATGCTCGCGATGGTCGATTTTTTATTTACGGGGTTAGCGCGCCAAGGCCTCGCTTCGCACAGCGCAGATGTCAATATTCGACCACCGATTCTGAACACTCGCCAGGACTCCGACAACCTTCGACGACTAACCTCACAAAACAGTCAAAATGGGCCGTGGACCAAAGAAGCACCAGAAGCGCCTCAGCGCGCCCTCGCACTGGCTTTTGGACAAGCTGTCCGGTATGCTGACTCCTGCGACTGCAGTCGCTCGAAACAACGAAAAGAAGCAGGACTGACATTTCTCAGGTGCCTACGCACCCAAGGCCTCCCCCGGTCCTCACAAGCTCCGCGACTCGCTGCCTCTCGTCATCTTCCTGCGTAACCGCCTCAAGTATGCGCTCAACGCCCGCGAGGTCAACGCCATCCTCATGCAGCGCCTCGTCAAGGTTGACGGCAAGGTCCGCACCGACTCGACGTTCCCCTCTGGTTTGATGGACGTCATCTCGATCGAGAAGACTGGCGAGAACTTCCGCCTCATCTACGACACCAAGGGCCGCTTCACCGTCCACAGGATAACTGATGAGGAGGCACAATACAAGCTTGGCAAGGTCAAGCGTGTCCAGCTCGGCAAGGGCGGCATTCCCTACTTGGTTACGCACGATGCGCGAACGTAAGTTCCCGCTCCATCAGCCGTTGACCAGAGTGTGGGCTAGGTGATTGAGGGAAACCTTTTTCACCAGGCATACGACCAGGGTCTGGCTATGTCATGAAATGATGCTAAACAACGTGTAGAATCCGCTACCCCGACCCGTCCATCAAGGTCAACGACACTGTCAAGATCGACCTCAGCACTGGCAAGATCTCCGACTTCATCACGTTCGATACTGGTGTCATTGTCATGGTCACCGGTGGTCGTAACATGGGTCGTGTTGGTGTCATCAGCCATCGTGAGCGCCACGACGGAGGCTTCAACATTGTCCACTTGAAGGACGCCGTTGACAACGAGTTCACCACTCGTGAGACCAACGTCATGTAAGTTGGACTTTTTTTTTTTGATTTGGTAGTGTCTTTACTAACGTACATGCAGCGTCATCGGAAAGGAGAAGCCATGGATCTCGCTGCCCAAGGGTAAGGGTGTCAAGCTCTCGATTGCTGACGAGCGTGACCGCCGCAGGGCGTACGCCATTGCTGGCCAGTAAGTGTGATGGCTGGAGAGAGGTAGATTAGCATATGAAGTTGGAATGATTCTATGAGCATCGGTGCAGGACTCGGATTCCCAAAACTAGGCGTTGATGACTTGTGGGGAGGCTGCAAGGGATCTGGAGCATCTCAATCATATGAACACCAAATCAGAACGAATCAAGCAAATAAAAACTTGACGTTGATAACTCGTGAATGAGTTGTAACTTATGATGTGAAGTTTCCACAGTCTACTAACATTGTTGGACTTGGATTCCCTAGAACTGTCCCTCCAGCTACTCCCCAGTCGAACCCCCAAGCTATCCCCTTCGTTGACGACTTGTGGGGAGAACGAATCAAGCAAATAAGGACTTGACGTGGATGATTTGTGAATGAGCTGTAAAGTGAAGTTTAACCATTGCACGAACACTGATATTGGACTTGGGCACACTCCTAAGCTACCCCTTGGTGGTCATGTACAATACAAGCTTTCACACATGTACTCAACAAACGATGAGATTGGGATGATCCAACATCGAGTGCCCACAATTTTTGAAACACTAATGTAGGACTCGGAGTGTCGCTGATGACTTGTGGGGAGGCAGGACAAGGATACTCTATAGAAAAGGATAAGAATATATAGTATATAGGGCAATTTGGAAGCGATACAAGGCGATGCTATTGTTGGTGGCTGACGGATTGGGGGATTTTGCCGTGGAGAGATAGGGGAGGCGCTATCTTTGGGCCTGATTGCAGATGCGGCACACCAAAGGCTGGGCGAGGCCATGAAGAAGAATTGAGCGCGACGTTGCAGACACTTGTTCCAAGGGACCCGACTATACTCTTTTGCTCGCGTGGATTCAGGCAGACGAGGCTCTGCGTGTTTGAGCACCAACGTTTGATGCAGAAAAAGCATGGTGACGGGGAACAGAGAGAGTGTTTTGATTGCGAGCTTCCGATGGCAATCTGCATGCCCCCCTGTCTCGCCACTCAGAGGCAGTGCTAGTCTGGCTTAGTCGCTTCTGCGCAGACGGCTTGTGTGACGGGTGCGAAATGAGGCCGGAGTGAGACTCGAGGACATGGCGAGAGAGAGACAATGGGGTTGCGAACAAAGGGCAGCCAGCCATCCACGAGAGGGGGAGGGGGGGCAACAAAGCCTGCTTGATCGAGAGGCGAGCAAGATTCTACGTACAATCGTAGTAGTAGTGTATGATTATTATTGCCTCTATGACCTAGACATTACCTAGCAGGAGGCATGGATTTCATCAATCATTCAACGCCTGCTCCAGCCTCCACCCCCTGCCATTGGCTGCTGTCCGCCTCCTGTGGTTCTCGAGCGACCGCGCGACCACGACCACGACCATCCACCGCCCGCCCACGCCCACGCCCACGCTTCCCCGCAACACTGCCATTGCCAACCCTCTCGAGCTGGGCGCCATTTCCGTCTCTCCTTCACATTCCATTCAGCGCACACGGTCGCCGCCTCCCCCAATGCTATACCAAGCATCCTCTGTACAACCCCAACCCCAACCCCAACCGTCACTCGTTTCACTATTGGCCCACCGCGCCTAACCCACTCTACACCACCTGCTGCGCCCACGCTCCCCCGTCTGTGTGCGCTCAACTTCCTCCCCCAAGGCCGCACTTGCAGGCCTGGGTACACCGACCCTCTCTCGCTCAACACCACACCTCACCGAGTCTCGAGAGCCGGCCTCTGGCGAGCTGGATCCTCGTAGCAGACTCCCCTATTCTTCGCCATCATCATGCTCCGGCCGGCCACCCCCTTATCCATTCTATTCTTCGTCGCCTTCGTGCTGCTCCTGCTCTCGACCCTCTCGTCGCCCATCATCAAGAGCATTCCCCTCGCTACCTATCGCGGCATCGACTTTGGCGTCCTGGGCTACTGCAACAATGGAAAGTGCGCCGGGCCCATGATCGGCTACAACACGGAGAAGTTGTTTGGCGAAGCTTCGCCCTCTGGTTTCTCGCTGCCCGCAGCCTCGCGACATGCCCTGTCCTCGATCCTCATCGTCCACCCCGTCGCCGCCCTCATGACGCTGATATGCTTTGGATTGGCTGTCGCTGCGCATTTCCACTCGCCAGCCCATTCGCCGCGCTACCTTCTCGCGCTTCTAATATTCACCTTCCCCACCCTCTTGGTCACGCTGCTCGCCTTCCTCGTCGACATTCTACTGTTTGTGCCCCACGTGGCTTGGGGAGGCTGGATCGTGCTGGCCGCCACCATCATCATCGTAGCCAGTGGCATCGTAACATGTGCCATGAGGCGGACCCTGGTCAGCCGCAAGGCGAGGAAGAGGCGCATCGCAGAGAACGACGAGATGAACGGCCAGACCTACTACGCCAACCGCGCCAACGAGGCTACCGTCACCACCGAGTTCCCCAAGGCCGAGTCGCCGCCTCCCCTGTCTGGCGATACAGTCATGTCTGGAACCAAAGGACACGACAATGCCTTTTTCGATTCTCAAAAGTCATCGCAACCTGATGATATGACGCCCCTTAATCAACGCAACCCCTCGCTCAAGACAGTCAGCAGTGCTGGAGAGAATAGGCCGGATATCATGGCACCGCCAATGCGGGGTCCTCCAGGACGTCGACAGCCTGTTGATCAGTATGGTAACCCACTTCCACCCATGCCAAACGATGCCTACATGATGAATGGGGCCCCACGTGGTAGAGGAGGCCCATATCGGGGACGAGGCGGGCCTCCACAGCGCGGAGGACCGAGAGGAGGAGGATATGGCCCAAGAGGTGGTATGCGAGGTCCACCACCACCAGGATGGAGTGGAAATGGTCGGGGCGGCCGTCCACCGCAGGGTGTGCCAATGCAAGGCCCACCAATGCAAGGCCCGCCTATGGGTCGAGGAGCTCCTCCCCCTGGATACAATAATAACAACCAATACTACAACCAAGGGCCACCACCGCGTGAGGCCTCGCCCTATGGCAACAGGGGACCACCGCCACCTGGGCCGATGCCAATCGGGCACGCCATTGAGATGGATAACCGCACTGGCACACCACCGACAAACTACGGGCTTAGGGAGAGCGATGGCGATGTTGCAGGCATGTTGGCGCTTCAGCAGGGCGGCTTCCCTGCAGGTGCACCTCAAAGGCGGCCAAGTGACGGTGTGATGAGTCCTAGCAGCGAGTATTCGACAAAGTAAGATTTACCCACCAATGTTACAGAGTCTATAACTAACGTTTGATAGTGAATTGCCAAACCAAAACCTGCAGCCGCAACAACAACAACCGCAGCAGTCCTATGTCCCAGTACGCGCGGGCTGGAACGGCCAGAAGATGCCATCTGACCAGACACTTTCTACGTTGGACAACAGCAGCCGCGGCCTTTCTCCAATTGCAGATTCGCCCGTCGAGCTTCCAGCTCAATTGTCACAAGTCGGCGCACCTGCACCAAAAGGCATGGACCGCAGCTCTGATTACTACGAGGACGTAGACCCTAGATTTGCGGAACCCGCGCGAGTCAATGCCCCCCCGATAATGCCTGCTTCGCTCATGCCAGGCGGCTTCTCCTCATCTAACCCCAACCTCCTCGCTGCGCCCAACTCAAGCGATCCCAACCTCCCACGCACTGCCTCTTACGATGAGCTACCCGAGGGTTCCCGCTCTCCAGCAGTCTCTGAAGCATCGCATTTTACATCCGTCTCCCAGCGCCCCGTGAACCCAAACTGGATACCTGAATTGGGTGCACCAGCCGGACAATTTGCTCCCTATAATGGCAGGCGACCAGTGAGACAGGAAGACGCGATTCTGCAGGCCAATGCGGCTAATCCTGATTTCGCGATTCCGGGCGCCATGAGGGGGGGTAGAGGTAGAGGGCGGGGTAGGGGAGGACGAGGTGGTGCGATCGGCCCACCACCCCCGGCAACAATGATGGGGCAAGGACCGGGTCTTACCAACCAGAGCAGGTACCCGGGTGCGAACGCCATGTAGGGCTGGCCGAGCTCTGGGTGCAAAGTAAGAGCATGAACCACTTTGAATGAGGGGGGCTGCACTATCTACGGAGGCCATTTACGGATACTGTGATTGTCAAGAGGACAGTTACTTTCGGAGATCTAACAAGTACATTCGACAATGGTCCATCCACGACATTACTTGCTCCGGCTCCTCACCGCCTATCCATCGACGTAGCATTCCTCTTACACGCCTCTCCAAGTCTCTCGAAGCTCCCCGCGAAGCGCCTTCGACTCCTCTTTTCTTCCTTCCTTTCGATGTACAAAACTTCGTAATTGCGACTTCTTCATTGCCATTGCGATTTTTTCTTTCACGAACACAACTACCACGTTCTTCGAAGCATTCACCCGGGGTTTTTTCTGATATACTTAATTTCTAGTCGTTCGTTTCATGGGGCGGGGCGGGGGGCGAATCAACCTTGACTTCCTCTTCACGAACACGATCACACACACGTTACACATTACACACAACATTTTCTTTTTTTCCCTGTTCTTTCTCTTTTTTTCCCATCCCTCGTCTAAACGGATTGGGATTTTAGACAAACGACGATAGTGCTGGAGCGAGCGGCCTGCCTTTGCTACCGATCAAGCCTCGTCCAGTCTTGTCGGTTTTTCCACACCAAAGCAAGACCGCTTGCTTGCTTGCTTTACTTACTTGCTTTTTTGGCCATGGGGACGTAGTAATCCAACCATTGTACATAAAGTAGTATAAATGTGCGCTTCTCTTTTCTTGAGTAATTGGGAATCAGGGGAGGGGACTTGGGTTTCCGGGCGTTTGTGTGGTGCGTAGTAGGGGTGCGGTGGAAGGACGGACAGACGCGAAGCGAAGCGGGATTAGGGGGAAGAAAAGGGTGATACGTGGGGCGTGTAGGGAGCGGAGTATGGGAGTATCGCAGGAAGAAATACCAATGCAAATGACATTTTCAACGTTATGATTGATTCGCTGGCTGCGTGCTGATGATGTGAAGTTTTCGTTGTTTTAGGATGAAATATGTTATCCGCCTTGAAGAATCTCTACGACCACCTAAGCAGACTTGGGATGATAAGATGAAATGGAGAGTCGGGTTATTTTCCTACTGAATGTAATGCTAGATTAAAAGGATATGATCGCTATAATTCTTTATGAGTCCCTATCAAACGAGGAAAGTAATAAAGTGTGTGAAACCCCAATATATCTATCTATCTATTTATCTAATTGAGACACCGTCTAGTAGCGCCAAAAGTATCCATCGTTACCACCATGCAATGTCGGGTTCGAAACAGCTCAACACAAGAGAATGTTGTTCTTAACGACAGCCCCCGCTGTATCACTCCATGCCTTCAAGCCGTCCTACTACTCCCGTACCCACCCACCCTAAGCGACAGCAAACCTACTCCGCTCCCTCAACCGCTTTCCAAACCAAAACAACGCAACCATACCGACCGTACACACGGCCGTCAAGCCCGCCAACAGACTCACACCCCCAGCAACGCCGAGGCGCTCAAACATGGGGCGCGCAAACAGAACAGCAGCAAAAGCAAGCGACGCGCGCGCCAGACAATTTGCAGCGAAAATACTCGCCGCATACCGAGGGTAGATGTTGGGAATGTACAGGAAGATGGACTGGACGATAAAGTATGTGCCGATGAGGACAATAGCCAGACCTACCGTGGGCGCCATCCAGTGCACGCTCGGGCGCGCCGTCCACGCGATGATGAAGAGGCCAATGACGATGAACGGGCTTGCCACCATGCCGGGGATGAGGTGGTTTTCTAGTTCACCAAACGTGCCGTCGGTAAGGCGCGGGAAGACTCTGAACTTTAGGTATACGGCTTGGATTGCGAAGCCTAGGAAGCAAGCGGGCACAATGGCGAGGAAGATAAGGCCGGTCGATTCGGCGCTGAAGTGGTAAAAGACGGGGTAGATGAGTGGGAGGCACTGGAAAAAAGATATTAGTTATTCCAGGCCTCCGGAGGTGGAAGTTTGGGAATCGAGCCATGCTGGCTTACCTCGAAGAAAGAGTAGTAAATTCCGTAACAAAGCCCCATGTACACGGTCGTGAATAGAATGGCGGGGTCCAGCGCGTTGATCTCCCACGGCTTGATAAACGCCTCGTACAGCAGCGTGCTCGCGTGCAGGTTCTTCTGCTTGTGTTCCGCGTCCGACATGATACTCGGGTTCCCCGTCTCTTCCCGCAGACGCTTCGCTTTGTAGTATAGAATCGTCGGCCCAGCACTCTCCGGCATTGTTGTTAGCATCAGCAGGTACAACGGTCCCGAGATGATCATTAGTTCCCAGCTTGAAAATCGCCATCCAAGGTGCTTCACGGCGTATGAGGAAATCGTAGGTCCCAGAGCCGGACCAAAGGATGCAACTGCAGCCCACAGCGCGACAGCGAAGGGAAACTCGGCCAGTGTCCATATGTCTGCGAGCGAAGCACCTGCAGTAGCTAGGCACGGGCTCGACATGAAACCCAGTAAGAACCTGAGAACCATGAGGCCTGGATAGTTGTTTACCAGTGCAGTCGGTATGCACAGGACAACGAATAGAAATCCCGAAATTGCGTACGGGGGATTTCGTCCCACGGCAGGTATCTCCGACAGCGGCGAGAACAAGAGACATCCTACTCCGTAGCCCAAGACATATAGCGCCAATCCTAATGACCCCTCGACGTGACTGACGCCAAATGTCTGGACCACGCCTGTCTCTGAAGAGGAGTATATCGAGGATCCCACGTACACGGCGAATGTGTACAAGCAGATGACGACGGTCATGAGGATTTTGTGGCTCCTTGGCCAGTTTTGGGGGTTGGACGGATCATCCGGGCCGCTCCAGTCGACGAGGCTGGAATGGTCTTGCTTGAGCTCTGCGTTAATGGCATCATCGGCAGTAGGAGGGAAAGGGACGCCATCGGCCGAAGAAGTTTCTGATATGAGTTTGCTGGGACTGCGGGAGAAGTCGAAGCTGCGGTGCTTGATGTAGTGGGCTGTGGTCCCTACGGCGGAATGTTTGAAGAGGTAGGGCATGGTTAGTGGAGATTAGGAAGTGAAGAGAATGAGAGGGAGAGGAGAGAAGGCTATGAGAGACAAATACGGTGATGTGGTGGTACCCAAAGCCCTATTCCTAGCCATGTATGGCATGTTACTCGTATTTTATATCTGCATCATTTTTGGTCGTACAGCATTGTGGCTTTTTCAAAGCTGTTGGCCAATGATAATATGTGAGGCACATCTAGGGAGCACCATAATGGCAACATTCTTAGGTATGGTTGTGCGGAAGTGACGGAAAGAGCGAAGCACGTTTCTGGCGGGGATCCGGCGGAAATAGGTAGAGGTACGATACAGTTTCAGTCACTGCTTGTTAAATCCAGCCACTGGCTGCATCCATCTCCAAAAGGATACCTCGTGAAACTATCACAATTGAGATGATTGGACGAATGCACAATGAAGTTGCGTAGAAAGCTGCTAACAGGCGGAAGCGGAGTGAGATGGCGTTGTGAGCGGAGTGAGCAGAGTGGGTGGTCTTAATAAGCACTTGGGTTACCCTGCACCGTTAGTCATCTACGTTCCAAGCAACAGTCGCGACGGACGACCTGCACGGAACACTGACCGCGAGGTGTATAGGAACTTGTCGTATATGATCTTCCTTCCCCCTGAACAATAAGCCAGACCTCACGAGCGATTCGCGCCAACCGCAAGTACCGCTAAGCTTACCCCCGGCTGCACACCGTAAGAAGTAATGCAAGTGGTCAGCGATATAGAGTAGAAATCATCTTACATCGGTCAACTCGAGGGTTTATGTAAAATTGATCGATTTCTAGCGCTGCTTACAAACTGCGGAAGGGCGATGGCCAAAGCCACTTGGTGGAGAGGTCAGAGCGTGTGTCATACAGCGTTTCTAATCATCTACTTACCTTGCCAGCGTGTTCGGCGTGATTTTGTATTGACTATGCTCACACGCGAAAGGTGTGCTCAGCTAAACTGTTTACTTCCTCGTGATTCGTAGCAACCGTTGCGACCTTGACCCCCTTCATCGACAACTACAACATCACAGATACTGGGCGCTGTTCTACTGTGGGCTTATCCCTAGTTCGTTAGCCACTTCCATCTATCTCTACCCTATTGATCTTGAACAGAACCATCGTAAACCACGTCGATTCCAATGATACATGGTAGTATACGATGAAGGGAGGTGAAATTAGCTTTTGAGTAGTTTATACACTACGAGGAGTACCAACAATCTTCCAGGCTGGTGATGAGTGTGCAGCTAATGAAGCATATTTCGGCTTCCTTCTGGTAGATTGAAAGCTACATGATAGAAACTTTGCACGACTCTTGCTCGTTAGTGTCAGCGGTGATCTAGCAAGGATCTGAGGCGTTTCCACTTACGCTTTGTCTTACTATACAGTCGCTTGAGAGTAGAGCATCTACCCGCGGTTGTCTAACAGGTCGTGGATCTCACTGCAATACAAATGGTTTACCACGACTTTTTTAAGTCCTGACCTTATGCTATCCGAGGAGCGAAGTGCATGATTAGCCTGACCAAGGGGCACATGTCCTATCCAAGAACCTGAAAGAAAGTATGGCTGAGGACTGGTTGCTTTAAATTGATGTAAATGACTAGAGCAAAACGATGGACTAATGTAAGCGAAAAGGATACGCATACGATGGCACATTGTACTGTGAGCGAGGATAGAGATTCGGTGGAGACCATGGTTCCGCAGGTCTGGAAAGGCGAGGTCATGTCTCTCATCAAGGCAGTGTTGGGTACCTGGGCTGAGGAGAGGTATCTTGATATTGGGGAAGGGTCTGTTAGTGTTGCATACTGGGACAGGGATAATGGTGCTAGAAACTTTGAGCTGGAACGAGAGGGGGACCGAGCAACGCTGCAAGGACGGTGAACATGGCTGGAACTGGGACTGGAGGATGATGTTTATTGGCGTGAGAGGTTACTCATGGCCATGTTGGCACACCACTGTATCTGCACCATGTGATATCGCCGCTTTCAATGCGAGTGAAAGTGCAGAAGAGAGAATAATTTAGAGATCCGAGAAACCACGCCGTTGACCATCCGTATCCCATTTTGCCGTCCACACACCAACTAATTCTCCACGCTCAGATGGTTGTCTCGTAAGGTACAGGTGTGATGTTCTCCGGCTTGTTCTCCTTCAAGCTGATGGTCCTCGCCAACCTTGGCTGTGCGGGGATGCGCTTCAGCTGCTGGGGCTCGCCAGTCTCCTTGGCCGTCTGTTGCTTGGCGAAGTTGGCCTTGACGCGCTTGAGGAAATCTTCTCGCGAACGGGAGTGGCGGACGTGCTCGATGCGGACGTTGATGCGCTTCTCCATGTAGCGGTTACCGACTTGCTTCTGGAGGATGACGCCGACGGCGGACTTGGTGACGTTGTAGACGATACCGGTCTTGCCGTGGTAGACCTTGTAGGGCATACCCTTCTGGACAGCACCTGCGCAATTATGAGCCTCCGCACCAATTTATCAAGTTCTAAAGTGTTCCGTACCGTTGGCTACGACATCGACGATATCACCGACCTTGTACTGCTTGAGGTAGGTTGAGAGCGGGATCATTCCCTTCTTCTTGAAATCCCTGGAGAAGCTGCCGGAGCGTCAGTAACCGTGGCGGGAGGCAGCAATTTTGAAAACGTACGCATAGCGCGTACCCGCGCGGAGACCGGCTGCGTGACCCATTGTGAGTTGTGGAGGGTTTCGGTGTTCGTACGGTGATGTTGAAGAACTCGTGAGAAGATATCAAATTGGTGTGGTCGCGGCGGTCGCGGCGGTGGGCTATTCGCTTAGCCCACCAATGATACATTAGGTAAGCACGCACCATTTGATTTTCATTGCCCACACCACACCATCTCACGACTTTCTCTTCAACCATCGACAACTAAAATGGCGCCCCGATCCTACTCGAAGACGTACAGCGTCCCCCGTCGTCCTTTCGAGTCCGCTCGTCTGTATGTATCCCACGGCCACTGAGCGAGAGCTTGCTCCGCTTATGTCTGGGAACATTGGTTAATTTGGGTTAGGGATACTGAGCTGAAGCTCGTTGGCGAGTATGGTCTCCGCAACAAGCGCGAGGTCTGGCGTGTGCAGTTGACTCTGTCCAAGATCCGTCGTGCTGCCCGGTAAGCACTCACTATTGCGCTCTCATTGCATTGACTGCGCAGCTCGCAAAATCACACACGGCCGCTAATCGTTGCGCAGTTCGCTCTTGACTCTCGACGAGAAGGACCCCAAGCGCCTGTTCGAGGGTAACGCCCTCATTCGCCGTCTCGTTCGTGTCGGTGTGCTCGACGAGTCCCGCATGAAGCTCGATTACGTCCTGGCCCTGAAGATTGAGGACTTCTTGGAGCGCCGTCTCCAGACCTGCGTCTACAAGCTCGGTCTTGCCAAGTCCATCCACCACGCTCGTGTGCTCATCCGCCAGCGCCACATCCGGTATGTCCTAATGAGATGGCTCACAAAAACCGCATAGCTAACAACCCGTCAGTGTTGGCAAGCAGATCGTCAACGTTCCTTCGTTCATCGTCCGCCTCGACTCCCAGAAGCACATCGACTTCGCCCTGACCTCGCCATTCGGTGGCGGTCGCCCCGGCCGTGTGAGGAGGAAGAAGGCCAAGGCCGCCGAGAAGGGTGGTGATGATGATGCCGGTGAGGAGGACGAGGAGTAGATTATACGCCAAAAGGAATGATTCACGGATGATTGGCGTTGGGCATGACGGGATGTTTTCTCGAGCAGTTGCTCTGTCTCTAAATGCAGCATATCCTGCGTAGGTCTCAGCTAGTGGCTGGTCTACATATTACCACATGTAGTTTCTGCCTAAAAATCTTCAATTACCATCATCTGTGTTTTCTCCGACTTGTGTGTCAAGTACTCTTACCGTCTTTCATTGACAATTTACTCCCTCCGTCAGGCAAAATCGATGAGCTCCCCTCCACGACATGTTCATAGATATCCACGGAGACATATCAGTGGCATTGAACATCGACGGCGCCAGAATGACCACGCACTTGGGACGAGTTCCGCGGATAGCAGTTACGCGCGAACTTAGTGTAGCTTAAACAGTGTCAATGCTTTATGCACTTCACATTGCAGTCTACAAACGATACTGAAGACAACTAGGCCTACTTTTGTTTGTACAGTATTCGTCCTGTTTCGATACGCGAACGATACCTTGCCCTACGCTACCACCTCATCACCCTCTTCTGGCGGCACTTGCTGAACCTTTTTGACTACTTTTGCTGGCTGGCCCATGGCTACACTGAACTCGGGTATATCGCGAGAAACGACTGACATGGCTCCAATAGTGCAACCCCTCCCAATCGTCACTCCCGGAAGGATCACAACGTTCCCGCCTATCCAACAATCATCACCAATCACCACGGGTCGCCCGTATTCGATGTTCTCTCGCCGCGATTGTACTTCTGCTTCGTGTGTTGCGGCAAAGATGGAGACGTTTGGGCCAAACATGCACCGGTTTCCTATAGTGACGAGGCTGCAGTCCAGGATGGTAAGGTTGAAGTTTGCGTAGAAGCGTTTTCCAAGGGAGATATTGCACCCATAGTCAATATTGAAGGGGGGTTCGATGACTGGAGCGTAGATAGCAAGTCAGCTCTCTATTTCCCACAGATCACTCGCAGTGGTACTCAGCGTTAGTGGTGCATACAGATCTCATCATCACCGACATGGCCGATAATGTCCTTGAGCATCTTCAGACGCTCTTTTGCTAGCGTGTCGAAGCCTGTGCTGGGATCCGTGGATGGGCTGGGGAACCATGTGTTGAATCTATGGGCAAAAGCTCTGCCTTTGAAGCGGGCTTCGTTCAGCTCAGAAGTGAAGGCATTATATCTTGAGGGTTGTTAGTATTGGTTGTCATTTGAAAAGATGACCCTGGTATGATTGAGGCGGGACAGCTTCACGGCTGATGCAACCCTGTTCATATCGGAAAATTATTTGAAGATATCCGGCATATGTAGTAACAGAATAGCCAGTATACACGGATAGAAACTAGGAGACTACTTGAGAGTAATGAATTAGTACCTACAACATTCCTGAGATCATTTTCTCATACTCTTCGCACCAGGGTACATGGTTCAATTTCTTCGCCTTCTCAAGCTCATGGAGGTTCTTCGTCTGTGCTGCCATGATATCCAAACTCTTCTTGCACAAGAACTCAGTGATTGGTGAAACCAGGATGCAGAAAGTGTTTGTGTCCTAGTAGTTATATACCAAATGCTCTGGACAGACAATCGACGCTAAGTGGGGTGAACAAGATCGGATCTCCGCAAGCGAGAAAACAGCTTCAGAGTCAAAGGGGGAAATAACTTGCGGTTTGGCGCTTAAGAGGATTTTCAAAGCGCTTGAAGGGCCTGATAAAGGCTATGAACTGTTTTTCTTTGACAGATGTTCCTTTCGTGGAGTATGAAGGCCCGCCTAGCCGGAACGACTTCTGGCCTCTCAAAAGATGCGCGAGTGCGATTGATGGTATCTGTCCGAGAACTAGAATTGAGAGCGACGTGTTTGATTGCACACCTATGGTATTTGCAATATGAATCATGTTGAGAATGTTCATGAGTGCTTAAGAGCTTTAGTCTTCCCTACATGGCTTTAATTCACGCAGTCTACGTAATTCGCCATATAACACCTAACAAAACATTATTTGCTACGCTATGATAGAAGCAAAGATGCCTCAAAGTGCGCCAAGGCTACTGGAAGCGACTGTAAAGATTTTGCTGCCTAGAAGATGTTCGATAAGTCTGTCATCGTCGCAGAGTGAATGCGGTCGGTGAGTATCAACGACTGAGTCAGCCTTGCGCTACACGTGCTTTTCGTTGTGGCGAGCAGTACAACTGAAGTGTAGATACGGTTACCTGCCAGCGAATTCACATTCTCAGTTGTATCATTTTTTTTGAGCAACTGCCAGTTTCCGGACCCTGTAAACTGGTCGATGTTGCGGTGCTTTAGATAATGGTGTTGCCCAATTGGTGTCCGGGCGCCAAGCTTGAAAAAGGTTAGTGCCCACGACAAAATTCGTGGTAGGCGAGTACTTGCCGCCACGTCGATTCCCTCTCCCCTCCACTGTCAAGCCGTCCGCGTCCTCGAATCTCGCGCCCAATCCATCGACTTCAGTTCATAAAAACTCTAAACTCCCCATAAACCGTCAAAATGGTGAGTCTGCGCCCTCGCGAACCTGTAGAATAGTGCCAGGAGGTTTCGTGAGCAGGCACACGAGACCGTCGGAGTTTGCCACGAAATCTTCACATCGCAACCTTTCGCCGCCTGCAACTTCGCAAAGTTGAACGCCATGAGAATTTTGGCTAACAGCACTCCAGGTTCTCGCCGTTGACCTTCTCAACCCCACCCCGGCCGCGTACGCATATAACCCCGAGGCTGCGACATTCGACATTCGACTAACAAGTTTTCAGTGAGGCCCGCAAGCACAAGCTCAAGACCCTCGTGCCCGCTCCCCGCTCATTCTTCATGGATGTCAAGTGCCCCGGCTGCTTCACCATCACCACCGTCTTCTCGCACGCCAACACAGTCGTCGTCTGCCAGGGCTGCTCGCAGGTCCTGTAAGTCAAGGATCCACCTCGGACATGGGCGGGACAAGGCTAACATCTGGAACAGGTGCCAGCCCACTGGTGGCAAGGCGCGGTTGACTGAGGGCTGCTCTTTCCGAAGGAAGTAGATGTCTACCCGGAGCGACGACAGCGGGGATTTGATGGGTTACGATGACGACTATCATGGATTAGGATTGTAGATCGCATTGGCGCCGATCGACTCGACCGCAAGATAGAAGAGGGATCTTTCGACTCGAGTCAATGCAAAAGTCAAAACGGGAGTTCCGGATATCTAGCGCTGATGGACAACCCTTTTCTCGAATCTATTTCCTTTTGTTCGGCATGGTCTTCTACAGCTTCATGTACATGCATGTGGGAGGGGAGATGGCATCTCAGAGCCTTTGGATTAGTCGTCCGAGGTGAGGACCGGTTTGCAATCGAGGACACCTACGCATGCCAGCGGTCCTTTGTAAATCAAAACAAGTCAATTCCTCACGCTGTTCCAAGCCAGACCCGGGATTGATACTAATGTGACGACGGATGAGATTGCTTTGCTACGTGATGTCAATCGTGTGTACGAGGCATTTGTGGACTGCACGCCAGATCTACGTTGTACCACCATCCAGCTCTACATTCAATATGGTTGTTCTCTATATCCTAAGCCGTAACCTCACCCGCTTTAGACATGCCGATGAAGACTGGTAAACTTGACCCAGAGAAGCAGGAGCTCGGCCTTGGCTGCGTCTTCTCATTTCACAGGTGGAGAACGTATTCCAGCCCCACGTCCTAGTAGCACCTCCCGCACCACATGATATGCAGATAGCGGAGTTTAGCCGACCTCCGACATCAAGTTGAAAAATATAATAGATAACCAGTCCTGGATTCAAATGAGAATATAAGTTCAGGAGAGTCGTCGCTTATCCTTGCCCAGCATTTGTACAATCGCACGACTCGCAATCAGTCAGCCAGCCACCACGTCAATCCCAATAAAGCTACTCGTCCCGCGGCTTGAACCGGTACGAAGAAGCTAAGCTCATCAACTAACTCAAGCTCGTGCCCGAATTTCGACATGTCTACCCCATCATCAGACCCTCACCCCATCCCCCTAACAGAATCTGAAGTCCTCATCCGCGGCTGGCTCGCCGCAAATCCTGCGCTAGGCTCGTCGTTGGGGCCCGTCGCAACCATGACGGACAGATATACAAATCAGGAGTGGAAGAGCCAGATCGACGAGACGGTGAAAAATGTAATGAAAGAGGTGAATAGTGGAGAGAGGGCGAGAAAACTGTATGAGGGCCCGCGGATGAGAAATGGAGAGGAAGCGTTGAAAGAGTTGGCCAAGACAGTCGATCATACCGTGTTGAAATTGGATGCGACGAGTACGCAGATTGATACGCTGTGCAGTGAGGCCAGGATAGAGGGATTCAAAGTAAGTCTACTCTACATTCAGATTCTTCGTTTTAGAACGAGTTGAACCTCCCAAGTGGTTTAAAATTCCACACGTTCTTCTACTTTCTTCTCATGTGGTATATTATCGACTAACATCCCCAACAGTCCGTATGCGTCCGCCTGAACTGGGTCCAACGCTGCGTCGCCGACCTCAGGGGTACCGACATCCGCGTGGCCTGCGTTGTAGGCTTCCACGAAGGCACCCAAGATCTACACTCCAAGCTCCATGAAGCCCGTGCTGCCGTGGCAGCCGGCGCATCCGAGCTAGATGTCGTGCTCAACCACTCCATTCTAACGCGGCACAACAAAGCCAGCCTCGTTCCCGACCGAGTGCTCAGCTCCAAGGATTCAGCAATTGACAGCATCACAGCGGCCAACACGTTTAGGAACACGGGTAGTAGAGATGGCGAGGAGGACGAGATTCCAGACTACAGTGCCATCTTCACCGAGCTTGCGTCTATACGCTCGCTCTGTCCCAGTCCTGTCACTTTGAAGTTGATCCTGGAGACATCGCAGTTGAATACGCAGCAAATTTTAGCCGCAAGCCATCTCGCTGCCGCCGCTTCTTTCGATTTTATCAAAACTTCCACTGGTTTCAACGGCCCTGGCGCCACGCTGCCGCATGTGCAACTCATGGTAGCCGCAGCCGAGTCTCTAGCTTCTCGAGGCGTGGGAAGAAGGAAGATGGAGGTAAAAGCAAGTGGAGGAGTGAGGGACTTGGAAACGGCGGTCAAGATGCTCGAGGCGGGGGCGACGCGCCTAGGAACGAGTAGTGGGTTGTGGATAATGCAAGAAGCGAGGCAGAAGGTGGGCGAGGAAAGAGGGAAACAAGAGAGCGAGGGTAGGCCGGGAGGGGGGATTACTAGACTATATACTGATGATTCTTCGTACTAATGGTGAAGGGAGGGCAGCGAGCGGGATGGGATGTTAATAATCGATGCCTTGTGTAGGGCTTGGCTTCTGTGACGGAGGGCGGATACCATATAACGTGGCACCATAGTTTAGCATCAGGTCAGCGTAGAGAGCATGAAGCTATGTGACTCGTCTATCTAGCGAACCCAAGATCCAAGCCACTGTCAATCAACAGCGATGCATACATGAGGCACAGTCGTCTCCGTTGAACCAAAACGAAAAAGGCAGGAATGAAAGGAAATAATGTCGCCAAAGCTAACGCAAATATGTACAATGAAGAGTATAAGGATGCAATATCAAGGTCTATGCAAGATCAACCTCCCAGAGAAATAGCCGTACGAAATTAAGGCGAAAGCATCGACACATGCGCGATTAGAGTCGTTGGTGCGACCGGAGAAAGTGTTCGCACCAGTGAGGAAAGGGGTTACTGAGAAAACAGCCGTCTTCGCAGTTTCAATCTCATTGCTAATCGCGAATGGGAAGATGAGCAGAGAAAGCCAGGGCGGCCTCCTTTGGCCACGTGAGATATAGTACGAGTATAACGAGGGGTGTTAACGGTGCGCAGAGGAAGAGGGGGACCGATATTATATCCTGGTTCCCTTGAGGTAGCGGCCGGACTCGGGGTATAAGCCAGTCTACGGAAGACTGGAAAGAATCGAAGGAAGTAATTATGTTCGGGAAGGGAAGATTGAAGTCGTAGGAAGAGCAGAGGCTCAAAGTATCGTGCAACCTCCACTCTTGTCCTTGCTTGTCTTGACTTGTAGAGCGACGCGGGCGGCCTCTGTGAAAGCCTCGTTGACGCCTCGGTTTTTCATAGCGGAGCATTCTATAAGAAGTCAGCCATTGTCCCTCAACATGAGCTGGAGTTCAAATGTCCTACCAAGGTATCGCAGCGCCTTGATCTTCTCTGCAACGCGCAGGCCTTCGTCGTAGTCGATACACGGCTTCGCCGGCTGGTCATCCTCGGCATCATCATCCTCTCGCTTCCGCAGATCGCACTTGAGCGCCACCAGGACAAGCTTAACGCCTGGACAGTTCTCAGTTATCTCACCCACCCATTTCGTTTCTACGTTTTCGAGGGAATCGGGCGAGTCAACCTGTGGAGGTGTAAGTAGTGCTCACATCTGGACTAGGTAGAAGCTTGTACCGAAAAGCAGAGCATGATCGCGTGCGTGTCATCGTAGCTGAGGGACCGTAACCTGTCGAATTCTTCTTGTCCGGCGGTATCCCACAGACTAAGTTCTACGTGTGTGTTGTCGATGTAGATATCTGCACATGGTATCAACAAGCGTTCTATTGGAGTTGGTATCGAGGCGCGACGAACCGTGTACGTAGTTTTCTGCACGCATTGTTAGCACAGTCAACATCTGAACTCTAAACAGGGCGCTTTACCAAACACTGTAGGTTCACTATGGCAGACTATGGTTAGCCTCAGCGCATACGTCGAGGGCGCAAGTCACTCACTATACTGTTGGAAAATACCTGCAATCATGTTAGTTTTGCGCAAATCGTAGTTGGATGTGTTCAACCTACCCTCTTGTGAAAACGTTCAACAGCGATGTCTTGCCGCAAGCACCGTCGCCGCTGTAGATGTTTGTTAGCCTCCAATCCGTCTCAAGCTCTCCAAGTCGCCCATCGACTTCCCACAGATGACAAGACGCACAGAAGTACCAGCTTGCGCTGTACAGTCTTCGATCCACCGCACAGAGGCATCGCGAAGGTTGGTCGGATGGAAGCTGGAGGAATTCGAGGGGCGTTCCGTCACCGCAGGGATGTGAGCGCGCACGCGTGGTGATACAAGAGCCTGGAGGCTTCGCGATTGCAAGCGGAGCGAGTGGCAGTGTCAGAGGGCGAGGGCGAGGGTCGATGATCTAGAAGTCAAGCCGGCTAGGAGATACAGCGACGGGGGTGCAGGTGGATGGATGGGGTTGAGGATCCACCAACACCAGCGTTAAACCTAAAGTGGCGTTAACACTGCTCTCCTCCACGAACACTCCTCTTCCAAGCTCCACCACCACACGTCCCGCCGGAGCCTGACGCAAGCTGACGCAGTGCGCTTGCCAACAGAAGCGCCAAGTGAGGAGATACGTGTACTTACGAGGACAGTAAGAGTGTGGCTGGTGAGAGTGTGGCTACAGCTGAGATGAAGATGTTGAGGGTAATAAGCACCTGGAACTTTTGGGGTGAAGAAATGTTGATTAGCGTTGAGATGACGCCGAGCGAACAATCAGCGTGAACCAAGGTTGAGGGTCGCTAGCCGACCACTTCAAAGGAAGCCTCGGTGGAAGCTCTTCCAATCCTTCCATTACTTGGTGATTGGTCCCGCATTCCTGAGCGTGTTCAAAACGCACAAGTTATGCCTGGATACCTTGCAACACCTTGCAGTTTATAAACAGCATGACATCTCAAGCACAGTAGTGCTGCTTTGAGTCGGGTTTTGGTGCCTAGGACCACACGTACGAAAGCCCGCTTGATGCCGAATGAAGAAGGTCATTTGGGCCACTATGAGTCGCAGCACTGGGCTTCCAATTGAGGCTAAACGACCAATCTCACAGGCCATAGAGAGCTGTTTGGCAAGCAATCGCCGTTATCCGCCAGGGCAGATATCGACTCTTGACATCAGTCGATTTTCTGTCCTGATATTGCCTTTGGCGACAGGAGCGCCTGGTATATGATATCTTCACCTTTGCCGAAAGTTCGACCTATCATATAGTGAAAGGATATACACATGTGCCGCAAAGTCGATAGTACGTGATACATGTCAAATCCATACACGTCTACCTCTAAAGTCATCGTCTTCTGACCTCTGCTACGCACCTGGAAGCTTTGCGACTTGATATCGCAGCACTATAGCCCGTGAACCGTTATGGACAATTCTAGCTGTAGTTGAGCGTTGAATTTATATTCTAACATCACTCTACTTCTTATTACCATAGACATGCACTTTACAACAAGTCAACTTCGTGAGGTGGGATGCCCTGCCCGAAGCGCTTAGCGTGACCCGCCGCCCGCGCGGGGCTTCACCGCAGGCAACACCGCCTTACCGCAGGGTAAACAACCTCACATTTGAAGCTCAAGCCTTTTGCTACCCAAACTCACTCCAACCCTACTCCGGCTTCATTTCCAGTTTCCGATTCCAGCGATAGAACTACAGGCCGACCGCACTATTCGAGCTCGCGGTCCGTGCAGCAGCCATGTCTGACGACGACGACTTTATGCAAGACTCGGGCGAGGAGGAGTAAGTGCCTTTGCGCAAAGGCAGATTCTGGTCTAATTATTGTTAGGTACGACTTCGAGTATGAAGACGACGATGACGAGCAGAGCGGCGATGTCGATATCGAGAACAAATACTACAACGCGAAGCAGCTTAAAACCGACGACCCCGAGGCAGCCATAGACGAATTCCTAGGCGTCCCCCCGCTTGAAGAGGAGAAGTCGGACTGGTATGGAACTTATATGTTTGGCGGATTGGATATGTGCTGACGGACATGTAGGGGCTTCAAGGGACTGAAGCAGGCGATCAAGCTGGAGTTCAAGCTCGCGCGCTACGACCAGGTACGCAGGCCCGTTGCCCACTACCACAAACTGTGACTGACATGATGATAGGCGGTGGAGCATTACAAGGAGCTTCTCACCTACGTCAAGTCGGCCGTAACGCGCAACTATTCGGAAAAGTCGATCAATAACATGCTTGACTTCATCGAGAAGGCTGCAGAGGACACCGAGGCGTATCGCTGCATGGAGAAGTTCTACGCTTTGACTCTGGACATCTTCCAGAGCACTAACAACGAGCGGCTATGGCTAAAGACGAACATCAAACTGGCGAGACTGTGGCTAGATCGGAAAGACTACCGCCAGCTGACGGAGAAGCTTCGAGAGTTGCACAAAGCATGTCAGAAGGAAGATGGAACCGATGACCCAAGCAAGGGCACATACTCGTTGGAGGTCTACTCTCTAGAGATCCTAATGTACGCCGAGACCAGGAACAACAAGCGGCTAAAGGTGCGGCCTATCCCCATTCTACGTGGTCTGCATACCGATCTGACGCTATGACAGGCACTGTACCAACGGGCGCTGAAGGTGAAGTCGGCGGTTCCACATCCCAAGATCATGGGTATCATCCGAGAATGTGGCGGCAAGATGCACATGAGCGAAGGCAAGTGCTCGAGTTCCGAAGTACCCGACCAGCGCTAATTCGTCGCAGAGAACTGGAAGGGGGCACAGAGCGACTTTTTTGAGAGTTTCAAAAACTACGATGAGGCTGGCTCGCTGCAACGGATCCAGGTGCTGAAGTACTTGGTTCTCGCGACCATGCTGTCGGGTTCGGATATCAACCCCTTTGACTCACAGGAGACGAAGCCCTACCAGAATGATCCCCGCATCTCGACCATGACGGACCTTGTCAATGCCTATCAGCGCGAGGACATTCACGCGTATGAGAAGATTCTGCAGAACAACAAGGACCTTCTCCAGGACCCATTCATTGCGGAGAACATTGATGAAGTGACGCGGAACGTGCGCACCAAGGCCGTGGTCAAGCTGGTCGCACCCTACACCCGGTTCACGTTGGCCTTCATCTCGAAGCAACTCAAGATCTCCCTTCCCGAGGTCCAGGAAATTGTGGGTTTCCTCATCGTAGACAAACGGCTGCGCGGTAAGATTAACCAGCAGAACGGAACGGTGGAGATCGAGAGTAGTACCGACATGGATCGGGTGCAGGCGATGAAGGAGTGGAGCGCGGCCATTGGATCCCTGTGGGCGACGGTTCTCAACGAGGGTGAGGGCTTCAAGTCGGACGAGAGTGGCTCGCAGTTCACACCTGGTGGTGGTGGTGGTTCGGGCGCCCACAGCATGGGCTGGAATCCAAGCGCGACGAGTGGAGCCAAATCTGGGAGAGGAAAAGGCAAGGGCCCCTCGGGACGACTGCCGGGGGTCGCGAGCAAAGGATGACTTGCAGCATGGGTCACCAGTGGTTCACAAACGACCTCTGACTGGGTACTCGGGGAGGCCACGGGACTTTTGTAGTTACACGCTACCGTCACTGAGGGCTTTTGTCCACCTGAAGGATTGAGACATGCGGACTAGGTTCCCTCGAGCGAGCAGCAGGGTTGGACGATCGGGTAGCACAAGGTTAGGAAGTAGCTCCCACATGAGCAGCAAGCGTCTCAACAACAGAGGGGTTGGACGGCGGACATGTTCGGAACTGCGCTTGGGCGCATCTGCCACAGATGATGCACAGGCAGCGGCGGCGGCGGCGGTCAGCAGCGGTTCTCCTCATGTAACATGGCCTCGTTTTCTCGTTGCATCCAGCCCAGAAACCCGATGGCGCGGTCCTCACGGACGCCCACAGCCATTGCGTGCCGCGCCCGTATTGTGATGGTTGCGACGAGAGTGCGTTTGATTGTGATTGAAGTCGACGTGTCGCAGCGAGTTTTCCTGAAGCCTCACTCTATCTAAACCCGTGCCAATCAGAAAGGAAAAGAGGAGCGACTACCAAGTACGGGAGCGTCGGGGAAGCGGGCGAGGACGAGGATGCTGCTCTCTAGCGAAGCTCTCTCAGCTAATGGGGCACAGTCTGGGTGGATAGCCCTGGCTGGCTCGCTTGCAGGGGACGTGGGGACGGACGGTAACTCTCTGTATGTACTGTAGCAGATCACAGGTCCCCGGTACTTGAATTTTTCACTGTCGATGCGAACGAATCATGGCATGCATGGCGGCGAATTGTGACAGGAGCGGTCAAAGGGCGCAGTGGTCTGTTCAAGTTTCTTGGTGGTCTTCTCGGGCGCGCCCATCCATGTAGTTAGTTGGATGATGATGCAAGTGACGAGTGCATTCCCACGGGGTTGCACAGCGCCGCTAATGGGACCTCTTCTCCTCGTCTGGTGCATGCAACACCAGCCTCACGCTCCGCAATTGTTCCGGCACTCGTGCAATAGGCGCAGTCTCGTGATTCTCTCGGGCTTACAGTGTGATGTGGAAAAGGAGAGAAGCGAATTCAATTCAATTCAAATGCCCAATTGTTGTGATATATAGTTGATAGATAGAAGGAAGACTAGTTGAACTGGAAATGAGCAGCGATATCACCCCGGGTTGCATGATGGTGCGGTTCATTTACGCTCATGGATGCTATCACATCCATGTGTAGTTTTTGTTCTCTTTCTTTTCTTTTGCTCGAATGGGCCCCCCTTCTAGGCGCTGAGTGCGTCCGCCCTTGGGAAGCAGGAGAGATGCCCTCCCTTTAGTTGTACACCGTCACGCTCGCCCTCTCCTCCCTCCGGTTTCACTTGAAGCAGCCCCATTGCTCCATGTGCATGAGGCGCCCTTAGCACTGCGAGATCGATACTGTGCGTCTGCCCGTCTGCCCGTCTCCCAGGCGTCCGGTGCAACAGAAAACTCGCCGTTTCAAAGCGTGTGGACGAAAGTGTTGCAGAAGTGGCTTTGTGCCTGGCAGCGAGTTGGATTGCACTCCTTGTCTCTCTCCCATATATTGGCGTGCCCCTGGGGGAGTCGAAGTGGGTAGCACAGCAACGACACAGCTTGCAGCCCGCCGCCACGGGCCTCTCTGCACCCTACTAAAGACGCTGCTCTCCTCGTCCAGCTGCTGGCTCGTCGACGAATTGCTGCTTGAGACTGCCTACGACGCTGCCGAGTCTGCTGTGGAATCACCACGTCCAATTGCCTGCCATTGCCCGCCCGTCACGCCGCCTCCCCCCAGTTACCCAGGGACACACACACGCACACGCACACACGCACACACTTGAAGCGCACACTGCGCGGGGGAAAGGGAGAGCCATCGCCAGTACACATCACCGCTGGCTGAAGCGTCGCAAACACCCACACACACACACACACGTATATGCACACCATGAGCAGACAGGCCGTCTTGACGGGCTTCCCCCCTCAGGGCCACGACCCTCTGGCTACGCACCATCACCATCATCATCAGAACCAACAACAACAACACTATGGAGGAGGAGGAGGAGGAGGAGGAGGAGGAGTGGTGGGAGGACCGAGCCACTACGAGAACATGGTCCACTCGTCGTCGGGATTGGCCTTTGCGCGGCCACTACCCGTCGTACCCATGCGCGCCCCGGTCCTCGCTCCCGCCGCCGGCTTTAACCATCAACACCAGCTCCAGCAGCTCCAGCAGCGGCACCAGCACCAGCACCAGCACGGCCGCCCCTCGCACCTCAGCATGGCCACGGACGCTGCCTACATGCCCTCGGACGAGGAGCTGGCCCACTTGCAAAAGCTGTCGAGCGAGTACGAGCCCGAGGCCACTGTGAGTCTCCCTCTCTCTCTCGCTACTACGAAGCATTCTTTGGGTGCTTTTTGGGGACGCGCGCTGACTGCCCACCAGGGCCCGCTTGTCGGCGAACGCCAGAGCAGCGCTGCCATCACGACGCAGTATGCTACTGCTGATCCCGTCTACAGAGTCAAGACTGCTGCTCTGCCCGCCAAATACGCCTACTTTCGCACCTGTCGCGGCGACGGCCACTGCGGCTGGCGAGGTAAGTCATGTCAAGTCATGTCACGTCATGTCATGTTTCGTTCGCTCCTGCCCTACCCAATGTTTGTTTGTTTGTCGTGTGCTCTTGCAGTGCTAACCCCCACCCCCTAGCCATCGCATTCACCTACTTTGAAGCGCTGCTGCGCGTGGGCGACGTGACCAAGTTCGAGGATGAGGAAGCTCGCCTCAACTCGCTGGGCAACCTGCTCGACCACATTGGCTACTCGCGCGACATCTGGATCGATTTTGCTGAAGAGGCATTCGAGCTCCTGCGCAGCCTGGCCAACTCGCTGCGCAACATGGACGGCGCTGCACCCGACATCCTCCTCCAGTCGTTCAATGACATGGGCCAGTCCATGGCCATCATCACCTACGTCAAGGTAAGCCTTATGCAGCTGCCCTCTTCTGGCACAGCTGGCTGACTCGTGCAGCTCCTCGCCAGCGCCTGGGTGCAATCCCATGCAGATGACTTTAGGCACTTTGTACCCATGGGCGACGTCAAGGCATACTGCGCCAACAACATTGAGCCTACACAGTGTGAAGCCGACAACATTGGCGTCGCTGCGCTCGCTGAAGCCCTCGTCAAGCCTGCTGGCTTTGGCCTCGAGGTCTGGTATCTAGATCGCTCCCCAGGGGAAGAAATCAACCGGAGCTTCTACGCAGAGCCAACAGGCCATGGCCACATCCCTGTTCAAAACGCCCCGATGCTGAGACTGCTCTACAGACCGTAAGCCAACTCCCCCAAACCACATGTTTTAGTCGCACACTGACTTTCCCAAACAGTGGCCACTATGACATCCTCTACAAGGCAGGAGATGTTCCACAGCCCATCCAGCACCAGCCTGTTCCTCCACAGCAAACACTGCATGTGGCGCTGGCCAATTACACGGATGAATTTGTACCCACAGCGTCCAACGTGCCCGACATTATGACTTTGATTCCGGGTATGTATCCAACGGGTCTCGGCCAGCGATGGCCTTCGCTCTCGTACGACTTCAGTACCAGCCCCGCACCACAGGCTCAGGTCACGCCTGTTCAGCCGTACCCACCTGCGCCGACGCCGGTTACGCCGGTTAGCACCTCTCACTTGGACTTTGTTACACCAATCCACACCAGCCAGTACAACGCGCCAAGCCATCACAGCATCCACCTCGACCAACCTCCCGTGACACTTCCCATCCATCCACCCCGTCCACCACCCGTGAGCATCGAAAGAACAGCCCCTTTAGCCATTGAAAGAGGCGGCCCCTTCAGGCCTTCAATGTACGAGCTAGAGCCCGGCTTTGGCTCTTCCATGCAAGTGCAGCCATTCCAAACATCCATCTTTCGGAAGTAAGTTTTATGATTCGCCTATTGGTATCCTGTTCCTGACCATGTCCAAGTTCCCATTTCAACACTGCCCACTTCATGAATCCCGACTTCCAGCCTGAGGAGTGGTGTCCAGATGGCGATTATGCCACGGGCAACAAAGGACGACACAAGTCCTATTCCTCATAGCCACCTTTCTTTGCACACTTTTAGCTCATCTGCGCTTCCTTGGTGGCTTTCTCCGACATCTTAGCGACTACTAGCGTGGCGTTCCTCGAGCTTGCGGTACTTTCTCTGCTACCTACAGCATCATCTTCTCCACGGCCTTACCAACACTCACGACGACGCATGACGACCAAATACCATTATTAGTCTCTTTCGGAACATCGCTCTGTTACTCTTACATATGCAAAAGCGACGGTACTTCCACGTGCCTGCACTCTTGGTTCTTCGGCGGCACGCATTGCTTCAGCCTAGCATCCATCTACTAGCACTTTCTTTTCTTCCTAGGGCGGAGTACTGTACTTTCTCTTCATTTGCCTCAAACTGCCAGGAGCCGACCCCGCGAGGATGTACGACCGTAACGAATACCGAGACTATCAACCTCAGGGTGACCGCTTTAGCGTTGAACATGTTTATTGTGGCTTTTTGCTTCTGCTTACCTCTACTATCATCCATCACTCACCGCCCTCGACACCTTTAATCACAACCTTCTCTCGATTTAATGCAAACACTATTCGGTATGCGCGGTCTTTATCCCGTCTACTGGCCTTCACTCGTCACACACACTGCCATCACCCGCGGCCACCTGGATTCGCCTTGCGGATCCGCTGCTCGCGTCCTATCCAAACCTATTCTTGCTTCGCTCGGAACGCGTTCGGTCTACGATGAAGCTCTTCCAAGCGGCCCACCGAGGTCACATTCGGGAATTACTGATGGGCATTAGGATAGCAACACCTATGCCACCAGGAACGGCGTACTGGCTCGGCGTTGCTAGAATTAGCGTTGGCCATGTTTCACTGAATATGGCTTTAGACACCAGCATGCTTGTGAAGCACAGTAGATAGGGTCAAGAGACTGCCAAACAAAATACAACTGAGGTATCTCACTCCAAGTGCTGTCACATACCCATAACGTGCTTGGTGATGTATTATTGATGTTTTAAAGTTGACCTTAATGCAATGTTTTTATTCTTGGGAATCTCAAAAAGCAACAATCGAGAATTCCATTGAAACTCCTTATCCACTACTACCCCTCTCTCTCTCTTCTTTCAATTTACATGGTCTCTTGAATAGAGATTGACCTAAAAACAACAAAATCTCTCGACATCCCAGATACACATCTCTATCCACACAAACAAAAAAATTAAAATTAAATGAACTATTTACCCACCCTTCCGATATTCCGTCCCACTCCCTACCATAAGATCGGCGCTTAATTCTCCATCAGGTGCGCAGATCTTACACGCCACGCATGCATTGCACACGCCATTCCCGCATACAAACGTCTTTTTGTAAAACACGGATTAGATTAATTCCTCTCCACATGTGTGGAGCGTGTCCGCTTCATCGGCTCGTTGGGAAGGAAATTTTGATATGAAAACTGGAGAAGGGTGAGGTGGAGGAAGAGGGGTAATGTGACATAGTTTGGCCTAGTGGAGTAGCAATCTGTGTTTTTTGGGTTTAGATTTTAATTTTGGGAGGGTTTGTGAGCAAGACGTGGCAACTTGCGAATAAGAGGATGCACTTTACTATCTATGACCCGTCTGACCTTGCGAGATTCGAACGAATTGCCAGGTAACGATCAATTCACTTGCATGTGGAAAGCAGGGAGCGCGAAGCGGCGGATACCATTCGTTAACCGGTTTTTATAGTGATGCTTGTAGAAACGCTTGATGCTTACTTAACGCATGTGTGCCTATGAACGGCTGTTCGCAGGACGGGTAGACGTGTCGAGTCAGGCGCGGCCACGCTCCATGCTATACCTGACTGGCGTTAAGCCCCGAGCAAGACATGCATGTGCACATTGCCTGCCTCTCCTTCCATGCGGCTCCATTATTCCCGCAGAAAAAGACCGATGCCTGGCTTGCTCCGGGAAAGGAAGGTATGCTCTGCACCACAGTATCACCGCGTCAAGCCCCCCCTCACGTCCTATAATATCCTATCCCGCAGACCACCAGACACTATCGCACGAACCCCTTCTCCACCGCGCAAGCCGCGTTGTAAGACAACAGCACGACGCGAGAAGGTGCGTGGTTGCAAGATTCGCCATTGCATTCAATTGCTTGTTCCCAGAGTCCCGTTGGCGCGATTCCAAGTGTGATGCTGATAAGACGACGCACGAAATGGCGCAGTTTGCATCTCCGTCAATAGTCGTACAGAGAGAATGGCAGAGGCACGAGCTACCCCGCTCCGTGGACCCGCGGCTTGCAAAGGCTTGATTTCGTACTTCAAATGCCCCTGAAGTCCGCAGCCAGGCTCCTCGTGATATGCTGAAGGGGTCGGACATACGATGGTCCTAGTAATGGGACTTTGAATGTCGGTGAGCGGAATTGTCCGGTTGGCGACCGAGAGGCGGAAGACTTGTAACAAAGACTCGTATGTGTTGAGGGCACGGATAAGTCGTGGGCCTGTCGTGGTGCACATATTTGGCGACAAAGCCGCGGTCGGTACGAGGGTGCTACAAACCGCACGGCTACAGCATTTCGAAGGATGCAGGGTAATCAAGAGCGATTCTACCATGACCGGCTACTGTTTTCTTCTGGGTCGCTCGAGCTATCTGGTCCGACATCCTGCCCCATGGAAAACATCATCGCATCGGAGACTCCCAATATACAATGCCCAGCACTGATCAGGCATCAATATCGTCTGACTCAGACTCAGAAGAGGCGCCATCGCTGTCGTTCATTTGCACGTCCTCGTCAGCTCGACTGGGTTTTGCACCGTTGGTAAGACCCAGCTTCTTTTTCGCTCGTGTTTTAGTACGCTCTGCTCTCTTCTTTTCTTGGCTCATGAAGTACTCCTTCTCCTCGCGTAGTTCCGAAAGCTGCGAGAACGTGACTTTTTGGATTCGCTGGAGGCTGGCGAGCTGTTTTTTCAAATCTTTGACTTCTGCTGCACTAGTAGAAGAACTCGATGCATTAGCGTTGTCGTCTTGAGCCAAAGCCATAAAGTCCGCTGCTGGAGCAGAGTTGCCTTTCGATGCAGCACCCCACGTCTCTAATTCGGCTAGGCTCTCTTCTAGCATGCCGGCGGGAAAACTGGGATGCGTAAGAGCCTCCTCAAATAAGCTTTTTTTGGTTGATCTCCCATCTGTGGCGGACACGTGGGGGCTGCGTAACCGACCCGTGAATTGCATACTCAAAGTGTAGTTCGACGGCACAAGCCCATTTCCGCTGCTTGTAAGTCCTGCATCGTGTTTTGGTTTGACAATGGTCTGGATCTTGAAGGTCGGTTCCCGCGGGTTGGGAAAGCCCGTCGGTGCAAGAAACTGCAGGTTTGAGACAGGGCCCGGGAAGTTTGTCAAGGTGGAGAGGTAATTGCTCTTTGCAATATCCCACGTCGCGATCTTGCCACTCGCATGACCTGAGATGAGTGTTGTACCATCCCAACTCAAGCTGAGACTGAGCGCCCCACCGAGCTTCTGCGACTCGGCGTTGAAGCGTGTCTTCGGCGAAGGTTGTATCGGGCGGTGAGAAGAAGAAGCCTCACGAAGAAGATCGATCGAGGTTGTCCTCTGCACCTCGTCGTAGAAGTCTATCGTTTGCAAGCTACCGTCTCCGTAAGCGACGTAGAAAGCCCGGTCTGCCGGATCGAGGGCTACTGCCGTAGGCGTCTCCTGGAGCAGATACGTCCTCAGCGCTTGCCCATTGTGATAGTCCCATACAATGGCAGATTTATCCCCCGATATTGACACGGCGATGTTTGCGGTACTCGAGCTGTGTCCGCAGACGATGGACGATATAGGGCCGCGGTGGGTCGAGAGGGTATGGACAGGAGTGCGCGAAGTGTCGGGGGAGAAAGAGAGTATCGAGGGCAACGCCCATACGTGTATCATGGCATCTGAGGAGCCTGACAGGAAGTAGTTGGAGGACGGATCAACGACGATGCAGGTTACGGGTTGGAGATGCGCAGTGGATGTGGAAACGAGGCGACCTGAGCAGATCTAGCAAGAGTATTAGATTTTCCTGAATATATGCGTATCTTCTGATTTGGAGACTAACCTCCCATGCCAGCACTCGCCCGCTCTCAGTCCCTAGCAGTAGGACTGTGTCCTGCGCTGCGAGCGCAATGCTATGGATCCTCTCAGGGAAGGGCACGATGGCTTCTTGATTGCCTTTCTCCCGGCTGTATACATGTACGATTGCCTTGTCTGACTGAGCAGCGAAGATATGCGAGCTGCTCACAGCAATGCCATTGGGCGCAGCCGCGCTCTTCTTGAAGACATGCCGTTGAGCCGCCAGCGGCTGGTACTCGTGGACAAAGATACCCGCATCTTTGGTGACGCCCGTATTTGGCTTCGTCGACGCGGATATCGCGGCTACGAATTGTTCGGTGAGCATCGTCCACCGCGTGTGAGGTTTTGGTTGTTCACAAGCTCAACCCGCCTAGGAATTTTGGGTGGAACTTTTTTAACAGGCCCGTGCGCGTCAAGCCTCGGTGAGATCATAGCTGATGTTGGACGAGATGCGCTACCCATCACGGGAAAAGCATCACGAAACACTCACTTTTTAGCCTCGTCCTTGGTCGGATGTTTTCAAAGTTCTCAAATATCCTCAAACTCTTGTTCAGGTCTCAAATTTTCGACCTAACTCTTATGTTCCATCCTTCAAGACACAGTAAGCTTCTTTGAAAGGCGCTGCGCTTGTTAGAGCTTAGTCAAGAGGATTTCCAAAGCGCCTACGCCCTAGTTGAGCTACCGCTAGTTCTATGAAAGTACTTTGAGTGCGGAGATGTTTGTGAGTACATTGGCTTCTTCCAGGATAGGCTTCGAAGAGCTTAGTCAAGTAGATAATAATAAACCTAAAGATGCGAAGCGGGGTATTATCAGTCTAGTTCTCACGCGATCGACGGTAAAATTGTCTTAGTCTAAAGTTTAAGAACGACGGTACGGGATGCCTAGTCATCACAACGACGAAACGGGGTTGCAAGTCCAGGGCTAATGCAAGTAACTACCCCGTGAGCCTATACGACCAGCCACTAACCGCATTCTCAAACTTACTAACTTGGTCCAGCATGATTCAAGACATCAGTAGCAATTGATCTACTGGTCTGGATGGATCTGAAGATCTACATTTGGCGCGCAGCCCCGCGTCGTTGCATCTCAGCTGTCAACCGAGGATACTGCGGATGGGGGGTCGTATAAAGCGCAGAGTCGCTCGACTCAGATGAAACAAACTCTCCTTCGACAACAAGGCCAAGATCCAAGCAAACCCTAGCAATCATCATGTCCGTTGAAGACTTTACGAACAAGACCTACGACTATGTCATTTGTGGGGGCGGAACAGCTGGCCTGGTCATTGCTGCCCGACTCACCGAGGATCCGAACGTGACTGTTGCTGTCTTGGAGGCTGGAGGAAACGGGTTGAATGACCTCTTGATCGATGGTCCAAATCTGTTTACACAACTGTGGGGAAAGCCGCAGTACGACTGGGATTATAAGACTATACCCCAGGTTTGTATGTCCTGGTTTTCCACGTTGGATTGAGCTCATCAACATCAGGAAGGCACTGATGGCAGAACTCATGGATGGATTAGAGGTAAAGTTCTAGGTGGCAGCTCAGCTGTCAATTTCAACATGTTCAGCATGGCGTCGAAGCAAGACTTGGATAACTGGGCTGAGTTGGGAAACAAAGGCTGGTAAGAGTTTCCGAATCCCATCTGCAAGTCATATTCTAACTGGCTCCTAGGGGTTTCGATGATATGGTGCAATACTACCGCAAGTTTGAAACCTATCACCCCTCTTCGGAAACTTTGGCAGAGAAAATCAACGACAAGTATCTCGACAAGTCGCTTCGTGGCACATCTGGCCCGATTCACGTTAGTCTTCCGACTATGCTTCGATCACGTTCTAACCCTTACAGATCTGCTTCCCAGACACCGACCTCGCTTGGGTCCAGGATGTGTGGCCTAAAACTATGATGAACGCAGGGTACAAGCCGACAAGAGATCCTCGCACTGGTTCAGCAATCGGTGGATTTAATCAGCTGAACACCATCGACCCTAAGCACAATAGGAGGAGCTACGCCGCGAGAGATTACTATGAGCCCAACGCAGACAGGTCAAACCTGTCGGTCTTGACACACGCTTTGGTCTCCAAGATTGAGTTAGAGAAGACCGGTAGCGATGCGAGGGCCACGGGTGTCCAATTCATTGTCGATGGCACGACTCATACAGTCAAGGCTAACAAAGAAGTCATTGTTTGTGGAGGATCGATCAACTCTCCTCAGATTCTCGAATTGTCTGGAATTGGATCACCTGTTGTGTTGGAGAAGGCTGGTGTAGAGGTCATAGCCGATCTTCCATCTGTTGGGGAAAACTTGAATGACCACACGGCGAGTATCATCGCATTGGTGGGTTCTCCGTTTTCTGCCTTCACATCTGTCTTCTAACTTGTCATTAGGGCGTCAAGGACGAATATCCGACCGCAGAAGCTCTCACTCGGAACCCAGAGATCATGCAACAAGCTTTGGACGCTTACATCAACCACAAAGCTGGTCCATTTGTTGGCGCGCCCACCGCTACTGGATTCGCCTCCTTGGAGAAAATCCAGCCCGACTTCCCAGACGCGGAACAACACATCCAATCCCTCGTCGCAGAGCACGCAAAGAAGTATCCAGATGGGGACTTGGCGGGCCGTGACCAGCTGCTCGCCCGCCAGCTCCTGGATCCGAAGGAAGCTGCCTGCCAGATGGTGGCCCTACCTACGGGTGGTAACATGGAGAACGTACATATACCAAGCAAGCTCTTCAATTCCGAAGACGACGGTATGTGGTGCATCATCGCCGCGTGTAGCACGCGATCTCTATCTCGCGGCTCAGTCCACATCAATACTACGGACCCAAACGCCCATCCCACCATCGACCCTGCCTACTTTAAACATCCGCTCGACGCCGACATAATGGCTCGCGCTATACTCCACGCTATCAACTTCACGGAATTTGAGCCTTTGAAGTCCGTGCTCCGTCGCGACGCCGACGGCGGCCTCGTGGTTTCTAAAAACTCCGGCGGTGTCCTGCCCAAGACCATCGACGAAGCTAAGAAGTTTTTGCGCACGAATACGGCCACAGAGTATCACCCCATCGGCACTTGCACGATGCTGCCCAAGGACAAGGGCGGTGTGGTGGACAACCAGCTGAAGGTGTATGGCACGAGCAATGTGAGGGTTGTGGACGCGAGTATCTTCCCGCTACATGTACAGGGTAATATTGTGAGTCTTGTGTATGCGATTGCGGAGAAGGGGGCGGACATGATCAAGGGGAAGAAGGCTGCGTGAAGGCTTTGTTGGAATGGATAGTATCAGGGCAAGACGTATTCTGTAACTTCTAACGCTACGTCAATTTGATTATGGAAAGTGCGTATCATGACGACGAAAGCTGAAACCTAGCATGGATCTGCTCGGATTAGCATCCTCCAAATCATTTGCAGAGAGCTCTCTAAGCTTTACAACTTCTTCTGCTCATTCTCTAGACCCAAGCACGTACTCGTATTCGAAGTGCGAGGATCGAAATGACCCTCGCCTCAAATCCCCATTTCCAGGACCAGCCTTCCACCATCTCGCCCACACACGTGAAGTCACTCCTACTCCTTCTCCTCAAACGCCTCCCTCCCTTTCTCCAAGAATTCCACCTCATCATCACCCTCCTCCACACCCGCCAACACAGCAGCCTTCCTCCAAGCTAACCCCTGAACCTCACTTTCGCTAAACAACTTGATCGTATTCCCATACGCCGGATTTTTCTTAGCAAAGAACGGGAGACAAGCCAGATCCGCGGGCGTCAAGTGATACTTTGCTTTGCTCTCAGTCTGGTTGACAGCCACCTTTGGCTCATCAACCAGTTTGTTGTCGGCGTCGGTGGGAAGCGCATGTGCAGAGACGTATTCGGTCCATTTCTGCTTGGGCGTTTTGGGTTTCTGGGCTCTTTCTGATGAAGCCTTCTTCTTCGCGTCATCGACAGCAGCAGCGGATGAGGCGTATTCTTCATTCCACACCTCTTCTCCCTTCCGTAGAAGCGCAGAGTCCTTCGTCTTGCCGCCACTGGCTAGAATACCGTGTTTCCTGAACGCGAGTTGTTTCACGTCTTTTTCGAGGAATAGTTTTGTCGTGTTGTTGTAAGTAGGATGTCGTTTTTCGAAATGCAGTAAACTGCCCAGCTCGGTTGGTTTCAGACCGTACTTCTTCTGGCTGTCTGTTTGCGTGATTGACTCTTCTTTCTCGGGCTCAGCATCTAGCAGTTTCCCGTCGACATCGTGGGCTTTCTGCCACTCTTCCCAGTCCTTCTTGTGGTGCGCCTTTTCCGCCTTTTCTTCTTGTGCCTTGGCCTTTTCGCGCAGCTCGGCAGCTAAGATCTCCGGGTCCTTTTTGCGTCGCTTTGCTGTTGGTGTTGTTGTGGGTACCTCGGCGTCAGCTTCAGCTTCGCGCTTTGCTACCTTCTTGGGAGCTGCCTGTTCCTTCTTTTTGCTCGCAGACGCCTTCTTCTTCTTCGTTCCAAAATCTGATCCTTCTGAGTCTGATGTGTACTTGACTGGCGCTTTCGCACGGCCTGACCTGCGACTTGACATATTGAATCGTGATTTTGAGTATTGTCAGTTTCAGGTGCTAAAAGTGTGGTAGAAAGAAGAGGGTCCTTATTTATAGAGAGCTGTGTCTTAAACGACAAAGCAGGTTTCACGTTCCGAATGAGATTGACGTTGAAAGGAAGCTCGGATGTCTGAGACAGGGGCAGATTATTAGCCATCTACGTCATTGCGCCGATCAGGCAGGTGAAAACGTCTTACTACAGTATGCAAGACTGTAGCTCACTGCCATTACCACTGCATCGGTAATTGTGTTGCTATATTGATATTTTGAGTTTCAGCCGACAGCCCTATTGATCTTTTCATCGCAAACATGTATTCGCACTAACAGAACAGCCAAGCCTGATCTAAATATATTTGGTGCTCTGTTTACTATACTTTATGGTTATGTACTGCCTGCTTCGTGTTTTATATTGTGACGTATTTTCTGCACCCCGTCATCTCTACCAACGTATCGCCTTTTTGAACACCGGCACCTCCTCAAAGTCATCCACACTCCACTTCAATTCCCCTTTCTCATCGATCCACGCCCCCTGATCACTACAATTCAAGCCCTTCTCCTCATTCTCCTTGGCTTCGTTTTGGCTTACACCCACTTCATCCTTTGCCAACCATATAACGGGCGTTTTGCTCGTATACGCAGGGTTCAGATACGCTTTCTTCACGTCTTCCTCGCTATACTCCGGCGCATCGTCCATATCAAAGTCGCCTTCGCACAGCCAAGCCTTCATCGCGGTATGGCTCGCAAAAACATGCGGCTGCAAGAAGTGCGCAACTGGTGAAACGAGGTGTGGCGGTACACGTGTGCGACTGCTCAGGCGGTTGATATTCGACTCCGCATTGTGTAGCGCATCGGATTCGCCTTCCTCTGCGGCTGAGAGTAGAGGGGCTTGCTCATCGTCCTCGGAACTGAGAGCCAAGTCTGCAGGAAGAAACTGCTCAAGCGGAGCGAAGTAACGATTTGTGGTGTAGTTGAAGATTACAGTAGCGATGAGGAGGAGTACGACCATGATTGATGGACCAGTAGCTTGGCGCAAGCCAAAAAGGCCAATGAGGCAGAGCTCGGCAATGTAGACACCAGTGAGAATTTGTTGAAGGGCGAGTGTGTAACAGTGCCCCTTCGTGTCGATTTTGGGTTGCACGGTGTAGAGTAGCATGTACCGATAGCTGACATAAAAGATGGCGAGGCCTATGGCGGCGAAGCCAAGGACGAGGGGTGCGATGCAAGAGTAGGCAATAGCTGAATGACGTTAGTATAATGCCCTTGATTCTTCCACGGTGTTCTCTTACCGATGATCACAAAATTCACATACTTCGGGAACAGCTTGCCCCACGGCATGCCCCTCAAAGTAACATAGCTATTGTACTTCTGACGTGGCGTCTTATCAAAGTACTTGTCGAAGAAAAGAAAGGACAGAACATCAGAGTAGTTCAGAATATTGCTCGGGGCGTTTGTTAGTGCCTGAACGACGAAGTATGTAAGGTACGTGTTTGATGCTTGTGGTAGACGCTCGGCAAGTAGTTGAGGAACAGAAGCCGGATCCTTGGCGATCTGAGACGCCACAGCTGTAGCCCCTGATGAGAGCGTAGTGACGAGAAAGACTTGCAAGACCTGAAAAACGAAGTACCACTTGAGTACCTTCAATTCAGTCGAGGTTTTGGTGGGCTCTCCAAAGGTGGTGAAGATATCTACGTTGGTAAGCTATTTGGATTCTGAGACCAGCTTTCACGGGGTACGTACATCTGAAAATATTTGGCACGTATCTGCTCAACGCGCTAAGGAGTAGAGGAGGCACTAGGCCGCTCAGAAGACTCATAATGGAGGGTGGAAGCTTGTTGAGGAAATGAAGCCATTTGAAGTTCTTAGCAAGGTACTCGATGTTCGAGATGATACCAACAAGGGAGACAGGAATAGACCAGAAAATGATGGTGGCGATGACGAGGGCAAGTGCGATGCCTCCCTGCGATATGCGGCGCGCGGGAGTTAAGTTGAGGTTGGTCCAGTTTACTTCATTTGGCACAACTCCAGTGTACCGTGGCGTGAGTGACAAGATATCCGATGAAGCGATTTGCTGGCAAGCTTGTTGCGCTGCGGCTTGCGTACGGAACTCGACGAATACTGCCGCTGCTCCACTAGCTCTCTCCGCGCCCTCATTCGACTCACGAGCCTTTTCAACATCACGCTCCTTCCCTTTGAGTTGATCCCGAAACCAGTCGATGCTGTCGACGTTTTTGCCACCTGGTAGTGTGTGTAGGCTATGTGTTGGTCGTAGGGATTTCTTCATCTGCTTTGGCAGGCTGTCGTACTTCATATTCCGGTCGTTGTTTCCGCCTTGAGTCTTTTTGATCTCTTTATTGACGTTCTGAATGAGTGCGATCTCGGCGGCCTCTAGCTCTTCAACCTTCGAGTTTCTAGCGGATACCAAAGACTGAAGCTTATCGGCCTTCGTAGCGGGCCATATTCTGACCGCGTCATTGCCGAAGAACCGCTGCATATTGCTGTCGTCAAGAGCTGCTGTCGGTGCGGAGAGGAACAGGACGGTGCGCGACGATAGCCTCTTCGAATTCGTCTTGGAAAGATTCCACGCTTGTCGTAGACCAATAAGCCAAAGTCGTTCCCTTGCCACGGTGAACATGACGAAACTGAAGAACACCCAAGCAACTGTGGCATGGGCGTAGAGGTGGTTCTTCTTTTTCACGTTTCCAATTGAGATGCGATTGAGCTCCGTTGATTTTCCTCCACCCGTGGCATTTACCGGCATCAGAATTGGCCAAGTGATGGCAGCGCCAGCGACGCAAATAAAGATCAATGTCCGAAGGAACCGGAGAAAAAGGTAAGAATCCAGCGACTGATGGTACAGAATGAATTTATCAGGAATGATTCTCATCGTGTGGACCCAATCCCAGTACGACCGGCTGTGACATGGCGTGCGATCTTTTTCCGGCACAGTTCCAATGTACGTGCGTGGAAAGTAAAACTTGGGATAGTAGCGTCTGACTAAGATGAAAGCAATCATATATAGGATTGCTATCACAGCTGTTGGGACGAAGGCTGCAACGACCGCTGCTAGAGAAGAAGGGCCGCTTTGCTTCAAGACGTGACTTGTTAGATGATTCGGTTCGAGTACGCCTGGAAACATTTGACTACTTACCGACTGGTCACCTTTGGTGACAAGAACCGTCTGGAAATCCATCTTGATGTGGGCGCCTGAAGGCGTTCGATATAGAAAGAGAATGGATCAGACTGCGCATTAGCCTGTGCGCATTGCTGTCGAGAACACCAAGAAGATCGGCTACGAAAGGAAGCGAACGGTAATTCACGTGCACTTCACCTGTGGAATGGTATTGATGAGAGCGAAAAGTGAAGCCTGCATGAACGACGAGCTGCCGTGTTTATGACGTATACGCGTGGCGCGTGCGCGCCACCCAGCTCGAGCACACGTGCTTACTGCGTCTAGGCAGCACAACTCCGAGGACCAGACGAAGGATATTTAGCGTTTTAGTGCGAAAGATGTGTATTTATTTACATATTAAAAGTTCTACGTGTCTCCAAACAATCTGTATCAAACACCGTTCTTTTGCCCATGGTATCACACCGTCCAGTCCTAGAAATCCAACCGGAACACCCAAACCCTAAACCAGTGTAAATACAGCCTAAACCCAACGCCTGTTTATACAACATAGCATATCTAATGCTAGAATGGGGTGAATGGGGTGGCCTTCCTACAGCCATAGTAACCACCTCACAAGCCCCCAACCTACACCAAGAATCCTCTTTACAGAACCCACAAGCACAACCATAAGCCACAACCACCACATGACGGCCACCAATGCCCACTCGACGAGCATCCAGCCGAGGCCTCGGGCCCATCTCATTCTGCGTCTTCGTGCCCGCAGCATGCGGTCGATTTCGTCTGTGATTTCCTTTACTTGTAACGGTCCTTGCCCGGATACTTCACTCGTAATGCGCAACGCTTTGTCGCCCCCGTCTAAAATGCGAGGCATGAGGTCAGAGTCCACGCGGGATTGCAATTGCAATATCTGGGTAGTGAGCTCCTTAATAGCACTGTCGCGGAAGTTTTCTAGCGATATTTGCAGAGCCTTGGTGGAAGACTCGAGGTCTTTGACCAGTATGCGGGCAGCTAAGACATGTTCTTCCTTCCTTGGAACGGGGAAGAGTTGCGTTTTGGCTGTGGCTGCAGCACGGGTGAGGAAGGCGGGAGCTGGTGATCTAGATGAATAGGCGCGATGGGTGATCTCTTTGGCTTTAACACCAGAGCATAAGAAGAGTGCACGAACGCGGGCGATGTCAGCCTGCGCGACGATGTTGGTGGCCTTGCGCTGGACCGCATGCTCACCATTGTCTGCAATACTCCAGTGCCGCTTGCCATCAAGCGTTGGTCGAGAGCTACTTCGCTGTCTGCCATTAGGCCCTTGAGCATTCCTAAGCGCTGTAGGAGGCAGGCCAGGCACACTAAACGCTCCAGGACGCTCGAGAACTTTATTGATCCGGTCTTGACTGTGACTGCGGATGACGCTGAGCGATGTTGTGGACGAGTTTTGAGAGAGGGTACCCAGGTCCATTCGAGGTGGTGCGAGTTTATTGAAACGAGGTGAACGGCTGTTCTTTCGCTCTCGGGTTTGGCGAGTGATGTGATGCTCCACATCCGAACCGAACTCGTCGTCACGGTGTGTTTGATTGACTGGGCGGAAAGTGGGGAGTTCAAGGTGAGAGCGGCCGTGTTTCCTGGAGGCAACGCTTTCTGTCGTGACCGTGCGAGATGTCGCCGGCCGTATGGGAGCCCTAATTTTGGTGTAAGGGTCGATGCCAAAATCCACCGAATTGCGACCCGACGATATTTCCCCATCAGAGTCATCTGGTCGGTCTCTTCTAAATATAAACTCTCCGACTTTCGTCCCTTCCCGCTTCGCGCCTTTGAAAAATCGAGAGACAGCAGAGTGTGGTTCTTGGGTTTCTCTGCGGCGCAGTTTGTCGGGGCTTGGCAAGCTGCTGACACTGTCGTTCTTGCGATGGCCGAGGAGGCTCCTCACGGCACCCGGAGCTGCTAGTGTTCCTCTATGCTTTTCATCTTGCGTTTCCTCACTTGCCTGCCGGGAACTTTGTTGCTTATCTGTACCAGCCGATTCTGGTCGGAACTCGTGCTTGTGGTCTTCGCTAGTCTCGCGTGAATGAAATATATTCAGCTTGCTACGCTTAGATTTCCTATTCTTGGAGCCTGCTCGGCTCTGTGGTGGAGAAAGGTCATCTCCAATATGAGGGAAGCGTTTTGAATGTAGTGGTGTGTTCGGTGCTGTGCTGTCCCAGTCTTCGAAGGACGATCTCGGTTCAGTATCGTCGATGGAGAGCTTAGTATGCGTACGAACTCGTGGAGGTATCTTGAAGCTCCCGTGGTCTTTGACATATGCGAAGCCGTTTCCGAGGCGAGGTACCTCCAGTGAGTCTCGTGCACCGCTATTTTCAGGCAACTCTATGTCATTCCTCCCCCATTTGTCCGGGGTATCAGGCGAAATAATAGCCGGCGACTTCGCTCGGACCTCTTTTGCTTGTTGCTCTAACAACAAAGCAAGCGGACCAGTATTTTGATCAACATCCACAACAAGGCGGGGCTTGCGCTTCCCAAGATCGGTATCCGAACCAGAGGAATCAGAATCGTCCTTCGTCCGTAGTCGCGAGCCTCGCCTAGAGTATTTGCCACCTCTGGGACTATCAGTGCGAATTGCTGGGAGTAACCTTCGCTTGCGACCCCTTTCGCTACCTTTCTCGCTTTCGTCGCCAGTCGTAGGATCAGCTGCGACACCAGGTAAGCCTTCCACCCAGCTTTTTCTGCGCTTTTCGGAGTATTCTTTGCTTGTGCGCGGTGTAAGATAGTCCTGCTTCTGTACATCTCTTGGTGGGAAGATCCTGCGACCATGCCGATTCTCGATTAGCGTCTTATTGTCGTTTTGCTCGACCCAGTGCACATCTGCAAGCAGCTCTTCTGGGCTCAGGACCCAGCCCTTCTGTGACCTCGTTGGTTTGCTTGGCGCGCCCTCTACTGCATGCTCAGCGTGTAGTTCTGGCAACTGTACAGCATCGCCTCGACGGTAGCTAGAGTGGCTCGAATGTTGCTCTATGCGATCCACCCACTCTCGAACTTGCCCAATGTCGATGAACTCTTCAGGAGAGTGGTCGAGCGTTCGTCGTTCGCGAGCTCTGGTTCTTCGGTTGCGGATGTATTGTAGCGGGTTGTAGGGACGACCGAGGCCGTACTGCTTGCCAGCGTAAGACGGTATGCGAGTGAGCTGCGCTTGCGTACTGCCTGGAACGTTACTTGAAGTCACTACGAAGTTCCCGGGTGCGTTGGCGTCTGGTTTCAGCGGGGGCAGATACTCTAGCAGTCGTAGATACTCCATTTGAAGTTCGATGTATGCGCGTGCTTTGCCAACTCGCATCAGTGTAGCAGTAGAGGGGTTGATTGACTGAGTAGTTTGAAAGGCAATTGATCCGCTTCGCGGTATGGATGTAGACATATGGCGAGAAGGCGAGGCTTTGGCGCCCATCGGGGAGATGTTCCTTGATGCTCGTCGCTGCTCGTTGAGATAGTGCTTTAGACTGCTGCCAGCGCCATGGTTGGACGGGGCCCCTTCCCGTTGCGAACCTGAAGTGGCGCGAGACTGAGATGCTAGCAGCTGACTAGTACTTATATTCCTTCTTCGACTCTCGCTCAGGTTCAAAGCCATATGTACGAGCTGATTTGGATCGATCATCTGCCGTTGCGGTGTGGTGGGTGACAGGTCCCGGTCATGGGCGGTAGACGGCACCATATGTGTGTTCCTGTTTGTCTTCCCAACGCGAAGTTGGCCACGGTTCTGCTCTTGCGAGTCGGCCGAGTCAAGGTGGGACCCTCTCTCTGCAGCGCTCTGTCCATAGACCTGCACTTCTCGCGAAAGGGGTGAGCTACTGGGAGATAGTCTCTTCCTCGAGCGAACCTCCTTCCCGCCGCTGTTCTCGTGTGTCTCATGATGCTGTGTCCTCGGACCGCTGGGGAAGCTCGAGTCTAGCAGAAACCCTCCCGAGCGCCGTGCGCGCTGCTTGCGACGGGCGAAGTCCTGCTCTTGTATCGAATCCACAGACAGCGGACTCCCCGACCCTGCCCTTTGAGTGCCGCTCACCGCGCCCGTATTGGGCCTGAAGCCAACGCTCTGCCGCGGCGAAGAGCTGCCTTCCCCGTTGTCTGCGTAGGCACCCGAGTTTTGTGAAATGAGTGTAGGGGAAGACGCCACCGAGGGCTCCGAGGAGACTGAGGGGCGGCCATCGCTCGAGGGCGCCGACATGGTCTTGAGGCTGCGGCTCGATCACCTTGTCCGACGAAGAGGTCGCATTGCGATGACGAAGGCTGCGCGGCGCAGAGGTGCAACCGAGATAGGGGTGGGCGCGGGCGTGGGCGACAGTGTGAGAATCGTACGAGGATGGCTGTTGAGTGTATCGACACGCGTGGGGAAGATCATGTGTGAGTCTTCAGCAAACGACAGGTGCATCTCGCGTCTGGGGTTTAATAATAATGGGTAGTTCGATTAACAGCATCATCGGCTGCACCTCCGGAAGCCGCTTCCTCATACGTCAACAGGCCCAAGCGCCTTCCATTTGCATCTGCCATTGCCTCGCACTTCACCCAACGTGCAGCTTCATCTTGACTACTATGCTCATCAGTCTTCAACCTTCGACTCAACCGCGCAGACAAACCTCGGCCCCTTTCTCCATCACAAAAAGCCCGCCTACTGGCCCAATCACGGTTAGCTGTGTTAGTACGCGATGATCTGCAGTTGATCTCCCACATTCGCTGTGACATGCTTCTCAACCTCGCGGCTAGACCCAGCACGTTGACATTCAATACTAACCGCTATTGTTCGGAGAACCTGAAAGGGCCTTTCTTCCTAGAGCAAGTTGACAGTTAAAAGCTACTATTATTATAATTAATATACTTGAACTCTCAGACCTGATCCTGGCCTTTGGAGAGTGGGTGCAGAGCTTATCTACTAACCCTCCAATGCAAGATACGTGTAGTAGGATACCGAGAAATCGCCTGGGATATTGTTCCACAATGCTAGACGCCTTCCCTGCTATCAAAAGCGCAAGCTGCAGTAGCACACCTTGAGTGACCAAAAGTCTGCGAATGTGGTTGGTGGTTAGCCAACAACCACTCGTCGTACGGCAGCCGTTGTTCAACTGGCAATCTGTTTGTCTTCGCCTCCCTGATTTCCAGCAGAAATGTGCTCAAAACAAGCTTGATCTATTCCAGCGAAAATATCCGCGTCGTAGCATCCCCCAGAAGCTAATAATATACTGCTGCTGCTTCAACGTTTCGTATCGTTTATTGTGGAGAGGGGCGCACGTCGGTTTATACAAACTGCATCTGTTCTGCTTCCTCAGTGACCATGATTCTGAAGCGGGAACGAGAAGATCTACTTCCTCATTTGTGCCTACCATATATTCCTCTAATGTTCAAAGACCAGCGGGAGTCCGTGAAACACTCAGCCTCAACGCCTCGTCATGAGCTGATAGTTCCGCATTGGGCACGTGCTTCCACGGCGTCTTGCCATAATTGGTGTCCCTCGCTGGGATTCTGCAAGCCATAGTCTATATGCAACATAGGTCGCCCGAAAGATGAGACATTCGGGGTGATGTGCGAATGTCGGAATATTGCCAATGTACCCCTGGCATCCCTTAACTTCCCGCCTTCGGCCAACTGATGACAAGGAGAGCGATATATGTCCATATTTCCAAAACACTTGCGACTGCTCGTGAGCTCTGTTTAATGCAGGATGGCGATCATAGCAACTTCGATCGGCTTGGCTAAGCGGAAGCGTGGAAAAGATGCGACAGGCCCGTGGATAAGGAATTTGTTATTGTTCAATAGTGGGTGCTTCGCAAGTACGGATGAGTGGCATTCGAGGAGCCATAGGCATGTGATGGATGTCCCGTCTTTGCCATCGAGCCGAAGACATCCGGCGTCAACGTGTCAGTGGGTACCTGCTATTAGTTGAGAGGCTGGGAGGAGCCAACCCATGAAGTAGAGTTGTCCATCTAGATTATTGTCAGTCCTTGCACTGCGCTTCAGAAAATCCACCGAGTGAAAGTAGCGACGGTTCGTATTGGAACCGAATTCGCGGGACTATGTTCGCATCCGGAAGCGTAGGGCCTGACGTCGGTGTACTATTATTCCTCTTGACTGATGGTCAGACGAACAAGCGAGTTTGTTGGTGATTTCAGTGCTAGCTGAGGTACGATGGCAATGGCTTTGTTTATCTAGTAGCTAGCAGCACTTGCGATACCTAGGTAAAGCAATTGCAGTGCTGCAAGCGATCCCGAACAGGTAACAAGTAGCGAGCTGCATGACTTCCCAGGACGTCGAAGACCTGAAACACCGAGTCGTCCTCTCGCTGAAGGCTTACGAATCAATAATCGTGTTCTCGCGCCTTTACCTTGGAAGGAAGTGTGGGGCTACTATTGGCGGGGAGGCTGACAAGCGTGCTGAAGCCTGTCAGCGTAGCATCGGGGCAGGCGTCATGGTATATTGTTAGTCTGGCAGATGGTTTAGCTGATGGCATGCCCTCCGTACCGGAAATCCTTTCGACGAGAGACTCAACATAAGATAGAATCCTAAATGCCATTGATGTTACGTTTGTCCAGGATTTTGTTGTTGGGGCATGGTTGACATGTTCAACTCGAACGCTGAACAAGGTTTGTGGCAGCTGCACGTCAGCCGCGGAACAGGAGGACCGATCTTATGCCCAATGCCCATATTCCGCAAACCGAAAGTGACAGCCAAGCATGACTTGAACGAGGCGGGGGCTTGTGGGCTAGCATCCCAGCATTCTTTTCGTGAAGTCGTATTGCGCCCCACTACGAGAGCTGTTTGAGATTGAGACAAAAGAATCAAAGCAAGACACCTGCATGGTGCATGGAAGGCCACCTCCGATCGAGAGGCTAGAAATCTGTATTCCGAGTGCAGGCTGCCCATGTCCAGCTGGACTTGTAGCCTTGGAAAGGCTCCATTGGCTCGTAATCGGCGATTCCTCGTAAAATAAACAAGTCCCTCGGAGCGCTGATTCGCGTGCCCGCGGTTCCCGCTTGGACCGCAACGAGGCGGATGATCCGGTACTTGGCCGCGGCGAGGCTGAACAAGGGAACGAAACTAGAGAAGAAAACCAAATGGCGCTGATGGTGCCCTTGCTAACAGGATTTAGAGGATGCATTGGTGCTAGAAACGATGATGCAACGTGAGCGATGGTGTCGTCGTCACGGGAATTAGCTCGCATAACTAGGCGCGAGCCATCACCCTCGAAATAGGAAAAGCATGACCAAGGTGATCACAACAGCTCGCTCGCCCCAACTCTCGCCCTCTTGGACCTGCTGTTCTTCGCAATAGCGGAATGATCCGAGCAGGGTTCTGGCTGGGATCCTTTGGTTCTTTTTTATTGTTTGGTCCAACCGGCAAAGGGTCCTACCCAAGCTATCCGCGTCTTGTTGCCTGATTCGCCCTGAGCTCAACAGACTTCGTTCAGGCTGAGGCTGACTGACGCGGGAGCTGAAAACCCAGCCTTGCAGCTCGTGCCCACTCCGCCTGTCCCAGCAAAAATCAACTATCTGCCTGGACTTATTTCCCTGCCTAGCCCCGCGCTCCCCAGATCGACCTGGAAACACATCACACGTCTCTAACACCCTGGCCGTACTCTCCATATCGTCTAAACCCTTCAGATTTAGTCGCCGTTAGAGCTGCCGCAGTAGCCCCACTCCCAAGGAACAAATCAACTTCCGAGTCCGTTCACTTCGAGACGGGATAGATCCGCGCTCATCCAGTCCTCTTGGACCCCTAAAAGACTGTCAAGTGTTGATGCCTCCAACAAGGTCAAGAGCCAGGATGAAAGAAGAAACGCCGGCTACCACCTCGACAATGATTCAAGTCAGCGAACCTGTTGAGCTACCGTCAGCATCAAGGGAAACCATTGTTACAGCATCGCCTCTTGACACCACGCCTAATACATCACCCACTGCCCAAACAACATCAAAGACCCCGTCTCGCAGAGTACTGCGGCTGAAGTGTCCAACATGCACCGACTATCCCGACGGTTTCCGCAGTGAGCATGAATTGCGACGTCATACGAACCGCGTTCACAGGAAGACGCGTAAAGTCTGGGTTACCATCGACACCTCGCCCGACAAGACGTTTCTTGCAAACTGCAAAGCATGCCAGACGGGCAAAAGGTATAACGAATGCTATAACGCTGCAAGTCACCTCCGGCGCATGCACTTCCATCCCCATAAACGCGGCGAACGGAAGATGACTGCTGCAGAGGCTCGACGCGGCGGCAAACCTGGCGATCTGGATCCTCCCATGGAAGTACTGAAGGCAAATTGGTTACGAGAAGTGGACGAGATGGTTGGAGAAGACAATGAACCCATCGTGGACGACGTGGGGAACGTACCCTTGACCCAACCTCAGCTCTTACCCCAGCCTCTGCCCGCACCAAACAAGTCTGAAGGGAAGGCACCACCGACACCAACGACGCCTTCGACTCGATCAATGGCAATCGACAGCATCGTGGATAAGATGGATGCATCCTGAGCCCAACGCCTATGCTAAGGGACAAAGCATACAACCGGACGCGACTAGGCACCGAACGCGCGCCGAGAGACCAGTATCGGCTCATCACCAGTAAGCCAACCGAATATACTCGCTGCGGTTGGCCTTCTGCGGCTCTTCCACACTTCGTGAACACAATGGCCATCCTGCTCAACGCAGGAAGACAGGGATGCAGGCCTAAAACACATCCTTGTAAGCGTCTATCGTGGCGAATAGTAAGACGGGCTAGAATAGATATCCAAGGCATTGCCCCGATCGCTCTTTCCAAAAGTATTCTGGTGTTTGGTTTATCGGCGTTGGGGTGGGCGGCATGAGGGCGTCCGAGGAGCCATGTACAGGACGGTCTTTAGGAACGCGTACATAGCGAATGAGATGTGACTCTGAAGTAAGAGTATCTTACTCGGGAATGTGACTTTCTTGCCCTACAAAAGACCTTGCCCATCGTGCGTGCATTTGTAGTTATACGCTAGATAAAGGCACTAACCGTAAACTGTTTTCGTGCATCTAGATGTAGATGAGGATCAAATGAAGATTAAAAATGTAGCAGCTGTGACATAGCAACAGCATGAGCAAAGCAGCGCGGGAGAAGTTTGTGATATGTGCGACAAGACGTGAAGTGGGATTAAGATGTCGATCGAAGGGACTTCGGGCTATGAACCGTCTGCCGGGTAGTTGGCTCGTGCTCAAATTATTTATGCGCTGCATCGTGAATCCTTCGAAGCCACCAAACCACCTTTGCAGCAGACACGAGGTACGTTTTCCCCCGAATTCTTCTGAGCCTGTGCATGAAGTATGCCACTAGCCCAAATGGACCTATAGGCTAATTATCTTGTTTAGTACTCAGTACCCATACACACCTCACGCGATTGTCATGTAATGCGCGTCCTCGCCCTTCGATGACCCTCCCCGCATAGTCTCGGACAGTTGCAATGGTTCCCTCGACTGCATATCCCAGGCAGCGTACGAATCCAATCGCCGGCATCGATAGTCTCGGCTGCTCATAACCCACCGTGCGTGACGACAATTTGGTATTTGAGACAGGGTTCGGGTCCGGAGGATGGCGTCGCACTATGTACGCGTCTCGAGGAATTTTGTCAACCTGGGCAAGTTCTATAGCATCCCACCTTGGGGTACTGTACCACCTTTCGGTATGACAGTGGTGCAAAAGAATTTCGTGAACCTGGGAAACCTATACACGCGCATCAAAGTACCACGACCTCCTGGATGGGCATACTTTGATGATGGATCCATCTTCATTGTCCCGTACGGGTGGCTCCCTCATCACGGATTTGAAAAGCGTATGAGCCTTGCTGCATCATTCATAAGCAGTCCTTCTCCTAAGATACAGGCAATACGACAAGAAGATCCATTGAGGAGTCGACTTATCCTTATCAAGTAAGTGGGATGCACTTCTCACACACAGATCGCAGCTAAAAGTCATGTTAGTAAAGATGGGAGGGACTTGAAACACAACACCTTCCATATACTAGCCCGAAATGCATACAACAACCAGAGACTGTCTGTAGTAGGTTTACCATTCGAAGATATCGCTCTGAAACTGGACGAGTCTGGATCCCATCCTACATCTGCACAGTTCAAGGAGGCTCCACAGCTGAAGATTGAGCATAGACTGCGAAACAGTGAAGCCTTGAGAACTTTCCGGGGCACGTTTATTGACGGAACTTTGCACCCCAACGTCCGTTTAGGCAATGGGCTTCTATTTTCAAGCAATGCGGGCATACGAAGCCCTCAAATGAGGGAGAAGAGACAGCTCCGGGATCTTAAGGTCAAGGCCCGCCGTAAAAGCCTTGATCTGCCAAATCGAGCACCTGCGGAGTTTTCGGGTCGATGGGGTGTAAATTCTTCCATGGATCGTCATAGACCTGCTCAAGAACAAGGCGTGCAGCTTTGGGAATCCCAGATGGCTGAAAAGGACCCATTTTCTCAAGAAATTCCACCACCTACACCAGGTGCAAGAAGTCCGAGCAGTACGCTTGAATCAGGCGATACTGAAAACGAGGCCGAAGTGCGTGAGTTAGAGCAAAGAATGGAGATCATTCGATGGAAGCGCAGGAGTTTAGAACTTGAACGGAAACTGGCCATGGCGACAAGACGCCGTGCATCGACGACACGCGAGCGCTATCAAACCAATCGAGACACACCACAGCACAAACCAGAGGGATCATTACAGGCACCTGTCAAAAGCACTGGTGACGTCTTTTCTTCCAATGGCTTTGATTTCGACGACGAATCGCCACCAGAAGCTCTTGCACGCCTGCGATCACGTATCCAGTTACCCACAAGAAATAAATTGCGCTCGAGAGGAGTGTAAAATCGTGCGAGCTGTCGACATATATACCCTACTCTGCCATATAGATACCCCTTACAATCACCCATAATACATGAAGAATATATAGCACAGCCATGATCTTCTTCCCGCTTCAGTGCTAGTCGTTGCTGTACCTTCCCTTCTTTTGGCAGAAGGACTATGGTATAGATCATCCGCGATCAACGCAACATCACCACATTCAAAGGAAGGGAGTCACACGTGCATGGCATGACTCGCCGTCTCAACTATCTTTCAAAAGAATTGATGTGCGCTTGAATGAGATAAGAAGGCTGCCTTGATTTTATGTAATTAGATTTTATTCGATCCGGGGTATATGTATAACTATTTCATCTCATCCCATTCCACATGACAAGGCCGTGTCCATTACTATGCTTGTCATAACCGTCGTGTATACTCTGTACTCTTCCTCTCCCTCTGCGGTACCACCATATCGAACTCCTCACTCGCACTCTCGACCTGAATATTCGTCTCCGTGACAATATTGATTGCGTTTTCAATATGCATAGGCTTGTATATCGAGTCCTGGGAACCCGTCCTCGTCGGGCTTAGGTCCTCGTGCATTGTCTCTTCCTGCCGTGAGCGCTGCGTATGGCTGCGTCCGCGGCGGTGGTCGGCTAAGCGTGAGAGACGATTGCTGCCGCCGACGATGGTGACGGTGCGGGCGGAGCCGGCTATGGGCTCCTTGCTCGACATGGATTGTAGGCCGTAGTCGTTGACGTCTCCCGGGCGCGCGGCGTTTGTTGCGATGGCGGTGACGTCGTGGGTGCGGTTGTAATTCCCTGTGGAAAGATCGCCCGAGACGAGTATGCGTCTGGTTAGGGTGTATAGGAGCGCGTCGATCCAACCGCATGATGTCAACATGGAGCCGGCGACGCAGAAGAATATGTCGGGCATATGGGTACCCGTCATGGCGACCATGCGACCCACTGCGATAGGCAAGGTGAGGATCACGTATACGAGTGGGTAGAGGACCATAAACTTATTCGCACGCGTAAGTTTCGAAGTATCATTGGCCATGATGCTACGAATGCGGCCGCGCAAATGGAAGAAGATGTGAGCGTAGATGATAATAGTTCCAAATTCGACAATAAAGATCCAGAAATCTACGAGAGAAGTCAGCTTAGTATCTCTCACGTAGTTTGTACATGGATACTTACAGTGCAGCCAGAGGCGTTCGTTTTGATAGTCGGTGGATACCCAACACCAGCCTCCAGCCCGAGCGAAGAAGCGGCCCTGGTACAACGCTGGACCCAGTATGGTGAGGAGTAAGGCTACCAGCCAAATGCCCAGTATTGATACAACAAACCACATGTAAGGTAGCTTGTATCCTTTAACGACTCCCATCCAAGTGTGGATTGCAATTGCGAGAACAAAAAATCCGCTTGCGATATCTCCGATGTGTAGAAACCAGGCCTGGACGAAGCATGGTGCTGTAGGTGCTATAATCTTGCCTATACGAAGCCAGTGGAAAGATATCGAGAAGGCGATTGATTGTTGTAAGTCCGCCAGCAGGAGGTTGTAGATGAGGATGACATATTGGTTGTACCCGACGTTTTCCTTATAGTGCTTTCGCCATGATACCATTCGATGAGTGATGAAGATCAGGAGCGCCGTGACTGATATCAAGCTCATCATAGCAAAAATAGTAACCGGAATAAGCCCAGACCGGAACACAGGCGTCAATGGATCCAAGCTATTCGGAAATGCAGAGTATCGCTTCTCGAGCGACCGAGCATCCAAAGAGGAAGCCATATTGAGGGGTACCACGGTGGTCTCCGGTAGTGAATTCACTACCAACTGGTCGCGTGGCAATTGGTTATGGGTGTGGGTATGTAGCCGTACTTTCAAGTCTTTAGGACACCATGGTTGTCCAAGCAGCGATTGGTCGGATTATCTGGCGACGAAGGCGCACTGGTCTCGTGCCTTACAGACTCCCGATGGATAGCCCCGCAGCTCGTCGGTTACGTGTTCGCGGTGTGCTGGGTAGTGGTGCTTTGTCTGATAGAAGGGTGGGGTCAGGAGTGGTTTGGGGAAAGGCACAAAAGAGGTGGTCAACACCGATATTCTCCGCAAAAGTATGGAATCCTGGAATCGGGGGGGAAATACTGAGGGAACGACCATAGAATAGGAGGATTTTGTCAGAGGGTCCTAAGCCTTAGTGCCAATACAGGATGGGCGCTTTGATATGCTTTCAAGCTAGGGATCGTCAAAGTATCTGCTGTATCTAGGTAAAATGGAAATGCAGGTGCCCAGGTGCAGCATGTTTGACGGATGCCAGAGATCGCCTAAGTACGCTACACTATGCAGGGTTGGGTTGGGCCACTGCATCTAGCGTGCTCTCCTTGCCAGTCAGTCAGCGTCTTGGTGCAAGGGAACGACTCGAGAATAGCCCAACCGGCCAAGCCGGTCAGGGCTTCCTGGGCAAGCTTCAAGGCTCTAGCGAAGACATGCCAGGCACCATAGCATAAGGGACAACAACGTGGAAGGGAGCGGGACGGGGATGTTGTCGTGTGATGAGTCTCGAGCGCATACTGGTGGGAACAAGTGCCAGCCACCACGTGGAGCACGTCCCGTACAGCACATCAGCTGCCGCTACAATACCAATCCAGAGGGTGATTGACGGTGCTACAGCGGTGCCAACCGCGCGCCCTCGCCGTATGCATACGAAATCTTGCGCAATTTTCCAGTCGTCGAAACGAGTCCGTTGGTCTTTGATGGTGACCGTGTCCGAGGGTGAGCTACGCCGCACTCAAATTGCGGCGCGTTCCATTCATCTCGACTTCAAGCCTGAGGAACCTCTCACACCAGCCGCGACCTCCTTTTTACGTAGCCAGTTTGCGGGGCAGCAATTCTAGCTAGCTAGATTCTGGGGGATTAACCGCTAGATGGGCAGCTGCTAACCCGGTACACTCTAGAGTTTCTTGCGCTATCAGGGGTTACACACGAAGCGAGTATCGAAAAGGGCATTGCCAACAAGTCGAGTTTTGTGCGGCCCGAATTGACCGTACCGGCAAGACAATGATGATTCCGGATACTAAAGTTCCCTTGATCTGGCCTTGATAGCTGGCTGGGCGCTCGGGACTCCAACACGGACGACGGAAGCGTTTGCAAAGTGCTTACGACATCCCGGAAATCCAGGCTTCAGGGAAGGACCGAGGCATGATTCGAAGCTCTGAGAAAGATGCCGAGAGTGCGCAATCAACCGCAATCAATCGACAGCCACAAGCGCAGCCACCACGGTTTCCAACACCACGCTATGTAGGCCAGACCAAGGATGAAGCTGGACACGTTCCAGAACGTCTTCATGAGGCGTGACTCGTTCAACACGCACTGCATACATCGTATCAACAGCTATTGTTGACATACGTATATGTCTGCATACATGGCTTCGTCTCCAGAGCTACGTGCAGTTTTTCGTCATCCATGAACCAAATCAACTGCCGATGAGAGAGCAATGATAGGCGTGGAACCCGTCATCGCTGGCATTTGGCGTTCAAACTTAATGCATCCTTCCTCTATAATCCTAACACCTTTTCAACCAGGTACCCTGCGCTAAACCAAGGGGCGGCTTGCATGTTACCGGCATGCTGGCCTGCATTGCAGCGAGAGAATCTTGGATCGATGCGGCAACTCTAATGTTCGATAAAGTTCTTTGCGCCTTGGTAGCGATGAGGTCAATCAATCGTACCAAGAAACTGTCCTCCCAAATACTGGCGACATGAGTAGTCGCATCGACCCTGCCGGCAAGAGCTCGAATCAGACTACCCCGATCCGTCCGATCCTATTTCAGGCGTCCTCTTCAATATCACCGTAGTACGGCCATGGTTAATTTACCAAAGCTCCAGACTCGTTGCTCAGGCGAAGTACACGCGGAGTCCTTCAGGGAAATGTACCCCGCAAGCGCAAAAGGCGTGACAAGCGCGTGGTGAACGGCAATGATGCCTCATACAATCTAGTACGTTACTCCCACAATCCTTTCCTCCTTGTCAGTCTCAAACGTTAATCGTGGGACAAGGTACGATTTTATTATGCGCTGTTATATACAAATTGTGGCCAGCGGCAACGGACCGATGCGAACGGAATTGCAGACTGCATCTAGCGATTGCTGAAAGAAAGTGCGAAGGACATCTCACACGGAAAAAAGTTGCGATACCAACAATCCGACTTTACCGCAGTCAATCGGTGAGGGCGAAGTACCAACGTCCAACACATTAACCGGCCAGCCGGCAGCCAATCTCACAACCTCCACAACGATACATACCAGTCTCGTATCTGCAAATATCCACAAGTTCAACATGCTATCACAACGTTCAATCCTTCCGTCGTCCCAAGCCTTGAGCTTACGTCAAATGGCGCCCTTAGTCATGTTGCATTCGCGACAAGAAAGTCCATGAACGAGAACAAGCCCGTCGCTCAGCCTATTCGCAAGGTCGCTTGCAGTCTGTTCTCTTTTACCCTATTCTCCACCTTCCCGTTCCAACGGCGCAGCTAGGACACGACTCAGCAAGCTAGTGTAGGTCCGTTAGTTTGGAGACAGTGCCCTTATCCGCGGTTTTTTTTTGCTTAAGACGAACGTCTCGTATTCACGACACATTTGCCCAGTCTCATGGCAGACGTAGTCCAAGGCTACCCAAAAGGAGACTCCCCCGAACGAAGCCGTTCACTTGCCAATATGCAAGTCATGGGCTTCGATCCTGCGCCGCTAGTCCCCGAAGCGTCTCTCCACGTTTCATCCTCCTTGCCCCACACCTGTGTGCGCTGCTCTCTACAGCTCTCCAATACCCCCCATCTAAGGCCGCATAGATTGAGGGAGATCGCGTTCATGCAAAATTGAGGGGTGATGTAATCGAAGCTTGATCCCGGTGCTCGCACGCTGGAGCGGATATCTTGCGTCTATCATACAATACCACCAACCTCACAGGACGAGTTAGGGTAAGCTCTCTCTATCACATTTCAATCGTTATGGCATATCTATGTTGTTTTATTCAAAAGGCAGTTGAGATGATTATTACGTAGACAAGCCGCTCTTCTATATCATCCGCGATATACCCTAGTGTCAGCAACCTGTTTGATCAGCTACCGTCTCCACCTCCACAACCAGGTTCGCACGTTCGCCTCCAACTGCAGCATGCATCGAAACCTGTTGCAAGTAGGACCGAAAATCTGTACCATGCATAGCCGAGACACTGCTCCCTTCGCCAACTACATAACATGCCCCGGATCAGCTGATTGTCATGTGCATTATGCAGCGACCCAGTGAGGAAACACCGTAGGGTTCCTACAGACAAGCGATACATCTGAAACGTAAGGTACGATGAAGTCATTGTCAAAAGTCAAATTCTGGAGAAAGTAGGTGACCCATCGATTGGTGGAAATCAATTATACCCTCACTTATACTCTTATAGTAAGCACAGCTCGGGAATATGCAGTTTCGCGGCGTTACTCTGCGCAACATGCTTGCTGCTTAGATACTGCCAATTTGTCTGCGTACGCCACGCATGGCTACCTGCTTTGCAATGATGACATCTATTAACAGGATACGCTGTGACGTACGTAATATCATAGTCTAGACGAATTACTTTCTATGTCCCTCTGATGTTGGGCATGTCACTTTACTCTTCACCTCATTTGATAATGTAGGCTCAGAGGTACGCTGTATCAACCACGCCTTTTGCAACTCATACTTCTATTCAGCGCCATATGGCGAGTAGCAAAAAAAGGCTGCTATCGGCTCTCTATTTTCATAAGATCATTGCACTGAATATCGAGCTGTTGGCTAGGTAGTAGTGGCTTCGTGTGCTGAGAGGACAAGGGTTCCTCGATGGAATGACAGAATCATTGGTGGTTTACAGGTTGAGATATCTGGAAGACCCGTATAACTCTGAGTATTACGAGGATGCGGGGAAATGTACTTGCGTTACAGCTGGAATCAGCAGATGAGTATTTTCACAGTAGATGCAGCCAGGGGTATATCAGCTGAGGAGATACGAAGCATCCGGCCATGTCTACACAGATGAGCAGCCTACACTTCTTAGTTAAGTTCTATTTCGCCTCTTAGAGTTGTGTGGGAGGCTATACTGCTTGCAATTCTGGTGTTGGATGGCCCTGGAAGAGTTGGAGCTGTATGTGACAACGTGGATATGTAATGCGGTTAAGATTCTGCTTCCGCTTCAGGTAGTCGCAACCTGTAATGTGGCCAATGCCGTTATAGTCGCGACATATACCGCTGAGTTTACATACCACAGCTTGTGTAAACGCACATATTATTCTGCCTTTGGGCTTTTACGTACTCAATGTATCGTTGTGACACGCTGTGGCTGTAGGAGCTGCACGAGGGTGTACAAATGCGACCTCTAGATGTACGGTGCCCGCATTTCCAGTATATCTCCTCAGAACATGTTGCACTAATTACAATGTACCTGGGAAAGGGAAGGGTGTGGTGTCATGTGGTGTTCGCCAAAGTTACGTTCAGGTTGTGCGTGAGGATGGCTAAGTTCATCTCGAAATAACTTCTGGTGAACGCGAAGAAGTATAAGTAGATGGGCCCGGATCACGAAACGGACAACAACGAACAACTGGCTCAGATCTTCTGTCACAAGCATTCCAAGTTTCCCTATCAGCTTCCATCACATCGATCTTTGAATCAATATGCATTTTCTCCAGATCTTTGCTGCCTCCCTGGCAATTGTTCCAACTGTATTGTCACAGTTCTCCGGATACTACAACATCAGCTCCGCCTTACCCATTACTACCAAGTACCTGACGTATAATGACGTTACCCAAAAGCTCGACAGTTCGGAGTAATTCCACCCCTATACACTCTTTAACCCCTCACACACTTACTAATACATATGTCCAGCCGCAATGAGCGTTTCCAGCAATGGTACATCACCAGTGAACCCTCGGGCTATGCCTTCATCGCCAACCGCCTCGGCGCTGGTCAGTAACGTTGGACTACCAATTGCATGTGCGACATATACTGACTTCGTACCTCAACCTTTAGTCATCACCGCATCGACCGGATCCAATCCCAACACTGACTTGCAACAGGCCCAAGTCTTGAACTTTGAACCAAACGCCATCTCGAGCCAGGCATGGAAGATCACGAGGCTTGCCGATGGATACTATGAGATTGAAAGCATGAGGTATCCCGGACTGGTGCTGGATGTTAAGGGCTCCTCGTCGGCTAGTGGCGAAAAGGTTTTGGTTTACCCTAGGAACAATCCGCAGACTCCGAATCAGAAGTGGCGTTTGTCGAAGCCAACTATTGACACGCTGGCCAATTATGGGTGGTGAGCAATGACAACTAGGGGAGTGGGGGGCGTTGAGGTAATGGGCCATCGTCTATCGATGCTACGGGCCGATGTGGCATCTGGGATTTTGTAATCTGACTGTCCTTACTGCTACCGTTACAAATGCTAAGAAAAGGATTTTCAAAGCGCATACGCTTTAGCTGAGCTATCTCTGATTCTGTGAAGGTACTTTGGGTGCGGAGATGTTCGTGATTATTGTAAAATGCTACTTTCAAGTTACGATAATTTTGAACATTGCTCATAAGGAAGAGACCATAAAGACGTCATCAGATTTCCCGTGATGCTTTGTTGATCATGGAATTGGCGATGAACCTACAAAATCGGTCGAAAAATGTGGTTCTTAGATTGCAAGTTGTGTTGGAAGCGTGAAAGCCTGTAGTTCGGTTGACAGATGTGACTGCCGAACCATGCCCGACGCTAACCCGGATATGGTAACATGCTTATCGAATTGTTTGGCCGCGGTTTCGCGGTTTCGCGTCTCATCATCGACCGCCTCGTACAACAGCATACCCACCTGCGCACCCGTCTTCTTACTAATGTATAATCTACGAACCCTATGAATCACCACGCGCACCGATTAATCTCTAGTATTGGAATAGATGGCGGTAAAGGACGAGACAGCGCGCACACGCATCGCCAACATCAAAGCAGACTTACGATCAACCTCGACATGCTCGAATGCGACGATTACCTCATTACAGGACCTGCTCCTGAAAAAGAAAGAGGAGCTACCGGAGAAGGAGAATATCAGGGTCAAAGTTCAGGCAACGGCGCGCAGGAAAGCTGGGACGACCACTGCGTCGGTGGATGCCACAAAGCAGACTTCGAACGCGCTGGCACCAAAGGAGAGATACATACTGGCGACTGAGGTCGCTAATTTAACACTCAAGACCCTCGCGGATTCTCTGAAGAATCCACCGTCTACGCTAGCCTCGCGACCCTCCTCCCAATTGAAACCCGCTATCAGCGACGATGCGCGCAAGCCTACAAGACCACGCACCGGTCACGCAAAGACGGCCTCGGTCTCGCAGAAGCCTCTGAAGGAACGATCTGTCTCTCAAATGAACAACTCGCCTCGAAAACCACCGATCCGCCGATCCTCGTCCTTCTCCTCCCTAGTAACGTCGGGCCCCGATGCTGGCTTGGTCGCGACGGCCGAGTGCGCAAGGATAGCTTTTGCATATCTGGGCACAACGGAAGCTATAAAAGTCTTGGGCAAGGACTCACAAGAGTTGCAGTTCGAAAATGGTCTTCTTGTTCTGATAGGAAAGCTCGTTGCGCTTGGGTTAGACGGTCTTGCCATCAAAGAACTGCGGAGCTTGAAAAAAAGATTGGATAGATATATAGCTCATGACACCGGGAATAAAGCAGCGGGGGCTGAAAGTGCTAAAGCAGGTCCTCAACGCGCTGCGACTACGGAGAAGGAGAGCCTAGCAACACTCCTAGACTTTGGGACAATTGATCTGGACAGCCCTGCTTTGTCACTCATTACGAACCTCCAAACCTACACACTGCGAATCATCGCAAAGATGAAGAGACCTCGGATCGTGGAAGCTGCCTGGGAGTACCTAAAGTTGGACAATCCTTCCTCCGCCGCAAATCTGATTTGGCATATTGCAAAGACCACGAATGGCCAGTCAAAAGTGGCAAGACAGCTCGAATCACTTGCGCAGACACTCCTCGCTCTGTGTCCAAGTATATCCAGCGCATGCGATGGCAATCAACTACAACCGTCCCCGGAGATTGTGCTTCGCTTACAGCACTTGGCCTTCGGAATTCGAAAGCAATGGTGGACCCTGGCCAAACATCAAGGGAACGAAGAGCAAGAGCTATTAGAACCATTCGCCAAGTGTGTTATCGCCTTCACTCGCAGGTCACAGTTTTCGCCAAGTCAGAAGTACAGACTGGCCGAATCTTTGTGTGTGGATCTGATGGAGCAGCAGTGTGATTCAAGACCGACCAAAAATGAAGCTCAAGGGCCTGCTACTGCTGTCAATAAGACTCTATGCTCTCTTGCTCAAGCTGCAGGATTGGCTGACGAGGCACTTCGCTGGTTAGAACCGTTGCGCTCATCTCCAACCTCTAGCGCTTCTGCAGCGAAGCAAGCGGCTAGACTTGTTCGTGTTGCCACAATCTCGATAGAACCTTTTCTGAAAGGTGACAACAACTCCAGCCTAGAAGAGACTATTACAGGCGCACTTGATGTTTTGAAAGGGAGCTTGGGTGGATCTGCATCGGACCTGGAATCTCTCTTCATGGAGGTGAACTCTCTGAGACGCACTGCTACACGACTGCTAGTTGCATGCCTTTCGAAGTCTGTAGATTTACCCGAGCGCCCTTTAATCGAACAACAGGTTATCACTGTTATCGCATCAACTGTACGCTTCTCGGCTCGATTTATCGGTACAAAGCTTCAGACAGGAGCTGATTCGAAGGCGCAACTCCGTCACAGCGAAAGGATTACTATGGCATGGAAATGCTCAAAGAGTATGGTGGATTCTGCATTAACATGTTGCAAGCATACCATCGAGACTGAAGATCAATGGAAAGAGCTGGACACCTTATTTCAGGAGTGTTTGCACATATTGGAACGATTCAAGGAGGAGTATGAAAGTACTACCACGTTTGATTCCCAAGAGAACCAGCTCATTCAGGCATGCATCGTTAAGCTTTCGAGTGCTTACTGGGCTGTTCATCTACAGCTACGGAAAACCCGCTTGGATCCAGAGTGGTTCATAATAGCCATGCAGCGTTCCATAAGTATTGTGCAGTCTAGATCACAAGCCGAAAAGGAAGCAGCGCATCTTTCTATGAAGCTTGAACAATTAGGAGAAAGTCTAGAGAGTCTGGACCACGCGGAACGTTCCCGGAAGGCTTTCGCTCAGAGCATTCAGAGCCATATCCACCCGGCTATATCACAACTTCTTTCCGATCATGCGGCAAAATACCCGGTGCAAAAGGTATTCGATTGTGACGGACCTTTTCATGGTCTGGCTAGGGTGCTAAAAGTATACCACCGATCGTTCCTCAATTACGGTATTCGAACTGCGGGTGAAATGGCATTCTACGACAACGATGAGGTTGAAGCCGGGGCTAGAGGAGCCTTGTTGGAGTGGCAATTGGCGCTCTACGTGCGTGTTCTCTCTAGGAATCGCCAATGGGATTCCAACCTAAACAACTCGGTAGTCTGCCTAGCGGAGCGACTTCGTGAAGTTTACGCACCAGATAGATATCCCCTAAGAAGCTTCAGGGTGTCCATCATGCTTCTTCACCTCTCACAAAGCCACCCACACATCTTGCCCAAAGAAGCTTTACCAATGGACGCGTCACCCGCGAACGTAATCTCGACTGCGGGCTCAGAAGATTCCGGATTAAAGATGTTTGAAGGACACTTGAGGGCACTGTATGGCCTTAAATGGTCTATGCAGCAACGAAATCTGCCTACATCGACATTTCGGGAGAGTTTCTCGATCTGGGAATCCCTTGTTAACTCTGCTTCTTCATGGGACGCTTTGGCTGGTCATGTGGACAACGTCGAGGATTGGCTACAAGACGTCCATGCCAGCGTCGAGTTACTCAATGCGAAGGGTGAAGAATATCTTGTACTGCCAGTACTTCATCTCCTGGTAAAAGCGTACGAGTTGCAGAAGTGTCCAGAAGCGTCAGATCTGGCTACTGCCTTGTGTACACTGGGCTTGCAGTTCCTACGCCTTGGGTATACTGGAAAAGCTGGACTGTCTTTTGCTAAAGCCGAAGCTTTGATCGCACGTCAGAGTACCTCAACTGAGACCAAGTTACGGTGGTATATCGGCTACGCTGAATATCTCTTAGGAATCGGAAACATCACCAAATGGTAAGAACGGTTGGTGGAAACCTCTCCGTGTCTCTGCTAACTTCGCTAGTGAAACGATCATGGCGGATGCTCACTCAGTGGCCCTCGCAGACCAACAATTCATGGTTCTGGCGAAGCCTTCGACCCCCCTTTCTGGTCGGTTACGCTTCAATAGGATCTTGGCGGACGCCTCCTATGTTTATTCGCTTTTGGCGGCCGCGGCTGGCTCATACAAGGAAGGTGCTAGGCATGCACGACAGTGTGTATTGCTCAACCGACATATCTGGGCTGCATTAGAGTCAAGAATCAGTGTGAAGAAGCCTAATTCTACTGATGATATTGGATCAGATGTGGATGGCTCGAGTCGAGCGGCTATCGATCCCTTGGGCTCCATGCGAAACGACAACGGCGTACCTCTTGTTATGTCTGTCACGCACGATGCACTCAGTGGAGCTGATTTCTGGACATTGGTCCCTGCGTTATACCGTGCATTGATGCAACACTCCCAGGTTTTCGCCAATCAGGGGCTGCTACATGAGGCTCTATATCTTGCAGAACAAGCCGAGAAGGTAGCTTCAGCCACCAACTCACCAACACTCATGACCGATAACGCTAGTTGGCGGGCAGACTGCTGGGCTCAGAGTGGCAGAACCGACAAAGCCGAAGCCATCCTCGAATCTCTCAAACATTGTTCATCGCGCACTTGTTTATCGGTTGCAGGCTACCACTCAGCGCTCGCCCGAACCGAACATTGTAACGGTCGATATAAAGAGGAGGTTGCCTTATACAGCACTCTGGAACAGCTACTGGGTGATCTTAGTTCACCAGCATATATCAAATCCCTGGAAAGCTTTTTACCATCGGTCGAAACGCTTACAGAACAGATCTCGAATATGAGTCTTGAAGCCACAGAGACGTCAAAAGTGAAACCAGGTACAAGAGGTCGAAAACCTGCATCCAAACCTGCATCCAAACCTGCACCTCGAGCGGTCTCAAAGCCTGCTACAAAGGCTCGCCTTAAAGCCGGTACAGGAGCTACTACAAACGTAGTTCCGACAACCAAACGTCAAGCTGTTGCACCGCCGGCTCCAGATACATTCAGTGCTGCTGACCAATGCTCCATACTGTGCGTCTTGCAAACTAATATTATGGACCGCGGAGTCCTTGCGAATATCCTGCAGGACGACCTCGCCAACGCCTTGGATCTACTTGCACGGGCGGAGAAGCTTCAAAACGGTCTGACTCGAGAAGTCTCGCACATGTGGGCTTCCTTCAAAGCAAGAGTTGCGCAGAGTGTCAAGCAGATTGCCGAAGATTTTACTGTCAACACGCTACCCGAATCTACCATCGCCTTCCCGGCTATCGGTCTTGGGGAACGAAGGTCATCTGAGGGGTCGGCTCCTAAACGAGGCACCCTTGCGTCTTCTACTACATCCAAGGGCGTTCGAGCAAAAAAGCAGACCAAAGAAGATTTCCTGAAGACATTACGTGACGCCCGAGAGCACCTCGTAGAAGCATATGGATTGTCCCTCGCTAATGGATCGAATCATTTGTTCCAACAAATCTGTATGGCATTGGGACATATCACAGTTCTTTTGTCAGCAGTCTCCGGGACAGAATTGCGCGGCTCGCTTCACCCGTTGTACGCAGCATATATGAGTGGTGAGTACGACTCAAACTTGAGGGAAGAAATCAGCTAACAAATAACAGAGATCCCGAAATGCAATGCCCTGAGGCTCGCACAAGAGTCAACAGAGGGCGAAAAGGATCAGATGTCGCGCGATGAACGTTTGCGATGGCCAGTATTCAATCCCTCAAACTTCGCCCTTACATCTGTGTCAGAGTTCCAGAAGGACTACGTCGACATTATCCCTGAGACCTGGACGGCCGTGTCATTGGCGCTCAATGAAGCTCACGATGAACTCTATATTACTCGCTTCGAGAGCAGCGCGTCTCCATTCGTGTTGAGGTTGCCTCTAGCTCGCCACGCTTCTCGTGAGATGGATGAGGAAGAATTTTCCTTTGAAGATGGTAAGAGAGACTTCGACGAGATCATCGAACTCAGTGACTTCAGTACTCGGTCCGCCAAGGACATGACCTCAAGAGAGGCTCGGCAGCAATGGTGGGCCGAGCGCGAGGCTCTGGACAATCGACTACATGAGCTCCTCATCAACATGGAGAATATTTGGCTCGGTGGCTTCAAAGGCGTTTTTTCGCAAACTGAGAGACAGCCTGCTCTGCTAGCACGCTTTCGAAAGTCTCTAGAGAACATCTTGAACCAGCACTTGCCGTCTCGCAGGAAGAAAAGTCCGCTGAAACGGCCCGTTTTGGACACGCGAGTCCTGGAGCTATTTATTGGGTTGGGAGACGCTACCGACGAAGATATTGACCTTGACGAAGCACTTATGGATCTCATCTACTTTGTGGTCGATATACTTCAGTTCAACGGTGAGCGGAATGCCTACGATGAGATCGACTTCGATGCAATGGTTGTCGAAGCACACGAAGCATTATGTGCCTACCACAGCGCATCGCATAAGCTAGATGCTGCCTCTCGACACACGATACTAATCCTCGACAAGAACCTGCATGCTTTCCCATGGGAATCGCTGCCTTGCCTTGAGCAATTGTCCATTTCTCGCCTTCCTTCGCTTGCTGCCCTGCGCGAACGATTACTCGCTGCGAGAACTTCAAGAACTCGGTCAGATGCAGCCCCCGGCCACCACATATGCGTTGATACTGGAGGCACAAGCATCCTTAATCCATCTGGCGACTTAACTCATACCTCAAAAACGATCAAGCCGCGTCTAGATGATCTCCAGGGTCCATGGAAGCACATTGCAAACCGCGCGCCATCGGAGCAGGAATTTGAAGACTCCCTACGGGAAAAAGACCTCGTTCTTTACTTCGGCCACGGAAGCGGCGCACAATACATCAAGTCAAAGTCCGTCCGTCGTCTCTATCCTGGGCAGCAGGATGAGCACGACAAGAAGCCCGGCTGCGCGACAACGCTCCTCTTCGGCTGCTCATCTGTCCATCTCACTGAAAATGGTATCTATGAGCCTTCAGGGATGTTGGCATCATACCTCACCGCTGGTGCACCTGCTGTGGTTGGCATGCTCTGGGACGTTACAGACAAGGACTGTGACCGCTTTGCTGTCAAAGCGGGTGAGCTTTGGGGACTGTGGCCTGAGCCTCAGGAAGAGGCTGCTGTCAATGCGCCTAAGACGCCCGCGAAGACACCCGCGAAGAAATCAAAGGGCAAGGGCAGAGCCGCGCAGTTAGTAGACCAAGCGGAGGGGGCGAGAGGCTCTAGGACCGTGAGCAAGGTAAATAAAGGGATGGGTCTGGATGAAGCAGTGAGAGAGGCGAGGAAGGCATGTGTTTTGAAATATTTGAATGGTGCGGCTGCTGTGGTGTATGGGATCCCGGTGTATTTGGAGTAGGCTACTCCATTTGAGGGTAGAAGTGGGAAGATATAGAGAAATACACAAAGTTGCTAGTCACGCCTAATACTTGAGATAACCCTGGTGGAACACCGAGATAACTGCGCCACCTTCACCGATTCAGACGCAGGGTTGGAAAACTCATCACTCATGCCAAGACACTCCAAGAGTCTTTGGTTGTTATTAACCGCTGCAATGAGTGCTTGGTTGAGTCGTGCGCAATTATTTCTTTGGTTGGACTTCTTGCTGAACTACTCTACTTCATTCCCCCTGCACTTATTGTCGCAATAGCAGATGCTACACCCACCTGTGTAGACTCTTGAGATGGTACGTCTAGCAAATTGCGCCTCAGAATCATGTAGGCGCTCCGCCCCATTCTGAGACCGTTACGCGCTCGGGTTCCGAGGCTGATCTGCTAACGACCGGTGAGCGACCCCAACCTTCTCTCATCTTATTGCTTGGGTGACTCACACAGGGGATTCCTTGTTACAGGATCTGCTAAACTATCACGGTGCTCTCCGGTTTGATTGGATAACCCCTGTAATTTTCAGCCTTGCTGTTGGCTCGCGGCGATCTTGCTTAGGCACCCAGCTCGTATTCGACATGTGCTGTCACGCCCGAAGCCTCGGCATGCACTGCGGAAACACATCGAAAATAGACGATTGCAGATGGCTGCCTGGTTCTATGCCTTGGATACCTTGATAAGCGTTCTCTTACGTGAAAATGTTTGGGGGCGCCTAACGAGAGGATCAAATTTAAGAATAGGGTGCGGCGCAGTGTTACGCAAAGTGCCACTATCACTCATCACATTGAATACAAAGGTTACTCCTACTGCAAAGTTTCGCTGCTCTATTTCCTGCTTTCTCGGTTCCTTCCTGTGAACCCAATCTACCAATCTCTTAAGAAAGAAAAGTTACGTACCTGCACGTTGCCGACTTGTGCCTCACGATCCCGTTTACTCGTCCAGCAAGCGTCATGGCGAATCCACTTGTGAACTTTGTCATCCGCGGGTTCCAGTTCCTTTTCGCCATTGTCATTCTCGGACTGTCGGTGTCTTTGATCCGTCATCATCACTGGGGAAACTTACCTGCTACACTCGGCTTCGCAGCATTCGTAGCAGGTGTATCGATCTTGGGCGCTTTTGTAGGCATAGCTGCGACTTGGGTATCAATGCTAGATGGCGCTGTTGGGCTGATCATCGATGGCGTTGTGGCGGTCATCAATGCTGCGGGAGGCATCGTAAGTACACTTTTATTCCATTCTAATAAAGGGTGAACTGTGCTTACCAGATCGCGTAGGCCATGGCGGTAAAATTAAATGGCGTTCAGTGCAAAGTTGAGGGAAGCGATGATAACAGTCTAAAAATGATTGAAAACAACATGCTCAACGGAGGGTGCTTATCGAAATCCATCTGCTACTGGTACACTGAGCCATTGAAGATCCTCTCGCTCTGCAAAGTTAGCCAGGCGGATACCGTTTTCATGTTTCTCACCGTCTTTCTGCTTGCCGTATCGGCCGTTTTCACGTTTCTGCGCATGAGGAAGGGTTACTAGGGTGGAAGACGAGGAAGGTATGTGGCTTTCTCTAAACGCCTGTGTGGAACGTTAGCTGATGAGAAGCAGGGATTTGAAAGTAGATGAGGTGTACTTGTGGATTTGGAGTGCGAGGAAGTTCGAATAGCTTCATGCAGTACTCGGCTGTGCGAATGTTACTTTGCACGGAATAATGACGACCTTTTTTTGTAATCCGATACCCTGAAAAATAAACGATGTCAGTCTAGTGGATGAGCAACGTAATAATAGAAACCCAAAACCCCATGTTGGATTGCGAGCCGGTCTGTTCAAGAGAGAGGATCGGATAAACTGGCGGGAGAGGCGATGTTAGTCACAGACGAGAACACGAAGTAACGATGTCGAGTTACTGTACTCATGCTGTGTGTTGCGGGCGATAGCTTGTATTGGATAGCAACTCAACAAGAGCAGTACGCAGTTCTTAGGGTTGAGTTGTATGACACTAGGGTCGCGCGAAAATGGACAAGTTAAATGATATCTATGCCCCCTTTACCATTGTCTTCAGCAGTCTCCTAGTACATGCTTTTCTAGAATGGCACCTTCCCTTATAGCCACATCAATCAACCATGTCATCCAAAGTAACCGTTCCGATCGCCCTGCGCGTTTTCCAAGCGTTCTTCGCCATTGTCGTACTCGGCCTTGCCATCGGCCTCATAAGAGGCCACATGGAAGGAGATCTTCCTGCTACTCTCGTCTTCATAGCCGCTGTGGGAGCTCTGTCCCTGTTGGCTGCAATTATCGGTGCTGCGGCAAGCTTTGTAGACTTCCTACATGATCAGGTCGGTGTGGTTGTCGATAGCGTGGTATTACTTCTAAACATTGCTGGTGGCATCGTAAGTCTACGCCTCCTGGGTATAGTAAACATAATGATGTACTGACTCGTGAGTTGTAGCTCATGGCCACCAAACTCAAGGGCGTCTCATGCAAATTGAAAGGGATTGATTTTAAACACTTTGTGCATCTTATCGAAAACAAGATTATTTGTGGAGGGATTAAGAAGTCTCGGCAATGTCCTTGGTCGTGCTACTATTTCGACAAGCGGAATTTCAAGACGATCGAGCGTCGTTGTCGAGAAAGTGTAGCCGATTCGACGTTCATGTTCTTAACAGCCGTTATGCTGATCGCTGGAGGGACGTTGACCTACATGCGGATGAAGAAAGCACACTAGAGAATTATGATGACAGACGTGTTTAAGAAGATATAGCCAAATGATGTCAGGCGCTAATGGAACTTGCTATTTCGTATAGATACGTGAATATCGAACGCTCTGTTAACTGGCGCTGTATCATTTTTCTTTTTGTGTCGCAGAGTTCTTCACATGTGAGGAACAAGAGGAGCGCACGGCATGTCGATTTCATCCATGACTCACTAGACGCTCTCAATCCACACCATGACCTTGTCCTTAATAAGACCCCTCATAGCCACCGCCGGTAGCTCTTTTTCCAAAGCCCGAGTCGTCCAGCCCCGCCGATTACTCCATCCCATGAAAAGTCGTCGTTCTCGCTTTAGATAGGGCATGACTATTCTTCCATATCAGCAACATGATAACAAGTCTAAATACGACTTTGAGATTCCCGAGTGACTCACGCTGCCGCAAGATCCGCAAGTCTTGGCGTCACCGCTGATGCTGGCACCACACTTAGGGCAGTCGCTGTGGGCGTTGACAAGGACGATAGTGGACTGCATCTTGGCTTTATTCCTCGTTGTTTGTGAAGCTTCGACTTGTTCGGGGCTAAATCGAGGGTTGGTATTGCGGTGATGTAGATTCGGTAGAGCTTGTTGATAGCTGAGGTTGGGAGGGGCAAGTGGGGTTCATATGAGAAGCTACGACAAGGCCAGGGAGCTAATGCATGTACAGTCAGATGACGGACACGCATGTAAATGCGCTGAGCTGTGCGATTGGATGGGTGATTGAAAGACGTGAGAGTGGCGTGGTTCACAGATGAATGAGAAAAATGGAAGTGTTGTCAGATAAATAATACATGAACAGGTGAAACAGAAAAAAGAGACCTAGGACAGAACAAAAATCTAGCAAGATTTCTTAGCAGTCAGCAGCCCACCTGACATGACAGATTATCTGCCCGTTGATAACTGCGAACCATCCGTCCTCTTTCTTCTCCATCTCTCTCCACGTCGCAGCTATCTCTTCAAGATCCTGCTCAGTTGCAAATCCACTTTCTAGCGCCCTCTGTTTGTAGTCACTCTTAACTGTCCTCTCGGCCCACAATTGGCACCAAAATTCCCTCTCCTCCGGCGTACTAAAAGTCCATGCTCCTACACTAGCGTCGATATCGCTTCTCGGGAAGCCAGCCTCCATAGCTACAGCATGCAGTCGCTTCCCAATGTTTGGGTGAGCTTTCAGCCCCAGTGCCACTTTGGTGTATAGATCTTTCCATTTTTGCATACCAGGGTGTTCGGGGTACCAATTCATGGCAGAATAGTCGCAGTCACGAACAGCGAGGACACCGCCAGGCTTAACGAGTCGCTTCATCTCTTTGGTTGCCCCGAGCGGGTCCCGTAGATGCTGTAGCACTTGATGCGCGTGGACGATATCGAAGCCTGCCTGTTCGACCCCATCCAACCTGTCCCAGCTGAAGATGTCCCCCACCTCAAACCGTACATTTGTAATCCCTTGGTCTGCAGCATGTTTCCTTGCCTTCTCGATGACTTCGGCGGATGGGTCGATGGCGTAGACGAAGCCTTGAGGAACGCGGGAAGCAAGGTCTACCGTGATTGTGCCGGGACCACAGCCCACATCGAGAATATTGAGCGAAGGGTTGTTGAGATATGGAAGAAGATGTGGGCAGGAGTTTTCGACCGTCCGCCAACTATGGGATCGCAATACAGAGGCGTGGTGGCCGTGGAGGTATGGAGTGGAAGCCATGATGGGATTATTTTGAAGTGGGAAATTTGATGTCAATCTAGCGAGTAGTGTTGAGGGAGGAATCTATCGAGGAAGTAACGTCTCTTATACAAAAGCTATAACATTAGTCGGCGTCGGGCATTAGCTAGAAATCAAAGGGTACAGGCAGCTTTCTGATGGCTCGATGCCGTCAGATAGCATGACCCGATGGTGGTTGCGCCGAAGTCGCAACATTGCGAGTGCGGGGACGGAGGCATCATACTGAGACGTCGAACATCGCAATCATGTGGCTCCTCGTAGGATGTGGTAGTGATGTCGATAGGACCTCCACCAACTGGGCTCCGATAATCGGGTGTCGGGGCTGATTAGTAATACATTTGTTCCTGAACACGGCAACCTCGTCAGGTTCGTCACCAGCAGTCCTGGCGTTATATATGTATAACAAAGGGTTGATTTGTCAAATCTGAAGTAAACACGCCTATCTTTTCACGGCCCCTTCCGTTACATACGCGACATCATATCTCCCATGCAATCGACCCCTTGGGCTCAGTGCCAGTAGGTCTGTACACTTAGCTGACTTGTAAACACCTGGTATCCTTCATCTTAATACCACTTGGAGTTCCCCCCTCTATTTTCACCAACTCTGAGCGCTTGAGGGTGTCCGAGGCACTTGTGTCGGCTCGTCCTATGTCTCGAGATCAACATGCCGCAATATGAACAAGCAAGCTCCCATCAGTCAGCTAAGGTCCGCATCACAGTGCCCCTGGGTAGATGAAAGTAAATTTTTTGGCCAAAGATATCATGGGCGGTTGAGGCGACCGTTTGTTTGAAGAGAAGGGGTGAGCTGAAAAGTCGAAGTTTTGGTCGTATATCTATAGACGGTGTGCAATTTCCTTAGTCAGGTCAAGTCTGATGGAATCTCATACACAGTACGTTCCTCTCTTTCTCACAGCCATTTTCTTTCCTCCATGGCTATCTCACGGACAGCTGGCAATTGGCCTAGGCTAGGAATGCTGCTTCTGTTGTATGGACATTGACTCGGGAGAGTAACCGACCACTTGAACTGGAAAATACGGCAAGACAATTGGAAACAAGTATTCTATGACGACCGTAACATGTGGACTAGTCATATGCTCTCGTCATATTCCACAGGCGATGTTTTGTCTCGATTTCTGTGTACTTGTCTAGCATCTCTACCGTTTCTGCTGATTCCTACTCCGGGAGGCGCAACCACAGCCCCCTCGACCCTTCAGCTCGTACTTTGACCGAGAGACCATTTTTTACCGTGCAACGTTACTTTATTGCCATGTTTTTCCTGTCACATGAACACCATGCCAAAAGTCGGGTCAGAGCACGTCCTGCGAACGGACCACACTGCTCGCACGTCATGGTTGTACTCTCACACCTTCACCGCGCGCACCTTCCTACCTATATAGCAAACAAACAATCTTACTGGACCCACCCAAACTCCAATCTTGCGTCACCTACGTATCGACATCATCATCACCTCCACCAACAGCCTTGAACCGGATACCGCAAGTACCTCAACACATCCCCAACACCTTTCGACACAACCAGAACAATCGTCTATAACTATGACCGAGCTCAAATCAAATTTGAGGCCGTACTATCTCGAGGCTGCGCTCGCCAGTGACCGTGCTGACAACAACGACTGCTTCATTCTTGACGTCGGCCGCAATGACGAGGGGAAAGCGGTTGCCTCGCTGAAGCGCGTGATAGAGAAGGTGGATGATTACTTGCTCAATGTCTACGACTTGACTGTTCCGATCACGAAACTGTACATTGTGGGTCATTGGAACCTAGCTGGGACCGAGGACGAGACCGAGGACGAGACCGTGGACAATGAAGTCCGAGAAGATGAGGTATGTTCGGTTACCCCTAGAGCAACTCCCGCACGACTCACGTCAGGTCGCCCACGCTAGTTAGTACTACATGTTTACACAAAAGTGCAGAAATTTTCAGCTGAAGAGCAAGAGTGGCACGAAGCGGCAAAGGAGATCGCCAAGCTCATCGTACAGATGCCTGTGCTGAAAGAGTTGACGTAAGTGGACATATTCGCTTATCATGACTGACATCGCTAATGTGCCGTAGCTGGATCTCTGGTTTACCCTTTGTGACTTGCATCATGGAGAAGCTACCCACGTCTATGACGAAACTCATTCTCGACCTCGGCCAGGGTATTCACCTCCACCACGACGGTGCCTACTCGCACAAGGCCTACATCACGCCAGCCGACATGAAGCCTTTGTTGAAGCTGACAGAACTCAAGGAGCTTCGCCTGTTCTGCATGCATGACTCACTTCAGCCGATCGTTTGGGAGAATGTCTTTCGAAACAAGTCGGAGGGTGGCATGCGCGTACTCGACCTGCAGATGGCCGCTGCACCGATCGTGCGTTCAGAACACTGGCGAAAAGCCCAGGATGTCGTTGGTCTGACCGTAGTCAACGAAGACATCAAAGAGAAGGAGTACAAGTGAGTGAATACCTAGATTGCCAATTACTGGATAGCTCCACTGACGCAATTCTAGGGGTCTGGAGGGCAAGGGTGTCTTGCACTACTCGTTTGGTACCGGGGAGTACCTAGACGACTTTTGTATGCGAAAAGCGCGCATTGCTTCCGGCTCAGATGAAGCTAAGCCACTGTCGCTCCTGTACGACTCATCTTGACACCCCGAAACATTGAGGCTGACTGTACCATACTAGCTGTCTTAAGCTTGACGGCTTCGTGATTGACCATCTTCCATTCGAGCTTGAGCTCTCACAGATCGTCCTTCTTACTTGTGGTGACAACTGCGTCGATGCCGGCTTGCGGGCACCCAAGACAACACAGGTGGTATCCGATGCGTGGAATACGACGGCCAACAACGGATTCTCTCACTGCCTGATTCAGTGGCCCAAGTGGACAGGTATCTTCGACGGGCAAGGTGACCAACGCGACCTTGGCGGTAACGTGGTTTCTCAAGAAGCTGGGCCGTCTCTTCCGGTCACTGAATGTCCACCACCAACCGTGCCTTTGACCGAGAAGTCACTTCACATGAAGGAGCTGGGCGACTCTCTGGATGGCATGAAGGAATGCTCTGACTTCTCTCCTCAAATATCAACCTTACCTTCATCAGTTGCTATCTCCAACGCCTCGACGCGTGGCTCCGAAGTCCCGAGCCTCACTATAGTCACCTCCACGTACAGCTCTCAACCCGTCCCCGTCATCGATAGTTCGCTTTCCTCCAGCTCAGGCTCCTCACCTGGACCCAGTCGCGTCCCAGACAACAACTACTGGTTAGACCCTAGTTCTCCAACCTCAACCGACGGAAGCTTCGAACAAGTCAGCCCTGTCACTGTCGATGGCGCTTCGATTGCCTCCACGACCAGCTCAGCGCCTTCTACCACGGCCGACGACCAAGATTCGAAAGCTACCAGCTTCAAGCATAAGGTGAGACGATCCTTGGATTGGCTTATCACTGGCTCTTCTTGAACCCAGCCTTCTATATCTATTACTATCACTCTGCTGACACTCAATGAGTGAGGAGCCATGGGGTGGATGATGCTAGCAACAGCTGCTAGACTCCTCCTGTTGCCCTTCACCCCCTCATAGGTCCTGATCGACGCACAGCATTGACTTCGCTCTTCGTCGCCCTGAATCACTTCACTGTACCGGGAACGCCTCAAGGAATTTTGGTGCTCAGGTTCGGTGTTTATTGGCATACACTTGTCTACTGGTTTCCTACTGGAACCCACATTGCGATCCACTTTGTGGTTCCTAGATTAAATGCGTTACGAGAACCCCACTCTCCTCAGAATGAAAGTCCTTAAAGATAAGTACGTGTCCGTGAATGTTGAGTGTGTGGAGGTGGAATGATACTATATTGAATTCCTTTCCGGAACGTTTGTGACTAAGATGCATGAATCGAAGACCATCTCGCTATGCCCATATTCGCATGTCCATTTGAATGACTAAACCTTCCCAGCTGCGCTCAATTTTGCACTCAATACTATCGATACAAGTCCGATTCAACCTATTCGTAAACCCTCGCTCTTGTCCCTGCCGCGAAAATGCGCAAATTCCTAAGCAATACATATACACAGCGGTCGCATGCTGTCCAAAACAAAGTTCAAACTGAAAACTAAGAGTCCCTCCTCCGCCTCGGTGGCGGCGATCTTGACACGGAACTACTATATCGTCTCTTCTTCTCCGGCACCGGACTCACGCTCTCCTCCTTACCCTTGCCCTTACTCTTCGGCGGCGGACTGCTCGAGTCTCTCCTCCGTCTTGGTGGCGGTGAAGGCGATCGCGACGGACTAGTAGAGTATTTCCGGCGACGTGGTGGTGGAGAGCGGGACAGAGAGTCTGAAGGACTGCGACCTCGGCGTTTGGACTTGGGAGGCGGAGAACGGGATCGCGAATCAGAGGGACTGCGGCCGCGGCGTTTTGGAGGAGAGCGTGAACGGCTTGATGAGTAGTTTCTTTTGATCTTACGGGGCGCTGGGGAGCGTGAGCGTGAGCGAGAGCGAGATGCAGAGCTGTACGAGTCACTGCGGCCACGCGCGCCGCGCTTTCGAGCGGGTGACGGGGTGCGAGTGTAGGAGCGGCCTCTTGAGCTAGACCTCGAGTCTCGCCTCTTGCGCACAGGGCTCCGTGACCGTGATCGAGAACGCGAATACGAAGAACTCGACCTGCTCGAAACACTTCGCGAATCGTCTGAATCGCTCTCTGGCTCCGGAAGCGCTTTTGGCTTCGGCGCAGCGTTCTTGAGCCACTCGCGCATGCCCTCTGTTAGTACACCCATTCCGATGGCAGTGAAGAAGTTGATAGAGAAGCGAGTTTTGGACTGGTCGTCTGCATCGGTTGGGAATATACCAGTAAGGCTTTCCTGCAGCATGGGGTCCTTGAAGCGCTGTACCACAGCCTTCTGGCCGAGAGAGGCAAGGAGCTCTTCGAACAAGATCTTGATGAAGATACGGGAGCTGGACGTAGTATCTTCTTCGTTGAGCTTGATAACCGTGAAGACGTGCCAGCCAACGCCGTCCGAGGCTAGCAAGTGAGCAAAGAACTGCGCAATGATGCGAAGTCGGTTCGTCTCGAAGCGGTGAATTGTCTCATAGTAGTGCGCGAAGCCTTCCTCGAACAAATCGGTCCACATGCGGTTGAGCTTGCAGAAACGTTCGCCGATCATGCCATAAAACTTCTCGTAGGTGCGCTCCTGGCTGGCGCACTCGACAATCATGGTTGTCAACTCGCTCTCGAGGCCTTGTGGGAGGTTGATGCGCATAAGCTTGTGACAACATTCTTCAAAGCCTCCGCTGCTCTTGATTGTCAAGTAGATGGATCGGCGTAGGCTGACGAGGTCCGCGTTAGTCTGATCCTTGATATCCATAGCCTTGTCCTCTTCGTCATCCTCGTCCTCAGACGACGCATCTGTGCCATCCTCATCATCACTTCCCTCCGCTTCTCCTAGGATCTCTGCCTTGATCTTCTGGTACTCAGCCTCATGCTCCTCGTAATCAGCGTCGAGCTTGAAGATGTTGAGTCCGTCCTCGACCTTGAGCTCATCCTCTAGTGTGTGTCTGTGTGTAATTTGATCCTCCTCTTCCACCAGGTCTAGATCTTCTTTGATGGTAGGATGCTCCTTGTACTTTGTCCGCCTGACCTCAAAAAGTACCTCAATCATGTATTGTGTCCGCTTATCGATATCCGCCTCGTGGAGGATGTTGCGCATCTGGTCGAAGATGGCATTTGCAATCGCAGGATTCATCTCGTCTAGGAAAGCGCCGACTTCTTTCATGATGCCTACAGCAATCTCCACTGAGTCGTCGGAGGGCTTGTTGAGAAGGAGCAGCAGGATCTCGGCAATCAAAACCTCGTGCACCACCTGAGTGTTCACCAAATGCGACAAGAACGTGGTACTCGAGAGACACACAGCTTTGTCGTTTCTCCTGAAGCTCTTCCGGAACTGCACGATGAGTCTTCGTACCAGCAAATCTCCCACCTGTGGCAGCTTTGTGTTGACAATGGCAACCATGGCCCCGTAGATGGGCGTGAACGGCAAACTCGCAGCCTGCGCTTTCATCATGGCCCGGCAGAACAGTCCTCGTCCACGGATCAGGTTCTCACTGAACAGCTCCGGAACAATCATCTTGATGTTTGCCGTGTTCGTCTTGTTGATCAAACCCTGAATCGACTTCTTCAGCGCCTCCCACGCCATGCGCTGAAACTCTGCCGACTTCTTGTCCGTGATTTGCTTCTGCATCTCGCGCAGACGCGCCGGAGGTATGTAGGTGCCGCCTGCGCGCGTCTTCGAGTCATCGATGGGGAGCTTGCGGCTCGCACTAAAGGCATTTCGAAAGAGATTTAGGCGGGAGTCGTCTGCTGGGAGGTCGTTCGTTGTAGGCTTGGGAGGCGGGCGGGGGCCTATTCCTCCATTTTCCTGGGGATCTTCATCGCGTCCTCTTCCATTCTCCCTGTTGCCCTCATCCTCCCTTCTACTCCGCTTCGACGGCCCAGCGCTTGGCCCGTCGTACGGCGAGCGATCGCGTTTGCGCGGCGGTTCCTGGACGTCGAGCTCCGGCTCGGGCGACGGCAGGCGGACGGCGGATGCGACCTCCATGGTGTCGTTGACTCGAGTTCAGCGTCGAGAGCAGAGTGTGTTCGTCAAGGTGTTCCGGCTCCCTGATGGGAACTTTGAGGCTGGAGGTGACGCGCGAACAAGAAAGTTTAGCTCGCGATGCGGCCCGTTGTTTTGCCGATGGCCCCTGCTTGGCGCGCGGAAAGGGACAGGACAGGTGAACGAGACGCAACCACGCAAAGTGTCCACAGTCGTTCATTCTACTACAGAATCTCAAGATGGTAGGGAAAACTTGTCCATTCTCATATCTTACAAAGTGGAAAACTGACAATACGATAGTCCGACCGCCTCGTAGGACTCAGCATGCTCGTTGCAGCAACTGCCGTCTTCGTCTACTATACCGTATGGACACTGTTTATGGTATGTCACTTTCGTTCTTTGCTCAGAACCTCTCCGACCATTCAATTCCCATGTCTCGTCATGGCCATCATACCAAGAAACAGTACTAAAAGTCTACAGCCCTTCGTTGACGACGACCACATCCTGCACTCCCTCTTCCTCCCCCGTGTCTGGGCCATCCGCATACCCGTCATTCTGATCATTCTTGGCACCACTGTCGTCGGCAGTTTCCTGTCCGTCGTCATGATACGGAGCAATCGAAAGAAGGCGCTCAAGGCCAAGCAGAAGAAGGCAACCTAGGGACACATCGCATGACATGGAATAGGGGTGAACTTGAGGCATATGGGCGGCGTATGGGAAAACAATGTATCACAGGGCATGGAAGAAGATAACGTAATGCATCCGATATCAAAGTAATTGGATTGCGAAGAGGGAGGTGCTGATTGCTTGGGCTAAAGACCTTTAGATACCCACAGGACACCGTCCTGTGGCCGGGGTTCTCGCTTGGACGACTTGATGATATATACATATATCATATTCGAATCCAATTCTCTTACTCCCTGAAACACGACGTGAATTCCGTGAGCGCCGCCGTTCATTTGTCATGGTTCTGTAGCGTCCGTCACATAACAGTGCAGTTCTCCTCCGTGATCACAACTGGACCGTCGGCTCTTTCTCCTCCCTCCCCGTCACCGCCACCATCGCCAGTTCCACCACCTTGCTGTGCAGCAATATGCCTAGCAAGCTGCGCAAACACCGCCTGGCTGATAAAGTAATCCTCTCTCCCGCCTTTCCGGTCCATATCATTTTTACTCGTAATCTGATACGCCTGGTGCATCCTCTTCCTACTGCTTAGTCCGTTCACTGCGACTTCTTCGTCGCTATCGCTGAGCGCCTCAGCTGGGGGGTCGGGTTCCGAACCAGGAGCTTGGTCTCGGTTCCGGCGGTTGCGGGCCCAGTTGAGACTGGAAAAGGAATGCGGGTCAGAGGATTGGGTTCCGATGCCTTTACGTGCATTACGTTGAAGGCGAGTGTCCGGAGAGAAAATCTTGATGGTGTGATCGATGCCGGAGACGGCCATTGTTGGTTCGTAGGGGTGTCCTAGGCATTGTGAGTATACTGAAGAGAAACTAGCATAGGAGAGGGGAGACGTACCTTGGACGACGTTGACAACCTCGCCGTCACCCTCGAGAATAGTGACGAGCTGTGCCGTCTTGCGATCCCACACGAAGACATTCCCATCATCGCTTCCGCTTACTACATACTCGTCTTGTAGGCCGAAGTAGTTGACATCCTTGACTGTTTGGACATTACAATGGCCGGTGTAAATGCGAGTATGGGGTGCACAGAGCACATCAAGGTCTGCTTTTTCTCTCTCGTACCGACTTCGCCCAAAGTCTGAGCGCCAAAACATGCGACCACTTCGTGTCCGCCGTAAGCCTTCCTCGTCGTCATCGTCATCGTCAGATTGATCGTCGTCTTCCTCTTCGGAGCTAATATCACCATCAGTGTCTTCATCATCTTCCTCTTCTCTACCTTCCGTATCGTCCTCTTCCACCGTTGCGGTTATAATTGGTTGTGATCCACTGGCCGTGGACGAGGTCGAAGATGACTCCGCCTGCTCACTTCCTGATTGTACCGAAGCTCGACGAATGAGCTCTGCATCGACAACTGGACCTTCATCATCTAATGTATCAATATCCTCCTGTTGCTCCCTAAGGGCTTGTTCCTGAGCTTTGATCTTATTGTCCGAAATCCCACGACCGCCAAATGCGCGGTCGACAAAGGCAAATTTGATATCCTTGGCAGCACTGAGTAACACGCCTCTTCCAATTTGAAAAGCCCATTTCCTCTTCGCTGTAGTTCGATCCTGCCCAAGGTTGTGAGCGGGGGTGTCCCCCGATGTAGGTACCATGGCACCAGTTAAATCAGCAAAGGGGAGTCTGAGCGCGTGAGAGAAAGCCAGGACAGCTTCCTTTTCTGAGGATACGAGGATCCGGGTTTCGTCTGTCTCAAACCTAGAGACGTCTACGTTCACGATAGGATCATCGCTGGCAAGTTCGAGTAGATAGGGGATAAGATGTTCGTCAATGGAGTCAATGTCGGCGTCCCATGGGATAGGGAGACGAGGACCACTACTGCGGCCTGAGAACCCTTCGACAACTGCGCCAGGTCCACTGTCGAGCCAGAGTAGAATTGCTTTTAGAAAATCATATCCAAATTGTTCATGGCGAGGTAGTTCTCGTTCCCTTGGAGCAGGTTGTATCGAAGCGAAATGCTGAGATATGAGTGCATCCGAATTTGCTCCAGTCAGTAGCTGTCCGCCCATCACTCGCGCAAGTGTTCCAGCAGCCTGAACAAAGCGACGCGATGCTGCACGGCCATCGCGTAACTTGTTCTGCACTGCGACATCAACTGGATTTGGGTCGACAGGGTATCCCCAAGTCCGAGCTATATCATCAATGTCTGACAGTATCGAGTTCGCAAAGCCCAGAATGGATGTGAAAGCTAGCCTCAGTCCAGTTTCACCATGCTCACCCAGATCGAACATGCGCTTCGCTATTGTCACAGTAGTCTTTGCTATACGGTAATGATCCGTTGATCGTAGCTCATTTAGTTCTTCGCGCGACATGCGCGTCTCGGCCGGGGCCTCGATGCGAATATCTTCACTCTGACCGTTCCCATAGGTCACTCTGAGGGCGAGATCTTCATCGGAGCTCTCTGTACGTTGCCGTGACTCTGCCCTCTGGGAACCTTCTTGCGACAAGATGCCCGACTTGGGTCGCTTGCGTTTCCGATTCTGGTCCTTGACGCGATGACTGGGATCTCCGTTGGACACATTCGTCCGCTTGACTTCTTCACTCGTATCGGGTGCTCGCAGCATATCAAAACCATAGATATGATCTTGTGACCAACTCACAATGAGCTCGTTCGGATACGCGTCACTAATCTTGCACGCCGTGATGTGACCACTATCGTTCCGCTTCATACGCTGCTTGCCATTGGGCGCGAATTTCTTCACACACTGTGTCGCCTTGCCTAACAATGCATCATCGTGCTCGCTCCCGTTCCCTGGACTTGAAAGCCTAGAGCCGCGCTCATTGTTCCTATCTCTACCTAGCATACGCCGATCGTGAAGAAAGCAGTGGAGGTGAGCACCACCAAGTGCAATGTAATGTGGCTGCGATGGAGAACAAGACACCGTGTTAAGGTCTAGTCCATGGCGGCTATAGGATATTAGTGGTGGCGGTACGTTGTCCGAGGCGTCTGTGTCCCTTGCCCACTGTGGTAACATGGTGTCTCTCGCTTGCGGGTAGGCTTTCGAGGGTTGTCTGACGTCCCACTGTCGCACATCGCCGTCATTCGAGCAGGTAAGGAAGTAGAAGGGGTTGTCCTCAGTCACGATTCGCTTCACTGTATCGGTATGGCAGCTGAACGCCTTCGCATTGGTATCTCCTTCTGTGAGCGTGAGCCCGTCAGGTGCCATGCCCATGCGGCGCCTGCCATTATTCGACCTGCTGCCCGAACCGAGGGCTGAGTGTCCTGAGTGTTCAATGTCGAATATCCGCACATCGTCCGTCGCCGATACGATTGTTCGATCGTTGGAATATGGCATAAACTTCACGGAGAAGATGTTGGACCGATGACCCGTCACTATAGACGTTGTGAGACTGAATTGCGAGGTTGACGACTCGGGGTGGTACGAGTGGATATTGATGCGGTGGTCATCTGAGCCCGAGGCGAGTAGACGCCCAGATGTAGACCAGCTAGCAGACAGTTAGACGGTGCTTCTCGAAGCTTATACAACTGCCAAACATACCTCAAGGCATTGACACATCCGTGGTGTCCTTCAAGCTCATCCACAATATCCATATCCTCAACCCATTGTCTATCGCCATATATTCCTCGAATGTCCGTGTATTTCTTGCGCTGCTGCCCGACTTCCCGCTTCAGCAGGCGGTCGTATACCGTATATTTCATATTGATGCGGACCCAAACCCAGTAAGGGTGTAAGAACTAGTAGAAAGGCGTAAAGGAAAAAGTGGCGGAAAGGCGGACAAGGTGAGACAACGAGTCGAGCTTCCCCAGGAACGGCCAATGAAAAGCAAGGTGGGGTGTTCAGTCAGGCGGAACAAATTTGAGGTGTGGGCCTCTATGTATAAGCATTTCGGCGCTCTTGCAGTCGAGTGTGTAGCGTTTGCGACGTCTCGGCGTTTGACTGCATCTGTCTTTGAGGTCGCGAACAGATGACGAAAGGTAAATGCCGTCTCCCGCATTGGACCTCCGCCGCTTCCCCGCGGCCACTCGCTGCCTACCGCCCCATCACCAACATGACCCTATCATTTATTGAGCGATATCGAGACAATGCTAATATAATTATATGCTGGATCAGGATATCAAGCATGAAAAAAAAATTTAACTAGAGAATTCCTTGCGTCCTATGAACTAAACTCGGTGCGTGAGACACGTACTGCTCTTCAATATTTCGAGATATGAGGAGATCTGAGTATCCTGAAGAATACTACGGGATACCCAGCGCTTCAAACCATAGCTTTGAAAGCCCGTCTCGGGCTTCGTGGTCCTTTGATATCCGCGCATAAGATGATAATCAAAGTGCTTGCCTCCCCACGAAGATTATCGTGGACTCACCATGCAGGTTTAGAGATGCAATTCTCGGCAACTCAACGCGCTCATGGGACCTGGAAATTTGCGGTCGTTGCGATATTTGTTTTACTGATGAATCGGCTCAGGTCGTACCGCACGGAAGGCTTGTTCACATGTACTCGTGACTCAGCCCGCTAGACGCGCGACCTGGACCATGAAGCCTCTCTTGGGATGCCAATCGCAGCAAGTATGCTGTCAAGCATCTCAGGCTTCTTGCGTAGCAAATCCCACTCCTCTTGATGTTTGACCATCATAGTCCCTCCCAGCGTGGTGCCATTGAGCGCAACGAAGCCTATATCAGTCCCGTCATCGCGTCGCAGCATTGTGCCTTCATTCCGGCGAGGGAGGAGAACCATGCCAGTTGTGGTCATTGCTAGATTGTAGCTTATGGGAAGATCGCCTCCGTTAAGGGGATGTAGGGCGAGTTGCTCCGGGTTAGCAGCAATAAACTTGTCAACAAACTCCTTTGCAGAACTATACAACTCGTTATAGATACTGAGCAGCTGAGATCCCGACGGCTCGGAATCGAATAACCGAGCAAAGTGTGTGAAGGGCACGTCTGGATGCTGTAGCATCCCAGGTGGCGTATCTACAAGCGGTTTTAGCTACTTTGTTGCCTACTCACGTGGATGCAGTACCTTTGGCCTGGGCCTTTCGGTTTGACAAGATGAGATCTATCAGCAGGTCCCAACCGCTGGCAGCTTCGTTGTCGCGCATGCTTTCCAATGGCAGAAATTGCAGGTGCCTGTGCGGCTGAGAGGCCCCGCTATGTTCCCCAGAGTTGAAGAAGGCAAACAAGCGCTTTTGCTTGTCACCTGGGCCCTCTTGCCATGCTTTTAGGCAAGCATACGTTGCCTCAAGATCGTCCTGTTCCAGCACATGCGTTTGATTCTTATTCGACTTGGTAGCGAGAATGAAGTGGCTTGCTATGATGGGAAACTTATTGAGCACTAGCAGATGCGTTGGGATCGACGTGGGGATATCGACGATGTGCAAGGCGGACGGGGGATTGTCGAACGGATCGATCTTTTGTTTAGGCGTAGCATCTGCTTGCTTGGGAGTAGGCTTCTTCGCGAGGGTTGGGCAATAACGTAGCTGGAACTACTTGAGGGTCAGTATAGCGTGTGCTACATCGTCGGAATGCTCACGGGAATGCCTGTGGATGTTCGAATGATTGCCAGCTCAGTCGGCGAAAACAGGAGGCTTGAGCTGGCCTTTGCCGCCTTAAACTTGGCCTCAACAAGGCTCGGAAGCGCTTCGGACAGACCGAGAAGCATTCTCATGGGGGCAGGGGAGGATAATGGTGGTGGAGGGGTGTCAAGCTTCCGAATGCTAGCGCGGCTCACAGACCCTGAGTTTTGTATTGATGTCATACTTCACCGCGCCAACCTACCACCATCACCAGTTTTAGGTCTGCAAGGTGTCATTGAATTACCCTTGATGCATTGAGTAACTGAATATCTAAAAGCAAGACTCGCCCAAAATACATCCGAGGCAACGACACGTGAGCCACCCTATCTAAACTTATAGGCTTCTTGCGCCCATGCAAAAGGAAAAGCAAGCCGTCTTTCCAACACATATGTGGCCGACATGATAATAGTACAAGGTCGTATGCCGAGATATGACCCGCCGTATTGCTTTACGTTATCGTTGGGGGGCATATGCCTACTGAGGACCTCCCAGCTGTAATGTCAGACCTTTCAAACCCTATGTTGAGCCCGCCTGCGAGATCATCATAATCAAGGGGGGTTTACAAAATTGGTAATACAAACGCAAAACTGTGGAAGCGGCAAGAGAGAGCCCAAAGTAAAGCCCAACTGAACACCGCACGTCGGTTGAGGACAAACGCCTAAACGACGGCCTGAGGGTCTCCGGTGTTTCCCTGCGGTTAACAATGCTTCAAATCGAGTTGACACCAGTCAAGTGTTCGAAGGCGTCCAAATCGTCTTCTCCCGCTGGGTCCAGACTGACAGTTTCCGGTAGGCTTCAGGAGCCATTGTTGACTTCCAACCACTTCCTCTTGCAGGTCGAGTTGCCGAAGTGGTACGACCCTCCTTGCTCGTCAATGTTCTCGGCGACTTTCTTCCACTGAACCTTGACAAGTTTCTGATCAAGGCTCAGGGCTTGCGGGTAGGCAAGAGTACTATCTATACGATCGAGCTCTTGCTCGACGAATCTGTCCAGGAGTTCGATCTACTCAGCATTAGCAATCACAGTCAGGTAGAGGAATGTCACTTCAACCCACATCTTGCTTCGTCCAGACTGGCTTCCGCACGCGGTCCTTCCTCGCTTTGGTCAATGAGCGGTACCGCCCCCTCAACGTGGACTCGGCAGGCTTGTCACCCACCATCTTCCTCCGGATCTCCTTATACGTCAGACCGTCTTTCTTGCCTTGGATGAGTAGGTCATCGTTGAGCTTGCGTTCAGTATGTGCGTCCGCACTTCGCGGTACTTGGAACCGGTCTTGGAATTTGGGCTGGGCGGGAAGGCAGACACGGTTATCGCTCCACGGACGTGTCTGTTGCCGTGCACAACTGTTGCCCGGTGAATATGACGAGCCCGGAGAGCTGTTGTCACTAACATCGTTCAAATGAAGATGCCGCCCCAAGGAAGGTAACCCCGATGTCGCGGGTGAGTAGGGTGTGAGATACCATGGCGAGACACCTGGGCTGCTCCCATGCGAGCATGAGTATTCTGAGCCAATTTGAGGATTATCATCAGGCGAGCCCCCTAGCTCACCACCCTGGTAGTTTGATCCCGCAGGCTCAATTGTGGACATCGCAATGCCCATACCCATCATTGGAAAGCCCGAGAAGTCGACTTTGCTAACACCTTGATCTGTCTGTGCCGGTGCCGACACAAGATAAGGTCCTGAGGACGTACACTTGGGTGAGGACTCTTTCATGGATGGGACTGAAGTGGGGTAGCCATTCCAATCGCGACTTGATGAAGCTTGATCTGGAAATGATACTGGGCTGAAGGAATCCGTCTCTAGGTAGCCCTTCGGTGAGAGCGAGCTGTTCGATTCCAGATCTGAGCCATTCAAACTTACCCCACGAGGAACGACATTTGGCCTGGGAGCCAACCAGGATATCTGACCGCCGTACTCGTTGCCGTCCTTAGTCATTGTATTTTGCACAGCCATGTGGTTATAGCAAAGGTCGTTATTCCTGAGGGGGTGGTAATCTGGGTCCGACACGATCGACGGGTGCATCGGCAGGGTGCTGCCCCATGTAAAGGAATTGTTGCTGAATGTCGGAGCTTCTCCCCAGGACTGATGTTGCGAAGGCACTCCATTGCTAGGGGCAGGACATGGTAACGCAGCAATAGGCGGCACCTGCTCCCGTGATACTTGCTGGCGGTGCCAGGTCTGTGGCAGCATGTGGCTCTCAGGCATGTATTGACCTTGCTTCATAGACGTCAGTTCACAGATTGTAGTACCTTCCCTGTAGGCATGTCACTTACCAACATTAGCGGTGCCATTGTGTGATCGTAGTTGAAGTGGTCGAAGTGGTCGGATGAGTGTTGAGGATTGTAATCGAGGCTAGGCTGCGGGTGAGAGAGTTTGTGTCGGGGGTGGCAGAGTCCATTATAGCTACGCTGACGGTTAAGTACCTGAGCTTGTGCCATAGCACCTCTAGAGGCTAGAGTACGCCTGATCTCACAACACGGCCGCTACAAACTCTACGTGAATTTCACTTAAGCAGCTGATTGAAGGGCGTAAGGCGGGCGTGAATGAGGATCGCAGGATTTTCAGGGTAGCTCGAGGTATGTTGGTCATTCACGGCGGGACCTTGTACCATTCGTCAAGAGGAGCGATCGCTTCACCGAATTGAGCGGTGAAAATGTGGCACTCTAGCCAGTGCGAATGACCACACCCTTGGATAAGTGGGCTAGCAACAGCACTATTGTTACAATTCACTCGCGGCGGTGACTGTGAATAAATGATTAAAAGTGCGGTGAAAGCCAAGTCAAGGTTCGCTCTCTATATGATGCAATGACACCACAAAGTCCCTAATCGGTAGGCTCATCAGCACGCTGATTTGGCATCCGATACGTAAAGGAGCCTTACCAGGAGTGCCACGAGAGCTCGGAACAACTAGGAGATGCCCAGGCAGGCAATCGTATGAATACAGACAAACGCACTAACGAGATATTAGCGATGTGATCGTGGAACGAGTCTGGTGCGAGAATAGGAGAAGAAGAAAACGCACAAGCTTATTGACGTGTAGATAACAGTACAGAAAAAGAGTAAAGAGAAGCCGAAGCCATGGATGAAGCAATCCAATCACATTGGTCTGAGGTGGAGAGATAGGAGACATGTTCGCTTTTATAATCTCAGACAGCCCCAGCGTTCTTGACGAAGCATAGAGACTCCCGTTTGAGGAACCCATGTCTCTGTACTGCGGTACCGGTAGAGGGGCTTGAGCTCTCGGAAGACCCACTACTGCATTCAGTCATGCCATAGGGAGCTTGGAACCGACACGGGAGGATATTGGGCTGCCGGTATGGTCAGGCTATCCAAATCAGCTGCACAAATCTATTCAGCACGCGAAGCATCGTCAAAGGCAAGCATGATCTCTTCATCAAATAACAGCACCGCAATGACGATGATTCAAGATCCTCAACGTGGCTAGCGCGCGAATGAGAGTAATTGCTCGGCCTTGTCGGCAGTGTCAAGCCTCTTCACACTTGGCTGGCATCCTATCAGGGCGGGTGCTAAAGCTAGAGCCGAGCGAAGATTGCTCTTATGGTGCTAGCTGCGCTGGCCCGAAATGTCTACGTCGACTTGTTTGGCTGACGTGCGGACGCGAACGGGTATGTGCATGACAGTTCTTGGCAGCAAGCCATCATCTCCTCGTCACCAGTGAGATAACAGCTGAGCATCCATAGCGTCTTCGGACCTGCAGGTACATCTGGTCCCTTCTGCGACGATCGATGCTGGGGTGAAGTAGCTTTATGGTTACTCGATGCATAACCGATCGCCATCAAGCACGTTACACATGAGATCTACAACCAGCACTTCACGTGTGTACTTCCTCTAGATAGTAGAGAGGCCGGCCTTGAATACTTCACGCCTACCTGATTCAAGGTGTAACCTAACTCAATAAAGGCGAGGAGATCTGACTGTGCATCTGTCATTACCATGTGTACCACGGCAACGTACCTCTTCATCTTCAAACTATCCAACCGATCCACTCTTACCCAGAACCTCGCCACTAACTGGCCACCAAGAAGATCCCAAGCTCGCCTCTCCATGTCAACGGGATGCCGCGTTTTTGCACATCCATTTTCAACTGGCACCACCGTAAGTGACACGGAACGTGTGAGACATGAACACGGTCCACTTGGATGGTTACCAACGTGCTGGTCATGACATATCGTCGTTACTGGCCACATATGTGGGGAAGCTGGTAACCGTCCGAAGTGGCGACAAGATCCACTCTTCGTCGTGGGTGGCACGAAACGGCGAGTATGCAGCGTGCAGCGTGCAGCATGTCTGTGCGAGGATGCGGTAGCTAAAGTTTGGTATTGCAGATGTTTCAAAAGGTAGGCGAGATGGTTCGAGGGCGAAGACAGAGAATAGACTGTGAGAGAAGTATCAGAGAATTGAAGACAATCTTACTGATGTTGCAGAATTGTCTGAACGCACGTTCACGAAGATCTGAATCTATGATGAAGCTCCAAGCTTCAGCATTCGTCCTCTCTAAACCCACGCACCAAGCTCGTATGCAAGCTTCCCGACTCACATCTATCAAATTTTGGCTTTCGAAGATCCTGGCACCTGCAGCTCAATGTCTTTCCATGGCAGTCCCAGGTACTCCCACATGTAGTGGAACCTAGATGATCCCGTCAGTGGGGCTCACACTTCAAAAACTATTCATTCGTCGAAGCACGCGGTTCGGACGTCTTTTCCAGTGCCTCCCCGTTCCGCGATGGCAACTATGCCCAGCGTGGAGCTATCCGCCAAAATGAACGCTAAGGGCTGAACGGGACGTACCTATCGCTCCCGAAAAATGGCTCCTCATCTCCTTTCGAGTTCCGCACGAAATACCAGGGGCAACCGAAGGCTCCGCGGTCGAGGGCTTCTTTCGTATTGTCGTTCAGGCGCTGTTTGTACGGTGCACTGTTTGCATTCTCCATCACCGCTTTGACTTCATCCTCTTTTAGTCGGCCCTGAAGCACCTCTGCGAGGACTTCAGGGTTACTGACGTCCTTCCCACCCTCCCACATCTCTTGGAAAAGGCAAAGAAAGATAGAGATGAAGGTCTTTGGGTGCACTTCTTTAAGATAGCATAGTGCTCGCTGTGGTAGTAGTGAGAGAATAGGGAAGAACGAGGGGGTTTGAATATTTGGTACCCCGAAGTAGCGTTTTGCTCGCGCACTGTCAAATTTGGAATAAGCAGCTTTCGCGGGGAGAGTCCATGGGGGCTTGTTGCCTGCATAGACTGTCAGGGATGGCCAGAGTGAAAATGGCAGGGGGAGGTGGAAGAAGTACCGCTGCCGACATTGATGCCGCCCAGAAAGACGGGAACTATTCTATTATCTGTTAGTGGAAGCTTTGCTTTTAGCTGAGAGTTTGACACTATTGGTTGTTTCGTGTGATACAACTTGGGTTGAACTCGATAAGCAGGTAATCTGCATTGGCGGGTACTTACTCAATCTCCACATTGTGCGAGCTAAGCACTTCTCGATGTTTTTCAAGATAGAGCAGAGCGAAGTATGAATAAGGTGATACTAGCCAACGTCATCAGAATAAGATGCCCAATACTCCATCACAGCTTAACTTACCGCAGTCCAAATAGCACGTAATCTTGCCCGACATGTTCGCAATGCTTCAGACTTCGAATGATGAGAATTCAAGCCACTTATGGGTTTCGCCTTTGAAATATGTCCGAGCAGTGTCGAGGTGGTATTGGGTTGACTGATGTCTTGGCTGCCGAGGTTCAGCATCGCCGTAGCTAGCTATCAGTAATCACCTCCGCATGTGCACCACGACTCGTCGCAAACAATGGACTTACCCCAGATTCTCCACATAAAGCCGGTACAGCGAACACTAGATGCAATGAAGCTTCAGGTATCTCTGACATCGCTTCCCGAGGACTGAAGACGTCGAATACTTTTCCCTTTCCTACGCACTTCACCCCCCGGACCACATCGTGAAACCTTTCCGAAGTGACTATAAGAACACAAGCAATATGGCAACGTCCAAGAATGAGGTCGCGCTCGTCGTTGGTGCCTCTCGAGGCATCGGGAGGCAGATCGCCATAGATCTGGCGAAGGAAGGGTACGCCGGTAAGCATTACATCCATCTGCCACCGCAGCTCCCCCATCGTCAATTTCTAGACTAACAATACCCAGTCGTTGTAGCAGCAAAATCCACGTCAGACGCCTCGCAAACTCTCCCTTTCCCTCCCGACCCTAACTCTCGCCAATCCACCATCTCGACCGTTTCCCGCGAAATCCGTGAAGCAGGCGGCGAAGCAACGCCCATAACCGTTGACACACGCGACTACACAAGCATACAACGTATGGTGGACCAAACGATCGCGAAATACGGACGTTTGGACGTCTTGGTCTACAATTCCGGCGCGATATGGTGGGCCAGCGTGGAAAAGACGCCCATGAAGCGGTTCCAGTTGATGCAGCAGGTCAACGTAGAAGGCTTGTACGGCACAGTGCAAGCTACACTCCCACAGTTCGAGAAGGCTGGGTGGAAGGGCAGGATTGTTGTTGTTAGTCCACCGATATACTCCAGGTTCTTTAGGGGGAAGACGGCGTATGCGATGGGCAAAGTGGGCATGAGCGTGCTTACGAAAGGTCTGGCCATGGACTTCGAGCGCGAGGGGAAGAAAGATATGGCTATTACAAGCATCTGGCCTGCTACGGCTATTCAGAGTGCTGCTACAGAAAATTTAGTGAAAGAGGGAGCAGAGGATCTAAGGAAAGCGAGTATTTTCTCAGATGCGATACTCGCTATGATTCGGGCGCCCGTGTCGGAAGTCAATGGACAGCTAGAATTGGACGAAGACTTCTTGAGAAAGAAGGGTATCGTGGAATTTGCAAAGTATAGTGTTGTGCCAGGGACGAGCCCTAGGAGAATCATGCCGGCGGAGTTTCCGGATCTCACGGTTAGCGAGCAAAATGACGAAGGGAGGAGAGTGGACAGTACGAAGTCAAGAGTTTCAAAGTTATGAGGCAGGCACTATCTAGTTGTCGAACGACATTGGCGTCATGTTGTTGTACTTTCAAGTCCTCATCCATTCTAAGGAAGCCCTCATCACCACAAGAGTTCGTGGCAAGCACAACAACTTGCACAGTCTGCCCAGGGGATCCAATTCGGTACGGGGATATAAGGTTTGTTGTAGTGGAGTGTTCCATCATTCACGCCAGCAAAGTAAGAGAGTGGCTGAGGCGAAGTTCGAAGTAGCGTTAAGGGGTGCACCATGGATCCATGGGCACTGAACCATGGGGAGTTTATGTCTGATACACTGCCGAGAGAGTAAGCTATCTACTCGTGCTTATCATAGCCATAAACTTACAGGTCATGGGTTCTGATATAACCCGCCACACTTCTACCGCGCCAGTATGGATGATACTTGTTCGGAGTGCGGTCATTGTTCAAGAATGGCGGTGGTAAGGTGCTGGACATGAGCATAGCCTCATGAAATCCCCTACAGAAATGCTCCCTGAGCTTGGTCTTCGAATTCTTTTCGGCGTGCAAAACTCCCTTTAGCCACCCTTCGTCGTAACCTTCGTCGTGACCTTCTATTTTGCCCAGTTTTTGACCTTCTAGATGGCCATCTCCGTAGCCCTTATAGTACCCTTTGTCGTGGCCTTCGGTTTTGCCTTCCTCCTGCCCAGCGCGACGGCCCTCTCCGTGACCTTCATTGTAACCCCCACCCCAACCTTTCTCATACCCTTCATCATGGCCCTTTCCAAACTCCACTGCACTAGCTTCTGAAAAGGCTTCGAGTCTACCCTTCGCATGTCCTTTTTGATGGCCTCGTGAGTGTCCTGCCGCAAGTCCGTTGTTGTAGCCGTTGGCATATCCCTCATCTTTCCCCACTGCAAGACCTTTTCATACCCTGCATTCTCGCCGAAGGCGTCACCTTCAGCATACCCCTCAACATGCCCTTCACTCTTACCCCTCTCTTTCGTTGTTTCTAATAGTGTTAGGGCACTCATCCTACCCTCGTTCGATCCCACCCTGCGCCCTGTCTCGTAACCATCTTTCTTCCCTTGGTCGTAGCCCTCGTTTCGACTCTTGGCTATTTCTTTTGCTTTATGCGAATTCCAGTCCATCTTCTGAAGCGCCCAACTGTAGCTCTTTGCTTCTGCTAGTATCAAGGGCTTGATGGCTTCAATCTTCTGCTCTATCTAAGCTTCCATGATATCTTTCTGTTCAGACTCGCTGAGCTCTTGACCTTTCTGAATGCGCCACTTCTCGACTTCGGCGTCGAAGTCTTGTCGCTGCTTTTCCAGCAAAGCTACTTCCAGCACTCCTTGTATAGTTAGTTTGGAAACCATCTCTTCACGGCCTTGCAAAGTTTTAACTTTCTCGATGTGTTCCAGCTGGTTCTTGTCGCGGTCTTTTCTCATCTGGCGATTGAGATCCACCACTCGGATGCTCGGCTCACAATACAACTTCTCCCATCTGTCAAATGCCTGCTGTGGTCTGCTCTTGCCAGCTGTCAGTGTTCGCATTTCGCGAACCGCCTTCTCTATTTTATCGCCCATATGCTCGACGGCATCACTAAGGTCCTGGTACGTCTTCAATTCCGCCTGCATCCGCCTGACTTTGGCTTCTGCCACTTTGGGATCTTTTTCGCGCTTCATAAGTGAAGTCAACTTCGCATTCGCCTCCTGCATTCGCCTCTCACTCTCCTGCTCCATCGTCGCAAGGCTGCTGGTCTGTGCGATATGTAACTTCTGCTTGTATTCCTGGTGTAAAGTAGTCATCTCATCAGCAGCCCTTGTTCGCTGTAACGCTCGTTCGATACTCCCATCTGCCATCTTTCTCTCCAGCTCTTCTATATATAGTTCCGCCCACTCGCCCCACGTGTAGCAGCGGGCTAATTCACTGTAGAGGCTCGGGCCGAACGCTTTCTGCGCCGCTGGTCTGGGAGGACGACCTGGCTCGCCGTTTCGTGGAATCCGTGGCATCTTGAAGAAGGATTTCTTCATGAAAAGTTTTCCACCTAGATCGGTCAGTGATGAAGACGTCAAGCGAATGGTAGCGTCGCACCTTCCTCGATGGCAACCCATCTACCGCCATTACCGGCTTCCACGCGCGAGGCTGTAACACTGGACCTAGCGGTTGTCTCAACAGCAGTCAAGCCATCGGTAGCGGTTCCAGTGATGTCTCCCATGTTGCGTTGTCATGCGCAGAGAGTGAACGGTACTGAATTAAAGGCGACAGAGGGGCAGAAACTAGGCTGAAGACGACGATTTTCGAAAGAGTGAGAAGCTGAGATGAAGTGATGCTCAAGAAAGCACCCTTAGGTGAAAGCAAGTTCGCAGCCAGAAAGGAAGGAGCGGACGGCTTGGCGCACGTGAAGACGCGCAACAACGCGGCCAAGTCCTCGATCTGGACTAAACGAAAGTCTTAAGCTTGATATTCCCACTCATTGAACCGGCTGTCCATAAACTCACCGCCATGTACCGATACGAAACGTAGTGACTTCTTCTCCAAAACCCTCAGTTTACGAGGGATAACACTGCTAGATCCATATAACTCAAGTACAACCAGATCCAAGTACCACAAGTCAGCTAAGCTCACCCCCAAAAGACAGACTAAATATCTTCGACTTGATCTTGCAGTTTATGTTCTCCACCTCATCGCTTGTACATAGGACAAGAATGGCACATTGAACTCTTACCCGCGCTCACAGTTTAGTTGAACCTATGACACACTAAGCATCAATCACACCAACACCACCTCACAAGGCATCCATCACTCACAAAATCAAAGCAAACTTTCAAGCTGACCAAAAATTATCGATTCCCTCTCCACACGAAGGTTATAAAATCCTTCCTAAAAGTACCCCACGTACCCACCAACCAAACCCCTCCAAGCCAAATATTAAACAGACAAGATCCCACCACCCCCTCATGTCATTCCATCAATTAATCCCTTTAAAACCCCTCCCGTTTTAACACCAGCCCCGCCAAACCAACCCGAATTCAATGCTGATTATGCCCTATGAACACCGTGCTCGCAAAACAAGAACAAGAACAAGACTAAAGGAAACGGAAAATTACTCCTGCTACTACTACTATTACTGATACAGGCAAGGGCTTGCTTATTGTTGGGAAAAGAGGTATTAACCGGAATGTTCAACCCGTTGTAATAGGGCGGGTTGGGTAGGATGCTCTCGATGGGACATCTTGAAAAGAAGGGTATAGACGCAAATCGAAGTTAATGTATATGCTCGCAATAAAACCTATGCCGCGGAATAACATATGCAAACGAAAACATGAGCATGAAGGGGGGCAGTAACCGCGCTAGATGCCTGATATGGGTGTGCCGAGTTTGACATCAAGACGTCACAGTGAGCACTGGCGACGAGCAAGACTAGAAATGGCGCCCATGTGTTGCGATGACTCGAGTCATACTGGGTAACACAATTCTTCATCTAGAACAGCCGCCCCCGGCTAGCCTGGCTCGCTCGACTAGGCGACGTCCGACTCCTCTCATCTTCTTCCGGAACATCGCTCAGTCTCGTAGGATGGTGATGTCTCATGCCCACCCACTCGTCCCCATAGCCGTCTCCACTATAGTCCGGACGACCACCACCGCCATCACCACTACCACTGCCACCCGCTGTGGCATAGCCCTGACCGTGAGCAGGCTCCGCGCTTGAGCTCGTAGCGTAGCTACTCTGCGGGGCGGTGGCGCCCGTACCGTAGTGCTGTAGGTGCTCTAGCTCACGACGGCGATCTTCCTGCACGTCGTACTCGTCTGAAACGGGCGATTGGAGTGATCGAAATGGAATACGGCGGCCTGAGTCGTCGAGGAGAAAGTGGCCTCGCTCGTCAATAGCGTACTCTTCGTCGCCCTCTGATGTTTCTTCCCCGTGGGTCGACACATACGATTGTTCGTCCTCTGGGATGCCCGCACCTTGCTGCTCCTGGTGTAGATAGGAGCCGGGCTGCTGATAGAAAGCTTCTGGTTGTGAAGAAGTCGGCTGAACGGGGGCTTGCTGTGCGTGTGTCGTGCGGTATGGATATTGCAAAGGAGCAGGAACTTGGGCTTGGTCGGCAGCTGAAGTAGCACCACTGGGTCGAGATGATGCAGCAGGTGCAGCACCTGATGGTACGTACGTGCCTTGGGCAACACGCGACGGTTGCTCAGGCTCCACACGAGGATGACGTGCGCTCTCAGTGAAAGGGTCTGTGTCTGTTGGTGATTGACCTTCTTCGTACGAGTAGTGTTGCTCGATGCCCGATTCGCTGCTTTGTGCACCAGCGTATGCATCTTCTCCCCGTGCCCTGCCTTGTCCTCCCATGTTTTGTGCCATAGGAACCACTTGCACACCGCCAACTAGGGTTGGCTGACCCTCCCTGAGAGAAAAGGTTCTGTCGCGCTCTTCCTGCTCTCGCCTCCCTAGCTCTTCCCAGGCTCGCCGGGCCTCCTCTTTTGAAATCTGAAGTTCACGCTTCATTTCGGTCACAGCCCGTTCGGCATTCTTCTTCTCAGTGGCCATGCGCTCCATGTTCGCTTCTGCTTCAGCACGCGCTTCACGCTCAGCCTGGATTGCGATATTCAGTTGGGCTTCTCGCTCTTGTGCACGTTCTTGCTCTTGACGATGCTCGTAGAACCACCTCTGGAACTTTCTCTCCGAAGACGCACGTAGGCGTTGCAGCTCCACAACAGCGTGAAAGAGGTTTGCACCAGCGGCGGAAAGATCGGTAATCTGGCGCGACATTTGCTGGACCAGAGGGTCACGGCGGGCTTCATCCGTGTTCTGTTCGAGCAGACGTATCCAGTATGAAGTAAGGCCCTCCCAATGCGAAGAGAGCATCTCCCAGCGTTCGAATGCATGAGGGAAATTTGAAGCTGTAGATTCTCGCGGTTGTGTGGCTGTTGACCCTGGAGGTGGTGGCGGGCGTGGTGGTGCAGTTGTGGAAGGCCCTGCTTGTGACGAACCCGCAGTAGCAGAGGGTCGCCTTGCGTGGGTTGCGCCAGGCGGTCTTCTCGGTTGTTCTACAGATGATGGAGCTGCTAGATTTGCAGGAGCGGGTCGCGGCTGCTGCTGCGCTTGCGACCTCGCTCTGGGTCTTCCTTGTGAAGCGCCAATAGTAGGCTCATACTCTTCAGTAGCAGGAATAATATTGCCATGTGGATTTGATACTGGCGCTCCGCGTTCTGGCTGACGAGGTACGCCTCCAGTTGAGGATGGGTATGGCACGTATTGATCACCAGATCTCAGAGGACCCGATTGGGGTTGTCTCTGAGCTCCAGACTCAGTCGTGATGGGTGCACCAGCTACGCCAGCAACAGCTTGTGCTCTCCTTTCGGCGCTCACTCTCCGGCGCTCTTCGTCGGCCTTTCTTTGCTCTTCTGCTTCAGCTCGCTGCCGTCGGGCATTCATGATCATCTGCGGCGTACGAATGTTGGAGCGGTCTGCCTGGGTTACGGGTACAGGGCCTCCCGTCGTGCGCGCACCGCCATTAGCAGCGCGGCCACTTGTCAGATCTGACATGGGCGCGTTCTCTTCCACCAGGTCGGGTGTGAAGGGGTTTGGAACGCGGATACCTTCTTCGAGGACAAAGCGAATAGCAGACGCGGTGCGCCGAGAGATGCGGAGGGCAGGATGAGGCGCGAAGAGATCAGGGTCCCGCGGCTGGGAGCTTGCGCGAGGGCGAGGTGAATTGTCGCTGAACCGCACAACGCGTTGTTGCTGTTGGGATGGGTCGACAGACCTCGAGCGCTCAAAGTTTGGTGTGCGACGGAGGCTGTGTGCCGCGCTTTCGGTTGAACTCGATGCTCTGGAATGATTGTGTTGGGTCCGGTAGTAGTCCTGAGCAGCTTGCTGGCGTAGCTGTAAAGATGTAACGTAAGGTTCGTGCGCGTCGCGGCGGTCGTGGGGATCGTTATGAGCGGGCTCGTAATAGGGTAAAATATTGGCGAGCTCTGATGGATCGCTAGACGTCACCGTGAACCTGAAGACGCTCTCTCAGGCTGAATTCGACTCGACGGCGCAAGGGCACCCGCCGGGTGTGAGGTGAGTCCCCGGCGGTTTGGTGGTTGGGTGCGGAGAAGCAGTGCGGCGCGAGCCTGCTTATATCGGGACGGTCAGAAAAGGTTGCAATGGCTGGAAAGTATAGTATTAGATACAGAGAAGGCGGAGGAATTGGGTGTGGAGCCATTGCTGCTGTTTGCCTAAGCAAATTCGGGACGAGAGGTGGAGGTGGTTGGGCGTGGTGGCTGGGAGGGAGGTTGGGGGGGCATAAAGTCGACTTACTGTCTACACCGACACTTGATATTAGAGCCAATGTGCTGTTCAGCATGCGCTATTCGTAGATCTGTATGCGCTGTGGTGTTGTCGCAGTGCGAGTCGTCCAATGCCTCCTACAATGCTGCTGTCCTGGGGAGCAACGTCAGCGACGGAAAGCGGGCCTTCAGCCACAGCGCACGGCTGCGCGGCCACGGTCGTCGCGCAGTTCGAGGACGAGACGAGTAGAAGACACAATTGGCCGTGTTCGACGAAGATGCATGCTCAGGTCGCGCGCGTGGAGCACTCGCCGGCGTCGAGTTGGTCAGGTCTAGGAAGACGGCGCGAGCGTTCTCGGAACCGTGCGAGTAGAGAGAGACGGATTGGATTTTTGCAGCCGTACACAAGCATGGACCGACGTGCAGCTGGGTGCATTCGTAGTACAAGCGATGGGGGTCAGGTCATAGCCGAGTGAGGTACGAGTCTGTCGGCGTGTTGGCTACGGGCGTGCCAGCGCATCTGCTGCTAACCTGGTTATTGGGGCCAGGCAAAGCGAGGCCCGGACTGATGACTTTCGTCATCGCCGGCCATTTCAAGCAAGGCATTCCCACATACCGTGTCAAGAATGTCAAGATGGGTGAAAGAAAAGAATTGCAGAAGAAGACAGTCGGTGGCACCAGCTTTTCTTGAGTGAATGTAGCCCGAGAGCTCTTCTCGTCCTCGAGCTACCTGTGGGGAAGCTCCTGCCAATCAGCAGCCCGTATTGTTGTTTGGCCACAAAGCAGCGAGAAGGAGCGGCCCGAGCCCAGCGGGACGACACGCTACCGTTCCACAGAGACGTGTGCCACTGTCGACTCTACACCAAAAACTCGCGATAGCTGAGACTTTGCGTCACACGGCAGTTCTGACACAGATGGAGCAGTGTTGTTTAAAAATGCAGGTTAAGGAGTAGGCCATCTTCAGTAGCTGACATGTCACCCCTGGAGCGTGCATGACCCAGCCTCTCGTCGATGCCGGGCGCATCAAACCTACCATCTCTGCAGCAGTGCGCTTGCTATGCCACTGCACTTCTGATGCATCGTTGAAGTCGCTGTCACAAAGCATGCTTGAACAGAGCAAGATGCACGAAGAAAGCAGAAGAAACGTCTGCGCGTACTTGCATGATATAACGTCTTAACATGGTATCTAGATACAAGCACGGATTGTCAAGGAATAGAATACAACACATGAACGTCTTAGGAAATCCATTCTTTCTTCCATCTCACCAATACATAGTCGTCTCACAATGTAAATCTACAAAACAAAGAATGCAGCAACAACAGCCACAACCGCAGTCAACCCGACGCCAAATCGGCTCGCAGCGCCCTCAAACTCGGGAGGAGCGTACGAGCTGGGCATGGTAGGCTTGCCTGTGCCAGTAGGCTTGGGGACATATGCGCTCGTGCCGTTCTTGGAGCCGTAGACAGGAACGTAAGGGGCAGGAGTGTAAACCGCAGAAGATACCTGGGGAACAGGTGTGTAAACCGCGGATGACACCTGGGGAACAGGCGTGTAAACTGCGGAAGACACCTGGGGAACAGGCGTATAAACCGCAGAAGATGCCTGAGGAACCGGTGTGTAAATAGCAGAGGACGCATAAGGCACAGCAGTGTAGGGCACAGCCACCTTGGTCAAGGTGACGTACTGGAGAAGAGTGCTGGTGGCATGCTCAACGGGGTATTCTGGCTTCTTGCCCTCTGGCTTCTTGGGGTACTCGGCCGGGTAGACGGGCTTATCGGAGCCTGGGTAGGACGGGCTGGAGGGCTTGGGGGCCGCAGGGTATACGGGGACGTTGGTGCTTGCGTGGACGGGCTTGGTGATGGTCAGAGTGACAGTCTTGTCGACGTAGACGCTGGTCGTCCAGCCCTCGGGGTATTCGGGCTTCTTGGTGGGCTTGGCGCACGAACCGCACACGGTCTTGATGATGGTGGTGGTGATGGTCGTCAGGCCAGTGGAGCAAATGTCAACGTAGGCAGCTATAATCAATCAGTAAACCATTTATTGTCTTTGAGGTAGATGCGAACTCACTCGTGATAGTCGTGACAGTAGTAGCACCGGTGGGGTAGCTTGGGTATTCTTCAGGCTTCTTCGTGACCGAAGGATAGCTGTCCTGGCTCTTGGAGCTCGCGACGGGGTAGACGGGGTAGTCACCACCCTTCGAGCTGGAAGCAGGGTAGACGGGGTAGTCACCGCCATTAGAGCTTGAGGCAGGGTAGACGGGATAGTTACCACCCTTGGAGCTTGAAGTAGGATACGCAGGATAATCACCGCCCTTGGTCGTCGAGGCAGGGTACACTGGGTACACAAAAGAGCTCTCAACGGGGTATGCCTTGCTGGAAGCGGCCTCTGGGTACTTGGAGGATGAGCTCTCAGCGGGGTAGACCTTGCTAGAAGTGCTGCAGGGCGTGGAAGAGGCAGCCTTGGGTGTAGACTCTGGGTACCCGGTACCGTGAGTGCTTGAAGCATTGTAGACTGGGTAAGGAATGATGGAGCTAGCATCCGGGTAGACGGGAGTGGAGCTCGCGCTGGGGGATACGATCTTGGTGGTGCCGACGGGGTAGACAATGCTGGGGCTGTTCGTGGAGTAAACGGAGCTGGAGCTCTCGCTTGCGTGAGGAACAGTCACTGAGCTGCTCTCAACGTGGGAAGAGCTAGGACCAACGGAAGACGCCGACGAGGAAACACCAATAGAGGACGCGCTGGAGGAAGCTGGAGCTGGGGTAGAAGCCGAGGAAGCAGACGAAGAAACGTAGACCGATGTGCTGGAGGAGACATGGATTTCGCTGCTGCTTGAGGCTGAGCTAGACACCTGGTAGACCGACGAGCTTGAAGAGACCTGAATGTAGCTGCTGCTTGAAGCTTGGCTGGACACTGGGGAAGCAGACGAAGAAACGTGAACCGAAGTGCTCGAGGAGACGGGTACGTAGATGCTGCTGGAGGCCTTGCTGGAGGCTGGGGAAGCAGACGAAGACCTCGCGCTCGAGGGGACGTAGACAGAGGAGGAGACAACGGTGCTCGAGGCCGGGCTGGACGAAGAACGGATGCTGCTGCTCGTAACGTAGACAGACGAGGAGCGGATGCTGCTGGAAGACACACGGGCGCTGGAGGAGATGGGAGTGCTGGACACGCGATTGCTGGAAGAGATAGGTGTGGACGATACACGGGTGCTGGAAGAAGCACGGCTGCTCGAAGAAACGACCGGCTTGTACTTGCTGGTAAAGCTGCCATCAAGAGTAGCCTTGACCCAGTATCCGTACGACTGGGAGTAAGCGGTGTTCCTGGCGGAAACGGTTGCCTCCCACAGCATGACACCGCCGAAGATGGCGGGCCACTTCTTCTGGTACTTGGCGATCAAAGCATTGGCCTGCTCGGGCTTGAGGTAGTCTTCCTTATGGACGGGAAGCCCGTCAGGGCCAGCTGCCAATCCGAGATAGAGCTTGACGTTCTTGTTATTAGAGTTGGCCAACAGCCACTTCACCCAAGCATCGAAAGTGAACCCGGTGGTAGCCTTGTTGATCTCCTTGTATCCGCGCGCGGCAGAGCAGGCATCAGTGTTGTAGAACTGCGTGAAGATGAAGTCAAATGGCACCTTGCTGATGGCATCAGCGAGACGGGCGTCGGGAACTATACATTGCGGTGCTCCTGAGATAAGACTGCTTGGTCGCAATGACTTGACGCGCGTCACGAAGTGGTCGTAGTTCTTGTACAGATACTCGCTAGACGGGAGTTGGGCTGCGTTGGCCTCGAGGTCGAGGTCGAAACCGTCAACAGCTGCGTCACCAAAGGGACGAGGTCCAGTCCATCCCGCGGGGGCAGGCCCAAAGACGTTGAGGAGGAATTCAGCAAAGTACTCCGCGACCTCTTGGGATGGTAGGTAGTAGTCGGTAGGGTATCCGCCTCCGATGGAGAGGAGAACCTTCTTGCCGGCGTTCTGGCAAGTCTTGATAGCATCTCCAACACCTGCACAGTTCTTCAACAGACCGCTGTCTTTGGTCTTGTCGTTGGGGTCTGGGTAGTAGCCCCAGCAAGCGTTGGCGAAGTTAGTCTTTGGGTAATCTCCAACTTTCTGGGGGAAGCCTAGAAAACAAAGTCACGAAGTCAGTGTTTGTCTTTATGCGGTTCATGAAAGGCATCTCGCACCATTGACGAATGCAATATTGACAATGTCGACGCTAGGGTCGCTGCAAACGTCGGAAAGGGGAATCTGAGCATTTCCCTGGCCCCAGTACATTGCAACATTCTGGGTAGATGCGGGATTGTAGGCAGCAGAAGCGCCTGAGGCAAGAATCGCTGCTGCGAAGGCAGCGCGAGAGAAGTTCGAGGGAGACATGATTACTGAATTAACGGAATTTAAACGAAGCGCGAATCAATGATAGGACAGCCAAAGGCCTGTAAAGATCGTGATGAGTAAAACTCAACGAAAGGACGCAAGCAAACACCTGCTATTATGATAGAGAGACTGGAGATGGACTGGAAGGCAGCGCGAGTGACAGTATAAGAGACATGGGAGATGACCCTATACTAGTTTTGACGCCGCCGCGGTACCTGCATGAGAACTCGGCCCCCCGTTGTCAGCATGAAGCCATCATCCAGGCCAACACGGCAGAGGCTCGTCAGTGTTGCATCGTTTACAGCCTACATCGATTAACTAACGCAGGTACTGGAAGAAGCATGCCCCTACGCTTCGCCATTGGCGAGGGCACTGATGGCCTAACTGAATGAGGCGTCAAGGCGCAGAATATGTGCAGCATGGCAAGCGCTAAGATTAAACATGGCGTTTCCCTATCACGCTTTGACGTGCCGCCTTCCCAAGCCTGCTTGACCGGTGACTGGAAGGATGATAATATCATTTCGCTTAAACTGAGTTGCTCACCCATTGCATGGCTTTAAGTGAATGAAAGAAAGACCGGTCAGCGGTAAGACTTCCCGGTGGCTTTTTTTTTCAATTTCACATTTAAGGATCCCCATGCGCCAGGGTATATGTAAACCAACAACTTGTGCTCTTTGTCGACATGGCGGCGTGGACGCCTGCACAACTGCGGTTTATTGCGGGTCGGTTGATGGGAGAGTAGAAATGCAGGGAGCGTCAAAAGATCAGGGCGACAGCGCTGCCTGCAGAAACTACTCATGGCGGCATGGAGATGTTAGTTTCATCCAGACAGACGGGGTATAGTTCGAGGGGACTGTGAAAACTTGGAGGCTTCAGGCAGGCAACATCTAGAAGCGATAGCCCGTTTGCCAGGGGTTCAATGTCCCTAGCGCGAGTTAATCCGCTTTGGGGTGGGGGAGCCGTCAGCCCTGATCAGCCCTGAATATCTTGGGAGACAGTTTGTCAAACTCTACTCCCAAGACTTGAGGCGTCGGCTGAATCGTGACCGCTGGCCTCTACGGGTTTCCTTCTTTTGTTGGTTATTCCTGACTCCGGGTAGTTGATTTTTTGTCGGAATGCACTCGGGTAGGCGCCCTTTTGTCCTCAAGGGTCAATTCTAGTTGTGCAATCTAGCGAATGACGCTATTTATGGCCATGGCCTAGCCCCTCTCACTTGCATCCCCCGGCGCGACATTGAACCGATAAATGTCTGCCAGTGACACAGCACGGTCTACGCGCCTGATCGCGTAAATGGAGTGTTGCAGTCAAGTCCAACGGCACACCCTGAGTGGAAGGATGATGCGGGAAAGTGACATCGAGTCATCGCGCTTGGGCTTGTTAATTAGAAGCCCGCTGCTCTTCTTGCTGCGGCAGGCAGGCTTGCGCCACCAGTTGTAGTGCGAGATCGCCCGCGTATACGGCACAAAGTGCCAGCCTCGAACGGAGACCCCGAAAACAGCGAAATACATATGCATATGTAGTTGGGTTGCACGGGTCAGGTGTGTGGATCTTGATGGCGTGCGGGCGTCTGCGGACCCATAAATCAGTGATGGGGCTGCGAGGATCATCAGCCCTACACCAGCCTTATGTCGTCGATCTTCATCGAATTGAATGGTGGTGCAGTCCTTCGACAAGCTTTTATTTTCTTGGTCGAACATCCGTTCGAACGCCCCACCAAGCAGATTGTCGGCGTATGGGTGGAAGTGAGTTGACGCAATGGCTGTTGTCGATCTCCGTCCCTGTCGTCACCTGTGCGCCTGGCACTCCTATCCAAGTATTCTTCTGTCTTCAAAAATATTGAACCCAGGCCATGTTCTTTCAAACCCTATAACAATATCTCGGAACCGATCAATCCGATGTTTCTCCCTGCCCGTAATGCTCCGCACACCGCGGGCGTGAATGTCTTGATACAGTAACGTAGACGCATCCCTTTAGACCGTAATACAACTAGCAAATAACAGTCCATTCGTTCATGGCAGCTTCACCAGCGTTGAGGGTGCTCTACCTATATTCATCAAGCGTGTAAAAGATTACATGGATCTAGAACCACATAGATATTAGTATAGAATATAATTCTAGACTTACGAACATCTTCAGTCAACAACAAGCTCTAATAGCACGGCTTTCAGCGTGCTGTCAATAGTATCAGCCAACAGAGAATACCTCAGTAGCTTCACCAAACAGCAAGACGAACAATGTAGAGCACAATCTGACACCATTACCTTCTAGCCATAGCGTCATCCAAGTGTTGCCCCCCAGCACAGGGATTCCGATGGAGCTTCCTCGTCTTGGGAGGCTTTTCTAACAGCAGAGAAGTAGAAAGGTCGTGAGAAGCTAGCGTAAGTACCTCTGCTGTCGAGATTGACGGGAGGTCATCTAGGCGTTCACTTTCTTCTCATAGGTGTAGACGAACACCGCGAACTACACCTATTGCAGGATGCGTGTATAACATGCCACCCGTGTTTCTTGTCCTAATCATCCCATATATAATCCTTTCGGCATGGCCTATGTCTTTGCGTTTCGGCAATACATCCATAGCTTAGGGTGAGAAGCGCATGACCGGTAATAAAATGCGTCCTATGAAGCATAGCTTGATAACCTATAAACACAGTTCGCAACGTGAGCGCAATTCATCGCTTGCATCATATGGTGAATCCTGCATACGACGGTCGTTTGCATCGGGTTTGGGCGATCATAGAGATGCACGGCACGTCAACGCGGCTAGAAATGTTCCAATCTATGAGTGTCAGAAACGATGGTCGTTCGAGCATGGTTGGAGGCTCGAGTTGTTGGCAAACTCTGCGAAGAGCTGCTGATCCTCTGATAGTATAACGCTTCTGAGAACCGACCGGGAAAGCTTACAACGGATTAGTGTTACTAGTGAGATCTTCAAACAGAGTGCTGCGCACACAAGAAATTCTTGTTGAACCGTAACGCCTTTCTACGCTCGCCAACCATACGAAAATACTTGTGTGGGCATGAGTTGCTCAAACGACGCAAGATAGGCGACAACGTCTGCATTCAACCACGCAGCCACGACAGAATAAACTCGAGGGGTATAAGAGTGGTTGTAACCTTTTTGACGTTCACACATCCAGCGCACCATGCAATATGGTGACCATTAAGGTAGACAACCATGTGCTGCTGGCATCCCGTCTCTTCTCCTAGTTTTCCGTCGGATGTGGCGACTTATTATCCACTTCATAACAATGTGCGTGTATATCCGGCACAACGTTACGATGTCGAGCTTGGCATTACTCATGGCGTTCCTTTGAACTTCAAGCTCCCCAGACCCTACCCCAGATTCGGAGTACGACAGTTTCGTCCGCTCTGTAGTGTCCGCAATACAATTGCGGGGTCTGGTGAGTGTCCGCCATTTAGGAGGGGTTCCGATATTTTCCATGGGACAGTCGACCGTTGCGTTGAGCTGAACAACAGCTGATCTGCACAAAAGGGTATTGTGCTGTGGGCAGAAATAGCGGTGTCTTTTGCAGGTGATAACGTTGCGCCTAGTTTCTTTGTCGCAAGCAGCCTCGCGTAAGGTATTCCTCCGAGGCTTCCATGCAGGAATCGAACATACAGGTCGGATCAGGTCCAGGTGTGCAGTAGGCGTACGTGTCCGACATCGTCATAGGCACTCGCGCAGACGTGGCTTTATCTTAGTTCGATATCGTGAAGAAACGATGATGCTCTGGTGGCACTTCTGGATGGAGCTAGCCGGATTCGGTTATAAAACCCACTTCTTCGCATCCCACTTCTGAACCAATGTGGGGTAATCGTAGATGTGCCTATCGCCTAGCCTCAACATGCTCATGACGGGTTTATAGCAAAGTGCTCCTGCCCAAGCTTGCTACTGACGATGATTCGAATCAATGCAGGTAGCTTCTCTATTGCCCTCCCAACTTTTCCCGCAATCGGGCGCCCTCCCATAGGGGGTCATGGCGATCAAAATTGGAGGCTCAACTGTTGTGGCTGGCCAATCAGCCTCGTCTTGATGCAGGCCACGGGGCAGAACGTTAGAAGTCCAATCCATGGCTGGCCGAAATTCGGCACCTAGGCGCACACTTGCCTTATTCCCAACCACCAACAACGCGCTTTTATCAGCTGCTATCTTGGCCCCTGTCTGATAGGCAATGGTCCTATCGGCTGTGTCATCACCCTATCACGCGCATTTAGAAGGTCGCTTCCGCAATCGTTGGGATCCGCATCAAAAGTTCTATCATTGCGCACTGGAAATCGCCCTATCGTCCACTGACATTTCCAGCTCTCGTCCCTCGCCTTACAAACAAAAATGCCCGTATTGGCTCAAGGGAGTGCTATCGCCAAAGACCTGAAAGTGAAAAAGACTAAATCTAGGAACGGATGCGGTCGATGCAAGCTCAAGAGGGTAATGCTGAAGACATGTATAGCCTCTTTATGGATATCTGCTGACAGTGGCAAAGCTTAAATGCGACGAGACCGCCCCCGGTTGCTTGCAGTGCAAGAAGAGGAACGTCGACTGCCCTGGGTATGAGAAGACCTTGAAGTGGTCCACCAAATATGAGGTTTACAGGCCTCTCCAGTTCAAGTTTCCATCGCACAACCCCAGTTCAACGCCCAACGTCAAGTCACAGGACTTGAAAGTTACCGAGTCTTCTCTTCCACAGAACGTCGCGAGTGGTATCGAAGCCTTAGCTGCCGTGCTCCCTGCAGGCAAGAAGAACGTAGCACCTGGACAGGAAGATACCCCTAAGCAAGCGTCACCGCCTGTTCCCTCACCACCTGGCCTTGAGGAGCCTACCCAAGAATCCGAAGATGACAGTTCTCCCCGGGACTTTGAACCTTTTCATATGGAGGATATCGATGTCGTAGACCCCATCATGCTCGGGGGCCTCGTTGATGCTATTCCACTTCCACATGATGACTTTGACTTCGATCCCTTCGACAGCCTTGACTTCGACTCTGGTTCATTGGATGACCTCACATTTAACACCGAAGATGTCATGCAAAAACAAGATTTGCCATCTTTATCTACCTCTTCAGTCTTGACTACCCGGGAATCCAGTCGAGAATCCAGTCCTAGGCTCTCGCGTTCATTGCTCCTTGACTTCTACCGTCTTCCAAGCCCTTCGCCTGACGCAGCGTCACCGGATGACGTTGAGTCGCTCCTTATTCAGCATTATTTCAAAGACGTTTGCGCTGTTTTCTCTTCTTTCGATTCCATTCTTAACCCTTTCCGGACTACTATTGGTCGTATTTATCAGGACTCTCCTTCGATCAAGTACGCTATTCAATCCATGGCCGCGGCCCACCTGGCCAACACGTTCCCTAATATGACCACAATCGGCGTTGAGATGCAGCGCAAGGCCCGCGATGCTTTAGATGTAGAGCTTCCTCTTGCTCAGAGCGGCCAAGCAAACGCCACCAAGACCTTTTTAAGCATCATGTTGCTTGGTCTCACCACCTCATGGCACGACAGCAGTGCCCTTGGTACAGATTATCTATCTACCGCACGAAGCTTGATCCTACCGAAGCTTCTGAGCCGATCCGATAAAGTTGAAACCCAGCGAGAGACACAATTCTTTGAGGAGTCTTTAATCCATTGGGAGATGCTAATGGGCTTCGTGACAGAAGATACTATGAGCTTCTCCCCTCCTTCAGGACTGCGCTCTCGTGCAGTTTCTAAGAAGAATGCACCTGCTGCTCGGAGACCAGATGGTAAAATTGTCCCACATCCCTGGACTGGCATTGCACCTATGGTCCAATTCCTTTTCGCTGAAGTCGGCCGCTTAGTACGGAGGGAACGGTCGTTAAACCGAGACTCTGCTATGGACTTTCGACGAAGACAGGAAAACCTTCACAACGCTACATCATTGGAAGAAGACCTCCTCGTCGTGAAGTATCCATCGGTGGATGAGGTCGCCGACACTGGCGACGAGCGCACTCCAAAGGAACACTTCGTCGTCATGGCTGAAGCCTATCGCTGTGCTGGTCTACTTGAGCTCTACCGTGCCTTCCCTTCGATCTTGCGCAAACGTCTGAGCACCGACGAGTTCAGCGGAACTGCTAGCGTTGACTTTCAATTTCCTATGCCACGATTCGAGACGCCATACGAAGACACGGATATAAAGTTATGGCTGAACTCGCTTGCCATGCACATCCTTCAATCCATTGAGTCTCTTCCCTCTTCGTCGGGCACCTTTTGCGTTCAACCACTTCTACTTGTTGTAGCTGCTTCCGAATTAAAGTTCGTCTCCTCTGTGGACTTCTTCGATGTCCACGCCAATGACCTGAAGATCAATTCCGCTCGGGAGTTCGTCATCAGGCGGTTACAGGAGTTTTCTCTAAGACTACCTAACAAACCCCTTCGCCAGATGATCCGACTCATCCAAGAGACATGGCGGCGATCTGACGATGGACAAGACGCGTTTTGGATTGATGTTATGAACGAAAAGAGATGGCATACGATCATGTGATTTACATCACTGTCATCACCGTTTTTTTCACGCATCTAGGTTCAAAGATTGCTTGAGTCGCGCACCACTGTGCGTCTAATCGCCGATTTCGCCTTCACCTTTTGTATACGACGCATTCACGACCTTATAGCGACTTTCCCCGGCCCTGGCGTTCAACAAATCATACCTACTTTCCGCCCTTCCTCGACAGTTTTCGACATTCGTTAATGGCCACCTTCCGGACTCCGCCAGTATGACTGTACGCAGTCTTCGATACGAACTTCAATGTACGGCGTCCACTTATAGAACGTTCGGCTCAGCATCCCGGTGATGTTTGATGTGGAGTTTGTCCTTCTGCGAAACCCTAATACGATCCCATAATTGCGACACTACGATTGCCTACTGCATCAACCCTAATTGAAACACCCATCTGCGATGCTCTATCACGACATCCTCCTCGACCTCCCATTACGATACCCAGCTGCGATCAGCCCACTGCAATGCCTTCCCACGATCCCTATACACTACAATTGTACGATACCCTCCTGCGATATTATCATGCGATTCCTGTTACGATACTCTCACGCGAGCTGTTCCTCTGGCCATCTACCAAGATGCCCATAGCGACAACCCGATCGAATGCCCAAGCAACACTAATACTGTGCCAACACGCTCTACCCATGTACACTACGTCTCCTTTCCCTGGGCAGGTAAGATAGATGCATCACGTGTTCTTAGCTACGACTACCTCTTCATACCACCCTACATTCTACTTTGCGCCCACCATTTCCGGCCCAGCCTTCCCAGCCTGTTACTCCTTGGTCCACGTTTCATAGTTTCTGCATTGATTTGCTTGGTTTGTTTGCGATTTTGGAAAGACACTTTTGATGGCTGTACATAGTCTCTTGCATGGCGTTTTGCTTCACGATACCCATTTGTTTTTCTCATGTTTTAATACCCATGTTGCATTGTTTTACAATATACCCAGCGAAGGATCGCCAGAGAGAGAAGAGACTGAAAAGGCGACACTAGAAAGAGGACAAAATTCCTTGTTTGAAGTCAGGGCAAGACTATGCCACTTGGTGGATAAAACCCCATGGCGGACACATCATGGTAGGTAAAACCGCATGGTGAAAAGAGGAGGAACAAGATTGTTGGCCTCCTGTATGGATTTCCCATGATCGCACTTCGTTAGCGTACATAAGCGTGTTCACTTCGCCCAAGCATCGCTGAGAACGCATGCAAAGGCAGTTGGAGTAAGCGCAGGCGGGAACAGTGGACTACATTCATCCTTTCTGTGATGTGTGCAAAATCACATCACAGGTCTATACGCCTCATCGTCATCGTCTTCCTCATACGCAATGAACTCTCGTTTCCCACTCGATGACTGCGTAATAAAGTATCGCGTCGAGTCATAAGCCCGTAACTTCTTCTCTGCTCCAGGACTAAACACCGCATCTGTAACAGGGTTCGGAGTAGGGATGGCTAGAAGGTGCCTCTCCGTGCCCAGAAGCCGCAAACTGCTCTTCTCGGATACGTCTTCTACATCGCAATCTTTATTCCGTCGGTTCATCCTTGTTTACGTTAGTGACTTGGATTAGAAGAGGAAACTGGGTTTAGGGGTCGCCATACCATCGCATTCCTAGATGTACACCTTCCGCTACGCATGCGAGGATCGCAACAGCGATGATAAGTTGAAGAGCCCAGAGATTGACAAAGGTGCTTTGGTACGTAGAGAAAGGTTCGGGTTCAGAGCGACATATTATTCTCTGGTGCGGCCGCGACGTTGGTCGTGGCTCGTAATCGCGACGGTGTAGATTCTTCTGGATGCCATTCCGCGCTGGCAAATCGAGAGTGATGGTAGTTGCTATCGGTAGATGGTCGTCATTTTTAGATGACCTGGATTGGCCTATATAAGATTCATAGAGCTCTGGCTTGGTGTCCTGGAAGTCTTCGAGTTCTGCGCCAAGATTGTAACAAATGTCGGGTGTCGATGGGCTTGGCGACGGGTCTGATGGTGTCCAGTGGGCGTTTGAAGGAGTGTATTTCGCGGGCAATGGCGCATGTGAGACAATTGTACAGTGACACTGTGTTCGTGTAGGGGCTGCTATTGTTGAAGCTGATAAGAAGATTGTGGATAGAACGAGCGATGTTGTTGATGTGACGAACATTTTGGCGAAAGTGAATTTTAGGTGTTGAGTGCAAATCAAGCCGGAAGGTATAGGCAATGTTATATGTTGCAGGCAGAAGTAAGGCCTCAATCGGTATGATACGACAATTTGGAGATCTCCGAAGGATGGGGCGTAGACTGTTTGGGGGCCAAGATGTCAAACGTTCACTCGTACTTGGCAACGGTCAATGCCTACTAGGATGGATCTACCCAGGTGTTTGGAAAGTCGTCAAAGAAGGTGATAGGTGCCTCTTATAAGGTACCCCCGTCGTCTTCCCACCTGCTTGTAATCATCGTCGGCAGCCTAGTTCCCTCTGCAGTGTGGTTGTTACACGGCGCCCGTAAGGATCCGACGCGGGTGAGGCAGACTTCAGTGTGAAATTATGAGTGCCGTAATGAGACTGGCGCGCAATGAGTATCCATGGAGATGTACCTTCAGCGCGCCACGGCTGACAACCAGCCCAGTTCCAGGGCGTCTTTTATTCCTACCCAGCCTGTTTGTGTTGGCAGTCTAGCTTGTATAGGAGCACTCAGCCTCAGTAAAAAATGTGCTCGCAGGGGAGGAGAGGAACAGGCCTGGATCTTCAGCGCACGGGCGTTTTGGCTGCAGAAGGCGCAGCTGGGGAGCTTATTTTGGGAGCACCGCAGGTCACCCAGCGGCTCGACGTGATTAATGACAATACTCGCGCGATTGCATCTTTTTTTTCCAGTCGATAGTTACCTGCTATCAGAGTTTCGGACTCGCTATCCAAGCCTTCCGTCGCTACGTCGAGCGCATGATCTTTGCGCTCAGGGGCCCTACAACATTTACGGGTCGCGAAACAATACCCAGCATGCAGACCCAGACGGTACGCCCCGAATCACTAATAATCGAAGGTGCTACCAAGACCACTCATACATGAGGCTAGACTGCTATCGTCTGGCCTATTTTAGCGTGGAATGCTCTATCAATACCGATCGTGTGCACTTCTTCTCTAGTCAGCAGGCCTACGAGATCCCAATGCCGACTTCAACCGATTTCAAGGTTTCAAAGAGCCCTCCAGGACTCTTATCGCGCCACAATTATACGAAAAGACGGTCTTGCGAGCGTCAAACCCCACTTACAGCGCGACGTGAAGCAAGTTCGAGTCGCACAGACCCGGGCGATAAGTGGAGTGTTTGTGCCTCCGCCCTGTCCAAAACCAACCCCTCACGCGGAGAATCAAACTATAAACGTCGGGTAAGCTTGCCAGCTTTTTCATCGCGAAACATATTGGTAGGGACCCGCGAAAAGATCATCGTGCTAAGCAATGCCGCGCAAATTCAACGAGGATAAGCATATTCTGTTTCACCATGGTGGGCCAACCCTTGCGTAGATGTCAGCTCGTGGCGTTGTGCAACGAAACACAGCTGCTGCACGGTTTGAATGTACCTGAAGCACGATAACAGCTTGAGAGACATCGTAGAGAAGTCTGAACACCTGCTGCAGCAGCAATGGCACCACAAGCAAACGGTGGGTACGATATGAGGGGCCACCCCAGCAGATATTCGCTAGAAATGGCAGTCGTTCGATTCATGCAAACACCAGGTATAAGTGCCGGAGTTTCACATTCCTTGCGAAACCTGCACACGTCGTCTCCACGTACAACCATCGTGGGACAACATAAGTTTAGACGGAACCCCACTTTATCATCGTATTTTGGTCTCGAGATATGTACACCTGTTTTTGGTTTTGGCTTTCCCATACGCTGGCGATATCGGCATCCAAAAATGCCAGCCGCTCACATTCTTATGCTTTGAATATCTCAATCGGGAACGCATCAGCAACCGCTTGATACCCGGCAGCATTCGGATGCAGCCCATCTCCTCCGTTGTACTTGGCATCCAGTTGCTCTGGATTGTTCTTGTTCGCAAGTATACCCGCCAGATCTACCGTATGGTCGAAGGTCTTGCTTTCCAAGATCCACTTGTTTACTCGCTTTCTCGTCTTCTCCCTTTCCGTGCCCTGGTAGCTGTTCCCCCCAAAGGGCATGATTGTGCCGCCGATGGTTACATAGCCGGCTTTCTTTGCATCGGTGACGATTTGGGTAAAGGCCTTGATGAGCTGGTCGCCAATAGAGGTTTGTGTCGAAGCACTGTTCGCACCGCCTCCAATGTCGTTTACGCCTTCGAAGATCATCACCCACTTTACGCCTGGTTGCTCTATCGCATCACGCTTGTATCGTGTTAGGAGTGTAGGTCCGAGGCCGCCACTCAGAACGGTATTGCCGCCTGCGGCTTGGTTGCAGATGGCGACGTTGGTGTAGTTGGACTTTTGGAGCCGTGCTAGGACGAGATCGGGCCACCTGTCTCGTGGTCAGGCTGTACTTTATAGCATAGAGTGAGAATTTTACCGGTTGTTCTTGTTATCATCGGAGCCCCTGCCATCTGTGATGCTGTCGCCGAGGATGATCAAAGAGTGCGTATCCGCGGGAACATAAGCTTGCACAGCGCTAACAAAGTACCTATAGCCTCATCAGTATACATATTCAACAGCCTCTTCGTTCAAGGCGACGCACCAATGCACACTCGATGTACCCGAGAAAGTGGTGGCGTTGACCTTGTTCCCACTCACGAACCAACTCGTTGTCCTGCTCCCCGGATGTCCCGTGATACTGCTTCCACTCTGACCTTGCTGGCTATACAAACTGACCGTAATCATGCTCTGCGGCTGAACTTCGAAGGAAATCTCATCGCTGATGACAACCTGGCCTCTGGGGACGGTAAAGCTACTCTTCCCACCCACTGTGATGGCTGCTAATGGCGACGCTTGGATTCCACTGACGCCTGCAGCGCCGCCAGTAGGGAGTCCTACAGACCCTTCGGTGATAGGGAGGTCGGATCCACCAAAAGTATTGGATATGGCAATCTTGATCTTGGGCGCACCAACGGACATGTGAAGGGTTTGGCGGAGGGTCGCATCCTTTAGCACGCCTCCTGAGCTCTAGAAGATTGTCAATTCTGTAAGTAAGCAGAGGTGACCAAGGTCAGGTTGGTGACGTACGAACGGCGACGGTGGCATATTACCAGATTCCACAAGCTGTGGCATGCTAGTCCACGTATCGATCCAGTGGTATCCATCTTGTCGTTTGTCAACGCTCTCGATAGCAAGGCCATTTGCCGTAGGAGATAGTCCAGTGAGTGTCGCGAGCGCAACCGAAAGTAGGGAGGTGTAGAACATGTTGATCAGATTTCCTCCTACTAAGATCACTGCCTAACGACATAGGTGCGACATTTATAGGCAACGAGCAGTTCATAGAGGTTTCATTCATAGTGCTTGCAAACTAAGTGATCTCTGAAGTCCTATTGCATATTGCAATATGCGTATCAATCTGGAAAGAAAAAAAATCGTAATTCCGGGACTTCGATGTCAAGTGGGGGTCTGCTAGAGGACGGGAGTCCTTGAGGCTAATTTAATATTGCGGGGGTGTAGAAGGGCGCTACTAAATAGCCGGTCTTTTCGTCCTCGGAGATAAGTAAGAGCAGCACAACTCTCTGTTCCTGTGATCATAGACATTAGAGGAATCCGTATTGCGTGCGGCGAATAGGAGGAGAGCCGTACGCGAAACTATCTATACAAGATAATAGTTTGATTGCCACTTGAAATCAGCGACGTGTTCATGTCTTGCCATAACAGAGAATGCAATATCACGAGCCACGCAAACTAAAAAGGAGATATTGGAGAACGAACCCTCTTTTCTGCGCTCGTGTCATAAAAAGAACCGCGAGTCAACATGTAGTGGAAGAGCGCAGAGCGAGGCTTGGCGAAGCCATTGGGAGCGATATTAATGACTAAGACACACTAACCGTGTGGGCATAGTCACCCTCTAGTTATCTCGTATCTATCACTTGTACGAAGCTTCACCATTGTTAGTGCCAAACTACTTTAGTTCCTATGAAAACGAACTTCTTCGTCATGTCGACCCCGCTTTAAAGCTGCGGCACGTAGACTGTTCTGAGAACCACCGATACGCAAGACCGAATGCAATGACGCCCCCTATTCAAAGTGGACCATAATCACTAGAGCGCATCAAGACGTCACCACTATCTGATAAGTATGGAGTTTCAGGAGGTAGCAAATAGGGTGCTGAAGATCGATATCTCGGCATTCTTTTGATAAATCCCGTGGGACGAGTTCCTGGGATGGAGTCACGTTTCGAAGGTCCTGCCTTTGAGGACCCGAGCTACTACGGATCCTAAAGAGACAGGTTTAGCTAGTAAATTTGTTCGGTTTCGGCTCCCCTACAAAGTATGCTAAAGTTAAAATTGGTGCTTAACTAGTGCATGAGGGATATGAAATCATAATATATAGCCCTACTGCACCCTCGGGATATCTTAACTTCGGTTTCATTTCTTAAATATCAATACTACACAATACCCGTACTACCATTTCATCAGGTAGATTACAATCCTGACAATGTTCGACAAGAAGAGGGCTTTACTAGCGCTCTTTGTCTATTGGCCACTTTGTCTTTCCGCCGCAGCTACCCCGGTATTGTCTTTCGTGGGCACATTTGATAACGCTACACGGATTGGGCCTCATCAAGACGTAGCCCTCAAAGTACTACCACAAAGCCTGAGCAGACCTGGACCCAAGAATAGACAGATTGCCAATTTCACGGAGAATCCAAGCTGTGGATTAGTGGTACCAACGACGGAAAGCTGGAAGCAGTATCATACGGAGATCAAAAAGTGGTTCGAAGAACAATGGGTTCTATTCCAGAAGAATCCCGGCTACAAATCCCTACCGCTCTACTTACGCGATCAATTTGCTCCCAACGCGGCACCAAGCTCTCAATTCTGCGATACTTTCGGAACATGCAGTATCATCAGCTGTAGTAACTTGAAGGAAGACCTCTCTCAGCACGACAAACAGATGGCCTACTTTGTCTTTGAACAGATATCTGGGCTTGATCACATGTTTCACCGCATGAGCGTCGGCATTGATGACGCGGCAGACTACACCTTGGGCAGATCGAACGAGCTTGTTAGGCAATTTACTAGTGCGTCGCGGATAGAGAAGAAGCTAAAGGAGAACCGAAAGACGGAACAGCTTATAATGTCCATTGTACAAGCTTATGGACTTCTCGGCGCTGGCTATGTGGGCCTTGATATACCAGTGATTCCCTTCAAAGAGGTGTTCTTATTCGAGTTGAATATCTACCTTGGTATCTCACATGTCCTTAATACTGCCTGGGGCGAAGTGCCAAATATCGATGGCGACCTGGAGGCCTCCTTTCGCGGTTCGTTGAACGAGCTTCAGCACAGAAGTACGCAGTGCATTACCCAGGAAATGCGAGACTTCATGTCTGGGGAGACAAACCGTCTGGAGCAGAACATGTCCAGCATTATGAAAGGAGAAGACTTCTTCGCACCTGACCCAAATCTGACGATCAGGGTCAAACGAGACTGTGAGAAGATCATGTTTGCGGTCGCCGTGAATGCGCTATGGCGATTTGATAGAGCTTATATCCTCGACACAGACGCACCGCCATCCGGCTGTGAGTCCGACACGCGCGGGCCCTCTCAGAATCGCGTCTGTCTCCCCGAGTTCTCGAAAAAAACTTTCTGGCTTTATGCTCTCAACCCATCTCAAGAGGGCGATACAAGTGATCAAGCGCAGGCATCTGGACCAATAGGCTACCGAAATTTCTTCAACGAGACCGAGCGATATTATAACATCACAATGAAAGATATCGTCCGCTCTTCTTTATTCACACATCAAAACGGCCTCCAAGAGGCTATCGAAAAGATCGATTTCAAACGTATGGGTGAGGCGGCTTCTGGAAATAAGACCCTCGGGAAAGTGCCTGCCACGTTCACGGTTCCTGTCTGTCGTAACCCAGGAGGCGAGTCCATAACGAGCGTATGGTCGGACAAAGGTCGCAACTATCCGTGCATGTGCGGCGAATTTGGCTGGAATGACGGCACATGGTCGATCCAAAAGGACGAGACTAAGAAATTCTTGGAGTTTAGTAGTTTTATGTTCTCTGAAGATTGGGAAGACTACTGCTCTAGTCATAATCACTGCAAGGGCCAAAATGACATCGACTGGCATTCCGATTTTGAAAGAATGCGCAAGGAGGGCGATCCTGAGATCCCCGAAGACTTAAAGCATCCTTTCAAGAAATGTAAAGAGTCGAAGAAGCATAGCATTGGTGACCCAGATAAGGACTTTGACAACAAGACTAGGGCGGCTGTGGAGCAGGACATGGGAGACGAAAAAGGTGTAAAGCTCATCTAGACCTCTTGCGGGGATGCAACAATGGATGGTGGAGTACCGCAACGCAAGACGTGGAGCAGGACATGAATAAGTGTTTTTGAACAGCTGCAACGGAGTGAGTTCCAAGATTCAGGACGTGAGTATTCTATGTTGCGTAATGGATGGTCCTTTCTAGCTGCCAGTCTTGTACCCAGTTTTGCTTTCTAATCTCGAGATTCAAGCTTCAATCAATCCTTTGTGGATTATCAAGTCAGGCTCCACACTGATTGGCTCCACGTACACAATACTCTCTCTTGTCTGCTCAAAATGTACACTGCCGTATCTTAATAGCTCTCCAAAGGTTCCAGGCTCTGTATCTTTGCCTTCGTTTTCTGGCTGATCTAGCAAAGCCCCACAATGAATCGAATGCGTCAGGCCCTTCCCATGCGTGATCTTCTGCATAGTGCTCTTCGTCAACAGCGTCCACGCTGTCTCCTTGGCTTTTTTGTATTCTTCGCTTCCGGGATCAGCATCTCGTCTCGTGATCAATACTTTGAACAGATCTTCGCCTTTGTACCCCACAATCTGCTCGGCAGGGAAATCCTCTAGCCCGACATCAAATACTAGAACCTTATTAGCCCAGTAATGGACACCATCAAAGCCCCCGTTAGGTTCTTGCAGCCAAGTTAGGCGGATCCAAGCAAGGCATTGCCCAGTGTATCCCATCACAGTCTGCTCATCGACCTTGAAGTCCCACTTGAAGCCACGCGCCTCTGCTTGGGCGAACTTGAAGTCTTTCATGAACGCAATCAGGGGTGATTGTATCACACCAGTGAAATCAGTGCGACCTTTCCAGAGGTGGACGAAGAGGTCATGCCTGTCTTGATAGTGAGCGCTCGAAATCCTGTTATTGCAGAAAAGACCGGCCTACCACTTCTTGATGAACAGATCGCCTTTTCTGGATGCAACAAAGTGGTTCGCCGTATACTGTTCGAACATCCACGGAATACTAATAGTGTAAGGACTATTCTCATCCGCAAGCTGATTCCAGCAAACTTTGTCCAAATTCCGAAATAGAACATTTCCAACATCCATCCAAGCACCGCCGTATGCATACAGCGCTGCACCACGTAGGAAGTCCGCGCTATGAGGTCCAACATACGGCCCGGTCATCGTTCCTGAGACGAAGGCTTCGGGTAGCTCTTCAGGTGCGATCCACGTCAATGCATGGTTGGGTGACCCAGGAACGGTGTCGAGCACTCGTACGGTCCAGTCGGAGCCATGAAGGCGCACCCAGTTAATGATGTTGCGCTGGCTGTGAAAGTTGAGGTGCGGAGTCAGTGTCCGTCTCGCATTCACCTTTTACATATATACTTACCACCAGCTCGGCATAGATTGAATGCCGGAGTGCCAATACGTCCATATGTTCTTCTCGGAAGTGATGGGTGCATGTTTCGTCAGAGAGGCGACTATTTCGACATCGGTGCGTTTATCCTTTGCGTCAACGTAGCGAAGCTGCGACTTGTACTCTTCTGGGATAGAAATTGACTGTTCGGACATCGCTAATGCTTGTAGTCTAATGTAGATAGATTATTTGAAGAGGTCAATCGTGGAACGAAAGGTTGAGGTTAATGACGGCTGCAGGAACCTCTTATACCCTCATATCAACATCACAGGAACTAACATAATGCCAATCTTGACTACCCAGGTAAAACGAAAGATGTAATAAGCGCTATGTATTAGGGCTTACATCAGATTAACCTTGAGGGGTTTAGCGATGCTGATGTAGTAAGAGCTAGTGATGAAAACGAGCACTGCTAACAGGTCGCAATTAATCTCCAAACCATTAGCCGCGTTCCACCGAGAAGTGCGACTGGAGCCTTACTCCTGCTCTCTAAGCCTAGCCTTTTGTAACTCAATGGGGCATACGCAATACCTTGAAGCAAAAGATATGCGAGATCTTCGGAGGAAAACGCTCGCGAACATTTGTCTCAGCAGACAGTTTATGTGTAATAGGTATTCATGTAGCTAAGTCACTCCGCGGATGTCATGTGCATCCACCCAGGCCTTGGTACAAAATGTACCTTAATAGCTCAAAGAATTTGCTAGAACGGTTTTGCGCTCTCCACTCAGGTATTTTTTGCCCTGTAACCCGCCGTAGCCCCTCATGTGCCTGCCGGTCTCGACCTCGCTTGCTCCAGCTGAGCTCTTCCTGCTTCAATAATGTTCTTAGTCGTATCCAAGCAATTTCTCATCACATCAATATCAATCTCCAAAGTGGCCTGTCCCTCCAGCGTCTGCGATTCTCCATGTGCTGCCTTTTCTAAGGCCTGAATACCGCCCGTGAGCTCGCTACAACACTTTTCTGCCTCATCAATCGCCGGCGCATACTTTTGGATAGTGATGCGATACCTCTCTGCCCATACTTGTTGCATGGTGGCTTTTTGGTTTGCCGAAACGTAGCTTAACATTTCTGCGTCGATTGTGTCATCGAGGGCAACAAGATGGCCTTCCGCTGCTTCGAGTTCATGCCACGTAGTGTTGACTTGCTGGCGGAGAGAATAAAATGTTTCGCTGACCGGAGGACGGGGATTATTGAGGTCTACCATAACATCCAGATGTGCAGCACGGAACGTGACACCTGTTTTCGAGTGGCTTTTGGGCTGTCCGGTTGCTGCTTCGTTGTCCATTTTCGGTATGCGATGTGTGAAACTTTTCGAAGAGCTTAGTTGATGCGGTTGTGCTGAGATGGCCTTGTTTGGAGTCGTTCTGTTATCTATGTTATTATACAAAGTTTCACCTATAGTGAAAGTGAAGTTAGCGTGAACGTGAGTCTGGAAGGATCTAGTGCTATGGTGTTTCTATCGACGAGTTAGTAATTGTTCCGCGTAGGGGTTTGAAAACCGAGATTTACCAGAGAAGTATCGATTTCGCATTAAAGATAGTGTCTGTGGCATTAGAATCAGTTGAGTTGCCATTATTACTTTCACTCTTACTAGATATCCAATACTATGGTGGTTACTAAGTGTGAGCTTGACTGCCCAGGAATCTTCGTTTGCCTTCACCTTCCTCAAAAACATTGATGTTGAATTGAATGCACTAGCCTTGCATCTACTACGCTGGTGCCTTTATTATTGTTTCCGACTCCTTCCAAGTATCTCCTACTTTGCATATCGCCTGCCATCTCTCAACTTGATCTTCAGCTATGATGCACGGGGGAAACTCAGGTACAAGACAGGTACAACCCGTAGATCAACCAGCAGCGCCAGCTTGTGAGCAAGGTCACATTACCGGCTGGAGAGTTGACTATGATACAGGTGAAAGGTTTGGCCTACTCTATCCTCTTTAACATGACAGCTAATCAAAGTACCTTCAGAATCGCCATTGAGGCCAACGTCTTCCACCACAGAGAAACAATCGAGAAATCGTATGCACACTCAACTCTCAGCGACACACTTCCTCTGCACCGCGACTGGCCTGAAATCACAACACTGGACCTCTCTGAGATAAAGTCTCACTTCCATCGCCTGACCAGTTGCTGCGCGATGGCCTGCGATACCTTCGACGTCACACTCATGGATTTGGAGACGCATAATCAGATATTCCTGCGCACACGCACACCGGCGAGCCATAGTGACATCACAGAGTATCTATGCACATACACGGCTACCCAGAAGGCCGGTGGCAGAATATTCGGGCCTCAGAGTCAATATCGTAACGCCATGAAGACACTGCGCCTCTTCGTCACCGATCTGATCGAAGCTCTATTGAGGAAGGGCGAGATGAGAGGAAGAATGGAGAAAAATGTCAGCTTTATCAATAAGCAGGTTAACGAAAAGGAAGATGTGATTAGTAAATCGCTACGTGGGCTTGTTGACGAGACGAGCAAGGGAGGAGAGAAATTTGCCTTGGTAATGTATACGAACAACGTCAGGGAGAGGTTCAGATATTGGCAGGCGGAGGAGAAGAAGTTGAAACAGTGTGCTGGAGAGTGCATCGGGCTTTACTCTGACCCGTAGGGCCGATATGTGGTACGGCTCTCCAGTTCTTCTACCCTAGCGGAAATGCGTGACAAGGAGGGAGAAAGGTCCTCCGATTGAAGAATATACTATCGCGGAGTAGATCGAATAAGAGAATGTTAAGAAACGAGTGGGCTTGAAAATTCTCATGGAGATCGCCTACTAGTGAGCAGATGAGAATTGGATCATGAGCGGGTACCATGTGTAGCAGTTTTGACGGATTTCTAAACAACGATCCTATCGAAAGAAGTGAGGCCCCATACAAGAGACACCGTTTTTATGTAGTAGCTACAATATCCATAGACGAACGAAAAGATCTTAGCCTAGATATGCATCTATCTCTATCCTCTTATCAGATCTTGTGGAACCTCTGCCCTTCATAAATTCAACAAAATTGTACTATCACAACGGGAACACGACTTTTCAATGCGAAATGGATTAGATATGTAAAGCTTTTCATTCGTGAGTCCTGCAACCTGGTTGCAGGAGGAAGAATGCTTGATAGAGATGATCTACGTAAATACTGCGAACTGTCGCAGAATAAATCAAGAACGCAAAGGACCAACCGCTAATTTGCATGTTTTGCACGACTCGTAGCGAAGTATATAGGGAAAGGGCTATGCCCGCGGCCGGCATCGCTCGCTTAAGAAGTTCTCAGCTCCCTGCTTGACGACTAAAATTATCGTGAAGGTTTCGTCGTGCTCTGTCAAGAAGGTGCTGGTATGATGCCCCTACAACTCCTCATCTGGGTCGCATGCGGTAGGCATAGCCATTCGTGGGCGATCGGAAGGGGGCATGGTAACGAGAGGGGCGGCTTGCGTGGGCGTGGAGTCGAGGTCCATCATATCGACGTCTACAGTTGGCGCAGGAAGGCGAGTCTAGAACGTAGTTAGATTATGTAGCATAAAGTTGGCGAATACTATACGTACCCTGGGAACCGCGATGTTGCGGCCAAGTAGAATCTTCTTCGATGGAGCAGATCCATCGTCACCAAGACCGCGCTTACGCTTTATCCTAGGACTGGATATCGCGCCAGTGCGATTAGAGTTATCGAGAGGCGTGGATTCACCACTAGAGCCCCTACGGCGCGATCCGAAGATGATGTTGCTTACATCTACGCCCGCCTCCTGGAGGTAGAGGGCTTGCTTGTCTAAGGAAACATCTGATGTCGCAGCCTCATTTTGCTGTATCTGAACTTTGGATGTGTCTATGGTGTCTTGCAGGCTAGTCGAGTTGTCCCCGTCATTGTTGTAGATGATGACATCGTCGGAAGTAGACTCCTTGTCGACACCCTTTGAGACGATAACACCTGACCTTTGAGCGCTCCTCTGCTTCTCTCGGGAGGACTCTTTCTTGGATGTCACTACCCTTCTTGCGACACCCTTCTCACCTTCTTTCCGCAGGCCGAGGTAACCGTCGTGGTGTGCCGCCTTTGTAGTTCGTGCCAGAGAGCTGGAGTCGTCCTTCTTAGACTCGGTGGAGCCGCTCTTGTGGTTGTGGTTGGTCGAGGTCGCACTAGCATCGTTCACTGGCTCCTGCTTCTCAACACGAATCTCCCTAGCTACTGCTCGGCTCTTGGGCTCCTTCTTCTCGTTGGCCGCTTCAACTCTCACAACCTTCCTTGCGGAATGCTCTTGCTTTGCGGCTACTCCTACAGCGGACGCAGTCTTCTTTGACACCGACTGTCCAACAATACGGTACCGGATCTTCTTGTTTGCTTCAGCCGCTGGCTGAACCCAGCCCATTGGACGCTGAGTACCTGTCACCTTGGGAGCAGCTGGCTTTGCGGCCGCAGACGTCTTCGTGCGGTTCGTCGAATCCGTTAACGGGCGAGGTTGTGTAGCCAGAGCCTCCTTGGTGGTGTGAGTGGGCTTCGACTTCGTATCGGTGTGCCTTTCAGCAACGGAAGGTTTTGTGGAAGCGACACGCGGCCTTATGCGGCTGTTGTCTCTCGCAGTAGTGGGCTCCTGGCGGTTGGTGGATGCTTTTGACTTCGCAGCCTTGGTGGCAAGCTGTTTCTGGTCGGCAAGCTGCATAAGGTCAGCTTGAAGTTCACTCATGATCATCACGAGTACATACCTTTGTGCGATCAGTACCGGCAACAGTCTTCTCGTTATCCGGTTGACGATCTCGAGCACTTATCAGGTTACCTTGTAACCGCTCCAACAACTCGCCAACCTTCATCTTGGAATCCGCACTGTTCAAAACCTGCATTAGCTGCAGGATGATACCCTGCTGGCTCTTGGCAGTCTTTGGTACAACACTCTCCGCCTTTAGGTCGGAGATGATCTTCTGCGTCGTCGTTATCTCGTCGCGCTTGATAGATAGTTGCACCTCGACGATCGGTTGTACGAGGGCGAGTTGGGTAGCGATGGCTATCTTAGTCTCACAGTCGGGGAGGCTTGCGGCTTGTTGGGACACGAGGTGTATCGCGTCGTTGACAGTGCTGAGATCGGAAACGTCACTGTTCTTGTCCGCGAGGACACGCTCCCATGCTGGGGTGACCTTTCTCGACCAGTCGATGGACTGCGTGGGAATGGGGATGCGCGAGGTAGTACGCGCAGCGTCTTGAGCGGTGTTGTTCTGTGCAGAAGCCATGTTGTTTCCGGTGACTTGGTAGAGGAAGTCGAGGGAAGTGGATGGATGATGTAGGATTGCTGAGGGTGTATATAGCTTGTACTGACGAGCTTGGTAGAGGTTGAGGCGGGGTAGAGTGAGAAGGAGGTCAGGAGGAGGGAAACGGAAGCAGTATATGGGAGAGGGACTTGTGCGCGTGGAGTGAAAGCGGCACGCGCCCAGAATCGTGGGGGGAACAGAGTATTTCGTCATTGAAATGCAAACGAGAATTTTTGAGAGCGCTGAGTGAAAGAATCATAGGGCATAGGGCACTACCATACTGGGCATGAACGCGTGACAATAGCAGATGACTCGAGACGACGTGGATGCAAGGTGATATTTTATTGTTACTGTACTTGCTTCAGCTACGAAAGAGAGCTAAAGGAAGCAATCTACTATGTGATGAAAACACCAGAGTAATCAGGGCTATTCTGGTAGACCAGTAGAGAGAATCTGACTGTCACACTAGAAGTATCGCTTCGGGCCGGGGCGCATCCTGGTGGTGGTGACCTTGTCAGGAGATTTTGGGACTTCACTGGCAGTGCCTTGAACAGCGGCCTGTGTCTTCGGCTTGGACTTCTTCTCTAGCTCATCTCCTTCCTCGCGCTTGCGCTTCAGGTCAGGATTTGCGACCACGCGCTTCTGTATATCCGTTCTGTGAGCGTGTCTGAGCCGGCGCAAATAATCATCGACGTCCGCATTGTTCTTCTGAGAAGGGTCCACCTTGGTCGTCTGAGAAGGCATCACCTTGCTGACCTGGGGCTTTGGCGGCGGTGGCATGAGGACCTTAGTTTTATCGAAAAGCATGAAGTATACCAATTCGTCGAATGAACGGCCCTGTTCGTCCCTGAAGTCATCAAATTCGTCGATATGTTGGCCCATGGTGACACCTTTTCGACCGTACATTGGTCGGCCTCGGGGATTGCGGCGAACGGTGCCAGTTGAAGTGCTGGTCTTGATTTCTCCGATCAGGTTCATTACCTTGGATGGCATAGCGATTGTGGAGTTCTTCTTAGCGGTCGTTGGGATTCTTGAATGGATACTTGGGAACGGATTCTGGTAGTGTTGAAGTTGCTTGGTATATAGCAGAGTCGCCGTGTGGGTATTCTGACCGAGTTGAGGGTGTGAGCAATCAATACGTCGGGTGAGTCGTTTAATTAGAGAAAGAAAGAGAAAGCCTAAGAGGGCTGTTTGTGAGTAAAGCACGGGGGAAAACGCCCGGTGATCAGAAGTCCAGTTGGTGAATCAAGAATACAGTGAAGTGAAGTGAAAGACCGCGCTGCGGTGAGGATAGTGAATGGTGTGCAATAGCTGGGTATATCGACAATATGAGTTTCATGATTGCTAGATGCTGGCAAATTCCTGTGTAGGTTAGAATTAGTATTACAAGCCGCGTAGGGCATCTTGAATGTGCAGCAACGACGCTATGGATGGAGCAGAGTGTGGAGAGAGGATGTGACGTTTTAAAGTTGGGAAAGTGGCTCCGCGGCGTCCAATAAAGACCCCGGTCATGACATTTTGGGGCCACATTTCGGCTTGGCGGAGTTCCCCACAATGACCACCATCGCCCTCCGCCACCTTCCTTGAAAGCCATTGCACGTTCAACTGCTCCTTGTATATTCACACACACTTCAGAAACGCTCCATATAGACCCACATACTTCAAAATGAAGGTCACCATCCTCCTTGCGTTAGCCACAGCTGCTGTCGCCGACATCATCAATAATGAGGTAGGCTTCACCGACTCCACCCCATGTACCGCCGGCTAACACGCCCACAGCACCTCAAGACCGAAGTCATCACCCCCGCAGAGTGCGTCCGCAAGACCAAGGCTGGCGACAAGATCAATGTCCACTACCGCGGTACCCTCACCGACGGCAGCGAGTTCGACGCTTCATACAACCGCGGCCAGCCTCTCAGCTTTACCGTAGGCCAAGGGCAGGTCATTAAGGGCTGGGATCAGGGACTGCTCGACATGTGCCCTGGCGAGAAGAGGAAGTTGACCATCCAGCCCGACTGGGCATATGGGTCGCGGGGAGCTGGGCCTATTCCTGCAAACAGCGTCTTGAGTAAGTTGGACTGGAGCAATGGGTTGAGTAGGAGAACGACGGCTGACATGAGATAGTCTTTGAGTCGGAGCTGGTATCAATCGATGGCGTCAAGGACGAGCTATAAACGTTGATTGCCGTCTGGAACGACCGGTACAAGGAAAAGGTTTGCTGGGAGTGATACAATCTGCGCTCAAGCATCAGGTGGCGTTTGATGAGAAGGCGGGGGCGATACCCATCGATAGAGTCTTAAAGCTGGATCAACGCATGTTACGATGTATATCACGAAAACTATGAACTATATACGAAGGCAGTACCAAAAGCTAATGCCTATACGTGGCATACATAACCGCGGGGTTCGCAGACCAACAGGAAAGAATCAACGCCACAAGCACCTCGGTACCTTGACTAGTATGCACTTATTTACGCGGAGTACATTTTTCCGTCTATCTATTGATCTCGTCATCGACTTTCCTCTTCTCCGCCTTATCGGCTTTTCTGGCTGGGCAATCTTCAGCCCAATAGCGTTCATCGCGTGTGCAAGCTTCACTCGGTAGGGCGCTGTCTCTGCGCTCTTGTGTTCGCTCCGACCTTCATGGCTTCATCAATTCCTTATGTGCCTTCGGTGAAAGCTCGAGGCTGTCATCACCACCGTGGGTTTCAGGGTTCTGTCATTTCAATGTCTCCTTTGACTTGGGGGGTCGGCTTGGACTTCCATTGTCTGGGCCTTGGTGGACTGAGGCTTCAGATAATTCATTGTGTCATTGTTCTCACCTTTTGTCTTATTATTTTTGTCTTGCAGTTTTATTGTTCTCGTCCTATTGTTTCACACTGCACAATGGCACCACGGAGCATTCAACACTGGTGTGGAGCACTTTTTCACTTTCACTGGCAAAAGAATTGCGACACGCGTTAACTCCCGCAGCTATTGCCTGTATAAGTAAGCTCTTTCTTTCTCTCTACCCATTGATTCACCACCACGTTCGAACGCGATAGTTTTCAACCACCGACCTTGTACAAAATTTCAGCATAAATCGACCTGCGCACCCAATCAGCACAAATATACCTCCTGGTAGCACCTGTGTCTCACTCTCAACAACAAAATGTCCAACCCTGGTACCGCTAAGCCCATCGGCATCAAGAAGGTCAAAGTCGCAAACAAAGGCTCGCAGATCAAGAAATGGGCTGGTATAATTGATACTGCGACCAAAACCGACACACCTACTACTCCGACGCCCTTCTCTCAAGCGGAAGACGATCTATCTACACAACAGGCGAGCGTCAAGAAGGCCAAGGCCGAGGGTGTCTTAAAGTCTTCAGTTAAGGAGCGGATCGAAGAGGAAGCCACTGACCATACCGTCGCGTCTTCTACTTCCCCTCCCCGCGCGCTCAAAACGAAGCCGACCACGAAGCAGGATGACTTTGACCTCTTTCCTACAGAGCGAGATACACTTGAGCCTAAGATGAAGAAGCGTGACGAAGATTCGGAGCGCCGCGACCAAGCCATATCTCGAGCGCCTCGCGTTCCTAATATCCCGAACAAATTCCCCAAGGCAAAGCTAGGCGCCCTTCCTCCCGACACGCCAGTGAAGAAAGCTCCTGAAGTGGAGAAAGTCGCTCCAAATCTTGCCCAGTCTATCTCTCTACAGCGGATGAAAGACGACGCCATGGCAACGCTGGAGCAACGCCGTAAGTCACTGGTTGCGGCCTGTGCTGCCATCGAGCCTTTGAAAGCGGGGAGCAAAGCTGTGAAGAAGGCAGTCGACCTTTTGGAGCAGCAGATCAAGGCAATAGATGCCGACACCGCGAAGCTGCGCCTGTTTGGCCGTGGGTTCAAAACCCGTAGCATCAAGGGCAGTGACTCACAGGCAAGAACTTACCCTTATTATACATCTAATCATTACTAACAGCTGATAGACATTTGTGGCCTTGGCCTCCTGGGGTCTCAGCGTCGAGAGGCACTTCGCACCGAAGGATGATGACGAGCCTGTGGCTGCCGTCGAGAAATCGTCGGTGGTACATGAAGCTTCCCTTGACGAAGTAGTCATAGCTGAACTCTTCGGCAATAACGAAGTCGAGAAGAAGCCGCTTCCCCTCACAAGTAACGACAAAGCTCAGGACACAGAGGTAAGCTCTTTATACATACCACCAAGTTACACTATCCCCTCTGGTTCCCCATACTGATAGATATCCTCTAGGTCACCGATACGACACCGAAAGCGCCCAAAGCTCAGGTGAAGCCTGCTACCCCCAGGCCTCGGGCCCAGGCCAGCTTCATGTTTAATTCCAAGCGAAAGGACCCGAATGCCTCTATCTCGCGCCCACTACAATCAATGCCCGCAGTTGACCGCGCGAAAGCTACCACCACCAGTATGATAGACAGTATAGCGGCACGTCATGCAGAAATGAAGAGTGAAAAGGCAGAAAAGAAGCAGACGGGAACAAAGAAGGAGGCCACAAAGACGGAGGTAACGAAGAAGGCGGCAGGAGGTACGAAGACAACTCGACGCGTCTACAAAGACTCAAACGGAAACTTGAATATTCGGAAAGGGAAAGCTTTGTCTTGCGCAGCAGGAGAGAAGCGCAAGCGTGGAGATGTCTTGAAGCTGCCGAATAAGCGTGCAGCTATCGAGGGACGTGATTTTGCTTCTCTGAGGGTAAGTTCGTTTGTTTTCTGGGAAATTTTGGAGATGATACTAATTGATATAGGCTCGTCGTGCGATGTCGACCGCAGATCCTATGGAAATGGACGTCGCTCCAGCACTTCCACTTTCCACTTTCTCCTACACATTATAGGCGTAACATGGCGTTATCTGCAAGACAGGGTATCTTAGATGGTAGTAGATTCTTTTTCACTGATCCATGAATTAGTCTATTTGCGCCGTCGGTAATCATCTCCGTGTCTCTTTCATCTTCTCCTCGTCCTCCCATTTTGTCAACCACAACCACGGTGGCGAGTGTATCATGAGTGTAAAAACGATGCACACTCACGGTCTTAGGAAATTTAATAATCATACCAGCCCTCATATTTTGCGTCACATGGGTTTTTTCATCTCTAGCATTACACAACCCTGCCTCCTCTCCTGTCTTAATATCTTTTTCAACTGGTAAATTTATCCTATACTCCACTAGTTAGATTTCGCGGCATTCTTGAGGTTGGCTATATCCTCAGGACTGACTAAACGCGCAAAAGCATGGTAGTACCTTCAAGGCCGCAGCAGCTGCGTCCAACTCCATCCAATTCAGATACATCCCAAACAATCGGAACAGGCTATCCAGATGTCACTCATGATGGCATTGATACAGCTCTTGCGTATTTATAATAGCTGAAATTATGTATCAGCGGCGTTAAAGTCGCTCGAAGTTGAAGTACCCCTCATCTATTGTAACGGTAACATTGAGATCTATACAACCTTATCTCTATGCGAGAGAACACCTTTATACAATTAGACCAGGAAATTGTCTCGCCACATTGTGTCTCACGACACAGTGAGGGACCTTACACATTTGCGTGTAACCCTACTGCACATCCCCGTTCACGACATCACAGTTCTTGTCTGTGTAAACTACATCCTGTGACTGGTTAAACGTCCAGCATGGACCGCTTACGCCCAGGCCCCGACAAGGCTCATCAAAAAAGCTCCAAAAAACACCAACACACACGCAACAACTCTCTTCTTCCCGGTGAGAATCTGCCAGCTCGCATCGCTCAAGAAGTCTTCCGACATGAGCTCAACGAGAGAGGCGAAGACGAGGAAACCGGCGGAGACGGCGTTCATGATACCAACAACGAGAAGACCAATCTCGGAGTTGGGGCTATAGAGCGTATGCGTTGCGATGCCAATTGCTTGGCCGAGGGGTGTGCTGTAATGTGTTAGCGCTGTCACAGTAATCAATTCTGGCCGAGGGTAGAGAACTGAATCAAGCAAGTACTGCAACCCCCTGATCGTCAAGTTATAGTACACAATCTCGCTACTATTGGGGCGGCCTTTCTAGATTCGATGAGAAAGAGACAAGAGTTGAAAGACTTACGTGCAGCCATATGCAAACGCCATAAGCCAAGGTTGCCAGGCACGAGCAGGCCATTTAATATCGGCAATGCGAACACCAAGCGCAAGGCCTTCAAATGTTTCTGCATGGGTTAGTTCACGACTCTGAATAACTTCAGGGGAGACTTGACTTACGATGAAAGATGATAGCAATCAACAAAACAACAAAGTCGTTGCCCACTGCAACAGAAAGAGACATGCCAATGAAGATGCTATGGAACAGAATCCCCATTTCCAGGAGAAAACACTGCATGATAGCCTTCTTGTGCACTTGCTCGGGTGTGAGCACATGGTTATGTTGATTACTCTCAGGATCTTCCTCGAGGACACTTTCGTCGCTTTCGTGTTTGGAGGCTTCAATAGGGGTTTCCTGCTCTGAACCGGCAGCTTCGATTGCGTCAAGTCTCTGGCTATCTCCACGGTAACGGGAAAGTGTACGGCTGATGCTAGTTACTCTTCCGCGCAAGGGCCCCATCTCGCGGACCGGCATGTTACTGTCGGAATAGGTTCTTCGCATCGTCGTTTCCTGTGGGATGGCCTGCTCCATCTCCTTACTTGGGCCTCCCGTTCGACGCGATACAGCAGCGACGCCCTCGTTTCCGCCACACATATGTTGGGCGGGAGAAAAAACCATTTCGATAATAGTGACGAAGAAGATACTCGCTAACATGATCGCTCCTGGCATGGCAGTGTAGTCGTCTGTCCAGAAGCTAGACAGACAGGGGTTGCTAAGGGAGAGGAACGCGGTGGGGAGGAGATGAACAAAAGCTGTTGCAATCAAAACACCTGTTCCAAAGTGCTTGGCAGCAAAGAGGAAGGAAGGGGGTATACGCAGGCGCGGAAATTTAAGTACGAGAATCGGAAAAGCGCAGCCAGTGCTCGATACGAACAGGATTATGAAGAGGCCTCCAACATGGAAGGGGAGGTCGTAATTTGGTTGAGCTTTGCCATTCTCGCATGTAGCTCTGCTGGAAAGGCGGTGGTTCGCGTTACCTGCGTTTTGTCAGATGCTGGTACGAGTACGCGAGCGGGAGGCTGGAGGCCTTTGTGTTCTCGAACGCATTAATTAGAGAGTCATACCTCGTGGAAATTGAAACGTGGGCGTATAGTTTCCGCTAGCAAAAGAGATCAAAGCGGATGTACACATCACAGAAAATAGCCATTTCGCCCAGCTGATGATGCTCGACGTGGTTTTGAGACCAGCTCGGTACTCATAGCTCACATGTTCGATTGTTCGGGTGTAAGGTCCTACAATGGTTGTCAGCCTCCTATATCCGTAATGGAGACGCTACATCTGACATACCTCTTAGAGGGCCCTTGACACCCTCCCCCATGACTAATGGCTGCTTTTCCTTCTGTTGGAAGTTTCTTTCTTCAAGCTCACAGCGCCTGAGGCTCTGGGGACCGCTGCACAAACCATCTGCATCTCGGAGCTCCCTAGAATTCGCAATGCCATTCAGATCCTGGCGAGTCGTAAGGTCTGCGGCAAAGCGCGGTGGGCTCTGGTTCCAACCTGGGTTCAGGAGCAAGTCTTCATCGGTCCTGGAAGGGCAATTCATGATGGACCGAGGTTGAGGCCGGACACAGTTTCCTTCAATTCAGCTGTGAAGGCAAAGTTACACGGACCGTATGTGGTGAGTTTGAGAGATGACGTGGGGAAGGGTGAGGGGATTAGTCGTAATATATGACATCTAACGATCCGTAGTGGTCGGCTAGCGGCTCTTCCGAGCAGGTAGTTGCAAGCTGCCCAAAGAGAGCCACTTTGCCAAGTGCCAAGACAAACGCCGCCGGAAACGTCCGAACGGCAGGCCGATCTCTGAGTGGTGACAAAGGATAATGGAGGAAGACAACCACTTCGATTCGCCTACTCAATCTAATAGTTGGCATTCGTTCCGCGGCTGGAAGCAGCGACGATCCTCGCTTTTGAACGCAGCGCTTCCCACGTATTGTCGATTAATGACAAAAAGGTTCGGATCCGACATTTCCCGTATACTCTGGCGTGCAAGTAGCCAAGAGCCACAGCAGTTGACGGCATCCACTTGCCCGCGCATATGCCCCCGGCCTAAATACTTACTACTCAATGTCTCGGAGATATCTCACATCTGGCTCTCTCATAGGATACCCTGGCTATTCAAGTCACTCTGCGATCACTTGCAAACCACAAAGTTACAATGTGTGTAGGCATTGAGTTGTAAGCCGAGCACAATCAACTAATCTATGCAGCATCAGGGTATATTGGCAACTATCGAGCCCGGGCACTGATTATGGGGTTGGTCGATTCTCGCGTGTTAAGTTGCTCACCGTGTTTTGCAAGTCCGACTACGCTCTAATGATGAGGTTACCACAGTTGCCATTGGCATGGGAGCGGGGATCGGGCATGGCTTTTAGTGGTCTTAATTGACGTGGACATAGAGTCATAATATTCTCTAGCGCATGTTGAAGCGCGTCCATGCTATGGGTATCTTACACGGCTTTAGCTCGCATTCTCCGTCTCCAAGATCTCAATCGCACCGCCAACTAGGTGCAAGCTGCCCGTGATTAGTACCATGACTTCCGCATCAGCACCAGCATGCTTCGCATGATTACGTGCAACGTCTCTTGCAGTCTCGATAGCTTCTTCGATTGTGCGCAGCACATGCACCTCTGCAGAGCTATCAATGTGCGACCATGTATTTGCGAGTGCCTTCTGAACCGCAAGTGTATCCACGTCTTGTTGATTCGTATTTATTGAAACGAGGTCCGGTTTATAACCTCTACTGGACGTCTGGTTGGTGGTGAAGATAACGTGAGTGAATGGTGAGGTTGCGCCAGATGTGATGCCGCTCTGAAGAGCTGCATAAAGCGCTTTGGCCAGAGCATTCGCATCTCGAGTCTGTTGGTTAAAGATCAATATGCGCGGAACCTTGGACTGTGACGTGGTGGTTGATATCGCGGAGGCGATTTGCTGTGCAAACCACTGTCCAGTGACCTCGATGCTTTCCAACGTATGACCTCCATCGATATGCCACGCAACATTCTTTTCCCGTCTAATCTCGCACCTGCCTGCCCAGCGCACTTGCTCTAATCCGCGGATGAACTCGGAAGGAAGTTCGATATGTGAAGTTGTAGTTGGGTCCGGGATGGAGGTGTGGCCAAGAGCTCGTAGATGGGCGGCTGCAGCAGCGATTGCTACAGAAGCGTTGATTTTCTGGAATGCGGCGCCTAGCCCAAGCTTGACCTCATTGTTCGCTAAAGACGGATGAACGTCGATGACGTGGAGATGAGTCCCCTTTTCGGCTGCTCGTTCTTGCAGAACGGTGATCGCCTCCGCTTTCTGAGGTGCAGTGAAGGCAACACTTCCTGCTTTGAAAATGCCAGCCTTGTGCCATGCTATCTCTGGCAGGGTGGACCCGAGCATCGCTACATGGTCGATCCCCAGGCTCGTCACCGCCGTAACCGTAGGCTTCGTGAGGATGTTGGTGCTGTCGAACTCGCCGCCGATCCCGCACTCAACGATAGCCGAGTCTACACCTTCTTTGAGGTATGCATGGAGTGCCATGAGAGTCAAGTACCTGAAGTACACTGGCTTCGTTGGTACATCTGGCGGCGCGCTCTCTGTCTCCGCTGCAGTCTCCAATGTGTCCCACACCTCGAAGAAGTACTTCGCAAAAAGCTCCTCCGATATTGGCTCATTGTTGATCTGTATACGCTCGCGAACGAATCTCAGGTGGGGCGATGTATATAAACCGATCTTCGTGGGCTTCTGTGCGCCGGTGGCTGGAATGTATTGCGCCAGGATGGAAGAAATGAAGGCACTCGTAGACCCTTTACCCTTTGATCCAGCAATATGTATGGGCCTCAATCGGTCAAAATCTGAGGGCTGCGCTTGTTGTCAGTCGCAATGCTGACCAGAGGGCGCTGGGAGCCGCACACCTCATATCCAACCTTCCGACACCACTCAATCATCTCCGGTATTGCCAGCTGGTTCATTCCCCGGCCAGATTTCCGTATCGCATCGACAATGGAGAAGTTGGACTGTAGCGTATTCAATGCCGCTACCGCAGCCTGGAAGAGTGAGCTGAAGTCTTCAGTCGCATGCGCTGTGCATACTCACCGCATAGTCCCGCTTCTCCATGTTGGGTGCACTGTGGTAGAGGCGATTAATTGATGCAACGCGCAAGCAGCACAAGCTTCTCCGAACAATCAGCATGAGGGCATCCTGATGATGCGTGATGGGACGGTCAGCACTTTTGTTCAACGAAGTCCGCCGATAGCCGATAAGCCACCAAACGAAATGCACGGGCCCTCGCCGGTTTCGCATGCCCGTCATGGGAACTTACATCCCTTTCTTTCGTCAGCCTTACTTGCAGTACCTGATAAAAGACGACAATGCCGCCCATGCAGAGGGGGCGTGGAACTTGTTTGACAGACAGACATATAAGGATCATCCCATATCGGTTAGCGTAAAACACTGTCAGTTTTGGTTCCGGCATCCGCAACAGTTCACAAAATGGTTGGGAACTTTCAACGCTCGATGCGTTCCAGAAGAAGAAAGGTTTACCTACGCCATTAATACTGCGACAAACGCGTTCTAGTTGGCACTTTACGGTTGAAAATTGGATAACATTGTCTGATATCGATACGGTCCTCTTACCACACAGCCATTTGACCAAGGCCACTAACCCGTATGTTCCACATCGACCTAGCCAGCTTACTGTACCATACTTCCAAAGCCCACCTTGTGGGTTTCTTCCTCCGGCCTTACACGCCCCAACCAACCATTCGATCTGGAAGACCTTCGATTGACAAAGTAAAAAGGAAACAAACCGTAGAGCAGAGCTTTTGACACTTTCCTCATTATTAAAAGAGAAGGGGGTACGCACCAGCGCATAAACAGAATAGGCTAGAGTCGTGGAGTCAAAGACGCCTCCACACGGTTCCGTCGAAAAGGAGGTGCATCCGATATTGCACTGGCTCTGGTCTACTTGTGTAAACCCTCTGAAGCGCTTGCTGCAATCTGGAGAATGTCAATCTGCGGTGTTCAACTGGTAGACAGCGCATGCAGGAATGTCAAAAGAAAAGCGAAAGTGTAGTACGCACAGCAACTTTCCCCCCTTGTAGCCGCGAACGTGCCAAATCCATACTGCTCTTGGCAAGCTTGCATGCACGATTGCCCTCGCACATCGACGCTGGTTATTAGTGGACCGACTGGCCATCTTCCGCTAATCATACGTTAAATCAGTCTCTCGCCAAGGCCAAAATTTAGGTGAGATTGGTGAATTAACACCGAAGTGTTGCCACAGTAGCTAAAGGGATGTACATACCTATAGCAGCCTCTATAAACCCATGGATTCGGTATAACTGTGTTGTTTAGGGTAGGATTAGTGCGGTATACCGATAGTCGATTCGTGCCACCACAGCCTATGGTCTCCTGGCCCGTGCAAGGAGTGACACAGTCGCTATCCGCAACTTCAGAAGTATTCCCTTGAAGCGTACTCCCGCAATCTGATCTGCAATCAATACCACTTTACTTGGAGCAAAGGTCAGGAGTGGCAAACGTACAGCATGAACTTCCACCCTCGAGACCTGCAAGAATATAACCATTCGTAATGCAGGCCTGGACACAGGCTGCTGGAGTGTTGGCCACAATATTTAACTGCGCCGACGAGTATTGACCGCTGAAAGTGCGAGTTCGCGCATCAACGAGATCTCTGCGACAGTTTGTTAATATATTATTGACATGTGTAAAGAAAAGGGGGACTTCGAGGGGCCTGAGATGAGACTCAGAGAGTTACGGGTGGAGCTGAGTTACTTACGTCCAGCATCCAGCATAGACAAAGCCATTAAGCAGTACACCATCTGCCACCGGAGGATGAGGGCAACTTGCATCAGCAGGAGTGGCATTACAATCGACGACACCCCCGCGCTTGTTAGTAACGAGGCGTTCAGCAAGAAGAGGTTTCCCTCCGCCGGCTGCCACAACCGAAAGGACGGCGAAAGAAAAAAGAACGGTTCGAAAAACCCGTCCCATGGCTAGTGCTGCTAAACCAAATGATTGGATTGCGGTGAATGAGCGTGTTATTACGATGGCGATATATTCGGCAAGAGAACGAGAACTAGTCTGGGGGACCCACGGGTTTATAACTCTTTACTGCTGGCGTAGAAGGGAGGGGGTTGGAATGTAGTTTTTGCAAAACAAAGTCGCGCAGAAAAGCCCTCGAATTCCCGGCATCGAGAACTGCACCCTCCAAGGGGCATGGCGACTACGGTCACCTTGCACGACGCGCCCCACAATCCTTGCTATGCTCCGCCAGTCTTGACGATGGTTTCGCTAGATTAATCATCTGCTTGCTGGTGGTGCTTCATCTTCTCGCGTTCCGTAACGCTTTGTACCTGACGATCGGAATCAGTTCATTCCTGTCATACCTTCCAAGAGAGGTAGAGATACCCCGTCACTAGTCACAGCTTGTCGGCAACCACCAGAAGACAAGAGCTGGGGTAATTGCGGCCCCGTGCCCGCTCAAAAGTTGCAAGCTGTAACATGTAGTAGGCTTGCGGCTGCGACCAAAGGGGTCGCATCGTTAGCCGGATCGTTGTTTCATATGCTGACACCCTTGTTCCACCACTGTTCCCAAACATCGGACCGCACTTGAACACCCATATTACCCTTCTCGTCCCTTGACGCCCATTTCTCGATTTTCTCGTTCTCTCGACTCACCTATCGCATTTGCGATTAGTTCCCTTATGGCGTTTTGAGATTGAATATCTGCGGTGCGGTCAAAATGGAACTCGCCACGGATAGTACACGTCTCCAACAGATGTTTCAGCTCGACAAAGAAAGCTATTCAGTTCTTTATTCTCGAAATATTGCACATGAGCTCGCTGAAAGGTATGCGCAATAATCACCAGATTCCCTTTGTGTGTGCTACGCCGTACACTTGTCATCCCTAGTCAAGGGCTAATCATATATTAGGGACCATTGCACAGTCATATCTTCCCGCATTGTCTACGACACATAAATAAGGCCATCATCACCAGAGAGAATTTTGGATTGCGACCCTCTACGAACAGAACAACTGCAGGCCCATAATCTGTAATTACAACAGCACGACACCAACATAACAGCAATGCTTCCTCTTGCAACAATCACTACTTCCATCTTCATAGTGCTCCTTGCGTTCTCAACCTCGGCCTCAGCACGACCAAATATCGAACGTCGTGGCCTCCCCGGTGCTGTATATACATGCACTCGCGCCGATTTCCGCGGCGACTGCCAATGGACCGCACCAACCACTCAGTGTCGCCAACAAGGTCCGACCAGCCTAGGCCTAGGCCTTGAGTCGTTCGGCCCTGACCCAAGCACCTCCTGCATCCTCTATGAAAAGTTCGACTGCACGGGTAACCAGGTCCAAACCGTGCGTTTCCCTGGGATTTCGTCTGGATTGCCCCAATTCGGCGCTTTCAGATGCTCACCGGAAAGAGCACAGGCAAACAATGACTTGGATGTCAACCTCGAAGTTAAGGGTTCAGCGAAAGCGTTTGACCCTCTTGCGGACCCGAGGCTTGCGGGGGGTGTGGGGAGCATGGAGAGGAAGAAGAACCTTCGCGAGCTCAAGGAGATGGAAAAAGATGGTTTCAAAGAAGGCCTGATCGGATTGAAGAAAGGTGTATACTATTGAGTTCCTTGTATCATCATCTGTCTTTTCATTTCTCATTTATATCTCAAAAGCCCTTCTGGCATCGCAGCTTATCAAAGCTGCTATTTCCTTCCCTAATTCAGTCGTCTCTCGTGCCCGAAACTGTTCCAGGCTCTCGATTGCAAATTCTACTCGTCGAGAGATTCATAAAAGGCCATCACCGTCTCCCCATTCCTCTCATCACCCTGCCAGTCCTCAATCTGATATTCTTGGACTTGGTCGTTGATGCATGGCCACCACTTCCCGTCCTCGGTATGTACAAATGCGGCGTACATCTCGCTCTTGAGTTTCTTGATGACGGCGACCAGTCGAAACTTCGTTTTCTCACCAGAAGCCTGTATGCCACCAGCGAAATCGTGCTCGAGGGGAAGCGTGAGCTTGTACTGCTTGTCGCTGTTGGTGGAGGGGTCGAACGAGCATGTCAAGACCGAGGGAGAATATGCAAAGCCTTTCCAGTGCTTTTGCAGGCTGCCAATATTCCGGTATTTGCAGGTCTTACATACCTTCCACTCGGGAATATACATCTTCTTGCGCAGTAGAATGTCAAGATTGCGGGTTGCTTGCTTGCCATACCGAAGCTCTCGTTCTGTGAAGCTCGGCTTCAGATTCGTACTCTAGTATCGTTCCGTTACAGTCTTCACTCGATTGAAACCTGGCTTTGTGGTTTCGGTATCATACTCATGGTCTGCGTATGTGCGGATGGTGTTGCAGTTTGCGCAGAAGTGTTGGTACGTATGTGGAGCTTGGAAGGCGTCCTCGATATACGGCGTTTTTACGGTTTCCAGAACTTGCTCCAAGTACATCACTGAATCTGTTGTCTCTGAACACATCCTTTTATGCATCTCGAGATGTCTTTAAAAGGATAGGCGTTTAGTGGTCGAGTGCCCTCGTGTTGTAGGTCTGCCATAAAGTCCAAGAACGCTTTCGAAGGAGAGATCCTGGATTTTCTATTCATGTAACTTAAAAGCTATAATTTTCATTCATAGAAATAAAATTATATATTTGACTATTATAGTATTTAGTAAGTCAGTATTGTATCATTATATATAGTACTAATTTTAGTCAAAGCTGGCTACTTACCCCGACCGGCTGCTCGCGCTAGAAGTATGTTATTTAATAAGCAATAAGGCGGGAATAGAGAACGAGTTAGAATAAAGTAGTGCACGCGTTTAATTCTAATAAAGTCTATAACATCTCTCAAACGTTGCTAACAAGTAATAATAGAGAATATAGTGTTGCCGCATAGCTGTTTATACTCTAGAAAAACGTTCTTGCTAACGATTGGTAAGGATAGACTGGCTCAGATCAGGTATTACAACAAGAGCCAACTAATCGAGACCACGAGAAAGGCACTCAACTGGCTTGCTGCTCTTAAGTTAGTGAACAGTGCATCATATTTAGGAGATGACTTGCTGTCTGATTGGAGGGGTTCTCAGCGACATGTCCGCCTTTGACCTTGGTACCACTGCCGGTCTCACCCTGGACAGAGTAGTGGGCGTTTGGATCACCCGGGCTCTGGTGCGACATGTTCCTGGCTACAGTTAGCGTACGAAAAAATCTCGACAGAAGGTAAATTACGTGACCACGACACGCTCCATCTGCTTCATGTCGTCATCCGTGAACAAAGCGCCGCTCTCAAAACTGCGCTTGACCTTTTGGAGAGCAGCTGCCTTCAAAGCCTGGTCTATGGCACCAGGAATGCGTTTAAACCCATCTCCAGACTCAGAGAGGTAGACGGAGATGTTCTTCGATAGAGCTTTGTTGAAGACTTGGCCGATAAGTGACATGGCTGTGGATTTGAGTTTGAAGATGCTGTGATACGAAGTTCGTGATTGTTGATTGCGAGGATAGAATGAAAGAAGATTTGTTGGGATGCTGAATGAACATTAAGGTTGCGAATGCACGCACTTATATACTTAAATGCTCATCTGCTGCTATATTCCAATGCGGATGGGGTCTACTCCTTGACGCCATGATATGGCATTCCAGTCAGAAAAGATTTACTCGCTAGTTGAGTTACTTTTCATCAGAACCAGTAATTTTGTCAATTTATACATGAACTTACTTTAGTTACCGCTGGAGGATGTAACCGCTGCGGCGCGGTGCCGCTGAAACGTTGACTGCAGTTGAATTTAGCTATGACTGGAGCTCGTTCTTCGGTAAAGCGTTCCCTCGGGCGGCTGTGATGTAGACGCACGTTACGACACACTTAATATGTGATCTGGTCTTGTGATCAGATTCATGAATTAAACATGAAAGGAATTGGGCGACTTTTAGTGAATGTGGCACGGCCCGACGGCATGGCCGGCGACAAGTCGGCCAAAGGATGGTGGATGACTATTGGAGGACCACAGCTCTGTAATAAATCCTTTGGACTCAGACTGCCTTTCATCGTGTAAGGCAAAAGCGACAGACTAACAGACTCCCAGAGCCGTGAAATTTGAACGTATCGAAATCTAGTCTGAACATCAGGAACCAAACAAGAGAGTTGACGGTCGTCGAAATCTGTGAACATGATGAGTTATCAAATATGCGCAACTCTGGGTAACTGCATTGATAATGCGCAGTTTAACCCAAGGAAATTAGACGCTGACATATTCCTGAAACCCTCGAAAATCTCTCGAAGCTAGTACAGATGAAGCAGAAGGCCTTGCGCTTGGGTCGACAACCATCATTAGGCGAAGGAGATCTCTCAATCCCTGCGGCATCTCAATCGCTTGCATCATCTGCTCCAGCGGTAGAATATCTAGTAGCTCAGGTACTTCTTTACTCATGTTAACAGCATGTTCGACTGCGATCTTGAGCTCATCAACTTCCACCTCATCCGGAGTCGGAATACGCCAGTGTGGAAAGAGTCTCTTAATCTTTGCCATTGACCACGCCTCATTAATGAGATAATGAGGGCTATCCCATACCCCTAGGATTCCAGGCTTGATCCAACAGAGTAGTGTTGCAGCGATCGCCCAGACTTGCGATAGTTTGGTGTATGCATAACCAAGGAATACCTCAGGGGCGCGCATAGCGTATGGCTGGGCGTTGAAACGTTGGCCAGAAGGGAAAACTATAAAGTATTAGTGCATACATAGCCTCCTCAATTAAAGACAGTTGCGTACCAAGCCCTAAGTCTCCCACCTTGGCGGTGATTTGACTAGTTCCGATTCCAGAAAGTAGGATGTTGGCGGGTTTGTAGTCTAGGCTTCTCAGCAGATGCAATGCGGCTTCAAGCAGCCACGTTCGTAATCCATACCTGTATTGACGTGGTCGTGGCTTTCTAACACGACGCAGCTATGCAATGCTGCACTCAGAACTTTCTCCGCAAGAACATAAGTGTCCTGGCTAGATTGGTATTTTACCTGTGCCAGAGTGGTTTCTAGCCATTCCAATGCGACATACTTGTCGCTAGCAGCCGCTTCACTACTGGTATCGACCACGTCGTACAATTTCCGGAAACAGGTAGATGAAGCGACTCCAGGCAAAAGATAGCTTTGGCATTCACGATTGAGATTTTCCATGGCTATCGCATTGTCCTGCGATGCTCCTTTGATGAAAGACCTTCAGCAGCCGTGTCAGCGTTGGATGCTCTTAAGTTAATCGAGGGTGACCAACCACTGTGGAACATCATGAGATTTCTTATTGGATACGATCTCCGCTTTGTAGACCGTGGACGTGTGGGTCTTGTCTCCTTGTACAGTTTCGAGAATGCGGTAGTTCCATTTACCACCGGGAAGTACGTGCCCGGTAGCAAGTGACGACATAGTCCTCGCTCTTGAGCTAGAAAAGCAATGCCTCGTGACAGAGAAGGTCGTGCTAAAATATAATCGCATTGTTGAGAATCGAAGTTGCATAAAGGATGGCATGGGAGTGGGTATCTAGGGCCTGCAGCGCTAGAGGCTCTAGCGCGAATTACCTAATGCAACGCGAAACGGTATAGGTACAGCTGACTGGCCACCATGGGCAGTTGTGGGCTCCAGCTAGCTGTGCCACAGGATGTTTGATTAGAGGCACGTTGTCCGCACCAACACCAGTTTTATCCAATAGTAACTAAAGCGGAAGCGCCGTACAGCCTACGCCTGTGTTAAGCCGTGCAATGCTGACGTGGCAGCCCCTTTTGAGGGCTCCGTTCTAGGTACATTTACTCTCACGCAACATGAGTACGGGCTAAGGTTACTACAAACAAGAGATTTAGGTATTTCAATAGCGAAAGAACTGGAGACAGCAAGGCTTCCCGTCCGCTTAGCTATATACAAGCAGACCACTAGCAAATCCCCGCTATTGTATATTTTTGCCTTTTACTCTAGCATGCGTGCAGCAAGGCATATTTCTTTTTATACTAGAAAGTAATAGTACAGGTTATCTATAGCAATTTCGCGTATAAGCGTTTAAATGTAGGGTATATTTATCTCTATATACTGCTCAAGGCCAACGAGAACTCGTGTACCCTGGAGCACATTCTGAATAATCCAATGTGGCGTCAGGAGTGCTCTGATGAAGCGGGTCGACATCGCTAAAGTAATGAGAACTGTACGGCGATATAAGGTAGAAGTAGTTTTATAGAAGGGTGAGTAGCTGTATTATATAGCTAGCTACAGGTGAACAGGCCTAATGGTAAAATATAGCTAGCCACTCATATAATAACGTGAGTGTATGTTTGCCTATGATTGCTGACACACCAACAAGCTCTTCGCAAGTGTTCTAGCGATGAGGGTGATTCTTTGGGCTCGAAGCAGTTTTCTTGTATTTTGTGTCGCCTGCGATCACCTTCGTCCCAAGCATTCCTCCAAAAGCTCCTTCAGTACATGGTCAACACCCCGGCCCTCCGCTTGCCGCACATCTCCAATATTAACCTCGAGCTCGCTCCCTTCCACCACAGTCTTCCTCATCACCAAGTGCCCTTTCCCTTGTGCCACCCAGTTCACCAATCCCTTATCAACCGTCAACAAACCCAAATCTTCCTGAACTTCTGGCGCAGCCAGAATAAGCGGGAAGCTGGGTGCTTTCTCTGTCGTCTTTAGGCAAGACCCCTTCCATACCTCCTTCACCAGTCTCTTGACACCATCCAAGTTTGGGAGGGTCGAGAAGAAATCTGGTAGGCCAAACTTTGTGCTTGACAGCATGTTTCCCACCGCAAGTGAATGCCCTAGAGACAAGCACACGTTGACCTCCCCTCGCTTCCTCTTGATATCTTCGTCCATAAGCCCCATTAGGGTCTTGACCATCTCAGACGGTATCTGACCCGTGGTCCTCTTGTTCTTCCGGCTCTTTAAGGACCCATCTGTTGCGCCCCAGAGAATATGTATGTCATATTTGGCCACCTTGGTCAACCACGGATGCTGTTTTGCTAGTTTCCGTAGATGTATCACCAATTTCTTGTCCCAGTCCGCCTGTACGAAGGTTTGTACTCTTCCTTTGAAGGTGATGCCGATTTTGAGCTCCAATACGTTGTTTATGAGCCATGATTGGTACTCGCGAGCTTCCTGGAACTGGTATTTCTGCAACGCGAGAAGGCCGGTAGAACCAAAATGCACGGGACAGATCTGGATGTCTGTGTGCTTGCACTCGTAATTCTTGAGCTGGAGAGGAAGATGGGTATTGGTGGCTGTGGAGTCTGTGTCGGGGGTAGAGAGGTAGTTGTAGACTTCATTGCGAAGCTCAGGTGGGAGGTCGGGGAAGAGGAAACGCGGATTTGTAATAGTCATCTTCCCGTTTTCTCGCGCAGAAGATAGGCCCATGTAGGATGTATCCAAAGACAGGATATTCTGTGGCAATAGGCAGAGACGGTCTGGAGAGGTGTTGCTGGCTTTAGATGTGTGTTGTGTATACTCGGAAGGACGCGACAGATGAATTAGGTGGCGCTCAAGATCAAAATCTTGGTGAGTGACCTTAAGCGAATGCTATTATGAAGACAGAACAATAGGAATGATCAAAGTGAAAGCCGAATCACGTGATGCCGATATCGTGTTTTCTGGGTGAATGAGAAGCCACAAGGCTTATCAGATGCCAGCAATGCTCCAGATATGCTTGCTCGGCTACCAGTACCTCGAAGCGTCCCTTTACTCCTGAGTAATATAATGTAGCAATTTTTTTAGGTTGGAATTTTTCACAGTGCTCTATCGGCAACGGCTCGGCACGATGCACGCTGCGCTTTGGGCATCAGCGGTAGTGGCGGGTTAGGGGGGCATTTCCGTTTAGTCGAGAGTAGCTGGAGCTGCTACGGTTTGGTCTATTTAACTCAAACGATCTTGTTAGCTCACTTTCCCTGCGTTCTCCCTGTTTCAATGAAACGAGCAGCAGAGTGAGTGTGAGGTAGCTGACTGCTTACTTTCATTCCGTGATCCTGAAAGGCCAGGACCTCAAGATATGCTTAAACCATGGTTGATGATGGCTAAGAAACCCAAAGAAACCAACGTCGGATTCTGGTGGTTTGTAGTGATCCGCTATACGGCCATATTGAGCGGGAGGGTAGCGGGGTTGTGAGGCTAAGGTTTTTTTTCTTTTAGGGCTTCTGTGGTAATGCTGGGAATAGAAGGAGATCAGGGACGAATGACTGAGGCTGGTTCATATGTCAAGCTGGCACACCTCGTAAACAGCATTGACTCATTCGACGCTGAGTGCCTGATCCAAGGATCAACGTGCCTGCGCCACATCGCCTCTGACTCCAAGCCATTCGATTGGTCACAGAGTGCAAGGTCAAGGAGATCAGTAGTCATTTTATCAACAAGGCCAGCAATTTGGCCAGCAGCAAAAATATCGAACAAACTACATGAATCATTTCGATAGTTGCCCAGCTCCCTAAACACCAGCCCGCAAGAACGCCTCCCACTTATTTTTGATATGTACCTACAATGCCTCCGCAGCAGCCTTTGCCTTTTCCAGCTTCGCACGCTTTCTCCGTAGAGTCTCTGACTCGACGTCGCGCTTGTTCTCGCCGTACTCGATGCGCTTGAGCAGCTTACGCTTCTTGTTGGACAACATCATCTTCTGCCTCTCGCGCTCCTCCTCTTCTTGGCGCCTCTTCTTGTCAGCCTTCTTGCGGACTGCTGCATTCTGCTCCTTCCTTGTTGGTTTGACCACTTCCACCTTCTTGCCAGTAGCTTCTGCCTCGAGTTCGCGCTGGTGTTGAATGCGACCAGCTTCTCCTTCAGAGATATCGGACTCAGCATCCGATTCGAAACCATCAAATTCTTCAGCGGCGACTTCAGACTCGCTGTCGTCGCTATCATCCTCTGAGTCGGAATCGGCAACGTCCATGCCTTCTCCGACCTCCACGGAGCCTTCACGATCAATTATGGCGTCCATGTCTTCATCGCCGTCAACATCAAACGTCGCCTCCTCGTCGTCATCTCCATCGTCTTCGAAAGCTTCGGCCTCGCCCTCCGGTTGCTGTGCCTCAAGCGGAAGATTTGGGTCGTACTCTCCCTTCTTGGCATTGACCCAAGGGCTCAAATGAGGCGGAAGCTCGGCGCCAGGAGCATAGAGATCCGGTCGCATCAGCTTGCTCTGATTGATGCAGTCCCATACCCATTGCGGCTGGACGTATGTTCGGCCAGGCATTGTCGAATGAGGCCACTGAACCCTAGGCGCCGCCGCACCACCATTTTCGTTCTCAGGGACGTCGGGAGCAGGTGCGCCATTTGCTAGCGGTGGCCGGTCAATGATCTGATGGGTGATTGCAGGATCAGACTCATTTGTCGTGAAAGCGCCGTCACCAAGGATGCCATCCCAACCAACTCGTTTGCAGCCGAAAGCCTTTAGAATGAACTCGAGTGATGTACGGGGCGTTTCGCGGGACAAGTAGAAGGTGAAAGGTGCAAAAAGAGATGCGATTTGAGCGCTGCTGGCCTGGGGTTGTGGCAAGACGTCGGCGTCAGGAGCTGTCGGCTCGAACGTATCGATGCCTTCGGTAGCTTCCTCTTCATCATCGTCTCCCATAGCGGCCGCGGTCACATTTGGGACTTCATCGTCTTCCTCGGCATCTGGCATAGCTGCGAGCCTGTCTGCTATCGCCTGCGCCTCCGGGTTGATCTCTACATCTTCCATGGGATCGTTTGTGCCGTTTGTAGCATTGGCCTTGCCCTCAAGCTGGAAAGCAGCCAACTCGCCGCCTTGCTCGTCGCTCTTGGCGTTGAACTTGGGTGGGTATACGAGTCCCACGGATGTGTAGAGGCGGTAGTTGACGAAGCCGAGTAATGTAGTGTAAAATTCGACAAAAGTGCCCATGATCCTGAAATCAATGTCTCCACCCGTCCGCTGCACGAAACGGTACGGTACCAACCAAAGTATGTCCTGACCTTGAATCGTTGCCTGGTAGTAAATGCCCTTGATGGAGAGGAACGACTTTCGGAGAGCATGGGAGGTGATTACGTAGTGTTCAAATTCGCGGGTCAAGCGTTGACAGAGGGCAATCGTCTTGGCGGGGATATGCTCGCTGGACGGGAGGTTGGCGAAGAGAAAGAGCATGGAGAGGGCATCGTCGAGGTCGCGCAGGGCATCGACGAAGGTAGGGTAGCGTTCCTTGATGATGTGGTCCAGCTTGACCTTGGGCATAAGGTTCTTCTCCAGGCGCGCAGCATCTCCTGCCTCGCCGCGACCAAGAGCGCGGCCAATCTTCTTTGCGACGGACTTGTGGTCGCGGAATTTCGCCAGTAGCGGCTCATGGAGCAGATATTGAATATCCTTTGTGTAGTAAAAGGTTGTCGCGGCGGTAGATCCCTTCGACACCTTCTTCTTGTTGCGCGGCTCGCGAGGGTATATGCCCTTGAAGATACATAACCGTCTGAAGTCTGGAAGCGAGATCTGAAGCTTCTTCACGGCGCGAGTGCGGGTGATGTAGTTTTTGGCTGCACCAGAGGTGCCTAACGTGTGTAAGTAGGCGACAAAGGGAGCATAGTACGGATAACGGAGCACATACCCTTCTTTTTGCTACGACCTGCCATCGTAAAGTCTAAAGATCCTTTGCGATGTTGTGGAAAGCTGCTCGGCGAACTTTGGCGACACAAAAAAAGTTCGAGATGCGGCGGATTAGCCGACATGGAGCCGGCATTAGCGCCAACAGGGTCCCGCCGAATGTTGCCAGAACACCACCAGAGCTCCGTGACGGTGTCGAGATGAGGGACCCAATGCCCTCATAGTCAGCTGAGATGCCCGTCGACATGCAGCAGAAGGCCCTCCTCTTTGGAGCTGCCGTGGCCCTGAGGCTGGGTCTATTCACCCTCTTTCCCGCACTACCAGCCCTTCTTGCTGGCCGAGTCGAGGTCTCCACGCCAGTAACCAGCTTCAAGAGACGTACGTCTGTCGAGCATGGCAAATGATTGTAGTTTCACTCGCTAACAGAACATGCAGTGCAGGAAGGCGTCTTCCTCTACACCCATAATGTCTCACCCTACGATGGCGGCGTCTACCATCAGGCACCCCTCCTTCTGCCACTCTTCTCGCTTCTGCCGAACCCATCCTACGCGCCTCTCGCTACGAATCTGCTCTACACTGTAGTGGACCTACTGAGTGCGAACGCATTGGCTCAAATATCGGAGAGTGGCTTCGCAACAGTGACGCGATTGTTCACTTCCTCGCGCAAAGACCTCAGATGGAGCAGCGTGGCTATTGCAGCAGGGCATGCTCGACCCGTCCTAGTATGATCCGTATGCTGCTAACAGTCTACCAGCTTCCTCTTCAATCCCTTTACGGTTGCGACATGCATTGCGCGCTCGACTTCCGCCCTGACGAACCTCTTCATTCTGACCGCAATAGCCAAGGCCTCTCAAGGAGCCAGTATCACCTTCATATTGGCCATGGCATTCGCGTCCTACCTGGCTATGCACCCAATACTCCTCTTTCCGCCTCTGCTGGTTCTGCTGTACGATGCGCGCACCGCCAAGACAAGATCAAGTCCAGATGTCTGGTCCTTTATAATCACCTACTCCTTAGGCATTACAGCCGCCATTGGCGCCTTGCTCTCTGCTTCCGCCTTCTTGACCGGCTCGTGGGACTTTTTAGCAGCTACATATGGCGTCCGCCTTCTCCTCCCAGACCTCACGCCTAATGTTGGTCTTTGGTGGTACTTCTTCATCGAGATGTTTGATTCATTCCGTGAATTCTTCCTTGGTGTGTTCTGGTTGCATGCGGCGTCGTACATGCCTGGTCTTACCATCCGCCTCCACAAGCAGCCCTTGTTTGTTGCATGCACTCTGACTGGTATCTTCGCCGTTTTTACGCCCTATCCTAGCATAGCGGATGCTGCATTGTACCTCTCGTTAGTGCCGTTGTTCCGGCATCTCTTTCCTTGTAAGTCCTCGGCCGACCTCTTGAACGTGGACCATAGGCTAATTGTTCGATAGTGATGCGCTATACCTTCTTAGCATCAGCGAGCGTTTTGTATACATCCTTCCTTGGGCCGGCCTTTTACCACCTCTGGGTTTATGCTGGCTCCGGCAATGCCAACTTCTTCTACGCTATTACATTGGTATGGAGTCTGGGCCTATCGATTATCGTCGGCGACTCGATGTACGCTGCGTTGAGGGACGAGTTGGACGTGGAACGACCTGAGCTGCGGGGCAAGGAAGTATCACGGATATGATATATGATGTAGGAATAAAGAGTTGCTCCAGAATACATATCAAAAATACACTCATAGTATGTGTTACCCAGTTCTCTGAGTCCTGGCCTCTTGGTTTCTATCACTCTTGCATTACTCGACTCTAAAATCGAGCCCAAAGCTTTTTCATATTAGCCCTCTAATCTCTAAAGCGGGGGTGGAAGTCTCTCTTTCACTTCCTCTTACCAGCTCTCACTATCACTACTAGATTCTCGCATAGATCAGCTTCACCGCTGGTTGTAGGTTCCCTGCGCTATCAATTGGTAAGAATTAAAGAGCCCTTCCCCTCCTCTTTCGAGCCTTTTACTTCCTCGTCTCCTCACCACTCTACTACCACAGCAACCACAAACCACTCACAAAAGGCTTCAGCACATATCCTCCCTAATAATACACCAACACACCATCAGCAATGGCCGGCGACAAAGAAATCTCGTTCTCTGGCCGTGAGATGGAAGTCCTCGCTCTGGCTTGGCAGTGCATGGAAGGCCAACCCAAGGTACATGCCGCCCCATCCCTCGATGCTGCGACTACCTTCAGGGTACCTTATGATCCATTCCACGATAAGGTACCCTGAAGGCCTTTGCAACACCAACCGTTCTTCGCCACCCCGACAACCTAAACTAACAATGCACAGATCGACATGCAGAAGCTCGCCCGCCTGACTGGCTACACCCCCGGCAGCGCATCCGTCACCTTCGGCAACATCAAGCGCAAGATCAAGCTTCTCGGAGACTCACTATCTGGAAACGGCCCTGCAACGCCCAAGAAGGGAGGTGCGGGTGGACGATCCAAGACCGCGACTCCAAAACGCAGTGGTGGTGGTGGTAAGCGTGGTCTTACCGCCGCTCAAAACGATACGCCGAGCAAGAAGAGGCAGAAGACAGGTGGTCGCAAGGCAAGGGAGGAGATCGAGCATGAGGATGAGGTTGAAGAGGAAGAGGAGGAGAGGGACCTCGCTAGCTCGGTCATCAAGAAGGAAGACGTCATTGAAGACCGAGAGGCTAGCTATGGCTTCCTTAATCAACTTACTCAAGCCGCGGACCTGGGCGACCGTCAGGGCTCTGCGTTTGGCGGGGATGATGATGAGGAATATTGAGTGGATGTGAGCGGCTAGGCTACGGAACGGTGAGGGGTGGTTGAATTTGGGGTAGGAAGCAATTGCCATTCGACAATTGAAAAGTAGGGAAGTGCTCTGGGCTTGCTGGACGGCATTGCGATCGTTAGGCGAGCTCTCTGGGTAAAGGGTATGGGTACTCGAGCATTGGCTACTGCGTATGCGGAGCGTAGCACCTGGATAATGGCCTTTTTTGTTTTCTTCGGCATGGTCATGGACTGTTGCGTAGCCCTTCCACGTTCATGAGCTCCGTTCTGGCTGGGTGAAGGTATTCGGCACTGCATACAATGGCTATCAAACAATTGCAAAGCTACTGGAATTATGCAGTCTATCGAATAAGAGATACCAACAGTATATTTGGCTAAATAGCAGAACGTGATTACAGTGGTGCGTCACACCAACCTCGAAATGAAAGAACGCCCCATAAAGATATACCCATAGTCAAGCTTAACGCCCACTACTTCCACAGTAGCAGTTCGGCGCATAAAACAACACGATTACGCCTTCTTCAATATAACAACACGCCTCCTACAGCGCCGCAATAGCTTCAAGTAACACCTCCAGTGCCCTATCCCCCACGCCTTCCAGCCCCTCTCTCAGCGCCCACGCAACATCACTCTGCATACCCAGCGGCACATACACGCCACCATCCTCCTTATTCACCTCCATCCTCTCTCCCAGTCTACTAGTATGCTCCCACTCTCTTGCCGCCGTCTCCGCGTTCGTTATGACTTTGTCCGGGATACCACACATAGCTGCACAATGCATACCAAAGCTACCCTCTGCAACGCCCTCTTCCAGCTTGTAGAGAAAGGTGATGGACTTGGAATCGCCGTCGACTTGAATACGCATACGCTTATTCTGCACTTCAGGGTGGTATTCAAATTCTTTAGCCAAGGAGCGGTAGTGCGTAGCAAAGAATCCGACGCAACCAACCCGTGTACTGATGTCGTGGAGTACTGCTTGTGCAACAGCGACACCGTCGTAGGAGGATGTGCCGCGGCCAAGTTCGTCAAGGATGACGAGGGAGCGGGGCGTAGCTTCTGAGAGGATCTTCTGTGTCTCAGAGAGCTCGACGAAGAATGTTGATTGCGCAGCGAAGATGTTGTCGTTCGCACCGAGACGAGACATGATGCGATCAACTGGCGTGATTCTCGCTGATGTGCAGGGCAGGTAGCACCCGACCTGCGCGAGGATGACTGCTATACAAGTCATTCTCAGAATTGTGGACTTACCGGCCGCGTTGGCACCGGTAAGGAGGCTGATGTTTGCTGCGTCGCCGCCTAACCTAATGTCGTTAGGAATAAAGTCGTCGACGGTATTGAGCATACACGGGTGACGAAGTTCTTCGAATTCGACCACGGTGCGGTCACCCTCCTCGAACACTGGACGACAGCTAGGCTCTCCAAGAGAGGCCGAAGCCTTGGCCAGACTGATCAAACAGTCAAGCTGCGCGATAATCTTCACGGCAGCGAGCCAAATGGTGTAATCTTCGTCAAAGCGCTTGCAGAACCGAGTAGCCACCTCGCGAGTAATCTGCCCATGCGTCTCTTGAGCTTCTTGTAGTGCTCGAACAAGCTTTCGGAGCTCAGGCGAGTAGTAGCGAGTGACCTTAGCTGTAGCCGACATCTGATCCCAGCTACTAGGCACCTTGACCTTCTTTGGGACCTCCAGTTGGCGGATCTCTTTTCCATTGTCGCGGAAACAGATGGTGTTTGAGCCAAGGTCCTTTCGTGCCTTCTTTAAGAGCACTTCAAGCTCCGCTTCGCAGTTATCAATTTCTTTCTGGCTGCTATCAAAGTCTTCTTCAATACCAGGCTCCGGGACCAGGATGCCCTCTTTTCTGGCGAGACTGCGATCAAAAGCCGACTTCCACTTTGACAAAGAACTGGCAAGATCTGGCATAGAGGCAATGAGCTGTCCGATGACTCCCTCCTCCTCGCCAAACTGCTTGAGTAGACTGATAGTGTACTCAATCTGCTCGAATCCCTCAAGCACTTTGAGAAAATCTTGGGCTTTGCAACGGCCTGCATGTACTCGCGAGATGAGACGTTCGAGATCTGGGAGCTTGCTAAGCGAAGCGCTGAAGTTGTCCATGATAGTAGAATCGGCATTTAGAGCGTCCACGGCATCAAGACGAGCGTTGATTTTCTTGGCATCTGCCAGAGGATGACACACCCACTGCCGGAGCAACCGCTTACCGAAAGGCGTGATACAGCGGTTCAACATGGCGAATAGTGTTCCCTCGGCAGACCCATCAAAAGTGTTGGCGAATATCTCTAAGTTGATCAAGCTCTGCCCGTCGAGGACCAAGCTTGTTGCTTTGCGTATTGGATCATACCATTGAAAGTTGCCAAGAGTGACTAGATCGCGCTCAATCTTCAGGGTTCGGAGGTATTGCAAAAGCGCGCCAAAGGCAGACATGACCAGCTCTTGTTCTCGTGCTTCACGCAGGACCGGCGGCCAAGCTTCAATATTGTCTTCTGTGGGCGATTTGAAGTAGTTGTTTACTTCGACTTCGCGGATCGTAATATCCGCCGGCCAGAACTCCTTCACTGGTTTTAGCGAGTTCCAGAGCGTTGCGGGTGCCGTGTTGTTCTTCAAGATTCGCAGGGCTTTCGCAGAGATGCAGGACTTTTCAAGGAGCAATTCGCCGGGTCTCATCTGTGCGATGAGAGTCTCGAATTTCGTCATATCAATGTCATCAGTGAACTCGCAGAGTTGAAATTGGGCAGTCGCAGTATCAACGAATGCTACACCAAAGGCAGGTAGGTTGTCGCGGTCGATCTCCTTGATGGCCATGCAGTATGTTGACATGTCGTCCTGGAGCATACCAGTGTCGACGAGAGTGCCCGATGTCAGAACGGCAGCCAGTTCCCGTCGGATCACCTTGTCTGCCTTCTTCGGCGTCTTGCCCTTGTCCTCCTTGCCATCTCGTTCGCGCATCTCCTTGGCAAGAGCAGACTCCATCTGATCCACCCTGGCCACCTTGTACCCTTTTGCAACAAATTGAGTTGCCCACATATCCAGAGATGCTTCCGGTACGCCAACCATCCTCATGTTGACACGGTCAGTCAATTTGAGGTCGAAAAGCTGATGCCCAACCGAAGCGTCTTTCTCGTATAATTCGTAGAACTTGCCTTTCTTGAAGAACACGATTGTATCCCAGAATTTGCTCTTGATTTCCCAGTATTGGTTCTCGAAAGGCGAGAATTTCGCCCAAGCTTGAGGTGGAATGTAGAGCGTGCGAGGATCATAATCGGGGTGGCCAACAGGATTACGGTCAGCGTCCTGCATATTCGCTAGCCATATGTATCTTGTCTCGGGTTCGGAGGCAGACGGTCTCTCTTTCGCCTTCTTGCTCGTATTCTTCGGGTTCGCTGGGCGGGGCTTAGGAGTCATGGGGTTCTCGGGGTCGTACGTCCATCGCTGCGCCGTCGAAGTGTATGTCATTATCACATTCTCTTCAGTCTCTTCTTTGAAGGGGATTGGAGGTGGGGAAGATGCGGGCGAAGCTTTCCTGTTAGCCTTGGTCGATGCCGGTCGCTTGCGCTTCTTGGAGACGACTTCCTCCTCGTCTGAATCGTCTGCTACTATGAAGTCGTCCACCTCATCGTCGATCAGAGCCTGCTGCGTGGCGGTGTCTAAGCCGAACTCATCGTCCGAATCGTCTTCTACGCTGACCCTCCTACGCTTTGTAGCTCTACTCCTCGCATTGTTGGCGATTGGCCCCAGCACATCGTCGTCGTCGGACTCGTCGTCGGACTCGGCATAGTTGACAGACTTCCTGACCTAAGAAGAGAGTCAATTAGAGTCCATGCAAGGCGCAATGCTGGATCAAACGTACCGTCCGTGATGGGCTGCTCAATGCAACGCCTGCAATTTCTAACAAGACACGGTTAGCTTCGGTATCTAACATGGAAAGGCATAACAGTGCAGAGCAGACCATTCTCCTTGTTCCTTCCTGCGAGAGACACTCGCTCCTGCTTTATCGGGCTCGAGAACTCGGGTGCGTCGCTGCTTGGGACGGGAGTAATAGACGCGGGTGGTTTGGCGAAATTTCTTTTGGTCAGTGTAGAGGTAGGTGTCTTTTTGATTGGCGTAGGATCAGAGGGTGCAGGACTAGGTGAATTGGTAGACTTTTTCTGGAAGAAGCCCAAGATGGACTTTTGGCCCTTCGCCGATTGTGAGGCGGAGGCCTGCTGCTTTTTCTGGGAGGGGCGAGGCGTCGACATCTCGTTGCCTTCGAGGCCGCGTACCATGATCGCAGAATGCAAGAAGAATTGGGGGGCACAAAGAGGAGGGAGAAAGTCGAGTCACGACGACGACTGCCAAATCTATGGGGAAGGAACGCGTCGGGGTCGACGCGCTAGTTCACGAGCCGCGTTTAAGTGGCTTGGCAGGTGATGTAACACTAGACGAGTATCTCAGCCTTCCTACCCTCCAACTAAAAAGAAGACGAATTGCCTAATTTTTCGGCGAAGGATAGCCCATCCAGTCTAACTTGCGCTGAGACACGGCTTGCTCTGCGAGTTTCTCACTGTGGAACTCTTATCAAGCCCTTTTCGTCTGCGCTAAGCTTCACTCCAGAAAGTTCCTACAATATTGTTATTCGCAATACTACTAATCTACAGATGGCATATCGTTAGTAGCATGGTTACTCTTGCCTGTTAGTGCAGAGAACTTGATGCTCAGAATCACCTTTCCCATTCGTGAACGTCCAAGTAGGGGCGACGATGAGTGGATTAACAGCCACGAGAACGAGGCAGAAGATGATGTAAACCAAGCGTATAACATTCTGACACGTCTCACGAGGCGGTGCCGGCCCTGCATGGTGCTGCGCCTCGCCCATCCATAGGCAGGCTGCACAAGATCATAAGATGCGTTTCGACCCCGCTTCAACTCCTTCTTGTCGCGCTCAAGACTGACAGACTGACGTCGAAAGCCCCACCTCGCCGTATTGGACGTAAACAGACTGCCTTCACCGATATCAAGCCCTCTCCACGCCCGGACAAATCCATTCACTACACATACAAGCATCTCGTCGAAACATGGCATCTGTTGGGGACCTCATGGCCGTTGGTAAACTAGCCCATGAGATCGCGGTTGCCTTGAGCGAATGCAGGCGTGCGGCCGCAGAGTATCAATCTCTAATCGAGCTCCTTACGTCCCTCCGAAACTCAGTCAGCCTTGTCAGTAACTTCATGTCCACTCTATCTGTCTCCGCAGCAGTGCACGTCGATCACGCTTTTATGAATGGCATCTTCTTCCATGCTGAACGTTGCCGCATACTCTTAAATCAGTTCATGGTATGTTCACCTACTTTTCATGGGCCATCCTAGTTCGAGTTCTGGTTGCCAACAAATCAACCCTATAGGTTGATTCTCGGAAATACACCGAGAGCCTGATCAATGGCCAAGGAAACAAAGTGCGGACCTCGTACAGAAAGGTCAAGTGGTGTCTCTACAGCGCTGAAGATGCTCGAAAACTTGAGCAACGACTGAGCACACATCTCGAAGCATTTGACCGGTACTTACTTGCGGTAAACATGTGCGTATGCCAAAGAAGATCAAATGCCAAACGCTGACTCTGGGAACAACTCTAGCCAAGTAGGAGCGCAATCTACAGAGCGGCTAGAGAGACAAGTCGGGCAAATCTCATACGCCCTGACAGAAATCTCCGAAAGCGTCCGGAAGACGCAGCTCAACATGCCGAAAGTACTTGGGTATCCTTGGGAGCGTGATATCGCTTCTTCTTACGTGCATCTCAACGATGTGCTAGGCCGCTCTATTATCCTGCCGGCTGTCCTTTGTCGTACTTTCCAGACACTTCACGACACCCTGAGAATAATGTTCTCCGATCATCCAGGATTCGGCAAGGTAGACAAAGGAGAGTTTGAGCTCATAGATGAGACCAATGATTCCACAGTCTTTCAAGGTGGCCGCATTGGTCAGCAGTCTCCACTCCATGTGGGTATCAAACCGGGAGCTAGGCTCTCAATGAGCATTTTGAGTGTGAAGACCGTCAATGCACAAAGGGATTCCTTGATCCCTTCTGTCCAAATTATCGAACGCTGTCCAAGCTGTGGGTTTCCATCATCCGGTCGAAGATTCAGAAAATGGTACAGCAGCCTTGTATTACAGGTCTCTCCCTCGACCTTTAGAAATGCTCGCTAACTATAGCTCGGATAGCCTGAACTGCAGCCTGAGATTCCGAAAGACAGTGTTAGAAAGGGGAGGGAAGTGGATCCATGGGTGGCCAAGAAGTGTGATTCCACAACGCCCTACGAATACATCGCCACTCAGTCTAGGCAAGACTTCTCATAAAATGATTACAGGTAAATCTGAGGTGGGTATCGGTGGAGATGTTCCACCCACTGAAGCCGACATGGAGAGCAAGTTTATACTTCGTGTCCATCACATCACCGAATACGTTGTGCCTATTCGGTTTGCTCGTCCACACGAATTTAAGATATCTAGGCTGCCTCTGATCCAAGCCATTGGCCAAGGAAATCTTCAATGGGTTCGTCACTTGTTGCTCCATGCAGACACCGATCCAAACTGTCGAAGTTTCCGAGGATGGAAGGCTCTGCAATTTGCCTGCTCTATCCCAATCAATTCCATTAAAAGCAAAAACCAGAAAGCGATTATAGAGCTTCTGATTGCGCATGGTGCAGACGTCAATGCAGTGCCTGTTGGAATCATTACTGAAACCGCGTTACAGTTAGCTTGCCAGCGCGGAAACGAGGAAGTGGTAGACATTTTGCTCAAGAATGGCGCTGAAATCAATCCCGAGATTGGCTTCAGAAACGCCCTTGCAAAAGCATCAGGGGCAGGGTCATTAGGGATAGTCAAGAAACTCATTGACCTTGGCGCGGACATACAACACCCTGATGTACTATCAGCTGCTGCTAAAAAAGGCAATCTTGGAATAGTCAATTATCTTATTGAAAGAGGCGCTGATTTGCACGGATACAACGGTCTAAAAGCCTTAGAAGCGACGATATCTGAGGATCATCTGGCCGTGGCCCGACGTTTTCTTGAGCTCGGCGTCAACGTTAACGCTGAGGTGGATGGCTCAGCTCCTATAAATGCCGTACAGTCTCTATGCATGTTGGACATGCTTGTTGTCTATGGAGCACGAGTGAACGCACCATACTCCCGGTCATACCAGGAAACCGCATTGCAACGGGCCGCAAGAAACTGCGATCAGGCTCTAGTCACCGAGCTCATTCGCCTGGGAGCTGATGTTCACCACCCTGGCTCTGAGAATTGCGGTCGGACAGCACTTCAGTCCGTGCTCGATGCCGCTGGGTATCATGACACAGCCTCGGTCATTGAAACCTTAAGGTTACTCATTGCCGAACATGGCGCAGACGTAAATGAGCCAAAGTCCAATAAAGAGGGATTCACGAGCCTTGAGGCAGCATGTGACCGCACAGTCAAGCTTATGGATCATTCAGATATTGCCGCTGTTGAGTTTTTGGTCGAGCGAGGTGCCAAAGTTACTCCACTCACATTACACATCGCTGCCGCCCGGAACCACGAAACCTTGGGCGGCTTTCTGCTACAGAATGGTGCACGAACTGAGGACCTGCGGAGACCGGCAGATATCAAAATCCCTAGTTGGGAAAAACATTACGGCTTCGGCTCGACCGTCATTGAGACCGCTAAGTTGAATGGCCATCATGAACTTGCGGAGAAATTGGAAGGCTGGGTTGACGCAACCTGAAAATAAAGAACACGGAAGACTATATTTTCAATACACAACTCGTGTTCTACGCAAGGATTTAGCTGCCCCCCATACGATTCTCACTCATCTCAACTCAAGAGAATCTATTCCAATCGGCGGTAAATCCTGTTCACTACGCGTGTCATGTTCTAGAAACGGTCCTAGCCCTAGGCATTCATTAGTGGATTTTTCCAGTCTTCTCTAAGATCTAGTCCCAACTTCCATAGTTTCTTGTCATTTCTTTATATCCTTCTATGCACATTGCCTACTTCCGTTTCTGGTTTGTGGCGTGTTTTCAGCTAGCTATGAAGGCTTTTTCAAGCAGTCGCCAGAGACTTTACACCTGATACAGGTAGCCAATTGAAGTCTTCACACTTTGTGTGTCGATTGCACAATATATTAGCGTTTAACATTCTCAGATTACAAAATACTGAGGCCTTAGTCTTGATATGATTGGATTAATATATAAGAGTGTAGAAGATACCTACCTAGTCCTACCCCTTAGAGATGTAGGATGAACTATCTCAACTTTCCAAGATACTTGATTCTAAAGATCAAACAGGGTATATACATAGTTTGTTGGAAACGGGAGCCCTGTAGGATGATTGTAGCAACAGAGCGTGCGTGACAGCCGCGTCCATGGTGTAAGTTGCGTTGCACTATATACCTACCACGTCGAAGAATTGCATGCTCTCGCTTCTAATAAGGACCTTCCACGGGGGATGGTGCAATCTCCACATTATTAGGAGAGCTGAACCAGGGTGCGTGAGGCGGCTCGAGTGCTGCGCCCCCCAAACGAGCCACGCCCCCTCACGGCGTGGCTTAGAGCTGAACCTACTCGAACTAGTACATCATCTTGCATACATATAACCTCTCCAGGCTGCATCTTCCTGCATCCCTCATAGCTCCATATCATCCAAGGCAATGGCCGCATCAATTGAAGAACCAAGAGGGATCATTCTGTTATCGGTCGCATACTTGGTCATCACAACTATTGTCATATTGAGCTTATCCACAACGGAAACAACTCTTCTACTAATTCTATACCCGGTTTACCTGATGTTCCGTCACCTCAACATCTTCAAATTCACGTCCATCTTCTCTCAGCATGACCAGGAGTTCACGGCTCAGCCTGATCTCATCTACAGATCCAAACTATCAGGCCAAAAGATTAGACTTTTGAGATTGCTACCAGGGCCTTCATATGCAAAAATTCGATGCCGGCTTGTTGTGGCAAGTTTGGATGATGTACCGTCGTATGAAGCGATATCGTATGTATGGGGCCCGCCGCAGAAACGAGAACGAATTGAATGTGATGGACAAGTCGCATACATCACTGTCAGTCTTGCGCAAGCACTTCGGAGACTGAGATCTCGGAATACACCGAGGACACTATGGGCGGATGGCATTTGCATCAATCAGAATAATGTATCTGAGAAAGGACACCAGGTCGAGCGAATGGGCGAAATCTTCAAAAGCGCGAGTAGAGTCGTGGTTTGGTTGGGTCCGGATGTAGGTGGGGAAGTAGCCCAGGCTATGGCGGTGATTGAATTCGTGCATTTTAAGATTCCCAACCCAGGACATGGCGCAAATTCGATACAGAGACGTGGGGATCCAACAATAGAGAATTTGGGGAGACTCGTTGAAAGCGAGAAAGGTATCAAAGATGCGTGGAAAGTGTTGGGTACGCTATTCGAGCGGCAATGGTGGCAGCGAATATGGTGTGTTCAGGAAGCTATATTAGCCAAAAGCATCATCATCATGTGTGGAGCAAACGAAATAGACGGGCACCTTATCGGCGTTTTCACACGCTGGTACCATGGTCAAGGCTGGGCTGGACAGCAAGCACCGAAAGATATCAACGATGCTGGTATCAAAAGCGCATACCGAAGACTCAACGATTGGGCCTGGACAGGCACAGCTCTTGAAATCCTCGACACCTTTAGAGGGCTGCAAGCCACAGATCCCAAGGACAAAATCTATGCACTCCTCGGACTATTTCAACTCGAACGCAAAGAGAACATCTACAACCTAAACCTGAGTGTTGATTACCATAAGTCTGTCCCAGAAGTGCTATTCGATTCTATAATGTGTTCCGTACGAGAGGAGGGCAGTCTACACTTCCTTTCGTACATTGATCACCGTCCCGATTTGGAAGACCGTGGCGATTACCCGTCATGGATGCCGCGCTGGGACAATGCACGCGAGCCGTGGCAAAACCACTTGTGGTGCCATAATAGTAGCATATCCGCGGGTATTCGCAATCGACCTATGAGCTGTGACTGGACGTATTCTGAGAAACTAATACTCAAGGGAGTAGAATTAGATAGCATCAGCAAGACCACAGACGTCTTTTGGACTACAGACGATTCAATAGGAGGCCCCCTTCGAGAATGGATCGAGAGCTATTTACTTCGAATCGAGAAACCTACCAGCGGCGACATTCAAGCATACCAGCGGTCCATCATCAAACTCGCGATAACTCTCAGCGGCGGTTTCTTGAAAAAAGACGGTTGGGCAGAGAACCGCATCTATTTCGAGCGCCTGGCAGAAGACGTTGGGGATCAATATTTGGCAGGCTTCTACGTCTTCATGGAGAAATACTTTCCCCAGTTCAACGTGCAGAAGATGCATGGTATGGGCAGTTTCGAAGGTCGGTTGTACCAGTATCATTCATTGGTCAGGTCGTTTTGTCGCGGCCGACGAATGTTCGAGACCGTCAACGGATATATTGGTCTAGGGCCCAGGAGCATGCGAAAACATGACAGTGTAGCTGTCCTCGAAGGGGGCAAAATTCCTTTCATTTTGCGGCCTCGTGATGATGGAGATTTCTCGTTTGTGGGCGAGTGCTTTGTATTCGACGTTATGGATACGCACCGATTGGACGCGTTGGGGGGGTATGGATTCGAGGAAAGAGAGATCGTCCTGCGATAATCAATTCATTAATCTCTTGGTGAGCTATAATTCACCCTACATCGTGAACGTTCACATTTGGGGTCTCTGTTGACTCATAAGGACTAATTTGGTATAAGAGCGTGTATTGACGGACGGGCTATTACACATTAGTAGCATTCCCAATTTTCAAGAGGGCGCATCATATCCTGCCCTAATGCGACGGCTTATGGTAGGTTCTCACACGCTGTGTAAGGACCCCCTGGCACTTTCCTCTTTGAAGTTGTCAGCCAACAGCCCCTTCCTGAACCCTTCAGTCAAGTTCATAACAAGACCTTCTATGAAAGGAAGCCGCGCGTCATGACCGCCTTCGCGAAGTATACGTCCACGACTTACTCTGACCAAACTGCACTTTGGCTGCTTATACAAACACCTTCCGCTTTGCCATTACGTCGCCTTGTTGAACCAGAAAATTTGTCCTCGGCAATGCCTGTGTCATCCATCTTCTTCGGCCTGTTGACTCTTGCCTTTGCTACCTATACGGCTGCAGTCAGTCGTCCCTCCACTGATCTCATTGAACGAAATACCACGTTCAGCCAAATCCAGCCTTCTCGGGATAGTCCACACAAGTACAACTTCCATGAGTTCCGGCCTCGAGATGATCCCTAAGACTCCTTCCAGCAGCCGTACTTCAGCTTCAGGATCTTATTCTCCAGAAGGCTGGCATCACTGAAGAGTTCTTCCATCGTCATTGGAAGACTGTTCACGCCGACCTCACCTTAGATCAATTAGACTTTGCTCTTCGCGTGCAGCGATAACACAGGCAAGTAGCTTTTGTATCCCCCACGATAAGCCGCCGATGCTGACCTTGCATATAGTTCCATCAAGACAAGCAAAATTGGGCCAACGCTCAGCGCCTTCTCACTGCTGTCGGTGGAGCGATGCAGCTAGCCCTATACGACGGTATTGCTGAGTTCCACACCAAAGACTACGAGACGTTCGAGAAGTTCGTCCTATCGGTCTTCGCTGACCCGCTTTTGGTTGGAGATCAAAAAAAGTTTGTCAGCTCGGATTCACCATTGCACATCATGGCCGGCTACGAAAACCTCATCTTCGGTAGCGGAATTAGTATTTCGAATGGCTACGACAGTGTCGTTCCCGGAGATCGCCGGTTCAAGTACCCCAGATGCTGGTGACTGAAGTAGACGGGACGAACATCGCTCTGTCACAGAACGAAAATGGGGCAGTTGGTCAATAACACAGAGGGCGTTTAGGTAGTGGTAGCACAACAAGGGTAGGACAGGGTAAATAGTTCAATTCGCTCCTCTACTTGGCTGATAGATTGTTTCCGGCCTTGATGTACGTTCCAATGAGAAGAACAATCGAAGATAGCCACGTCAACGACCTGAGATACGAAGACTTCTGCGTAGTGGTGTTGATGTAGAGCACACTATACAAAATTCTCAGACCAAGGTAGGCTCCCGTGATGAAGTTCAGCGTTGCTAGCACGTCTGATCAGCAGTTGCGCATGATAAAGTGAAAAAAAAGGTAGTGCTCACATGGACTCAGACCGGCATAGTTCCCCGCCAGCACGGCACCGATAAAAAAGGGCGCATTCTCTGAAGTTGGAAGTAAGCAGTCAGTGCAAGCCCTGCATCTAGTTTATACATAACGATTGCTTACCCATCGCATTCTTATGAGCTGCTTCCGCGCGCTCATACGTCGCGTACACGTCCGCTGGTACAGACTTTTTGTATTGTTCATTCGCCTCCGTGCTCCGCGGACTCTGATTGTTCCATTTGTTGTTGTTTGCTTTCTTGATCACGCCTGCCTGTTGGTGGTGCGTTAGTCGCACAATTTTGCCGGAGAGATAAGGGATATCAATAGAAAGGAGGAAATCATACGGCATAGGCATGCGGATAGAGCGCTACAATCCAGTATATCTAATAGGTGAAGACATGGCGTTAGTACATATCGTAGATATAGAGAGATTGTGGGGAGGTGGTACGTACCGGGATGCTGTAGAAGGAGTAATTGGACGACATCGTGTAGAATTGACCAAGCGGAGATTCTTTAGGGTTCGCTGCGCTGTGTAACTTTACTGTCTTTTGTTGACTTTATAGTAGTTGGAGTGCGTTGAGTAATCGTAGTCAAGAAGGCGTTCGGCGGTACTGCGCCTTGAACGCAAGGTATACCGAGGTGGGACAGCCGATGAACCGCGGCAGCCGATGAACCACTTTTTACTAGTAAAAAAGCTAAAAATTAAGATTTTATTTATTTAATAAC